ACGGCCATCTCCACTCAGCGGCACAAAATAGCTGAGGCCAGCGTCATTGCCGTTTCAAAATTCGAGGGCTCAGTCTTCTGTACCGAGCAGCGACATCCTGTCGCGCCTCGCTACTGTGATACAGCAAGATATTCTTACTACTGCGCAAGCACAGAAGAGTTTTCTGTACAAATCGCTCGCTCACGCCTGTCACATTGTACCACGATCCGCCAAATTGGTCACCTCTACCAGCGGTTCTCCATACTTTCGTTCTTCGCAATCACGCTTGACAGATTTTGCCCCAAACATTAGTACTGAGTCGAGTCGAATGGCCCGTTCTTGAGCACGAGGCAATGTCATCTCTTTTGGGAGTCGAGTCCCTATCTTGAGTTCCCCAGATCCTCGTGGTACATGCGTCGAAAGGCAGCGGAGCCGTGATTGTAGAATGAAGGCCATAGCTACTGCATAGCTCATGAGTCAAAGCGCAAAACGATAGTGTAAGCAATACTCCCAAGCAATCGCGATTGATGAAACACGAAGCACATCAATCGCAAACTTGTCTAACGAAATTTACGATGGTTATAGCACCCATAGGTTTTTGTTGCAGACAACCTCAACATTGTTAGCGGACCTCTATTTCCTCCCACTTCAAACGCTTTCCGTATCCCGCTATCTCACAAGCGCGCGACCAGTCCGATGCCGCCTATCGAGGCACAAGAATCCCGTCAACTTCCAAAAGATCGTCTTGACCGGTCGGTACAGCTTACACATATCGCTGACAGCTCGCTATCGGCACCACTGTATGCAGCAAAGTCTTTGACGTAAAAACTTCCTGGACGTTCAACTCTTGCGGACCACACACAACGCCTCCGTCCGGCACAGATAATTCAGCACTTTCAATAATCACGGCTTACGGCCCCGACCGATTTAATTAATGGTTGGTCAAGATTAGCGCGAAGCACACGCGCGCCACTCACGCCTCTGACGTTCAGCAGAATCTGGCGGCTCACCAGGCGTTCTTTTCAACAACTTCTTTCTACACAACGCGCATCAAAAAGCCACATCAATTTTTGTAGAGGATGTTCCTAGGAAATTCAACAAGACGTTGGTGAGACTGGAGGCGGTTCTCAATTTACCCGCCAAAAACATCCGTGCTCAACACTCTGCAATATCTCAACAACGCTTGCGCTGCAGTTACGAGCGCAACAAAACCCATCATGCATGAAACATGGTTGCCATTTACAATGTTGCCGTGGCATCTCTGAGGCTCTGTCAAACACCACTTTCGAAAATCGCCTCTTCTCATGTTGTCTGATTTAGGTTAAGACACTTCCATTGACACAGCAACGGATCCATATCTCAACCATTGGAATCACACAAACTCATTTCTTGATTAGGAACAGTGATTTGCGGCTCATCTTGCGCAAGCAACCTGTCTCATCATGTACATGGGTACACCGTACATTTACCCTCGGAGCGGGAAGACCGTTGGCTCTTAAGCGCAGCAGGACCTGGGGAGTCTGTACAGGATCAACCATGCACATCTTTGACATGTATCAATACACACGAGTCTCGACCCAATGCAGATGCTGCTGAGAGATTCTTGATATCGAGACCGGCTTATGTACTTGGCAGCAGTTATCACATCATGTCTCACATATAAGGAGAAGACATCAGAATACTTGCTGTCGTGAGCGCACCGCACAGCATACGAGTGGAGATCCAGCCTGAGACCTTGTAACTTGTCTCGTCTCCTCTCGTAAAGAGCGGGGTCTTGAAAGCTTGGCTCCATCCTTCTACTACAATCTACTCATCACGACATTCTGGGTCTGGTCGCTTAGCAATCAGTGGCAAAGATACAGTACTGTATGGTCGTCAACAGGGCCAACTCAGCACAAGGCATGCATACGCGCCGGACACAGCAGATTTGGAAACTCGAGAAGATTTGCTTGTCGCACGGGCAGACGCCCCGCACTCCCCCTCCTCCGCAGGGTACAACCTCGAAAGTATCAAACAACCTTCCGAACTCGGCCAATTCTCCACGGATCTCTATCTACTTTCTATTCTTGTACGCGTCAATCACATCCTCTTGCGAGTCTAATCGGCTGGAGAGTCATGCCATCCGTGGAGAAACTCAAGCAGATCACATCTCCTGCCGAACATGTTGATTGGACGCGCATGGAAGATCTTTCGTTGAAACCACCGAAGTTTGTATGTACCCTGCCCTGCACTCCAGGTTTCTCAACGTCGACTGTCATCAAAGGCCCGAAGGATTTCGTGGGTTAGAATGGTATCCACACTTCGGCGCTGCTTTCGCGCATACTCGACACCTTCGGTCCGATTGCATAAGACAGTNGGAGTGATGGGGACGCGGAGACCCCGACGTGGATTAACAACATGTCTCGTGCTTTGTTCGTGGAGTTCGTTGGGGAGNGAATTTCTGGAGGAGAAACATAGAGGAGTGGTCTCCGCATCTGGCTTGATCCTTCGNAACCCCTTCTCCTGAGAAATTCGCGGCTGAAGATCAAGAGTGTACTTTGTCACTGCCCAGAGGTGANNAAGACCCTGATCAACACGCATTATATCNTGCAGCCACAGCACATGACTGCCATGACCTGAGAAGAGAGGAGAGTTCGAAATTCCTTGACCTTGCGACATCTGAGTTTAACCTCCGTACGCCGTACAGCACAATAGAATACATCATACATGTCTGCCACTGGCCAGCCACACAAACCATGCGACTACTCAAAGAGGGGAGTGAGGTGTGGCTATTCCTCTCATATCCGCGGAGCAAGTCCTCCAACCACGGCTCCCGGCAGACATGGCCATCAAAAGGCAGTTTTGAGATCGACAGGGTGGTAAGTGATAGCGACGAGCACCACGTATCATTGCATGAACTTCGTACGTCAGATCTGGAGCTTCGAAACGCTCCAAACGGACGACAGCACACAGCAGTCACATCTGCCTGTCTGCAAAGTGGAAGCGACGACGGGACAGAGAAGACATGTCCAGGCGCCTGCGCGATCGGGTGTGACTTCCTCAGCTTTGCTTGCCTTGCGCTTCTCTCACCCGCAGTTACACTTGTACATTGTGTCTGTCTTCTCACGCAAAGACCACCTCTCACAACTCACAAGAGCTGGGGTACATGAACATGGTAAGAAAGAAGCATTGACAGAAAGAGCGGTGAACCATAACTACATACATCTCTTAGCACCTTGCTCGTGTGCGGCAGAGCAGAGCAGCAACAAAAGTAGACAAGAAATGTACTTTTGCGAAGCTCTGGATGGCGTAGCGCGTGTACATACTGTAAGCCTCCGCTCCACCCCCTGTCTATCTCCACGCGTTAGTAGCGATAAACCTTTGCCCGCCTCGAAATTTGCGTAGACGCTCTCAAAAATGATTCCGTCATTACACAAATCTGCAAAACGATATCCGCACATCACTCTTGGTGATGAACATGTTGAACGTTGATCACTCTTCCTGTGGCTGAACCCAAGAGAAGAACTAGAACACAGCAAACCTTTCCCAAGAGTTCAGCGGGAAGGAAGGAGCCACCAAGCGTTTGCCTTTTGCTCAACCTAGATACGGTTTTCCATTAGAGTGGCTGTTGACCAATAAGAAGAGATAGAGTTTTGGTGAAAACAGGACAGATTCAAACGTTAAGCCAGCTTTCACCACTTTGTCTTTCGGAGTGCGCGAAGGATTCGAACTGTCCACATGCGGAGTAGAAGCTCCGAAAGGTCGAGAACCATTTGCATGTGCAAGAAGATAAGAACGATTGTTCGTCAATTAATGAAACATAAAAACGAACATCTTCGAGGATCATTGTCTTGAAACATGTGATTCCTCTTCTCGAGAAATGCTCGACATTGTCTTGGGGTTGTGATCTGCTGCCTGCGTATTGCGAACATTGCTCCACCTTTGCCATTCCAAATATTTGACGTGCCTGTGTGGAGAAGCAGTGAGATCCATCAAGTACACGCTTCGAGATGAGGTGGCACGCTGTCTTTCTCGAATTTGATTGCATGCGTGGCATGTATGCAAGCATAGACTCATGCAAAGTCCCACAACACTTCTCGTCAAAAAGGTATCCTGTTCGTTTGACAGATTTCGCGCCGAGTGCCGTGGCCTCTTTCCACCTCAGCAGCTTATTACATGCTGCTGCATAGAGTATCTGCGTTATGAGCCCTGCAGAAAAACAGAAGCATGCAGATGTGACATGACCGATCCCTCTTTTTTCGCCTCATTTCTCCGATATCAGAGCCATGCGCCAAGTAACAGTAATATGTATGTTCGTTTTCTTTGACGTGCCCGCCCCCGGATTACATGCATGTAGCACGATACGATACGCCCATGCCTGGCGTGATCGAATGAGGGGCAAGTCTGGGGATAGCTATGGTGCATGCCTTGCAGAGGGCGACTGTCGACGTCGTGCCGCATTGTACCGAGTCCGGAGGCGAACAAGATGGTATTGCTTCCTAAAACGAAAGAAGTAGTGAGACGATACCACTGATCTGAGAACCACGTGATACGTAATTACTGTGGTGTCTCCTTGCTGAGTTTCTGGTTGTGTGTCTCCAGCACCTTTTCAAAAGAAGTATGTAGAACCAGTTCTTGCGATCGGTTCGTGTGAGGCTGGGTCTCCTTGTGTTGCCTCCGACGCCTTGAAGAACTCGGGGAGATCCCCTACACGCACCGGTGAAGAGACGAGGTGGTTTGGACTAGGTTGGAGAAACATCTTCTGGGAAAGCGCTTACAAGGAATTAGGTAAGTGAATCGTGCTGGCAGCTGCCTTTCTACACATGTAGAATTCAAACCAATGGAACGAATGTGTTCATGATATACATTCTACCAGACACCATTGTCAGCAGTCAAGGGCAATCCAGCCAACATCAGCAGAGAGATTTCCCAAATCTCGTCGAGACCAGAAACCACAAAGTGAAGCATTGCAAAGTACAGTCGATGCCTTTTGGGAGCCGGGCTTGCAACACTGACAAGCTCGATAGTCGGCGTGTCCAGCCTCAAGAGTATCGTTGCAGATGTACGTAGATAACGTCGGCGCGAACCCCGATACCGTTGACCACTGCCTTGCGAAATCCGTTCACAAGAGACTCAAGAGCCTCGCACCATCGTAACTCGACCATACTGATCTTGCACAGGTCTGTCATTCCCAAAACAATAATACCTAACACGTCACAGTCAGCCTACCAGCCTTCAGGAATAACGTACAGCGACTAGGGGACGAAAGAAAAAGACTACAACATACCCTCGATGGTGACCGCGAGTCACATTGAAGCCCGAAGGCCAGATCTTTTCCATCTCCAACCTGTGCTTGCTTTTCGGCTTGCCCTCTGCCAATCTCATCTTTTCGAAGAAGACATAGGCCGCATAGAAAACACAAGAGGTGTTTCCGGTGTCAGCGCCTTTGTAGCCGCGGAACTTTGTAAGTTGGCCAGATTGAATTTGAGGAGGTTTCTTGTCGCCATGATATTGGGCGAGCAGATCGCGGCAGAATTGAGCTCCTGTTACGCCAGGCTTGCGTAGGTGAGCAGCTGTCTTNTTGCGTATCTCGTCGCAGCTGTCGTAGACTTCTACCGAGTCGGTTTCTTCTCCTGTTGTTTTGTGATGTCTTGTCAGCCGATCTCTAATCAAGAGCATTTGAAGACAAGTCTTATGATTACCATCAAGATGGATGTTACTTATGTCAGTAGTCTCGGCATTCTTCTTTCCAGATGAAGATGCAGTAGAAGATGAAGCAGCATTCGCAGCAGTCTTTTGCTTTTTGGCAGGGATCTTCAGGCCAGCCATCTCTCTCTTCCTGAAAAACTCCCAAGCATTTTGATAAGTATCACAGCCAGCACCAGCAAACTTGCCGTTCTGAGACATGAATCTTCTATACGCATTCTGCGATACACCAATGGCATCACAGAATTGACCAACTTTCATCTCACCAGCTTCGAGGAAGCGGTTGATCTTGCCACGGACTACGGTGCAAGAGTCCATTGGCTGGCCATCAGGAATATCATAGTCGTCAAGATTGATGGTTGGTAGCTCGGATGAACCAGCAGATTTGCGTTTGGTGCCTGCTACTTGGGCAGGTTGTGAAGGGGTTACGGTGACGTGCTCAGCAGTGTTTCCCGTAGGAGCAGTCAAGTGAATAAGATATTGATCCATTATGTTCGCGAATTCGAAGATAATTAATCGAGGAAGACGCGACGGTTGACGCGTGAAGAGAAGGAAGTCCGAGGATGCGGGGATGTCGAGGTCAAGCTGACCAATGGCTCCGAGCATGAATCCATGACCACACGCCCTTGACGTCTTTGCCGCAACCATCAAACTTTCAATCTTCTATCGCATCTTCACAGCAACCACATATATCAGCAATGGCACCATCAAGAGCAGTCCTCCGCAGCGCATCCACCGCTTTCGCCGCACTTAAAACCTCGTCCCGCACATTGGCCCCAGCAGCTCCCGCAGTGCGACAATTGCATCACATCTCGTCTTCGTCTCGCACACTCTTAACACGCAACACACTCTGCGCAACCCTCACAAGCACACCTAAACGCCGCTTCAACTCTTCAGATGCATCAGCCGAGGCTCCCTCCGCAGTCGAAGCCCCCGACTACCTAGACGAAAAAGAACTCCACATCTTCCAAAAGCTGGCCGCAGAATTGTCGCCCACAAAGCTAGAGGTACGAGAACCAATAAAAGGTGAAGCGCAAAGAGAGCAACCGAGATTGACTCAATAGCAGGTTCAAGATGTTAGTGGTGGTTGTGGAAGCATGTACGCATTGGACATTGTGTCTGCAAAATTCAAGGGCATGTCAGTGATCAAGCAACACCGTTTGGTCAATGCTGTGCTCAAGGACGAGATTAAGGGTTGGCATGGCGTGCAGCTAAAGACAAAAGCCCCTTGATCAAGAGAAACGGCACGAGAGGGATAAAAGAGGAGACGCCAACAAGGCCAACAAGACCAACAGAAAGGCGCAACATGGCGCACAAGGCAGTGTCTCTGCTGTCGTCGGGAGCTTCGGCCAACGTATACAAAAATTGGCGTGCTGGCACATTTACTGCGCTTGGAGACCATGAGGCGCATACAAGACATCAGGTATGTCATGTTCTTCTGTATACTACTGTAAATTATCAAGCGAAAGTCACATTCACAACTTCAATGGAAGTGGAATCTGGAGTTCCCTCTAGACACATCAGGGGACTATGCCTAAACGCAGAATGGAAAAGTGGTCATGTGTCATTAGTTGATCATCCATCGTGCATGCATCTCCTTATGCATTGCCAGAAAAATCAAAACGGTCAACTTGCAAATCGCTCCCAATAGCTGCATGCAACAACGATTGCTTTCTCTGATGTTTCCAACGACGACCTTGCTTCTTTCATTCATGCATGCAACAACGATATCGCTTCCCCATGCTCCATGCAACGATGCTATTGCTCCCCTTCCTGCAACAACGATAGACATTCCGGGGAACACGCATCCAAGATTACTGCACCCCATACTCTCTCCATACCATGCATCGCCGTTGTGCTCTGCACTGCACGCAAAACATGTCCACTGCCTCCACCTCTTCCCTTCATCACACGACCCTAACGTAGTTGCCCGGGAACAATCCTTTGTCTCCACAATACGCGCCCCAGAACCAGTCTCCGTTGATATCTTCCACCTCAGTGATAATCGCATTGCGCGGGAAACGCAGTTCATCTCGCACCTCATCGCCAGGGAAGTACGACCAAAGAGCTTGGACCCGGAGTCCTATACCTCCAGAAGGTGGAAACACGTGTGGGGAAGAGGCTAACATCCTGGCTGCAGAAGCGGTTTTGGCAGTGCCGTCGTGTTCTTTCCAGCGCCAGTGGTCTTGGTGCTGTTGCTGTGTGGCTGTGGCTCTGGTGGGAATGTCGTCTTTGAGGGCCCATCCGCCGACTATTTCTTTGACTACTATGCGCTGGGGTCCGCCTTCTCTGTCTTCATAGCCGACGATGCTCATGCGATGCGAGCGGAGGCAGCGGCGCCAGCCCATGGGTCCGTTGTCTCGAGCTATTTTGCCTGTGTTGACGAGCGAGTGGTAGCAGGAGTTGCAAATGTCGTAGTTGCCATTGTTGCATGTGTTGCAATGGAAGCGAGCGTGCGAGGGAGGGATAGAATAGTGGCAAACGTCGCAGTAGGAAGACAGTGATATGGGGACGTAGGAGGCCGGATCCGGTACGTGTGGAAGCAGAGGCATAGACGCTGAAGCAACGTTAAAGTGAAAGGCAGAGCTTGTTGGTGTCAGAGGCGATTGGTATTGCTCAGATGGCGAACGTCGTTGTGGAGAGTTTGGCGCTTGAGAGACATGCGCTACAGAGGTCAGTGGATGGATGCAGTGTTTGCCTTGCTGGACACAGGCATTGCAGAAACCCCATGCTCCATCGTTGCATGTATAGCAATGCCAGTAACAAGTATTCGCGAATGCTTGACAGCCATCACAGAACAGACCTGAATCTAGACGTGCAGTAGTTTGGTCGTATCGTCTCGCAGACAGAATGTGAGGTGGGTCATGGTCCGAGTGGTCAGAACTAAAAGCAACCTGAGGATGGTAGCGAGTTACAGCGGCACGACCAAAACCATGCCAGTTCAGACAGCCTTTTCCTGCGCGATAACATCCCAAACACAGATTGAAGCTGCCATTAGAGCATTTGCCACAATTATAATGGAGCGAGTACTGTATGTCAGATTTCTCGCATCTCGAACAACTGATCGAAGGAGCAGCCACATCTGTTACCTCCTGTTCTCGAGGAAAAATGGGGAGAGCGGGCGAGCTATGGTTCAGAGGTCGTGAAGGTGAGTCAGGAGCTAGATGACGGTGCCGATCGACTGCTGTGTCGATTCGACGAGAGTGATGAGCTGAAGCAGCATGGCGCCTGGCTGGGGAGGCTTGAGCTTCGACCGAAGCCAAGGCATGCTGGGTAAGTGTTGTGGTAGTTGAAGTAGTCCGACGGTGGGTTGAGCCTGAAGGAGAATGTCTATGGGCTGAAGCAGACGGAGAATGCCTGTGTGCTGAGGAGTGAGGAGAACGACGATGAGCAGATGTTCGTGGAGAGGGACGAGCAGCAGAACGGTCACGATTATGATGACGGTCACGACGGTCTTGACGGCGGCGAGAACGATATGCTCGCGCGATGGAGTCAGTAATGGCGTCTTCTTGATCTGGAGTCAGATTGTTGAGATCGACACCATCCAAAAGGCCATGGTCAATGAGACGCATAATCTCGTCTTCCATATCACCCAAGTCCATGTCTGACTGGCTCAGCAGTGAGCGTATACTGGACTGATGCGACAAAGCATCGACTTGGGCTGATCGGGGCGAGTCGTCACGACGGCGATTCTGGCGTGCGTGCCTCTGGTGTTCCGCAGCAGTTGGACGGTTCCCAAGACCCACGTCGTTGAGACTCAGCTCGCGCGCCTGAGCCAGCATCTGTTGTTCCTCCTCATCCTCATCATCCGATACCTGTCCAAGGTCTACTGATGGTATAACATCATCTCCAGGCTTGTACGTCTTGTCCATATCCAGCTTCTCCTGAGCCGTCTTCCCTTTGTCAGGGTGAGCCTGTAGGAACATGTCGAGCAGGGTGCTGAGGGTCGCATTCGGCCTCGTGTCGCGCACGACAGCTCGACATGCTGGGCATGAGTATACATGACTCCTCGACGAAGCCTGCCATGCGAACCATTCTTTCAAGCAACTTCCACAGAAGCTGTGAAGGCAGTCGAGCAACGTTAAAGGCCGGTAGAGGACGTCGGTGCAGATCTGTCACAAACCGTTAGTCCCTCGCTGTCGACAGCTCAGCCGCCCTCTCCGATCCCTACATATCACTTACCGAGCACGACAACTCTTTTCCAGATCCAAATCGCGCCCTCCTTCGCTCACTTTGTCTGTCATTTCGACTGCACTTGCTTTCTCGTCACTCTTGTCCAACCTTCAGACGACGCTAATCGTGGGGTCGTATCTCTATTTATTACGTCGGCCCGCTGCCAATAACCTTGCTGATCATGCTGATGATTTTCTGTTTCACTACCGGTGTCTTGGAAGCTGTCTTGCTCTGCGCATCTTTTCCGCTCCATTTAATCCAGTACGCTCTACTATTCTGTTCAATCTGTTCCCGAGTTCTTCATTGTTTCCAAGCGTTGCGTTCACCCAAGGTTCACCAAGGTTCACCCTAATCCACTTTTTCCGGCAACCCGACCATCCGTGCCACGACTCATGTCTCAAACTTTCGTCCTTTGATATTAATACCGAAGTCGAGATTTTGCTATATCGTCTCTTCTATCTTCGACCGTGCCCGCTCGATCAATTTCTCATGTCCTGCCTGATGGATCCCATTGGTCCTCGTCGGCACCCAGACTCCCACATCCATGATCTTGCTGCAGGTCAATCTATCTAACTTGCACGTTTCTCATACAGTACGTGCGTACGTGTTGATCTAGATAGCCGAGCAAGCCTCTTCTCCCGTCCTTCTCGAAGACACTGCCGATAACTGCTCGCTTACACACCCACCAGCAATGGAACCCCCTTCGTGTACATTCCTCGTCTGTGCTTGCTTCGCACTTGATCTGAATATATGAACCGTTCCGTTAGTATGAAAGGTAGGTCCTCGCTGTCGTCTTTCTTGCTCGCTCCAGTCTCTCTCTTTGCATCTCATTCCATCTATCGTTATGGCTCCTTACGCTGCTCTACTGCAACTCTCCCTTTTGGGTCTTGCTGGCCATGCCTCGGCCGCTGCCATTGACACTCGTTCTCTCACTCCCTATGCTCCCGTCTCAGCAAGCTGCCCTAGCACTCCCCTAGTTCGTACTGCCAACAGCCTAGGCTCAGGTGAAGCTGCATACATTGCTGCTCGTAAACCTCAGGCCGACAGTGCTCTCGCTGCTTGGTTGCAAAAGACCGATTCTACTTTCGGTACCACAAACCTACCCACTGTTGGATTGGTGTTGAGCGGTGGTGGTTACCGTGCCTTGCTTTCTGGTGCTGGTCTCATCCAGGGTCTGGATGCTCGTGATTCCGATCTCTCTACTAGTGGTCTCTACCAGGCATTGACTTATGAGACATCTCTTTCCGGAGGCGCATGGTTCTCAACTTCATGGACCGGTCTGAACTGGCCTACTGTTTCGTATCTGAGGGACAACCTTTGGTCTCAAGCTTTTGCCGACTCGCTTCTGGTGCCTGCACGTCTCTTGTCTGCTGTAAGTTAAACCGAAGGTACGAACACCACGACTAGTGCCGGCGTTCTGCCTCAGTCTGCAAGTGAAGTCTCTGGAATGTGTTTCGATGAAACACCATCCAGGACGGCGTCTCGCAGAGTTGAGCGTATTCGTTTAGCCAAGCCGTGGTGTTCCCCGTCTAACCTTTTGACATCTTGCTAATCGTACCTTCGCTTTAGGTCGCATATGCCGAGATCGTAAGTCTTTTCGAAACTGCTCTGCATACGTATGATTGACACTCGACCAGGTCAAAGACATTGTAGACAAGGCCAAGGCTGGCTTCCAACCCACTCTTATCGATGTTTACGGCAGATTACTCTCGTACCAGCTTCTCAGCACCAACTCGCAAGACCTTTCGACTGATGGCGATGTCACAAAGACTTTTTCCAGTGTTATCACTTCTTCCAACTTCACCAGTCATGCCGTGCCCTTCCCTATCATCACCGCTCGTGGCGTTAACAATTTTGATGGAGAGTGTGTTGCCCTTGCCAACGGAACACAATATGAATTCGTATGTTTCTTTGAACATGCTGGTCTTGATCTTCGCTAACCTCTTACTAAATAGACTCCCTACGAATTCGGATCTTGGGACTCGAACATCAATGCCTTCACCCAAACCGCTTACCTTGGATCGAAATTGACTAATGGTGTCCCTACCGTGTCTGGCAAATGCATTAAGAATTACGATAACTTGGGCTACGTAGCAGGAACCAGCTCAGCTCTCTTCAACAATATCATAGGTTGCGGGACTGTCCCTGCCCAGAACAATACCCAGTCGCTGGTCCAGACCCTTGAAGCCATTGTGCTCAACGCCCATAGCCCTGTCGAACGCGATCTCTACGCCCCTTACCCTAACCCTTTCTACAAGTACCCAGCCTCCACACTCACCAACGCTCAAACCGAAATCGAACTTGTGGATGGTGGTGAAGGCAACTCAGCCATGCCTTTCTGGCCTTTAATCCAGCCAGAGCGCAATGTAGACGTCATCATCGCCGCCGACAATGGCGCAGACACCTCCGACGACTTCCCCTCTGGCACTGCCATCGTTGGCGCCTACGAACAAGCCCAAGCACAAGGACTCACTCGCATGCCTTTCGTCCCCACTCTTGATGTCTTCCAATCTGCAGGCCTCAACAAACATGCCGTGTTCTTTGGTTGCGATACCCCCGATACGGCTACTGTGGTGTACCTGCCCAACAACAACTACACCTACGCTTCCAATATCCAGACTGTCATTATTCAGACTAGCGAGGCTCAAACGGCTGGTATCATTGCTAATGGCAATGCTATTGCTACCCAAGATGGGGATGCTCAGTGGCCTGTTTGTCTTGGATGTGCGATTATGAAGAAGACGGGAGCTGCTTTGCCTGATGCTTGTGACGCTTGTTTCGACAAGTATTGCTATTCGCAGTAGATTTTGTGAATGTGGGTTGAGAGAAAAGGATGTTATGATTTTTAATGTATAGTAATGAAGAAAGTCTTGTTTAGCTACGACTCATCCTCCCTGATTTGTGTCTTTGCGTTCATCTCTTGTTGAGAGTTAGAGAATGTTTTGGATCTGTTGTTTTCCATCACCATGTGCGGTTCAGAGGGTCAATATGGCTTTGATTGGGTCGATATGAAATGTTTGGGGTAGCAACCAAGATACCGGGCAACCAGAAATATATCAAATGGCGGAGGTCTAGATTAAACTGATGCAAGCCCACCAAGCCATGTCAATTTCAGTGTCTCCATCTGTTTCCAGGCAATCACCATGTTGATGCGCGTTTCTTCAGAAACACCAGAGGAGAGTCTTGGGAAAATCAGAGCTTGCGATGAACAATCGGGACAGCCGGACGATCAGGAGTCAGGTGTGATACCACTATACTACCACAACTGCGTGATTCGGCGGGTGAGCAATCACAACAACTAAGAAATGGCACAAAGATCGGAATCAAGATCTGGATTGGAACAGAGAGTGAAAGATGACCCGCTGGGCCTTGATTCCGGTGTCTCGCTTTCGTTTAGCACCAAGGAGATCATGACACTTCAGAGCAAGTGTGTACAAGGACACAAATCAGGGTGTGTGTCAAGAATGCAGTCACGATGGTATGATCAACCTTCGCTAGATTACTCGGTCCTTAATTCCGATGGTTCACTTAGTGTTCCTCGTCCAATACTGTCATCAACCTGCTTTTTCCTACGTGTATCTTACGATTGATCCAGTGAAGAAGAGCCGAGAGGCTGAAAATGTTGGTTCGAAAGTATGTATTATTGTAGAAGAAGGCCCATTTTGATAGGCGATGAAGAGTGGCAGCTTTTTCCGAAGCAGCTTGATGCAATCGCATAAAATGTGCAGTTAGCTGCAATCGACAGTATGGTTCGTGGTCGCGTGTCCGGCAGCGTTGGGTGAGTTCAGGCGGGTGTGATATAGCGCCGGAATGTAAGACTCGTTCGTCGGTCATCGAGACAGAGAGCAGGAATGCGTGGCGTCTCAATCGTCGTTCAGCAGGTCCTCGAGGTCATCATCATCCCAACCTCCCTTTCTTCTCGACACAGTTACAGTCTCTTTCTTTTCTTGCTGCTCGGACATGGCACCAAGGATGTCCTTGAGTTGAGCCTCTGAGATCTTCTGTCTGAGTTGACCACTGCGTGCCAGCATGATGAGTCTGTTCTCGACGTCTTCGGCACGCGATGCCTTGACAAGGCGAATACGTCCTAGGCGGTCTGCGGCATCTGGTTCGAGGATTTGCGACAGAATGCTTGCGCGTGCTTCGGCTATATCATGGTTGTGTTAGTCGCAAGAACGGCAACAAGAGAAATCAAGAAGCTTCCTCACCTTCACGCTGCTGCTTCTGCTCTTGCTCGCCTCCCTGGCCGCCCTGACCGCCCGACTGGCCCTGCTGCTGCTGCATCTCTTGCAGGCGCGCACGCCTAATCTACCACGCCAAGTCAGAGGAGCTCTGTATCAGACTCACATATCGTGTCTAGTTACCTGTTCAAGATCGGCGTCACCCATGATTCGATATGCGTGTTTTCTTATCTGTGTCGAGACGAAAAATCCCCCAGAGCTTTGATTGTCCTGAAACCCCTCGCTGCCGCCGCCAAACACCCCGCCAAATCTGATGCCAAGCGCCGCCCTGCTTGTCCATATCCAGTAGTGTTAACCTGCCTTTGACGTTCTGCCACTTATCGTGTGACTGTGACTTATCGTGAGTGTCCTCCAATCGCTCCATCGCCATGGCTTGCTACGTACATGGCCCTAAATCAGGCAAGGTAAGTCGGTACACGAGGGGGCTTCTGTCAGTCTTCCTGAACTCTCCGTACTCGGTTCCTATCTCTTTTGCTTTCTTATTAAATCGCGTATAAAGCATCTCATCATCCTCGTCACTGTCGTTTGTTTGACTGTGTCCTCAAACCGTTGCACTTGCTGCTGTGACTGTTTCCTGTTAATATCTCTATATCTCCATATTCTCAACCTACATCTCCTTCCCCTACTTGACGGTCAGCAACATGCCGAGTCTGTATCTGTACATCCTCGGGATTGCCTTCGTCATTGTCACTGTCTCATACTTTGCTCCAAACGAAAAGCGAAGAACTTTGCTTCTGAGCAGACTTGGCCTAGACAGGCAACACAGGCTACCATGGGCACCTCAAACATCTTCATCTCCAGCAAAACAAGCGCTATCCGAGAAACCCACTCTGTCTGCTGGCAAAGAATACAAAGACACTCTCCCTCCTTGTAGACGCCCAGCTCTGGCAGATCTCACCGACACTCGCTTCAGCGTCGGTGGGAAATCAGGAAAGGGCTTGAGTGAGCTACCACACGACACCACCAAATCCCTTCCTCATGATACAAATGTCTTGGCTCCGCAATACAGGAAATATGCTACGCCTACTGGCTTTACTGTTGAGGAGATCAAGGCTTTGGGAAACTTTCCGGATTATGCTACGTTGAGTGGTGTGCCGCTGCCTGCACCTTATGCCAATTTCGACATCAAGACCGCTTTAGCTAGACCATACCGACCTTTCCGCTGGGAGTATCACCAAACAATGTGTAAGTGTACACATCTGATTCTGACTACACAGACACTAACAACCTTCTACAGCANNTACAAGAAGCTAGAGCCAGACTGGTGGCTCGAACTCGACAAGACCTACGCCTCCCGCATAAAACAACGTCAAGACCTGTATGCAAAGCACGGCCCAGAAATCATCCAATCCCTGCCCGGTTCCGAAATCGCATGCAAAGAACTCATGGAAATGGTTCTTCAATTCCTGTGTTCTCGCTACCCTACCCACTTTTCCATCGACAAGCAAAAACTAATCTTCTACAATAATATCTTGAGCACGACAACAAACCTCAGAGACATGGATCCGCTAGAGGTGTTGTTGAACAATATACCCGAGGACTTTGCTATTGTGCTCAGAAACCCTGACACGGGGTATTATAGCTTCCGTGCTGGGGTGATTTGCAGTTCGTTAGGATGGAGTGTAGGCACAAAGATTGGAAAAGATCTCAAGGATATCCATGCAGGGATCCCAGACTACAAGGAGAAGATGGAGTTTTCGATGGATAGGTAAGTTCCTCAAAACATACTCTGTCCGCACTCCGCGGTTCCAAGAGAGAAACTGCTTACATTGAGCGAACAGCNNAGATTCTTCGCCAAACTGCCCACAGACAAACCCATCGAACGCGGTTCCTGGGGCCTAGAAATCGGGACTCCATTATTCATGCCACCCTCTTCTCCCCACTCTACCTTGCGCAACACCCAAAACCCTTCCCACAATCTTTCCGACTGCAATCTGCGTGTAGACTGGCAAACCCTACGTCGCCTCCCTCTTTCAGGCGGTATAGTGTTTAACTTCAAATGCTTGTTTACTCCTGTTGTAGAGTTGGCGAGCGAGCCTTATGTACCAAGTTTATTGGGTAAGGTACTCAAAGAGGGAAAGAAAGAGTTGATGGAGTACAAGGGCACGTGGCATACTGAGCATATTGTTGTTCCTGCGTTGGAAGAGATGGAAAGAGAACAAAAAGCCAAGGGTGTTGTGGAGGAGGGATGGGAGGTTAGGACGTTGGATGAGTACCCTTGGTTTCCTGGGTGGGAGGATAAGTGGCAGAAGGAGCAGGGGTTCTGAAATATGAAAGGTGGTGGGTGTGATGAATGAATGATACTCTTGTCAGATAGTGCCGGGTATGGGTTCATAGGTTCAAATGCATATCATGAAAAGAACAAAGACATCTAAAATTCGTTAAAAACTCCATGCATGTCTGTCTGGTATAAACAGATCCTTATTGTACGTCCCTGCCCTTCCTCCCACGATCACATTTACTCAATTGCATATCATGCAAGACCCATATCATTCACTTCCATCATTTCGTTGGATTATCACATCAATGCTCTCCCTTCCTCTCCTGATGTTCCAGTTCCTTGACATACCTCACAAAAGCCTTCTTATGCACCAATCCTGCAAACTTGCCTCCATCCAGCACACACAAATACCTCAGTCCCAGCTTCGAAAACAGCTCAAAGACCAACTCGAGTGGAGAACGTATATCCAACGCCATGGGGGATGGGTCCACACAGCTGGAAAAGTCTACCTCGCCATCTCTCAACCCACGTCCGATCTCTGCATCCGAGGATTCGAGGATATGCAAGGACTCGGAGGGAGAAGAGAGCNNGGAGTCTTGGGGGAAGGCGCGAGTGGCAGGGCGACCTAAGTAGCACATCGCATCTTGCTCGTTTTCTTGGAGATGGTCGAGTGCGAACTCGAGATCCGGGCCTGGGATTATACCGACCAGGACGCCGTTCTTGAGGATGGGGAGACCGCCGTCAAGTTCGCCGGCCATGTGCATGTATTCGAGTTTACTACGCAGTTGGTGCGAAGGCACGAATGGTGAGGACGAAACGTCGATCAGGCGTTTAGGGTTCGATTCATGGGTTATGTCGCCCAGGTCGCCAAGGAAGGGTGGGTGAGACTTTGCGTCGAGATAGGGGTACGAGTTCATGTCGGTCAGGAGATCNCTGTTTCGGAAATTGTTAGCTGAGTCTGCTGGAAATAAAATCAGAAACGATCGAAACGATCGATCACTCACGTAAATGCTCAGAGGCTCCAGGGCATCAGCTGTCCATTTTGAGACCAGAACGCCAATCGAGAAGGGAAGGACATGCTCTAGGGATCCTGTGAGCTCGAACAGGATGACTGCCAGAGTGACCGAAAGTCTCGTGACACCCGTCATAGTAGCTCCGGCTGCCACAAGCGCGTATACTCCTGGTACGACACATGACTCTGGGTTGCCGTTTGCAGGGCAGTTTCCGAATATTTCCAATTGTGGGTAATTCAAGGTGATGTACTGCACTGTGTGACCAACAATGCGACCAAGGAGACCACCGACCACCATCGAGGGCACATAGATACCTGCAGGCAGTTTAATACCGAATGTGACCACCGTCAATGCCGACTTGATCACAAATGCAATGCAAAGATAACCAATGACGTTCGGGATATTCTCCTCAGTAGGACAAAGTCCATAACCAGAAGAGCTGAACGAACTGCAAGGGCTTGCCAGCTCAAACAGCAGTTCCGAAACAGGGATCCTGGTGTACCTGTTCCAGAAGCTGACGAGTCCAGTGACCAAAGCGACCAAGAAGACCTCGAGGATTGGATACTTCTTGATGCTGGGAATACGTCGGAAAGTGGTTGCCCAGAGACGTGATGCCTTGATGAAAAGTGCTCCAAGCGTGCCACCAAGGACACCCAAAAGTATGAAGATGATCATCTCGAAGAATTGCCAATCTGTCAAGTAGCGAACCTCGAAAAGGACAATCTTGTTGGTGCCGTAAGGATTGAGGAACTTCAAGGATAATGCTGCAGCCNNTATAGATAGATTGATTAGCTTTCATACATATCAGCGGGTTCTCGAATGACTTACGATGCAGCAGAAGAAGGTTCGGAACAAAGTCTTGGGTGGGAAATAGTAGCTGACTTCCTCCAAGCTGAAGAGAACACCTCCGATGGGAGAACCAAAGGCAACTGCAACACCACTNTCTCGTCTTTTGGCGTCATTCACATGATACTTTTCGAACATGCGGCATGCGACGTTACCGACGCAGGTCGCAACGTGGACAAATGGTCCTTCTTTACCGATCGAGAGACCGGAAGCAACACTGAGGATCAGGCCAAAGGTTTTGAAGACAAGAGTTCGCAAACCGAGGTATCCTCGGATGATGAAACCGCTAAGAATGACTTTGACCTCAGCGACACCACTTCCAGCAGCTGGGTAGTATACCATAGGAGGACGTTGGGCAGCTTCAGCAAAGCGACGCGTAGGACTGCCCGAACTGTCCTTCCGTGCTTCGGCAGTGGTTGGGGCTTGTGCGGCAAGATTTTCGTCGAGTGTAGATAGACTGACAGCCGAGCTGACAACAGTCTTTGTCTGCAATGTGACCAAGCAGGCTGCCAGAGACAGAGCTATCACCCAGAAGACGAAAGCTGCATAGTCGAACCAGCCATTTTCTTCAGGGCCAGGAGTCAGACGCAATGACCAACGAGACCATTGATCGCAGGTACTAGCACCTCCACAACAGCTTCTCTTTCCATAGTACCATTTGTACGAGCAATAGCCTGTCTTCAAGTCGAATATGAAGGACTCGGACACATCGACGATGTATGCGATACCAGCAGTGACGCATCCAATAACAGCTACTAGTATCCAGCCCTGAGCGGAATCGAACAGACCTTCAGCTCTGCCCCTGAAGCCTTTACGGCTACGCAACTCTTTCAAGCGAAAGGCATCGCTTATGCTGTCTTGTACCCAGTCTGTACTCGTATACTGATCGTACCAGACGCGGTCGTCGTAGTAAATGGACTCGGATAGTTTTTGGTGGTCATCATCGTCGTCATCGTCTTCTGCGATCGGTGTTAGCAAAAATATCAGTGCGCAGGAAGCAGAGTGACGACCTTCAAGCCGGTTTGCTTCAGTGCCAAAGGCTTTTACGACTCTCGAGGTGAGGGTCCCTAGGCGTCTTTCGGCGCTCGGAGCGCTGTTCCTCCTTCGGAACGTCTTCTTAGGAGACTGAGGCGCCGATGCTATGGCACGATAGGCTGGGCGGCCATCAGGGTTGTCGAGCAGAGAAGCGTGATCATCGAGGACTAGGCGTGAAGGCAGTCGGCTCTTCAGATCCCAGTCGGAGGCGAGGCGGCGGCCATGTCTTCTCACAGTGCTGCCTCTGCTGCTCCTTGGAGTAGGGGGGNNAGTGCTATCTTGGTCGAAAGCGTCTGCGTCGTACGCATACGAGGCTACAGATTTCGGCATTAGGGGTTAAGATGGTTGCATATGCATGTATGTACGAGGAAGCACCACATCACCCAGAGATGCAGGATCGAGGGTGTTGGACAAGATGTAGGCCGCAACTCGGAGATGACAGAGCACCAGTGCCCCCTTGACCGCTGGCCATGCCTCGAGTCGCTACCTGACTATCAAATGCCCTCTGACGCGATGGCCTGGTGGATCCCTTGGCACATGACCCATTCCAGTCGATCTGGGGTGCTCATGACATGCGAGACGTCTCAAGGGGCTCTCCTGGCTGGGCTGGCTTATCGTTCATGCTGCCAATTGTCTCCGGCCGTCAGATATTCTTACCCTTCTTGCTGCATCCCGCGCCCAAAGGTGCAGATGACCCTACCGTTTAAGCTTTAGGACCCTGCGCTTGCACTGCCAAGCCCCATCAGAGCGGTGTGAATGGACAGCAGGCTGAACGTCACCTCCATATCTCAGCCTACTCGTCGTTTTCTCTACATGCTACTTCTCCTTTTCCTGTCCTCCGTCCCTTGCCGTTATTGTGTAGGATATCTTGAGCCGCTGTTCCTCCCTGCGGTTGACAGCTTGGTTCTATTCAACATTATGACTTGAAACATCACGATTCCGGTGTTAAGGAGCGAGACAATGATAGGCAATTCCTTCGTCTGTTTTATCCGATGAGCCGCCAGATCCCGTGTATAGTATGCTCCACTTGCCCTCCACAACTGCCATCTCATTGCGCTAGTGCTTTGTACCTCTCCTTGTTTGTTTCATCATCGAACGCTGTTCACCATGGAACAATTCATCCTGTTTGGTGACTCTATCACACAACAATCTGCCTCTCAAGCCAAAGGTTTTGGCTGGACACCAGCACTGCAGGATGGTATGCCATTCTAGAAAAATGTCTCGTACTCAGCTAAGCCGTTACAGNCATACATCCGTCGTCTTGATGTAATCAACAGAGGATTCAGGTAGGCATGTCTGGTTTACTCACTTATTATATCCATCTGATAAGTTGCCATCAGTGGATACAATACCACACAGGCTCTAAAAGTCCTGCCTCGCGTCCTCCCAACTCCTGAGCAGGGCCGTATTCGTCTGATGGTCAGTTTGACATGTGATACACCGTGACACTTTACTCATTAGGGCATGCAGACCATCTTCTTGGGTGCCAATGATGCTCGGTTACCAAACACTCCAGGGTTCCCTCAGACTGTCGACCTTGAACAGTACAAGAAGAACTTGAAGGATATCATCAACCACCCTATGCTGCAAGCACACAAGCCTCAACTCATCTTGCTCACACCTCCTCCAGTGGAGGAGAGAAAGACACTGNCTCACGATAAGACAAACGGCATCAATGTCATTAGACGTACTGCTGTCAACACGGCCAAGTACGCAGAGGCAGTTCGTCAGATTGGTCAAGAGTTCAGCCTTCCGGTGCTTGACGTATGGGCTGCATTCATGAAGGAGGCCGGCTGGAGGGAGGGTGAGCCATTACCAGGCTCAAGTGAGATCGAGCAGAACCAGGCGCTTGCCGCTATGCTGCACGATGGTCTTCACTTGAACCCTGAGGGATACGAAATCATCTACAGGGAATTGATGAAGTTGGTTACTGAGAAGCTGCCAGAGCACGCTCCTGACAGTATCCCGTACGTGCTTCCTTCTTGGGATGATGCCGAGGCTTGGAAGGAGTAGAAAATTTATGGAGACATCTAGACATGCATGGAAAACACGGACAGAAGTCATTCCTCTTGTAACACCTAACACAATGCAATGAAGGTAGTGAGAAGAAACGTGTATTAATATAGAGTACAGCGCTCGGACGCTCTTGGTGACGTAGATGGTTTTTCAAGAAAAGAAGAGGAAGTTGCGACGCCCAGCCCTCGACGGAACGGCGTGCTTGGTGTGAGACGTCCAAGACGATTGAGCCTTGATCTGTTTACTTTGTCACTCTCGAACACTTAGACTGGCAGAGCAAGGCGTGCGTCGATACTCGACCATCTCGCCGAACGTTCCACAACAATCTCCATCGGGTTCTCCTCATCATGGCGACGACAGCAGAGTCGACTCCCCTCCTGGGCAAGAAGCCCGATCGTCCTGCTCGCAGCGTTACTTTCAACCCTACCATTGCAACGAGCAGCCCACCGACCCGCAGACCTATATTCCCTTCAGCATCCGCACATTCCACGGGCTCAGTCGCAACCATAAACACTCCGCCGAGAGATGGCAGCCAGCCCATGCTTTCGGCCCTCAACAGCAAACTCCGCAGAAGAAATAGTCAAGGCGCTCCATTGTCGATAGGTCCCGGTATTCCCGCTGCAAAAATCGGTCCTCAACGCACAACAAGGACGGCTCAGAAATTGAAACTCTTACCGAACCCGGAACATGGTGACGATGGTCCTGACGAAGAAAGCGGTCGCGACGTCTACTCGCAATTCACCAGGATAAAAGATCCGACCGCCCGCCGCGATGCTGCAAGGTTGGGCAAGGACGACAGAGATAAATTGCCTCGTGTTACGGCATACTGTACTGCCAGCTCATACCGCATGGAAGATCTGTTACGATTCCTCAAAGGTCGCAAACTTAAGAAGGCCGCACCCAAACAATTCGACGAATGCATCTACACTCCATACCAATACAACGCCAAATCAGAGCCGCAAATCGAAGAAGCCCAGGTTGTGCACTCTACCGCTCAACGACGATTCTCTGACAGTGCTATCGAGGTCGAGGGTAATGCCGAGAGGAGACGGGAAGACTTGCTGGACTTACAGGGCGAGAGTGAAGAATCTGCGATAATAGAGAACCACGAAGCATCGACGTCCAATGAAGCTCTGATAATGCCACAAAACGACACACCCGACTTTGACACGACGGTTCATATCCCCGAAGTCTTCTGCTTTGAGTATGGAGTTGTTGTGATATGGGGCATGTCTGTTCAGCACGAACAGAAATTCTTGAAGGAACTCGCGAGATTCGAAACCGAGAAACTCTCAAAGGATGATATCCAACAAGAGAACTTCAACTTCTACTACACCAAGGAGTACCAAGCTCGAATTTACAACGACTTTATCAGTCTGAGGGAANAGAAGAATTACATGACCAAACTGGCCATCAGTCATGCTTTGGCACAAAGTACANAAGGTTCGTGAATCGACCGAGCGCAAGCAGACACGAGAGACTAATCCACGTTACAGACATCATTATACGAGGACTTGGTAGACAATACAATCGACGTCAACAAGGAGATCCCAGCACAAATCGCACTTACGGGTAAAGTCAACATGTCACGAAAAGAAATCAACATGCAGATTGGAGAACTTTTCATTCTACGAATCAACATTCATCTTCAAGGATCAGTCCTGGATGCTCCGGAACTCATGTGGGCAGAACCGCAACTTGACCCGGTCTACCAGGCTGTGAGAAGCTACTTGGAGATGGATCAGAGAGTGAGTCTCTTGACGGAACGACTGGACGTCATTGCGGATCTGCTGGCAGTGTTGAAGGATCAATTAACGCATTCACATGGTAAGTCAGGCAAGAAAACATGATAGAATCAAGCTGACCTATGATGCANNGGCGAATACCTGGAGTGGATTGTGATTGTGCTGATCGCAGCGGAAATCATGGTGGCTGTGATTAACATTGTGGTCGACTTGTACGCAGGTGTGGATTGAGGAAGTAATGGCAGGTAGCAATAGAGGGGATCAGGGTGATCAGAGTCGCAATGCCTCGTTGCAGGACAATATAGGCATAGTCATAGGCATGAATGAGGAGGTGGGGAAAGGATGATAGCGGTGGTGTATAGACTCGTACTCGTATCGTCTTCTCCGAGACTTATATCCGACAAGTTGAATAACTCTCAGATGCGACGAACGAGAAAGGGGTTCAAGATGGCCGTATGATATAGGGGCATTCGTGTTGTGTAACAGCAACAACGGTTAATACAAGTGTAATGTTGATGTTGTTGGAGCATTGTTGGCAGTTCAGGAGAAGGTGGATCTTGCGATGATGGCTGGACCCTGGGGCACAAGCACAAGCACACGCACGCCCAAGCAGGTCGAACAGCCTCGGTGTCTTCTTGCGGTATACCAACCCAAGTAATTGGTGCGACCTTCGCTTGTTATATTCGGAATAAGAACATGCTCAGTGCCTGGCCTCGATGAGTTGGAACTTGCTCGAGCGCTTCATCGAGTCGGAACACTTCAACCGGGATCCGTCGTTGACTGTGGCCTATCTGGCTCGATACGCCGACCATGTTGGAATCCAATACGTTCTCTGCTCCAAGCTGCGCCAGTTCAGCTATGAAGACATCGAGTTTTTCCTGCCGCAGCTATGCCACCTGGTCATGTCGCTGGACAATGAAAGCATGGCCCTCGAGGACTTTATCCTAGATCTATGCGAGGAGTCGGTGAATGGCGCTCTCCTGGTATGCCGCGCCTAAACAGCATGACTCCTTGATACTCATCGCATCTGCAGANCCTTCTGGCTACTACAGACGTACCTCCGCGACCTCGCCCAAACTCCCACTTCCAACGCTTTCAAGACGTGTCGTCGCATCTACAACCGAGTCCAACGAATCGTCTTTGGTTCATCTGAGCCCGTCCGTCGAGAGAAGATTACCGAGAATGTCCTGCCCGTCACTCTGTTGTCCAGTCTTGTGCTCGGTGCTATAGCTGCGCCCTTCCTCCCCCGTCATGCTGGTCCACTGGCCATAGCACAAGCCAGGAGGCCGCGTCCTGTCGAAGAGACCATCTCCGACAACATACAACCACAGCGCATTTCAAGAAGTCATACTGTTTCAGGCGCCTCTGCTCGCTCGAGAAGGCCTCGTCCTCCTCCACAAGCGACCAAGGATGTTTCGACTCCACCAGGCACCTCGACACCCAAGAAAGCGTCGCGACCCATGTCAATGCTGGTCAAAGATAGCCCGACACCGGCGAAAGAGTCGCCCAGCAACCGCGCCATGGCAGAAGCTTTGCGCGCAACACAAAATAACAAGGCCTTTGCAAGCACATCGTCTCTTCCAGAGCTTCCCTCACAGCCAGCTCCTGAGGCCCCGCGTTTGTCTCGCCAGCATACAGAACACTCTGTCCGCCGCCATTCCGCTAGTACAAAGGCCATCAATCTTGCCAACCTATCGCGTTCACAAAAAGTCCGCATGCTTCGGTCAAACTATTTCCGCAGTCAGACACAGTTCCTCAGTGCCCTTGAAGATATCTCCAATCGATTGGTTGCTGTGCCAAAGCCTGCTAGATTGAGTGCTCTTCGTGCTGAGCTCGCCCTCATTGCCCAGGATTTGCCTGCAGAGGTCGATGTGCCCCTGCTCTGTCCTGCGACTCTTCCAGATGGCAGTGCTAGCCGAAGTCAACATCACCGTATCATCAGGCTCAACCCTGCCGAAGCCACTAGTCTGAACAGTGCCGAGAGAGTACCTTATCTGTTGATGGTAGAGGTCTTGCGGGAAGATTTCGATTTCGATCCTGATTCTGACCAGAATACACAACTTCTTACCAAGCTGGTACTTGAGAAGGGTAAACCTAAGCGTCGTCTCTTTGATATTACAGATGCATCACGAGAATCTGCTCGCTACCAGACTGAAACTACAGTCGAGAACGATAGTGTTTTGGAACCTGCGTCCGGCGATCTGGCTAGCCCTGCTTTGCTGCAAGAATTGGAAGGACATGACACTCCCCGTAACATTTCTAGATCACATACTCCTTCCAACGCCGCTATGTTGAGAGAGCTTCCTCGACTATCCAGCGGTGTGAGCACTTTGTCGTCATTAAGCCTGACGACCCCTCGAACATCTGACCTGCCAATGAGTAGATCTGTCAGTCCCTCACCTTTTGCTTCAGCGGCTGGCCGCTCGCAAGCATCAGACCAACCCGACTTTTCTGCTTTGGCAACTCACATGCGAGCTGCTTCGTCCATGCTCTCACAACTCGACATGAGCAGCTCAAAACGGCCAAAGGCCGAAGTCGCCGCTATCAAAGCGAGAATCATTGCCAGTATGCAAAGTCTGGAAGAGCAGAGTTTCTACACTGACGACACGGCACACGCCACAAACTTTGACGCCATCATGGCTAATGCGAACAACATTGGCTCACATGCAGAGCCAGCCGACATCGAAGACCCGGCCTTGGAAGCTGCAGAAGCAGATCCCAACTTGAGTTCAAACGCAGGTGCCGCACGCATGGAAAACGACATCAAGACCGGAGGCGTACAGCGCAAAGGCGACCGCGACGACCCTTCAGCAGCAACCTTTGGCGAAGCCTGGGAAATGAAGAAAGAACGTATTCGCCGCTCTTCTCCTTATGGCTGGATGAAGAACTGGGACTTGATTTCCATGATCGTAAAGACCGGAGCGGATTTACGTCAAGAAGCCTTTGCGTGTCAACTTATCGCTGTGTGTTCGAAGATCTGGGCGGAAGCTGAGTGTGACGTTTGGGTTAAGAATATGCGTATTCTTGTGACGGGAGAGTCTTCGGGTTTGATTGAAACAATCACCAACGGTGTTTCTTTACACTCTCTCAAACGCTCTTTAACACTTTCTTCCATCGCTTCTGGCACCAACCCTCGCAAACGCATCGCCACCTTGCACGACCACTTCACCACCACATTCGGCAAACCAGATTCTGCAGCTTACGTCTCTGCAGTCGACAACTTTGCTAAGAGTCTCGCTGCATACTCTGTCATCTCATACATCCTCCAACTCAAAGACCGACACAACGGAAACATCCTAATCGACAATGTGGGCCACATCGTCCACATCGATTTCGGCTTCATGCTGTCCAACACCCCAGGCAGCATGGGTTTCGAAGCCGCCCCTTTTAAGCTCACCCAAGAATACATTGATGTATTGGGAGGCCTGGAGTCCTCTGCATTTACATCCTTTAAGCAACACATGAAAAATGCATTCCAAGCTTTACGTCGCGAAGCAGAGAGAATAGTCATGCTAGTAGAACTCATGGGCAGAGAAAGCAGGATGCCGTGTTATTCAGGCGGTGTGGTGAATGTGGTTAATGCATTGAGGCAGAGATTTGTGCTGGAAAAAAGTAAAGAGGAGGCAGGGGTTTGGGTGGAGGAGTTGGTGGCCAAGAGTGCGGGAAGTTATTATACTAGGCTGTGAGTATTTGCCCTTTCTCTTCCTTTTTCTATCTATGCTTTTTTTTTGTTATGGTTTTGCTGACATTTTGAGGGAAACAGTTACGATACTTTCCAGTACCGGACTCAAGGGATCTATTAGGAGAAAGCAGCAGAGAGAGATGGAAAGCCACTCGCATGCATCTCTTGCCAGGCTCGTACAACTCGATGGTTTCTATGCATGAACAGCATGAAGAGGGTGTGTCGGCTCAAGAAAGGATGTTTCAAGTGGCAAAGAACGAAAAATGGAAGATGCATATACAGAACACATGTTGGCATGTAGATGACAAAGATGAAAGACCGTTTGTTCACGACTACTCCCAGAAGTTGGCTTCATACCCTCGAGTCCTCAAAGCTCAAGCTGAAGATGCATGCATTGATTGTTGTCCTCTAGATCAAGGCTTCGTGCCCTCTTGCCGAGGTGGAGGCAGAAGCAGAGGATCATGGCGAACCATCTCACTGATTGGATTGAACACAATACAAAATTATGTATTACAAAGAGCGTTCCATGAGGAGGACGTCGTATTGGGTTATACAAATATATACTGTATTGTGTCGTATTTCCCTGTGTCATGCAAGGGGGCTATTCTTCCCCTAGGGGTATACAAATCAACAAACGGAGTTGTTAAAAGCGTTAATCGAAGGATCCAGGCATCTCTGGTTGCAGTGACTTGTCGACTGGTGCCTGGTTGTCCTTTTCGGTTTCGCCGTCCGTTACTGGAGCTTGATTTTCCTTCTCCCGTTGTTCTATAGAAGCGTGGTTCTCTGTTTGTTCGGCTGATGCAGGTAAGCTTGTTTCGATGGCCGGATCGATAGTATCCTGCGAGCCATCTTCCTGCGCGACTTTCGTGGTCTGCGAATGTGTATGGCCCTGGTCCGTGGCTATTTCCTCCTGACTGGATGGACCTGTCGGTGTGTTGACAGTGTTGTCTACCTCGCTTTGTGCATCTGCAAAGTCTCTCGTGTCGGAACTCTCCGAAGTCTGTAGGGAGGTTGTGCTGCCATCGCTGGCATTTACAGTTGATCTACTGTTGTTACGGCTTGGAGGTCGAGGCTCGTTCAGTTTTGGGACTTCCAGTGCCTGGGTGCGGACGCTTTCGACGGAATCTCTCGAGAACCTTGGGATGCTTGACTCGGTGCTGTTCCTGCGTAAAGACCTTGCATCTCCACGGCGTTGAGTACCTGTAGGACTTGGCTCTCTTGCAATCGCTGGGACTACACCACCTCCAAGCCTAGCCCAGAACATCTTCTCTCTCAGGCGTACACACTCTTCCCAGGCAGCTTTCATGTCTTCTTCGGTAGACGCTCTCCAGAGTCCATCGCGCACCATTCTTAAGAAGCCGAGGAAATCGCCTGTTGCCCTGACTCGACCCAAACAAAACTCACACAAGGGATACCGCTGAGCAGTCTCGTCCTCGCTGGTACGGAATCTGTGACGTCGAGCGTGAGCTTCTGTTCGGCGAGATTCACCGCAAAGAGCGCATGGATAAGCGTTCCCATAGAAGCGCGATTGTGGTATGAAGGGCTCCACAACCAGAGTTCCACCAGTGACAGCTGCAATAACTGTCCGTCGGGCTAGCCACGAGAGACCTGGAGCAAGGTCAAGACGTAATGTTGGTTCCACATCCTCGACAAGGCACCTCTTGTAGAATTTATTGTCTTTGAGCGGCGGCATCGATGACTGGAATGAAGTATCGCGCGGTGACGCAGCGGCGCCAGAGCTGAATGAGCCCGGAATGTTCGGCGAAGACGACGAGGCAGAAGAGACAAACATACTCGAGCTGATGCCTGATGAATTGCGAGAATGCGAAGGAGCAGCCGCTCGCGCAGACTTGAGCAGATCTGCAAAATCGACATATGCAACGACATCGTTGCGCATCGCAGGGACAATGAGATGCGAAAACCGAAGTGGTTGATCTGGCGGAACATCGCTGAAATTTGTAGCGTTTGGAGAGAAGGGAAGTGAGTCGAACATAGTGCTCATCTTGGACGAATCCACACCTGGCGTCGATGGTGCTGTCGAAGATCGAGGTATGGTTTCTGTCTCATCACGATCTCTATCCTCGGTCATCTTCTCCATGACACTCTTCAGATCTTGCAATTGTTCTTGTTGTGAGGCCAGAAGAAGTTCAGTGTCGTTGAGTTGTGTCCGTAATTGTGCGTTCTTTCGTTCGACAGCTTCGGCGTCTTTGCGTGCAGCAGCTACCATNCTGATATATGTCAGCAAGTATAGATTGCAGACTCGAGCTTTGTTGCTTACAGTATTGGCCTCCTCGAACAAGGCGCTGGTGAGATTCTCAAGCTCGACTTCCATCTCCTTCCTGCCCTTTTCAGCAACGTCTCTTTGCTTTTGCGATTCCATCAGCTCCTGTCTCAGAGAATCAACCTCGGACTTGTTGACAAGAGCGCCACTCGAGACCAGAGTCTTGTGTCGTTGCGCCTCTTGTTCCAGCTGTGCTATACGTTGTCTAGCAGCTTCAAGCTCATGGCGAGTGTGTTGTAGCGAATCGTCCAGGTTGGTCTGGTAGTTGATGGCGTTTATGAGCTTCGTGCTAAGCATAGCAACTTCATTACTAAGGTCAGGATGCGGGTCCTGTGAGTCTTCAGACGGACTAGCACGCTGTGGGTTCGGACTGGGCGTTCGTGGATCGGGGATGGTGTTCAGATAGTCGGAGTCGGAGTCGAAGTTGGAGCGACCGCGAGGAGGAGTGGAGAAGGATTTCATAGTAGACAGGTGTGAGGAAGATTTGGCCTTGACCAGGGTGGGCGAGTCGGATCTAGTCGTTTGGGGAGAAGGAGTTACAGAGCGGCCGTGATTCGAAGTAGGGGTGGCCAGCCCGCCAGCCATGAGAAAGCCGTAGCTGGGAGTCATAATGTTAGCATGACTGAGGAGTGGCTACAAGAGGGTTACTCACTCGGCCATGGTGCCACGGCGTGGGTAGAAACGCGTGTTGGATGGATTACAACAATGGTAATGGATGCGACAAAGGAGATGTCATGCATGCAGCTTGTTACTCGTGGTTCATGGAGAAGAGAGCTAAGGATGTTGTTCAATCAAATACATTGTGGAAGTCGCGTTGCAAGAAGAGAAGAAGGAGCGCATGGCAGCTCCAATTGCATGTCTAAGTCCCTGGAAATCACACATGACGATGACCACACACCTGCCACTGCCACCATCGTAAGTTCGGCTATCAAGCCCACTCCGCTGCACTGACCTTGTCAACGGTCCGGACCTTTTACTCCATCACCTCCTCCTCGTAACACATGGTTTGTATTCTATGCTTGGGGTATCCCAGTCTTGAACCTCACATTCTGCTTCAATGCAGAATAGAGAAAGAGACAGCCATGGGTGTATCTGTCGACTTATGATGCATCATGATTAAAATTGCACATCGAGCAAAGCGGGAAGACACTCGACTTGTTCGGTCGGTTGCTACGGCATATTTACCAATCCATCTTGGTATGAGGCGGTCTGTTCATGATCTGCTCTATTCAAAAAAAATCAGACCACCTGCAAGACTTTCTTTTGGTGCAATGCAGAACCCATGTTGTTTGCGAGAGTTGGCGGTGATGATCGCAGTGAGAAGGCCAGGGTGCTCCCTTTAGCTACGAACACAGTCTAGAGACCCGCAACATCATGCAGTGCCTTCTATCTGATGATGTTGTGATAGATGTGACAAATACAATGAGAGTGCACGCTTGCCATAGGAGACGGTCACGATCAGGACTCGTTCAGGAACCTTCCATAGATGAATGACTTCTAAGGCTCCTGACTTGATCACAGAAACATCACGTATGCAAAGATAGATATTGCAAAAACTATCTAGCTGGGGCTCGGTTTAAGTTTTGAAAGCCACGGCTAGCGAAAAAGTCTTGCGATTTCAATCTACGCGCTTATAAATGGTCAATATGCGGTTGTGGAATCGAGGCAATTGATGATAAGGAACGCGTGAGAGAAGAAAGAAGAGCAGTGAGAGAAGACAGACTTTTAAAAGCGAAAGCAGCAGCGGAAGGTCCGTGCGAGTCGCCAGTGCCAAGCACAAGTCTCGAAAAGTTGCAGCAGCGACGGCGCATTCAAGATACAGAGCCCAGGTCGTGTGTGTGTATATACACGTGCAATTCACCATGAACTCGGGTCAGAGAACCGCCAGGCGGCTGGTCGCATCATCGAGTAAGTCTGGTCTCATACGACTGTTGGCCACTCTAACTCATTTGCAGCCCNGCACGACACCAGAATCCGTCTGCAACTCTTGCCTCGCCCGGATATCTCAATACCGCTCAGCATCTACTGCCGCAGCTGTCGCTGCTGAAGTATCGACCTCGTCGCAAGCCTCACAGAATGCAGCTGGTGCTCCAGCTATCCGACCAGCATATCAGCTACGCACTGGCGTAGTACTATCACGACCTCCTGTTTTGACACGCGCCCTTCACCCCTTCGAAAAAGCCTTCTTCCTCTACCAAAAACGTCTGAACGAACGTCTGGCACTTCCTTTCACACGCTACTTCTACTACAAGAAGGGAACACCAGGAGAACGTGAATGGAAGCGCAAGATACAGCTGAGAAAGACTCCTGCTCGTGATGTTGGTGTCTACAATGCATACAGCGAGTCTGGCTGGAACGATGAGGTTTTGGTCAACGACAAGACCAGCGAGCCCGAATCACAAGTGGAGGCTTTGATCAGAGATGCCGAGGGAACAGATGGCGAAGCAGGAGCCAAGAGAGAGACTAGCCAGGACATTGTTGTGCAACGGCCATTGCCCAGAGTCACGGAGCAGGATCAGAAGGGCGATCAGACCAGTTTGAACAGACTGCTTGACAGAACCTTGTATCTGCTGGTCAAGAATAAGAACGGTGTCTGGAGATTCCCCGAGGACGAAATCAAGGGACCCGAAGGCCTGGACCAGGTCAGTCAAACACGGCGGCGGAGCAAACACGTTCAACTACTAACAATCCNNCAGGCTGCCGAGCGTATTCTTGTACAAGCAGGAGGTATCAACATGAACACATGGGTCGTTGGAAACGCACCTATTGGTCACTACTCTGGAAACTTCAAGAAGACTATCACCAACACGGAGAAGAAGGTAGAGGAGATCGGCGAGCGTACCTTCTTCATGAAGGCTCGTATCATGGCTGGCCAGGCCAACCTCAAGGCCAACACATACGGCGACAAGGAGTTCAAGTGGCTCTCGAGCGAAGAGATTCAGCAGACCGTCACTCCCAAGTACTGGAGTGCTGTTGCCAACATGCTCACAGGAAGATAGACTGGAGCGGAAAACATGTTTGTATAAATCTTGTACATTATCAATCAAGGCAGACTCGCCAAAGGACATCATGTTCATTCTCAACATCTCTATGGACAAAGCCAGCCAAGAGACACTGCCTCTAGTTAGGATTCGTCCCCAGAAGCGAACAACGGATGTGACGATGCTCTTGGATAGTGCATTAGGCCGACATGCGGCTGCAGCGCTTGCAATGCTTTCTGCCCATCTGATATATGCCTCATGCTAGACTGCTTCAATTTACTCCGCTCTTCGTAGTGACGGATTTCCGTTTCAAGAAGGCACAGATGTTGCTTCGGTTGTCCATGTGCATAAGATGGTGCCATGCTAATGGAAACCAAAACCGGCTCCTCACCAGAAGAGGCCGATCCGACATGATCGCGATGTCCGTCGGCTACGGTGCCGTGCTGAAATGAACTTGATGGAGCAATAGGTGAAAGACATGGATCTGAAGTTAAGCATTCGGCATGATTCAAGATAGGGCAGTGCAAAACTCGGCCGAACCGCTCCACTTTAAGACAGACATCTGGAGTGCACGTCTCTACTCGGGAGTAGCTGACTCGAGGTGCCCGACGTCACGACAACCGGATGCTGGAGACTCCATCTCGAAAGATGGCGGGCAGGTTGTTGTCGGCTAAGGTGGCTTGTCGATCTTGACTTGAAGTAGTCTAGTAAGCCATGTCCCCCACCGCTGCACTCCACATCTTCTCCATCGTGCCCCGCTTGATGTCCTGGATTTTCTGATTTTCTTGATGGCCGTCCATGTCACATTCGTGCTGCATGGGGATGCAACCAGTTGCAGACATCGTCAATGCTACCCTCGGCATAATGTCTCGGTAGGTGGCGAGGGTATGTTGATCGTATAAAGACAGGGCTCTGCCTCACGTAGGTACCCTCCTAGCACGCCTTGTCTCTCCAGGTAAACATGCATTCTTCTTGGTCATTGCTCTCTCTGGCGGTCTCTGCCGTCTCGGCTGCTCCCTCTCTGCTGCGTAGAGCACCCGCCAATGCACCCATTGTCAACTTGAAGAATGGTTCATACTATGGAGCTCACAACAGCCAATACAACCAGGACTTCTTCCTTGGCGTGCCCTTCGCACAGCCTCCCCTTGAGCAGCTCCGTTTTGCCAACCCCGAGACGTTGAACTCGACCTGGACTGGAGCTCTGCCTGCAACCAACTATGCCTTTGAGTGTGTGGGTTACGGAGGCGATCAAGTAGGCTATCAACAATCCGAAGATTGTCTGTACCTCAATGTCGTAAGACCATCCGGCTACGAGAACACCAGTCTGCCAATGGTTGTTTGGATCCACGGTGGTGGCTTCTACATGGTAGGTTTATTTCCATTCTGTAATCATTGCTTTTCTGACCATCATGTAGNNGGCGGTGCAGTCGACAGAAGATACAACTTGACCTTCCTCGTCGAAAACTCTGTCAAGATTGGCAAGCCCATCATGGCTGCCAGTGTCGCTTACAGACTGGGTCCCTTTGGTTTCCTCAACGGTGATGAAGTTGCTGGCGCCGGCCAGACCAACATTGGTCTCAAGGATCAGCGCAAGGCTTTGCAATGGCTTCAAGAGAACGGTGCCGCTTTCGGTGCCGACACAAGCAAGGTTACCATCATGGGAGAGTCTGCTGGTGCTGCTTCCGTCGGTTTCCACTTGACTGCATTCAATGGTCGCGATGACAAGTTGTTCCGTGCCGCTATCATGGAGTCTGGTAATGCTATCTCCTACAACGCTCTCAATGGCTCAGAGTAAGTCCAATCACCAATTTCTGCTGTCCATCAGACCTAACAAACATCAGCAACTNACCAACCGAGATACTCAGCTCTTGCTAAGGCAGCTGGATGCGGTAACTTGACCAACACTTTGGATTGTCTGCGTGCACTGCCTTTCACCGTCCNNCTCAACAACATCCTAAACACTACCGACTTCAACAGTGGCTGGAACCCTGCTCTGGACGGTGATTTCATCGCCCGTTATGGCAGCGAGCAGCTCGCCGACGGATCCTTTGTCCACGTTCCCATCATCAACGGTGCCAACAGTGACGAAGGCGTCTCTTTCAGCCCCCTTGGTATCAACTCAACTGCCGACCTCGAAATGTACATGAACACAACCAGCAGCAGGCAGTATGCCCTGACTCCGGAACTCGTCGAGGAACTCCTCAGCGTCTACACCTCAGGCCAACCCGATTACCTCATTCCTTCCACCGAAGAGCTGGGCCAGAACGTTACAAGTCTTGGTCCCCAGTATGGCCCTTACTACCGCGCCTCAGCCGCTTACTTCGGCGACGAGGTCTTCATCGCCAACCGCCGCAAGGACTGCGAAGTCTGGGCTGCCAACAACGTCTCCGCATACTCTTACCGCTTCAACGCCATCCCCACTGGCTCCCAATTCGTCGCCCACTTCCAAGAAGTAGCCTTTGTGTTCAACAACTTGAACGGTCTTGGATACGCCGTCAACCCCTTCGCCAACAAGTCTGCTGCGTACACCGAGTTGTCTGACTTTATGAGCAAGAGCTGGGTTACTTTTGTGCATGATCTGAACCCTAACGGTTATGCGGGCAAGAACTCGAGTTTGCCTAACTGGCCTGTGTATACCCTTGACGCACCACAGAATATGGTGTTTGATGTTAATGTTACCAGTCATGCTGAGCCTGATACTTGGAGAGCGGAAGGTATCAAGTTGATCTCTGATAACAACATTCAGTACCACAGATAAGAGGTTGTCTACGAAATTTTGTGGTTTGCTTTGTATATAACGAAAGCTCCCTGATAATATGACATAATGTTTCTTTTTACTTGACTTGTCGTGCAGGTTGTTCTTGCGCATAGATCCTTTTCTCGTACGCTGTTGGCATTGCTTCGCCTCTTTTGTGTGTTGAAGACCATGATAGTGTTGCTGTTGATCTATACAACAATCTTTCCAAACGAGACGTAGAGACCACAGAAGACAGCTCAATAAGAACGTCTCTCCATGGAACAACTGAGGAACTTCCACACAACTGTGCATTCCAGCATCCAAAAATACCACCAAATCTAAGCGTTCGAGGGAGAGCAAAACTCATCATCAGTTCACGAAACCCGCGCAAGACAGTCGTTTTTTTTTTCTGTTCAGGGCAAATCGCATGTACGGAAACTATCTCAACGGTGGTTTGTTATATAATTTACAATACTGCAGTCATTTAACATACCTCCTAACCAACTCCTCAGTAGCATCCTGACAATCCGCAAAGATATTGATAGCGTCCACTAATTTCTTCTCCGCAGCTCCGTTTTTGAGGCGCGTGTATCTGATTCTGTAACTCTGCTCTCTACTGACAGCGTCCAACAACTCTGCATCACCTGTTTCTTCTCCCTCGACTACTTCGTCGAAGAAGAGCAGAGTGGTGGCAGAGGAAGTAGCGGGTGTAGAAGCCAGAGCAGCAAGCAGAGGAGGTGAAATGGTGATATGGTGGGCACCGCTGACTTTGAGGCATTCCTCTACTGAGGTCAGAGAGGCGGGCATAACCAAAGTCTTGCTGTTGAGGCGCGAGTACAGAGATTGGCAGGAGCGGGTGAGGGCAAAGCCTTTGTCGTTGTCCACGTGTCTGTCTTCTGTCAGTATTTGGCCATACTCGCAAAACATGAAAGTGAGATGGGAGTGTAGGGGAAAAACTTACCCAGGCACAAAATGCACTGGCAACTCATTCACATAGGGGGCGATGTATGAGCATCCAGCAAGATGCGCGGCGGCAGCTTGTTCCATAGAGAACAACGTCGTGGCCAAGGTAACAATACCCTGTTGCTCAAGCTCCTTGCACGCAGCAATGCCTTCCCAAGTACTAGGGATCTTAATGCAGACACGATTGCTGGGATGATCAGGTAAAACAGTCTTGTAAATGGCAATAATGCGTTTGGCATTAGCGACAGTGGCAGCAGTAGAGTAGGCGTGGTAGGGGTTTGTTTGGATTAGAGCGCGGCCAGTGAGGTAAGGAATCATTCTTGCCGAGAGGTTGACTGCCATGACTTCGGAAGCGAATTGTTCGAAGGTGGCTTCAGAGGCATATTGAGGGTATAGCTGCTTTGCTTGTTGAATAGATTCGATGACGAGAGGTTCGTTCTTTGGTTTCTGCAGTTCGATGTTCACAATGGCNCTAGTCAGAGGCTTGTCAGGACCGGGGTCTTTCTTGTTCGTATACATCTCTCAGCTGACCTGGTTTGATGTACAATCAACAAAAGGCCCCAGTGCTTGGGCGACTATCGAAAGTTATGAGTACGATAATAGTCTTGTGTATAGCTCGATACAAAGCATACCTTCCACATCCAGGGTATCACAGTCAACAGCACTACGCGAGCGAAGTTCAGAAAGCAACGTCTTTTGGTTCTCCATGTCTTCTCACTATTGCCACCGATATCAAGTTGAACAATATGAGTTCAGAAGGTCAGAGGCTCTGGCCAATCTTTAAAGCATTCGAGATTCACTATGCTTTGCAGCGGAACGTTACTGATTGGGCAGACCCGACTGCGGCTAAAGTCCTAGACATTCTAACAGGGAAGCTTTGCCGAGTGCGCTACACTCTGTCCTATGAACTTTCTCTAATTCGGAGGAAACATTGCCGAGTTCCCTTGAAACCATGCGTTCAGGCTCCAAAGTATGAAGTGCTTATGAATAATCATCTCTCCACGCGACCGCACGCAATGAGAACATACACTCGTCATTCTACCAGAGCAGACAATGAACAAATGAGATTTGGTGCAACACGTTGCACAGGTATGTGGGGCGTGGCCAGTTGTGAATTAGCCGAAACTGGCCATGATTTGATTGACCAGGTATCCAACGGAGGTCGAGGCAACGAGCCATACTATTACCATGTAGTCCAAATAGTATACGATGCCTTGCGTCTCTAGAAAGAAAAAGAAAATCATGCTCGGTAGATGCGCGCTTTCTGCTTGATCTTCTTACGACAAACCGGGCAGTTGGCGGGTTTACGTGGCCTCGTTCTGTCATGCTGCATGACAGGCGAATGTTGTTCACTGCACCATTGGCACATCACTAAATGCCCACAAGGAAGACAAGCAGTGTCAGCGGTCTGTGTATAGCAGATCTTGCAGTCCAACTTTAGAGTCATGTCGCCATCTTCCTTAGGTTCAGGGCGTCCAGAATCTTCAGCATCGAGACCGCCTCTAGCTCGGTCTTCTTCATCATCTGATGATTCGCTCTCTTCTTCCCAGTTGCCTCGGAAGGGAGCATAGGCATCACGAAGGCGCCGCCAGACGTCGAGATGGTTTCCACTCTCGGATTCTCGGATAGCTGCAGCCGTCCCATTCTGTTCCATCCGAGCAATGATGGAGCTTCTCTGAGGCTCAGGAGTATTACGCAAGAGTCTTTCCAGCGTGGAAATCTGCTGAGGAGCAGCTTGGGTAGGGGTTTGCTCAGATGTACCGACTTCTACCTGCATTGCTGCCGACGGACCCGGAACATTGACATTCGAGGGATTGGAGTCAGGCGTAGCATTGCTGTTTGGTGTGGGCCCACGAATATTCTGCACCCAGTCTTGCTGTCTAAGCATAGAGTAGTATTCGTTAAGTCCATCCTCGTAGACAGTGTTGGCAGCTGGGTGAGGTTCTTCGTTGTCGTCGTTGTTGGAGAAGAGCGGCCCAGTGGCCAGTTGTTCATGCTCCAAGACTTGTCGCAAAGTTCTCTCGTCTTGTCTAACTTCTTCGGCGACTCTGAATCGTTCATATGCACGGGTGAACATGCCACCAATAGGACTTTCATAATCAGCACCCTGAGTCTCCATATCCTCACGGGATCCAAAGAGGCGAGCATAATTCTCGGCCGTACGCTGTTCGCGCCGAAGTTGAGATACCTGCTCCCTGTGCTCAGTCAGATCAAGCTCCGCGCCTTCGAGTATTTCAGAAGTTTCAGTTTGGCTGGCCTGGGCCAGTTGAAACTCTACTGCCGCTTGATCGCGGAACCTCTGAGCCTGTTCGAGTTGGCGGTGGGCTTCATCAAAGCGTTGCTGAACGCTGGTCAGTTCAGGATTGCGATAGACGGACCCAACGATAGGAGCACGTGTCTCGCGATTGGCAGAATCGGAGTTAATCGACGATGATGGCGCCTCTCTGACAGACATAGCCTCGAGTGATCTTCCTAGTTCAGACAGTCGACTGGTGGTGCCTGCATGATCTGGTATGGGCTCGCCGAGGTCTCTGAGACCGGAGATGACTCGCTCGATGCCGTTACGCATCCTGAGGAGTTCGCGTCTAAGAGCCGCAATTCTACGAGCTTGGTATTCGGGGTTTCTTGGAGGAGCAGCTCTCATGACCTGACCTGCAACGCGATGGTTGCTACGACTGTCGTTGGAATTGAAGGTATAGGGAGCATGTATGAGTGCAGGAGGTTGATCTTGTTCCGTGTCTTGTTGTACGTTCTGCTCTTCCTCTTCGGCTTCTTCGAACATTTGGTCCAGGGCATCTTCTAGGGAAGGACCTTCGGGAGCATCGTTTGTCGCAATCTCGACGTGTTGACGTTGATCTGCATCACTGCGTTCTTGACCAGCTCTGAGCTCGTCTAAGGTTCTTGGAAGGCGACCGGGAGAGACATCTCTGAAACGTTCACCCAATACAGCAACTCTTTCCTCAACACCATTAGGACGACTGACAGTCCGGTAGCCATTGTAAAATTGATACCATCGTTCTAGGAAATCAGACTGATCGGGTATCTGTGGGATGCGAGTTTGAGTAGGCAGTAGGTTTGTTTGAGCGACTCTGTTTCTCCAAAATTCTGAGCAANNAGTCAGCGAGGTGTCTTGCTAATCAGGTGTAGGGACAGTACGAGAGCATGGCCAACAATAGCGGTCCCAACGAGCACCTCTAGCAACAAAACCGACACCGTCAACATAGGTCGAGTAACTTGACTGATGTGGTCGCTCATCGGCACAGGCACAGCAATTAGGGATCGAAGACAGGCGGCACGAGGTAGGCAGTTTATGGTCACAGTACTCGGGCAAACGAGGGAGATCGGCTGTCAAAGTGCCCATGGTGGCGGCCGGGGAGATGTGACCAGCCGAGCGAAGCCAGAGACAAGAGAGAGTGCTGAGACGAGAGAGAAATGGAAGGACTAAGAGGCACAGAAAGATGCAAGTAGGTAGACGAGGCAAAAGAGAATAGACAGTGTATGCAATCGCTATGCAATTGACCGATCTCAGTCGTAGCTTCCGCTTTGACGACGTAATGTGGGGAAGACAGAATTCAAGGGCAGGGGGTGTTTCAGATTCACATGAAGACAAGCTGAAGCCGAAGCCAAACCAGAAGAATGTTCTGACGACCTACGGCAGCCTCTCGATGGACTTTGTGAGCATTTGATACCAGCTTCCGCATGCCACCGAGGTACTGACGTGTGTCGTGTAGTGGACGAAACTCATCAGCGGCGTGAGCAACAACAAGTCTGCCACGGCCGCAGCGTCCAGTCCGCAACAACGCCTGCAGCGCTTCCGTCGAGCATACAATCCCATCCTACAGCTATGCGGCCGTCCACAAACCCTAGCATCTCACGCTCCCGCTCTTGATCAACTCTACTCCTCACTGCAGACCATCACCGCATTACTCGCTGAAGAGGCCCGATCCCCTGTTCCTCACCTCTGTCTCAACTTTACACAGTCCTCGCAAATATACAGTGTTGTCGCCCGCGCTGCCTCGACCTCTCGCGATGCCCGTCTCGTACGTCAGACCATCCTCTTGTTCAGTCTGCTGCTCGAGAGCGAGGATGAAGACTTCGTCGCTTCTCCCACCTTTGCCAAATCTTTCATGCGATTTGCCCTGCGTGTCATAGACTCCAATTCCGCTGGCTATGGCGAAGACATTGAGGCAGACGTCGTCGAACTCCTATTTGCTGTCGTCGCAAAGATTCGCATACAACCCAACATCCTCTTCGTCTGGTTCTCGTCCTCAGCAAACAAGGCCGATTCGCAGAAGCCTCCAAACCACTTCGCAGGCCAAACACAAAAGGACGACTTCCCACTGTGCTATCTTCTGATTGATCGTATTCATCATGATGGCCGTATCGGCGATTTCGCTCGTACTGGTCTACTATATATCTTCGAAGCCGTCTCCAATTCTACACATCTCGAGGATTGGATCATAGAAAGTGACCTGCCCACCTTGATGGCCTCTGGTCTCGGTGCTTTGTACAGTCAATTGAGCCGAGAACTGTCTATTCTGCACGATCACGACCGCCTACCTATGATCCTCGCTCTCTCAGATTACATTGATGCCCAGCAGATATCGTCAACCGAGAGCATCTTCTCTCCAACACATGCTACCCATATGGCTACTTTTCTTTCCCACCTTGCTTTCTGGCAGGATGTCTTGGAACATTGCAAGTCTGAGAGTGTCAAGACTACCCTATTGGATCATTTCCGAATTCTCTTTNTACAACAGCTTCTCTATCCCTCATTGCTCCAATCTTCTGATACCGATGGGGGTTCGTCTGTTGCCGTTCTCACCTATCTTTCAAACATTTTCGAGTCACTAGACCATCCCGATCTGACACGAATGGTCCTTCAGTATCTCTTGGCTATTCCTGAAACCAAACAATCAGAACCTGTTTCGCCTACTGTTCAGAGGCGGCAGAGTACCCTGATGCTGCTAACACAATCTGGCAATGATGAAGACAAGTTTGAACCTACGCTGTTTAGTCTGGTCGATCTCATACTCAACGGCATAAGATCGCAAAATCCACAGACAGTCGTCGCCGCTTTGAAACTTTCATCGGTCATGCTGACAAGGCACCGCGCGTATACAACCTCCACTTTGCTGCAATCAAAGTCGGTCTTGTCACTTGAAGAGAAGAGAACCATTCAGGCCCTATGCATGGAAACGGACAGCCTCATTCAAATCGCCACGGGCCTTGGTGGTGAGATTGACGTCGACGAGGCGTACGCCACCGCCTGTCAAGATATCACCGTTCCCATGGAAGTTCAGATCGCGAACAGAGCCTTGGAAAAGTCTTCAGTGCTGAAAATACTGCCGCACGACCCTTATATCCAATCAATCCTTGCGCTTTTCGGATCTTTCTTTTCCAATAGTGTGGATGTCAACCTTTCCTTGACCGAAGCAACAATTTGGCTGGCGTCATGTGCTGGCATTGGCCTTGACGGCTGGCTTGCTATGCCCAGATCAGACTATCAAACAGCAACACTCGAATCAGAATTTGACAGCACTAGTCTAGACGAGGAGGAAGCTGCAAGTCTCCATCTGCTGCAATCCATGTGCTCCCAGCAGCGCCGCCACGATTCCCAAGATCCACTGCTGCCTGCAATCTTGCGCGCTTTGAACCGCCAGGTCGAAAGTATTCGCTCTGACATCCCGATGATCGATCATCTGATTGAGAAACGTATCGCAATTCTTGGTGGGGCTGGTCGCGAAGACTTGCTAACCCAACCTAAAAATCCTGCTGCTTCCAACAGAAAATCTACCGAGTCTTCAAGGCCTAGTGATCGACAGATACAGCGCCTTCAGGCAGGATCAAGACAGAGGTCAACCTCACGCGAGTCCAGTGGTTCTGGGTCATCCACGCCTGTGCGAGTTAGAGATAGCTCGTTGTCGGGAGTGCCACCAAGATCCAGTTCTCTCCCACAAGCGCCCCGTGGTCCACAACAAAACTCGATATTCAGGCCACCACCTCCAGAATCTCCCGAAGAAGACAACTTGCCAGCTGAGAATTTGTCAGTGCAGACTGAGTCTAAGCAGAACGAAGCGCAGACATTGAGAGGAAAACTTCAATTTGTTCCTGTCGAATCTACAACCAACAACACAATCTTTGAGTACGTATCAAATACTGGTGCTCGTACTCAAACAGAAGGCGACGGCAACAAGAAGACCAAAGAAGCCACTTTGAGCCATGTCGTGACGAACATAGTCATCCTGCAACACTTTGTTGTAGAACTGGCTGCCGTGATGAGAACTCGCGCAATTGTCTTTGAAGAGGTTGCATTCACTTGACGGAATTAGCCTTCCAGAAACGCGAATCATCACACTTTCTAGTATTCAAATCTGCCTCAGATCATGGGTATTCGGTACATGCCTGTCGATAATAATGGCTCTACTTAGAAGTTGCTTGAGGGACGCCACTCATATTTTGTTGGTTCCAGCGCATACCACAGGAAAAAGCGACAAGACTCTGTGACTCGTTGGGGATATATCCAGAAGAGAGGATGTGCATGACGGACCGCGACACCTCATGTGCAACCGATTCACGCATGTGGTTGCAGGTCACCTGAAAACTGCACTACATTGGGAGTGACATGCACAAACGCCGGACCTCCAAGCATGCTTGCTTGTACGCAAACGAGATCCCGGCCGCACAGCAGATTGTCCACGATCTTGCTGCTTACTTATTGCTAGGCTATCATCTCTCAAGGCTGATTTTGTAACATGCTACAGGTTTGACCGGAAACCGAAAACTTGACTGGCTTCGGACCAGGAATGGGATGGTCACGCTGCCTCGTCACCAAGGAGGTGCGGTGAGACCGTGCTTCGCCAGAATAATATGCATTGTGATCACCTCATAACTCTGATGGTCCATTCGGACAACCAATTTGCTCGTAGCCGTTCATGAAAGTTGACTAAGTAAACCATGGCGTGACCAGTGACAAGCTGCATGACCGGTTGGCGCAAGGCAGCACAATATGCGCATGATCTTCTCGTCGTGTTAGAAGTCCCCTCGAGCAACAATGAAGGAACAAGCTGAAGAACAAATCTCACGTTACACAGGCAGATGCGACAGTATTCTCCTCAGGTACAGATTGATACTGGCGCAGAAGAAAGTCTTGTCAAAAGTCCAATAGAATCTGATAGACCCCGCCCACTTGGGTGTCTCTTGGCGTAGAGTCGAAGATCCTTGGAGAACCCATGTCTGCCTGCCTCAGCAAGCCACAAAGGACTACGTATTAGTGTGTCTGCCTTAAAAGTTTAGAGTTGACCAGTCAACTATTGGTGCACACATATAACCATATCCCCATCTCTGCCATCATGTACCTGCCTGGTCGCTCACAGTCTTTACTGCCAGTTTTCCCCTCAGCCGTTCGTGGTGAGTGCCCGTGTGTCAAGTCAACTTCGTGTGACGCGGAAACTTTGTCGATGCCACTTGTCCACCGCGTACTAACGTTTGCATCTCCATGGAACAGGCCTCTCTTCTTTTTGAAAATAACGCTGGAACACCCGAGGCAGAATACACGAATGAGTCTGCTAAGAGGCTTGCCTTTTACATCGCAATCACAATTTCTGCCATTTAATAGTAATGGCGGACCCACATGAAGCCTTACACTGCCGAATTCACGATCCACTCAAGCCATCTTTTGATTCTTGCTGCATTGAGATTGACGACGCCGTATCCGGATTTTATGATGATTATCATATGCTGCGAACGCATCCAAAGTCACACGATGACTTGGACAAAGTGCGCGACAGCGATGGAGAATGGGTGACTTCAACTTTCCACAGCAGTGCCTTGCCAACCTATCCGTATGTGTCAAGCCCCATCCAATCCAGAGCTTGACTAGAGCAGACGTCCCTAGGTCACCTCCTTTGACCAACTGCCGAAACAATTCGATTGACTTGCTGTAGGGCTCAGGACCCACGCCGCAAGTCACCGCAGAAGAACGCAAAAGCTAGTCAGATACCGAGAACTTTTCTCACCGAAACAAGGCACTCGAAGGGCCAGCAGACACCACTTCGAATATCGCCATCTGATTCGACAGCAGCGGCAAGATTTGGACAGTTATCCTTAGAACATGCTGCGGAGGTTGGAACTAGAGTAAGCCCTATCTCGAAAAAACGACCAGCAAGCTCAGAAGTTTGCACTGCAGATGCATCAGCATTGGTCAAGGATTACGACAAAGCGTTTGCCATAAGAACCTCATGCGCAGCATCAAAATACATCAAACGACCTACTGCCGAGGAGACCATAACAGTGTGTCCTCCACTGACAAGTGAACCGTCGGTTAGTGCGACCGAAGGACGTACCTTATTTCCAGACCCATACGACCCGCGAACTCCGGAAGAATTTACAGAAGGCTTGAAGCGTCGTCGTCGCCCCACCGAAACCTTGTATCTCGACATCGTACAATCAATACCTGGGCTGAACGCAGCTAGATCTTTGCGACAGGCGGATTACATGTCTCAAGATGAGTTTACGGCAGAGATCAAGGGTATCTATGCTGCATTGGTCATGGTTGAAGCGAAGTGCATCAAGCTTGATGCAGCACATATGAATGCCAGTGCGAATCTTTCTTTTGATCAATGGCAAGCACTTTTTGCAGTGCATCGAACTCTGCTGTACGAACACCATGACTTCTTGTCTGCATCACAACATCCCTCAAGCAGTTCTTCGTTGCGCAAGCTGGCCACAAAGTACTCTATGCCAGCTCGGATGTGGAAACACGGTATTCATTCGTTTCTGGAGGTACTGCGACGTCGTCTGCCAGATTCGCTTGACTACATGCTGCAATTCATTTATTTGGCGTACCAAACAGTCACGCTGCTCTACGAAACAGTCCCATCCTTCGAAGATACCTGGATCGAATGTCTTGGAGACTTGGCACGTTACAGAATGGCGGTCGAAGAGATAGACATGAGAGATCGTGAGATCTGGGGTGGAGTAGCCCGTGACTGGTACTCCAAAACATCAAACAGGAACCCAGATGTGGGCAGACTGTACCATCACTTGGGTATATTGGCACGCCCAAATGCGATCCAACAAACGTACTATTACTGTCGAGCGTTGACTTGTGTTCAACCTTTCGATTCTGCCATGGAATCGTTGTCTTCGTTGCTCTCGCCTTTGACAAAAGTGGAGCCGGAACGAGCGGTAATACCTTACGTGGACGAAACAGACTCCATGTTTCTCTGCATACATGCCAAAATGCTGGCATCGAGAACTCGAAACTATGGTACTCAGCTTCATGTGGTTATTTCCACATATCGTGTATGGCTTGACACGCAAATCCGTCGTCAGGCACTCAAATGGAAAGATCATGGTGTTTTCATTGCCGTTACTAATATTTCAGCGTGCTTCGGTTATGGTTATCTTGACAATTGTCTATCAAAAACTTACAGAAAGGGGATAAAGGTAACACATAACCTTCATGCATCTGAGAATACCACGCTGAATCCGAACTNNTCTCAGGGATCTGATAACGAAAGAAACGACTCTATCTCGGACGATTCGCTGTATCTTCTTTCCAGCACACTTGCATTGGTCCTATCTCGAGAGAACGACTTCAACGTCCTCCCTCATGTACATACGATCTTGGCTTTTCTCTGGAGCATCTACAATCTGGCGGTCGGACCAGCCGCCCTGATTACAAAAGTACTGAATTCTATTCCTTGGNGGAAGATCGTCGATTTCCTCAACAGCTTTATCAAAACCGAGCCGATTGAAGATCGAGTTGCGGATGCAGGTCGACGAGGAAGCTTTNTGCAAGGCGCACCCAAGCCACTGCCTGAGGACTATCTTCTGCGCGGTCTGGTCTGGTGCAGAGGCTACTTTGCATCTGGATGGTTTGACGAAAAGCACGACGAGGAAAGTCGTCTTCTTGAGCTGCCCAGCACGAACAAGGTGAGAATTGATAGGGTCATGCGATTGAGCATTTGCTTGTCACAGGTAAGTTTCGCAAATTTGGCGGTTGTGTCTGCAGTTTTGGCTGATGATAGCCTTATAGAAAGGAAATTTCATCTCTTTTGATCATTCGAGGAAGGTGTTCCTCAAGCTCAATCATGTATGTGTCTCTCTTACGCAGCCACAGCTACCTTAGATCTGCTTGTCAGGACGATGAGTTATCGATGGGCAGCAGGAAAGTATGCATCATGTCCAAATGATTTATTGACGAGACTACAGTGAGCAGTCAAGCAATGCAGCAACAGCGAGCTGGCCCGATTGAATTAATCAAGAAGCCACAAACATGTCCTCTGAGCAACAGCCTCACAAAAGCTATGTAGTAGCATATAGGACGATGAAACATTGGCCGCCTTGAAGTGCTTCAGCTTTGTAAAGAAGTCGACTCAAAATGACGTATTATCAGTGTTCCATGTTGAACTTGAATATCTTGCTGTAAAAGTGAGGACGAACGATGACCAAACTATGGACAAACACACAGCTTAGCCCAATAGATCGACAACAAGGCGAGCACAAAAATGGCAGGAGAAAGGAGGAGCCCAACACAAGTATGCGTTGTAGGATGATGGACAATCAGGATGCAAGTCCAATAGTTGAACGGTTACAAAGCTGCCCCAATAAGCAACGACGCGCGCGGAATAACGAATGGTATTATTGGCAGAAGCAGATGGTGCCATGCATGGGCAAGCTCGGCCGGGAGAAATCGTTTCCAATGCGAAAGCAAACCTGATATTCTCTAATGGCTTTAAGGTGCAGAAGATGGAAATGGCGAGCGTGTGGCATCAACAGCCCAGCGCTTTTTACGGTGTGGGCGTGAAACGGATAGGCGGATTTATGAGACAGAAGTGTTTCCTGGTCGACGCGCTTGCAAGGCTCGCTCTGAAATGGACAAGACGGATCGGGGCTTTGCCGCGAACGGCCGACTTGCTGCGGGGTGAAGGAAGAAAAGGAAACAAGCCAGGTCGGGCCACGTCGTCATACTTTATCCCTGTGACAGGGACAGGGAGAAAGTCGGACAGGGTCAAAAGAGGTCTCATGGAGGGCTGTAGGAATAGATCGTGTTCGCAGTTCGAGTCAAGACGAGCAGCTCAGTCTGGATATTGTTCGTCAGGTTGCTGCAGAGGGCTACGAGCACAAGCCCGACGGTGGTACCCGCATTCCAACGATCTCATTGCCTTTCAGCGAGTCTGGATGCGCGCATAACGGACGTTGTTCTCAGGCTCCACTAGCTCTTTAGTTCGTTGCTGGAGAGTTAACTCGGTGCAAGATCTCGCACTCTGCCTTCTCTCCTGCTCACAAAGCTCAGCTCAGCTCCAGCTTCAGCTCCCTGTTGTCGTCGTTAACCATCACCGGCCATCTTCGTACAAGTGCTCTCTTCAGACGTCATTTTGGTAAATTAGGACACGGAGTCTCAGACGCTTTGTTCTAGCACAGCTGCGGGGCGCGGAGTTAGTTGTTGCACGACACACAATGCCATCGCTCGGCTTCCTCAAGAAGAAGAAGACCAAGGACGATCTGAGCTCGCCCGTCACGTCTCCCGTCAAGGGCACCTTTGCTTCACCCACGTCGCCGACCAAGCTCAGCCATACCACCTCTGCCACGCAGCAAAGGAGCAGAGCCCCGCTTTATCCAGGGCAACGACCGCTGCTTCAGCTGCTGCATCGCAAGCCCTGCGCAATCTCAATCCTCCTCCACCACCACCCAATCCACAGCCCAACCTCAGTCGTCGCTTCCCTCGACTGAATTGACTCCTCCTCAACCCGCCCAAACCACCCAAGAGCAGTCAAAGTCGGCCGAGCCCATGCAGCACCAGCAATCATATCCTATCCAGCAACAGCAGGCGCAACCGCAGATCCAGCAGCCACAGCAATCCTACCAACAGTCGCAACCATATCAGCAGCAGCCACAGCAGCCGCAGCAGAATGCTGCTAGCATCCAAAACCTCATCAACCAACCCTCAGCACAGCCCAAAAATCCCCACGACTCTGCATACATGGCCAATGGTGCCATGGAGAAGCCCAAGGTAGTCTCCAACCCCGTGCGCGAGACCAAGGGCAAGTACACTCTCCAGGACTTTACCATCAACCGCACTCTTGGTACCGGCAGTTTCGGACGCGTACACTTGGTTCAGTCCAAGCACAATCAGCGCTTCTACGCCGTCAAGGTTCTGAAAAAGCAACAAGTTGTCAAGATGAAGCAAGTCGAGCACACCAATGACGAGCGTCGCATGTTGCAAAAAGTCAAGCATCCCTTCCTGATCACTCTTTGGGGCACATTTCAAGACTCCAAGAACTTGTACATGGTCATGGACTTTATCGAGGGTGGAGAGCTCTTCAGCTTGCTGCGCAAGTCTCAGGTTCGTTTCTCTATCTGGATTGTCATTTCCATTGCAACGCAACTGACTCGAAATATAGNNAGATTCCCCAACCCCGTCGCCAAGTTCTACGCAGCCGAAGTCACCCTCGCTCTCGACTACCTGCACTCGATGGACATTATCTACCGTGACTTGAAGCCTGAAAACTTGCTCCTCGACAGACATGGTCACCTCAAGATTACCGATTTTGGTTTCGCCAAAGAAGTTCCTGACATCACGTGGACTCTCTGCGGTACTCCAGATTATCTAGCTCCTGAGGTTGTCTCATCCAAGGGTTACAACAAGTCTGTTGATTGGTGAGTTTGCTTTGTTGCCACCAGCCATGTGTCCTGCTAACAATCATAACACAGGTGGTCGCTCGGCATCCTCATCTTCGAAATGCTTTGCGGTTTCACGCCTTTCTGGGACTCTGGCAGTCCCCTCAAGATTTACGAAAACATTCTTCGCGGAAGAGTCAAATACCCTCCCTACGTTCATCCGGATGCTCAAGATCTTCTGAGCAAACTCATCACCCACGATCTGACCAAGCGTCTTGGTAACTTGCACGGTGGCAGTAAGGATGTCATGCAGCACCCTTGGTTCGCCGAGGTCACCTGGGAGAGACTGGCAAAGAAGGATATAGATGCTCCTTACGTACCCCCAGTCAAGGGTGGCCAGGGTGATGCAAGTTTGTTTGACAAGTACCCAGAAGAAACTGAAGCATACGGAAGCATGGGCGACGATCCGTAAGTTTTTCCTCCATGTTACATCTCACGATTCCATGTACTGACATTTTTGTTTTCTAGTCACGGTCGTCTCTTCCCCGACTTCTAAACAACGCGCAGCCAAGATTTACACTTTTGGCAAGGATATGACACGAAGCAAATGCATGGCAGAACGACCTGTTACGAGACAGGAGAAAGCGTGTTCACGAACAATATCGCAAAGGGCGAGCCAGAGTCCAACACGGTGGGAATGGCACAAGGAGGGATTTGTAAAAGAAGGGCGGGTCGGAGCATTTCCCAGGCTTGCTTCCGGACCAAGGCCATGAGGCAGAGGAACTGGGGCTTCTCTCTTGATCACCATTTTGTAATTCCTTTGGCTCTTTTCATCTTTCCTGAGATTATCTTTTTTTTATACTATTATTTCTTTCTCTATTTGTTTCTTTTTCCCTATTCACAAAGCACTGACAAATCCTTTTTAGTTATTCACTTTTTGCTTCGAAAATAACAAGACTTCATGCTATTCTCTCTCATCTATTTCGACTGTTCGTCTCTTTTGCTCGTCTGTCTTGTTCGTCTTTCTAGGCATCTTCTTAGTTGACATTGCTTGCTCTTTGCCAACACTTAGAGAGCAGGGCTCGAGCGAACGGTGACACACTCCAGGTTAACACGATATTCACAACCGGATCTGTGAAATGGAATTTTGTTTGGTCTCAAACACAATGAGATTGGGCATCGGTCTTGTGGAATAACACTTAGCAAGAACCATTCTAGTTGTGGTGGTGTTGTTCATCGAGAGATCAAGTGTTGGGGATGTGTGATTGTTGTGTCTGCATCCAGCTTTGGCTTGTAGGTGAGGTGAGCCACTAGGTGACTTGTCGAGGGATCTCGTGTTGGCTCTTTTTCCTCTGGATGATACTAGTATGGCTGGCTAAAGGTGTGTAGAACGAGGCAGCCTTAGCTCTGAGCAAACATTCGATATAAAGAAGGCATAAATACTAATAACAACATCATGAACCCATCTTAGATCCATTCAGCAAAGTACGAACTATCTAACCCTCAATCCTGACATATACCTCCCACCACCACTCTTGACGAACCATCCAGCCGCTACCACAGCAGCAACACTAACCATACCGATGGCACCCAAGACTCCATTACTCACCACCGTCTCCTCTCTAACCCTACCAATTTTATCTATCTTCCTGTTTTGTAGCAGTTTCTTTCCATCACCCTCGATTTCATAGTCCTCCCAGTTAACAGCAGAGATCATTTCTTGATAGTCGACGACGTTTCTGCTCCAGTTGTTTGTAATAAGACCTTCATCAGTTTTATACCAAGATTGACAATTTGGGTCTGCGAAGGCGGAGGCTGAGAGTTCGGATTGGAGGGTGGTGTTGAAGTCTTGCATGCGTTTTTCTTTTGGTCGTATACTCATTGCAAGGCCTTGTTTTCTTGCTTGCAACACGGGAGAGATTAGAGCGTTGATGTAGCGGGATTGTGCTTCGATCATTAGGATTATACTGTTGTGACCGAGGTTTGTGTTTGGTCCGTACAGCATTGCGAAATTGTCCATGGAGGAGACGGTAATGCCGTATAGAGCTTTTGCTCCGGAGCTCCAGACTTGAGAGAGTGGTGTGTTGTTGTGACCGACCATTTGTATCGGATGCATAAAGTCCAGGGTCTCGAATCCAGTAGCCAGGACAATGAGATCGTAGTCTTTGGCTTCTCCTTTNTCGGTCTCGATACCGCTGTTGGTGATGGACGAGATCTTGTCTGTGATCAGAGAAACGTGTGGAAGGGCTAGGGCTGGGTAGTAATCATCACTGATGATGATCCTCTTGCATCCTGGATTGTAGTTTGGCCGCAGTTTCTCTTGCATCTCTTTATCGTTAGGGAACGCTGCGTCCAGCATATCTTGATTGTACTTGCGGACTTCGTCTGCACCTGCAGAAGACGAGTCTCCTATGATCCCATAGAACGATTCGCGGAAATCCATTTGGAGGGCTCGTTTGCGCCACATGAGGGGGNNAGGCACATATTTGAATAGATTTCTTGTCCAAGATGGGATGGGAGCATCCAGTCGAGGTATCAACCAATTTGGGGTGCGTTGGTAGATTCCAACTTTACTTGCCACTTTTGCGATTTCGGGGATGATTTGGACGGCTGTGGCACCNTGTATATCGTTTAGACTTGTGTTTCCATCAGGAAGCTTGTAGCACGACTCACCATTGCCAATAACGGCAATCTTCTTGTCTTTGAGATCATAACTCCAATCCCAACGAGCAGAGTGAATAACCTTGCCTCCAAAATCTTTCAATCCAGGAATATCCGGCCACTTGGGAACATTCAATTGACCAACCGCACTAACCAGAAAGTCGGCATTGATATCGTATTCAGGGTTGAATTCTGCATCTTTGCTTCCTTTTGCTGTGCTGACGTGAATTCTCCATTTCTTGGTGCTGTCGTTCCAGGTTGCGGTTTCGACGGTGCTGTTGAAGCGGATGTGTTGGTAGAGGTTGTATTGTTGTGCTATGCCCATTAGGTAGGAGAGGATCTCTTCTTGGCCAGGGTATTCGCGGGTCCAGTCACTGTTTTGGGCGAAGGAGTATGAGTATAGTTGTGACCAAACGTCGCAGCAGGCACCCGGGTACTTGTTGTCGTGCNNCCTAGAGTGTGTTTGATCAGCTTCTGTATATGCTGAGGTAGGATGCCAGCACCAGTCGAGGTGTTCAAATAACTTACATGTACCGCCGACTCCACTGCTCTTCTCAAGGATGATGAAGTTCTTGCAATTGTTTTGTTTGATCAGATCGATAGCTGTGCACATGCCTAGAAAAGATTCAAGTCAACACTGAAAATCTCTAGCCATTGCTGGATCTTTGTATCTACCTGATATGCCAGCACCTATGATCACGACTGCTGCATTGGCATGGTCCTTATTTCCAATTGGCACTTCGGGCCAAGGTTTGTCTCCGCTCATAGTGTTTGGATGTGTATTGATGCAGTCAATTGAGATATTTGCTGTTTATGTGCATATCCAATGGGATTGGATAGAAGGACCTAGAGAGCATGGCTGAATATGTATCTTGTCCCTCTCCGGAAGTCGAACATCCGGCTCGTGACATCCGCACACGGGACTCATGGTTGCAGTGACGATATGTGTATGCACAAATGGATCGCCAACCTTGGTTACTTGTGATGGTGTCGAAGAAGGTGGGGTTGTAGGGCTTGAAGAAGAGGGGTATGCCTGAGATCCCCTCAATGGCAGCCTCGGCCGTCCCAAAACAGCAATCTTCGACTTCGGACTCTGGTAACACGACAGCGAAGATATGCATCGCAATTTTGATATATGAAGGACATAATTCGAGTCATGTTCAACTGACATGAGATGACAGAAGACTCGCTGATTCAGCAGAACCCATAAGCTGCCAAGAGTAGATATAAAGATGATATGTCAAAGCCAAAGACTTCCTCACTTTGCCATAGATCTCCTCACATTCTCGATAAAGTTCTCAGGAGCAGGTCCATCGATCATAAGAGGAAAATCGGCATCTTCCCCCTTCTCGCGATACCTCTTGTATGCAGGTCTCTCAACAGCTCGTTTGAGGTACGGCAAGATGTTGTTATACGGACTCAAGTCGATGCCGTAGAATGTACGCATGGTGGTAAGGGTGAAGACAGTCATGATGTCTGCAGCAGTAAACTCCTTGCCTGCCAACCACTCATTACCGCGTCCCAAGTGATCATCAATATGTTGCAGATATTGGTCCATTCTGTCTGTGTAGCGTTTGAAAACATCGTTGGAAGTGTCGATTCCAGCAGACTTGAGAGACAACAAACGGCTTATGCCAGGCTGGAGAGAGCCATTTGCATAATGGAACCAGTAGAGGTAGTTGGCATAGGCTGGGTGCGAGGGTGGCAGAGCCAAACGACCGCTTCCATGCTTGTGAATGATATATTCGACACAGGCAGCAGACTCTCCCATGGTCAAGTCGCCATCCTGGATGACGGGAGCAGTACCAATCTCGGTGAGATCTTTGAGTGCTTGTGGAGAGAACAATGGGTCTCGACGATGTAGCTTCAGGTCGTATTCGATGTTTAGTTCTTCGCAGAGCCAGACGATACGCTCTGATTGAGAGACGCGCAGATGGTGGACGGTAAGCATGACGGAAGTTGAGATGCGGTATATACTGATAGAGGTATGATGAAGAACTTGGAAGAGACACAAACCAAATGATAGGAGATGGTGAATATATACAATTATGGACAATCTGACAGTGTTGGAAGCCTAGGATCGGAGGATGTCGGTGGGTCTGGGAGCTCAGAGGGTGTGGTATTAATTTGGAGGAAGGTGCCAAGGTTGGGGTCCAGGAATGACAGCGCAAGCTGGGGACGACAAAGGAAGCTCGACGCATCACCAACTCTCCATCTTTGATCCACTTGCACATCATCACACAAACAATGGCTCCTCCAGGTGCGTACCCGAGCTCGTCACATATATGATCAGATACTAACGACAATATGACAGAAGCAACACAGAACACGCCGCTCGCACCGTCGGTAGAAAAGGCCTACTACAGAAAGTGCATCGAGCTGAAGCGTCGCTTGAACGACGTCGAAGAAGCCAACGATGCCGCCCGTCAACGCAAGGCTCGTCTCAACAGAGCCATCATGAAGATGCGCCTCGAACGCGCCTTCTTGCTTGAACAACTCGCAAAACGTCTTCAAAACACAACCGACGGTCCCGACAAGGCTGCTGCAACCAACAACGCGAACAGCGACTAGAAGCCGCAGGAGAACTATCGACAACCCTCTTATCAACAACCCTACGAACCTTACGTCCCCCGCAGCGCGTCAAATGTCGCCCGAAACCACGTTGAACCTCCCTCCGCTGGCACAGACATCACAAACAAGCCCCTGGTGAAGTATCATCGTCTTCCCGGCGTTCTGTTACGCCAGCCAGGAGACCGCAGAAACTCCATCTGAACCGATTATCCCTGGCGGCCACAACTCGCGCACGACATATCCATACAACGATTCTACTCGGTCTACCACCTGCTTGCTTGTCCCGCACATTCGTCTCGATCGTCTTTTATTATCCATCATTTACAATGGTCTGTCACTTGTCGACTGCTTGTGATTCTCAAACCACATATTCGCACTGCGCGAATCAGAGCTGCGAACTGCAACAGGCTATCGAGATATCATATGTATCTAAAGCTGGCCATTGAGTGGGTTATGCGGTGTGCCGCGGCCTCCGGTAGATGCTGGAGGCTGGATTGTAATTCTCAGACTTGTGATGAACAAGACTGCATGGAACTGATTTTCTTTCAAGGAAGAGGTGAATGTCCTACCTCTCTACTGTAAAGGTATTAACCAGACCGCTTTGCTGCTTCTTCACCTTGTTCCTTGGTGCTCGAAGGCATCTCGCACATGCCTTCGCCTCTTGTACCTTTGTGGAGTCTTAAAATCCCCAGGCGAGGAATCCCTGCCGGTAGTTCATCAGTACTGTATAAATCAATACCGGCAGCATCGGCTATCATTTCCGCCTGTTCTTTCAAATCCTGTAGTGTCTCCTTGCCTTCTATTGCCTCGAGTATCTCGGCGTGGTAACTCCATGGTCGCGCCGTATGAAGGTATTCAGCGTTGGTCGTGCTGACTCTCTTTGCTTCCGTGATCGTCTGACATGCTGTCAGAACCTCGGTCAATCTGGCCTGTGCTTTGCGAGGATCGAACAGAGGATTCACTATGGCGGTGGGATCTGTGCTGTCGCCGAAGAGGTCGAGTTGTTTCGTAAGTGTTCCCTCTGGGTAGATGAACTGTTGCAAGTGCAGTTCGGCCAGCGCTATGCTCGCGGGCAAGTAGTAGTTCACACTGGCTGCCCATAGCCATTGATGTGCGAGTTTGATGCGCAGCTCGGGCTTATTTGCAAAGGCATCGTGGTGGTGGATGTTTGCTTTTGGATTGAGATTGAGATTTGACTTCCAGAGGAACGAACCAAAGCCCTTGAGTTTATCGAGGAAAGAAGTTTGTGGCTCGGAGGGAGCAGCTGAGTTTGCATAGTACTCGCCTAACTCGAAGGCGGCGATAAAGTGTCCGCTGGCAGCGGCTTTGGTGATGTTGTAGAGCCAGTCGTGTGTGTACTGGCCGCCTGTCATGAATTTGTCTAGACGGGCGAGGTTGAAGTAGGCCATTGGGTCATCTTGCTCTTGGCCTACTACGTAAGCTTTCATGGCTGCCACATATTCGCCCCGTGTGTGATGAAGGAAACCCAACTCGATCCATGGTGATGAAAGCTCGTCTCTGATCTTGCTGTACTTGTCTCCCATCTGTGACCCATCGTCTTTGCTGATCAAGTCGAGAGCTTGTTCGTACAGAGTGATGGCTCGATTGACTTGGTTGGCGTGGCGAGCCACATTGGCCTCCATGACTATGGCACGCAGATTGCCAGTTTTTGAAACGGTCCGTAGGCGGTCCAGGGCTATCATGACGGGGCGGGATCTCATAATGCTGGGATTGGTTTCACTCTGACGCAGAGCAGAGGCGACGACCTGAATGACGGCCTCAGCATGACCAAGCTCGGCACAGAGGTTGACCATCTGTCGGCCAGTCTTTGCACATCCCACTGAGCCCTTGTTACGCAGGGTGAAGGAGAGATCGTAGATATCGTCCAGCGAGGTAGAAGGGAAAAGCTCTATGTAGGCCTGGAAATTGAGCTGGAAAGTTTCCAAAGGTGATCGGTGCGGGTTCTCGCGCACATCGGTTTGCCAGTGGCTCAAGAATTCAGATTGAGCGTAGGTTATGTCTCTGGCAACTTCCAAAGTTGTGTTGCACAGTTTGGCCTTTGTCACAGCGTCCCGTCTACTCATTTTTTCTAGCTGTGCATACTTGGCCCTCGCATGGTCACCAGCCTCTTGTCTTTCCGCGCGAAAGCTGTCGAGCTTAGCCCGTTCTTGAGGTGTGAAGACGACGTCGTCTTGTTTGGCTCTGTATTTGGCCCGCGAAGAAGGCGCCATCTTCCATCTGTTCGATGCCATCCTCTTTTGACTCTGAGAAACACATAGTTCGGTGGCCAGTATGCGCCGCGGCGCTCGTATGCTGGCAGCGAGTAGCGACATGATGCGGGTTGCGTCGAGTAGTCCACGACGGGAGTACTGGCAGGCGCCAGTCCTGGGATCGAGGTTGGAGCAAGTCGACCTAAGTGGGTGGGCAGATGGAAGGTAGAGTACCTTGGTGGCATGAAATCGACAAAGTCCAAGCTTCACAAAACTTTATCCCATGAACCGAGCTATGCAAAACGTCTATCACCAAATATTTATGCACAATCTAAACACACGGATACATGCAGCCAGGACCAGGACCCAATTAACAAGTTTTTCTCTCGTCGTGTTTTCAAGCGGTGAGCTGCTAGTTTTCTCATAACGCTGTAAATATTCTGTTGGTGACTCTTGCATTTATCATGGAGCAAGTTCAACAACAGTCAGGTCTTCCTGGCCAGCGCTACAGCATGCATCGCATTCAGCATCCACAATTTCAACAGGGTATGCAAGTAATGCCACAACCCAGCTCACACCAGAGACGAGATAGTGGCTATTCTCAAAATCATTCTTCGCAGACCTATGGCCACCCTATTCACCATACAAGCCAAGTTGCATCGCCAATTGTTCCATCACAACATGCTCCAAATGGGTTTATGACACCAAGTCCAAGTGTAGCTCCACCCAACAGCTCAATGGTCCATCAACCAAATTCAGATTCTGGTTTCGCCAATCTTGCCATCAACCACATCATGCAAAGATTTGGAAGTCTATTTGCAGGCTATGAAAGCACAACACAAAGCCTTTGCGGCAAAGTCGATCTTGTTCAGTCTGATTGGGACAGCTCGAAAGCACAGTTATATCCTTGTGTCGTGACATCGATGCCAAGCTTCAGAGTACTAGAAGTCCAGCCGTCGAGCAGAGGGCGACCGAGGTCGAGAGAATCAAGGATTCATCGAAGAATGTCGGTGCTATATATGCCTGCGAATTTGGCCATGTGGTTACTATCCAAGGCAAAGCAGATACATCTGCGACTGATCAGGAGTTCCAAGACCCTTCCAACTCTGACCAACATCCCGATGTGCTTACCGAAGGACAAGATTCAAATTCAGGGATCTTCCATGGCTCCCTGAGACAACGACTTGACTGTATGGCTAAGCTGGTATTCACCGAGCAGATCGGGAACAAAGCAACCACTGATTGTTTCAACAAAGTCTTTGAGATGCTTCAATCCGTCTCAGACCACTTTGCAAATGTCGCTACGAAACAAGATCTTGAGGCTTTGCGTGCAGGAACAAGGCAAGATCTTGAGATGTTTCGCAGAACATTGAGGCAGGATCTTGAGGCCGACCGAAAGGCAACCGTACAGGATGCCAGAACCCTTTTGAGGAGATAAGACAGGACTTCGGATCTTTTCGAGGAGAGATCAAGCAGGAGTTCGAGACCATCCATCACAAACATGATCAGCATGTGTCAACCACCGACCACCGACTTAATGAATGCCTTACCACCCAAACAAATACTCTTGAGGCTTTCAGAAGTTCTGAGAACCGATTAGAACAAGAGATGTCAAGTGTCCGAGATACGCTGAAAGGGTTGATAGACGTCGTCACCGCAAGACTACCAGTCATAGAATATCAGCCTGAGGTTGTTGAGGGACATCCACCTGCTTTTTCATTTGCCCAACTCGCCAAATCGATTATGATCCATCCGATGGAGCAGTGGAATGTGCAAACATGCCACCTGAAGGCACACACGTTCTTCCTTGGCAGGGAAGCTCACAGCAAAGTCCAGTTTCATCGTCCGCTGCCCCGGTCGATTCCAGTCGTGCGTATCTCGAATCGATACCTCTCATCCTTTCTGAGATACGTAACATGGACCAGAAACTCTTGGACCTGACTCTGAGGGTTGAGCAGCACGCGAATCGAGCAACACCTACGGAAATGCCTGTACAGGCCACACAATCCATCGCAGAAGTCACCCAGGCCTGCGACGACACAGACTCCAGCCTTTTGTCTTCAAGTCGAGAATTTGTCGGTGATCGAGACAAAGCTCCAGAAATCTACAGCAATGGAATATGTCCAAAGACACTCGCAAATCTTCTTCGACCTTACATGAGCTCCTCAAGTTCCAGCTTGGGAAGAAGTCAAGAGCCTTCGATCTCGCCTGCAATGTCGAGGGCGATGTCAGAAGAAATGCCAGTCCAGCAAGTCCCAGAGAGAGACGACGTCCGGATTGAAGGTAGATCGAGGCTTCATCAGAAGAAGAGACAGAAGGAACAGAGGATTAAACATCGGGTTGATATCGATGGTGTGTTTGGTTCCAAGCAGTTGTCGTCTAGGATGCCAGCTTTGGTGAGTAGTAGTAGTGGACTTGCGCATGGACAGAAGGTTCAGAAACGAAAGTGGGAGGCGTCAGAGATTCCTCAATCTCGAGCGGACTTGCTGCAGCAACAACAGCAAGCGTACCGCAAGAAACAAAGGAAGTGAAACAATCTCAGCTCGATGTAACTGGCGCGCAACGTGTGTGCATGTCATCTATACCCGATAATAGCTCCGTACCGGTCTTCCAACAAACGTCCAAACCACAGAACCACAAATTGGCTGGATCTCAGATTTGTACATGGCGAGATACCAAAACTTTCAGGCGGCTATCGAGACGTCGGCAGTGGAGTGGTGGGCTCTGTCTTGGTTGAACTGCACGTGAGAGATGTGACGAGAATCAGGCGAGACCGACAACTTGCAGGAACCTCCAAAACGGGTATTCTTTGTACTCCTTCACCCCGCTTAGCATGAGCAATCTCGAGATACATGGCACTATACAACGGCGACGAGTACTTGTATCGAAGGATTGCATATTTACCATGTATTGGGGTTGGATGGCGACCGAGCTTAAGACATTCTCAAAGCCAGGGAGGTAGCAAAATGGTATGCAATTATAAAAGTGCAGATGATGGAGCAAACGGCTGGGCCTTGAACATGTTTAGTTTGAGGCTCTGCCGCGCTGAATCAGTTCGGATTGGGCCGGATGCCATTGGTGACGTTTAGCTCCTCCCCCACACATGACAACTACTCCGCACACGCGGGATGGACAGAAAATCATATGCAACGGCGGTTTCGAGGTCGAGGTTTGGCTAACCCAACAGGGTGCTATGTTTTGTGTGTACATGTGCGATGGCTCGAACTCCTTCGGATTGGCGTGTAACGGTCAGGGGCTGGGGGAATTCGCAGAGCAACCAGATGGGCGATGGCAAGACGATGGTTGAGTATGTATGCATCACGCCTGGCCCAACCAATTCCATCTCTCCAGAACTTGGAAGGTCCAAGTATCTCGACTCCGCATTCCTGGTTTTCAAGTTTCTTGTCGTCGTGTGCGCAGAGCTCTTGACTGTTTCGCGACCACTTCTGTTTTCTTGTTTCCATTCTTGCTATTAGGCGTCTATCGATCTTCCCTTACACCTTGCTGCCGCGGATCGTACATACTTGAGCGCGTCCGATTACTTTGTATCCTTGGCAGAACAATAATAACGTCACAGTGAGTGAGCTTTGGTCACCAGGGCTCACGCCATCTCACACATACTAGACAAGGAAGGCGACGCATTTGACCAGGTCCACCTGCCTCGCGTAGAGTCGACTGCGTTTGACATTTGGGTACGTATTTCTGATGCCTTCCACGACTCTATTCGTGACAGGACATAACATCCTGCCCAATCCTCCACTGGATTGATTCTCGAACCTATCAAGTCCTACTCAGCTATCATTCTCCAAACAACCGAACTGACATCATGGTTCCGACAGTAACAACTGCATCGAACAAACCATCCTCGACCAATCTACAAGCTCCAGTCTTCATCGACAAACCAGGACGTCTGTCACCTCGTCCTAGTTTCACATCCAACAGACCTTCGTGGATCGGACCACAGCACGAAGCACGTTCACTCGCTTCCGGATCCTCCAACATGGCACAGAAAGAAGAAATTCAGTACAGCCACCCTGGCCTCCAACCTCCTGTCTTCATTGCTGGTTCCATGTGCAAGCCGCAATGGGAGCCGATAGAGATGAAGTACACAGAGAAGGATGATGGAGAACTCGAGTTCGAGCATGAGTTTGAAGCAGAACCTGGAGAGTACCAGTACAAATTCCGCCTCGGCCCTGGTGACTGGTGGGTGCTCGACGAAACTAAGCCGACTGGTGAGGCAGAAGCAAGTTTACAAGTGAAGGCGAGCATTACTAATGGTTGTACCTTAGTCGACGACGGAACAGGCATTCGCAACAATTTGCTTGTCGTGGAACCCAGGCCTCAACAACCACAAATCACTAAGCCTCACGAAGCTGAAGTTCAACAAACAAGTCAAGAGAAGGATGTGCCGATGTCAATACAAGTCACAGACACTCAAGACAAGCATGCTGAGCTAGTGGACGACCTGGACGATGATGACGACATCCCCGAGAGCGAGAAGAACCTCTTCAGGCATGAGACTGTTCAGATACCCGAAGGTACAGGCGAGAGCGATAAAGAGGACGAAGACGTCGAGGATGACGACGAGCAAGTTGAAGAGCCGCCGCTTTTCGAGCACGAAGTCGGTCCCCGCGTGGATAGCCAATTCGGTACACCATCCAAGACCAACAACTTCAGCTTTGATAATGTCACCGAATCACCAGTCGAGGTCGACGATCCCGCCGACGATGAGCGCGATGCTCCTTGCCCTCTCTTCAGACATGAAACTGGTACCTCGCATGACACAGACCCCGACGAGGCACCGCTGTTTGCCCATGAAAGCATGTCTCCAGTCATGTCCGCAACCCCTTTCTCGCCCTCATCGCGCAAGCAACGCAAGCCCGATCTTGAAGATGTCAACGATCCCTCCCTCGAACCATTCCCTGTCGATGAGGCTGGCATCCAAGCTCGAATTCAGCGTGTCGCAACGCGCCATCGCGAAGATGAAGTTGTGTTTGAAGGAACTCCTCCTTCGCCTTCCTTGGCTCAGACAAAGTCTTTCTCGCCTCAGGCTCAACCCGACCTAACGCGTATTGAGTCTAGTGATCTGAGTCATCTTGACGCTATCGACGAAACAGAAGAGACAGACGAACCAGACGATGTACCCGCCGAAAAGCTTGCCGAAAAGAAGGATTCTTTGGTACAACCTGTCCCCATTAACATCCAGGTTCGGGATGTTTCCGAGGTCGACAATAACCCTGCATTCACCGAGGTTCCAGATGTTTCGAGTCGAGGACCGCCTACACCACCAATGACTCCTACGGAACATGTCACAGCCAAGGCTGCACCTCACGATGGAGCATCCGACTCAAAGGAAGCGCCCGTTCCTGTGGCAAGCCCTCGCTCCCGTGAAGACAATGCCACAGATCACATTTCAAACCGCCCCGCACCTTCAGAGGCTTCAAAGGCTGTCAAGCCCTCCAAACGGGATGATGTAGAACTCAGCTTTGCTTCGAAGGCATGTATCTGGTTCATCGGTCTCTGTGGTGGTAAAATGCGTGCAGCGTAAGTGTATGGCCATTGTAGACAACAAAACATTGCTAACTCTCTGTGCAGTGGAGCTGCCATCGCTATGGGTGTGGCCGCAGTTGCCTTCGCATTCAACACACGTTCTGCTTGAGCACTTCGGGGATTCTCCAAATCCTCATTCGCAACCTGTTTCATCAACAATTTTCGTATCTCATTTTCCTTTGTTCTTTCTTATGTTAATCATACCTCAGAGTCGATTCTACCCAACACAGCGGGCGCAGGGCATGGGTCCAAAGGGTCGGATGCGGTTTTATCACGAAGCATGTGATTATGGCTAACTCTCAACGACATTCTACAATGCGATGAACGCGGAGAACGCTGCCGAAGCACGCGCAGACGGGTGCGGAACCATGATGACCATTGAAGCTAGGGTGTTGTCTCGCTTAATATATTTCCTAGCCTCCGAACCATATTTGATATGAGCACTTTCTGCTCTACTGCATGCATTTCACCAGTCCTCTTCAACAATCACTTTTATATTCAGCGGCCTCGGCTTAGCTCGTCGACTCAGTACTCACCCAAGAGCGGAGGTCGCCGAGGAGATGCAAACCTACACAACGCCAAAAGCTTCGACAGAGGCTTGATTGTCTCAATATGAGAAATATCAGACGCCCAATTCCAAGGACCAATCCTTGTAGGGTGAATAGATGAATGACAATGGGCGTGATCGAGATATTACAGGGAGGCTTGATGGTCTAGAGAAGAATTGGTCTGGTTGCTGCCCTAACCAGGCATTTTATCAACGGTAGAAGCTCCGGCATGTCCGCTTTCCTTGCCCGAGCTTCACCCCACCTAGCTAGCTCGATCTCGGTAAGGGTGCCCACTGCTGTGCATACTTGGTGGATAGGTTGGGCCACGAAGTGGGTTTTTTCTTGGACATAAGATGCTCAAAAAGCACATGGTTGTCCTTCCTTTGACAATGTACAGAAACATGCATGGCGTGTGTTCAATGGATTGGGGCGCATAACTCAGGAGATCGGCTGGGGGCCCATCACCATACTGGCTTCCGTACTAGCGTGTATAGCTCGAATAGAGATACGGTTGGGAATTGGTTATCACGGTGATCAATCGCTGTCAGCGCGGGCCAAACGAGCTGTCATGGAGCAACTTTTCCATGGAGGAGCTGGCTGGGGTTGCCCGCACCTCTTGCATTGCCGATAATCGAATAACTCCCCAGGCCCCCATAAAAAGCTAAGAGCCGCCTGTTCGTTCTTGACTTTGAGTCTTGCTCGTCCAGTACCTCTCGTTCAAACCCGTGCAACTGTTACAATGTTGTCTAAATCTTTCGTTGCTCTGTCCCTTCTTTCGTCGTCGGTGTCGGCTGAGACTGTGCTGGGAGTGTATATGTTCCACAGACATGGAGATCGCACACCAAAGGCTCTTGCTCCGGCCAACTTGACCGATCTTGGTTACACTCAGGTCTACACTTCTGGAGACTACTACCGCAGTCGTTACATCGATTCGGAAGCCGACCACAAGATTCTGGGCATCAACTCCGATATCGTCAAGCAGTCGCAGATTAGTGCTTCCGCTCCTTCTGATACTGGTATGTCTTTGCATATCTCCGAGGAGAAAACGCATTGGGAGCAAAGTTTCTCTGACTCATGTTATGCAGTTCTTCAAAACTCGGCCACTGGTTTCTTGCAGGGTCTTTATCCTCCTGTTGGCGAGGGTTTGGGTTCTCAGACTCTCCGAAATGGATCTAACGTGACTAGCCCGCTCAATGGCTACCAACTCATTCCTTTGGCCTTGACCACTAGCGGTGGTGGCAGTGAGGACAATGGCTGGCTTCAGTCTGCTTCTGGCTGTGCCAATGCTGTCAGCAGTTCCAACGAGTACTTCTCTAGCCCTCAATACACCGATCTGCTTGCCAGCACCCAGGACTTCTACAACAGCCTTATTCCTGTGATCAATGGCACTTTCAGCGAGAGCCAGATCAGCTACAAGAATGCCTACACCAGTAAGTTGTCAAGTCATGTGTATTCATGGTCAATGCTAAAAGATGATATCCAGNTCTACGATCTGATCCATGTTGCTGAAATCCACAATGCCACCATCAACTCATCTGATGTGCTTACTCCTGAAGTCCTTCACCAGATCCAGTCTCTGGCAGATGAACACGAGTGGGGTCTCGCTTACAACTCCTCCAACGACATGCGTGCCATCGCTGGCAAGGTGCTCGCTGCTGAAATCGTCCAATTCCTCAACGGCACCATTACTTCCCAAGGCAAGAGCAAGTTTGGTGTCCAGTTCGGCGCCTACGGAACCTTCTCTTCCTTCTTCGGTCTCGCCGACTTGCCAGTCACTAACCCTGACTTCTTTGGTATGACCGATTATGCCTCGTCCATGGCTTTCGAGCTTGTTACCAATGCCAGCACTTCGCCTTTCCCTGCTGCTAGCGATATCTCCGTTCGTTTCTTGTACCACAACGGTACTGCCAACGCTACCAGCCCACCTACTGCTTACCCTCTCTTCGGCACTGGCAATGAGCTTACCTCATGGAACGACTTCGTCACCAACATGGACAAGTTCAGTATTGGCAGCACACAGGCCTGGTGTACCGCCTGCGGCAACAGCACAGGTACTTGTGCTGCCTACGCTCCTGCCTCTTCCTCTTCTTCCCCTTCCATCCAGAACAAGGAGAAGAGCGGCAATGGCTTGAGCCCTGCCGTAAACGGTGTTATCGGTGCCATGGTTACTCTGGCTATTGTGCTCGGTCTCGAGGCTTTGGTGCTGCTGGTCGGTGGATTCAAGGTTGTCAGCAAGAAGACTCTTGCGGCAAGCGCTGTTACCGCTGAGACCGTTACTGGTGGCAAGGCTGCTTAAAAGGAAAGGCAACGAAGTTGATACATTTGCTTATGAGTAATTAATGAGGATTGTGGGAGGGAAAGGAGGTTGTGGTTGAATGCTTATGACTTCTCGCTCACGTAGTTTATAAAAGAAATGATGAGAAATGTTCGTGATGCAGCTTTCTGAGTATGTGCAATTTATGTTTTGCTCTGCTATGTTGTTATCCCTTTACATTCTGTCTTACGATTTAAAGTGTCCTGTGTGATCCACACCCATCAAGCGTTGTCGAAATAGGAACAGGCGCAAGGAGCAAAGCCTGCACTTGGTACATCAGGGGCAAGAGAAATAGGATGCCAGTCTTTTCAATCGCATGTTGCTTTTATAGATGACGAGCATCAGTACTCTGCAACTAAAGATCGCTGTTACGTAGACAGAGTGCAGAAATCTCGTTTGAGTAGAGAGGGTGTGTTTTTCATTGAGAGGGTATCTTATCTCATACTTCGTGCTTCATAGTTCCGTGACTCCCTCCTGAGCTATTAAAATATTAGTACTCATATTTGACAAAAGAAAATAAAAGAAAAGCAGAAAAGCAAATGGCCATAAACGTCTGCATTGCAACTCCCCAGCAATGGTGTGAACGAGTGTCTTTCCCTTTCATGACTGTTGTGTTTTTGTATCTTTTTTTTTCCTCTTTCGATCAGCTTCATTGGCAGTTCTTTTCCGCCTGTCTCTGCATCTTCCTCAGAGCTGCTTTGTGTGGGTCATCAAGACGCCCACTTCTCATCGCGGTCTCAGCTTGGACACTTGTGCGGCGCCGTGCGTCCAGTCGTCTCTGGTTCTCGACCGCTTCACCAGTACCTCTTCTCTGAGTGTTTTGTAGGTTTTCTTTGTTTTGATTCCTCAAGTTCTCGTCGAACCCCATACGATGTATCAGAGTTGGTTGTCCCACAGGAAATGGGGTCGTCGACTGTGTTACAGGGAATGGAACTGCCGGGTGCGCTGATGAGAAAGGAATTGAAGATCGTCGTGGCGTACTTGGGGTCCACAGATTGCTGTTCTGCATGACAGTATTTGGATCGTTCACGCCACTAAGAGTGAACGCACCATTCGAATGGAAGGCCGCGCTCGAATGACGAAAAGGGGGCCCTGTGGGTTGGAAAGTATCACACGGAGGCATTGGGTAAGGCTTTCCTAGAGGCAAAGCGACCATCATAAAGGGAGGATAGTCTTGCACAGGTGAAGTTGCGATCGGGGTCGTTCTTGCTGTCGTGTTGACAGGTGATTGGCAGCCCACACTGCTCTGAGCACCGTGTCGATAAGATGATGTTGAAGAGACTTGGCTGTAGCTGACACTTCTTGCATGTATAGTCGCCCGTGCTTGAGAAAGTGTTATCTCGTCAAGATCTGTCGACTCAACATTGGAATTGCCGTCCACGAATTTGCCATGAGACCCAAAGTTTCTCNNCCTCGCGACGACGCCCTGAGTTTCATCACTCACAAAGTTGTTTGTGAGAGAAAGCTGGTTTTTTCTCTGCGTTGCAATTGTTGTACGGTTGTCCAGAAGGGTTGATCCAGTATCTAGCATCGGCAGTGACGAGTTACGCTTCTTGACCCTTGCGGATTTGACTGGTGTGGGTAGAACAGCTGTTTTGCCCTCGGTTGCTGAGACACGTCTAGACCTGCGCTTGTTCTGTTTGAGTGCACCCGCTCTTGACAAGCTGTGTTGCAATGGCTGTGCAGCTGATATCTCCTGGCTTTCTAATTGTTCAGAAGTATCCTCTGTTGTATGAGTCCCCTCAAATCCTGACCACACACTTAAGTCATTGTTTGCATCATCTGAACGTATGCTTGAGGGTCTTGGATTCCGCTCTGCCTGGTCCAGTGTCTGTCTCCACTCGCGCGTTCTGTCATCAATCTCCTCCCTTTTGACTGCGGCAAGCTTGGAGGAGTGTTGTAAGGGCTCATCGTTGCTAGGGTCGTTAGGAACCTCACGCAAAGCCATTCTTGTCGGTCCATGATGTGCGTATTGGAGCGGTTCGTCCGTGTCCTCTTGATCCGATGGGGCTAGATGTTGTTCGGTTGCCTCATTTTCATCAATTGGTTGCTGCGTGATGTGTTGCTCCCATTCTGATAAATCTTGTTGAGACAGCTTGGTTACTGCAGGTATGTCCTCTTCGTCTCCATATTGATTACTGAGTTGGATCGAGGACTTCTCTGCTGCGTCTTGATCAGGTACCACATGTCGCTCGTGGTCTTCCATGTCCGAAGCCAAGCTCACAGGGCTGACTCTTCCGTCTGAAGACGTGTCACATTGGTAATCTGCTTGTGGCACCCTGGGTGGCGGTGGGTATGAGGCTGGTTTCAGACTGGGATATCTCCGTGGTGACTGTGGACGCTGCGTCTGCAAGTCGTCTGTTACCGCACCTGCGCTCTTTCGAGGTGCTTCGACGGGCATAATGTCATCGTCCTGACGTTCCGGGTCGGCGATCGCTGCCGCGCCATTGTCACGCTTCATCTTGTCCGGTACAAAGCTCGCTGTGCTGTGAAATTTATGACCAGCTTTCGCAGGAGATGGTGGATCGACTTGTCTCTGCTCGACATAAGGCTTCTTCTTCTCTGGCTCCCGATATCTCTCTTCCCAAGCTGCACGCTCTTCGACGATGCCCTCTTGAAGATTACGTCCAACTTCAAGTTCATCATTTTCGTGTTTTTCTTTTCTNTGGGCAACTGCTGCTGCTTTTCTCTCCTTACGCGCTTTGACGTGTTTGAAGAATTTACCTTGAAACACCAATGCGAGAGCGAAAAGGACAGGAATCATGCCAAGTTCGGCTTTGATGCCTCTTGTCAAAGGATAGGTCGTGGTTGGGAAGCCGAAGAGTTGGACCCGGTGAAAGTCNTGTCAGAGGTTGGTTAGTTGGAGAACCTTATGATGCAGACTAAACATACCCCATGTGTATACCCAGAACTCCTTCAACCCCGCACGACTGTAACAATCGATTCCCAGAACAACTGCTGTGGTGCCGGAAAATGCTGAACAGACCATATAGGCTGGCTCTTTCGCCTTTGTGAGGAACGTCGGTGTGAGAGCAGTGTGGAATGTCGGCGCGAGAGCAGCGAGACACATGAGCGCAATGAACAGCCCGAGCATTGGAGATGAGGTGATGAGACCTCCTGGACACAAGACTTCGATCCACATGGCCATGCAGAAGCCTCCCACGACGCACCCAGAACGTTTCGCGAGCCATGGGACGTATTGTTGAAAGATTCCGCCAAGTATGATGCTGGGCAAGACGATCCCGACAAGGTATCCGCCTTGGACACCATTGCTAACATTTCCATCCGGTACGGACATTACATAGACGATCAGTACCNNTGCGCGGCGATCAGCATCGTGGTGCAACGGGAATGGTTACACACATACGGTAACACTAATGCTGGTGAGGTAGGCACCACTGAGGAACATGTAGAGCCTGNNCGATTATTGGTCAGCGAGCAAACATATGCGAGGTCATGCTGGCAAGAACCTCATGATCTTGATGCTGGCGCAGGCGTATGCGAGACCAGTCAGAATGAGCAAGGCACCAGCTATGCCGAATGCCGGTGTGAGACGTGGGTGAAGAGGCAGTCCATCGCGAGTAGAAGTGACTACATTTCTGGTTAGCATTAGCCAGACATTGCATGAACTCAGCCAAACATACCCGGTGATATTGCTGTCGTGTTAAGACCATTCGTGGCATTGAAACTTGCCGTTGCATTGGAACCGACGGTGGAATTGAGACCACTCGTCGTATTCAAGGAACTCATCTTCGCAGAGCAGAGCAGGCGCGACTGAGAAGTCCGCACCTCTGAGTGTCTGTTGGGCCGATCTGTGCTGGCGCTTCGTTCTCAGCCGCGTCGCTCACTTTTCAGAGAAAGGCATGCGCAGAGGAGTGGTGAATGCTATAAACACTATGACGAGCCAGCTGTTTCACGTTGGTGGGGGATGAACGTGATCACTATGATCCAATATCATGCTTTTAGATAGGGCAACAAGGGATTAGTTCATAACACTTTGGGAAACCTTAGAGGGCAATATGTGAATGTTTGAGGGATAATTGACGGAAGGGCAAGATAGGTAAGAGGACCTGCCCGAGGTAGACCGGTGCAAAGATTGCGGGCACTCGCATTGCCTATATAGGGCAGGGACGATATGCCTCGCAACTTCGACATCGAGTAAAGCAGGACGAGACCCGCGGACGTACGTGTAAGTGAATGCATGCAAGAACTCTAAGGACGAGTAAGCATGCAGAGTGATGAGCATCATACTGCCCGTTTAGCTTTAGATAAAGTTCTTGCCGCTTGCCGGATTGGATGCCTACTCTATCCAGCTCCACCGTGTCTCAAAAGAGGTGGTTGGAGTTGAACCAAACGAACGGCACGGGCTGCGCGAGCGGCTGCTGTCCGCCCGATGCCAGCGAATCGTCACTGANGCGTGGTGNCTAGGATCTACCGGCCATGCATAAACATATCCAAGTCTTCCAAGGTGTGGCTGCAACTTTTCNAGGTTGATGATTCCGGCGGAGAGGAGATCATAGATGGGGCTTGTGCTGAATGCAAGTGGAGTANNCGCACTTTGTCAACGGTTATCCCCACTCCGAGAACATGCGGAGGGGCTGACGATCACGCACAACCTGGCAGAGTCGCTGTCATCGCTTGCTTCCATTGTATCCGGCTAGATGACATGGTTCTTGCTTGAATAATGCACAGAATCATGCCGTACTCCCTTGCGCCTGTCAGCAAAAGCTTCATGCGATTGAAACTCTGTCCAAGGTACCNNTACTCGTATACCCGCGAGTCTAGTCCTCCAACTTTGACAACCGTTGCGCGTTTGCAAGACCATCCTGGATGCGCACAAAGATNNTACATCTCTAGACACGACTGGTTGACCGGTGGGTGGTCTGATGTGAACGGAGACCGGACACAGCACAGCGATGACTACGGACCCTACTTGCCCTACAAAGCATAGGGAATTATGAGGTTGTTACAGAGTGTAGTTATCATGCGGCGTATCACAGAGGCTGGATATGAGATGGCGGCTTTACACTTCGAACTCTATTTGCGATCACTATCAACGTTGCAACCCGGTTCAGTTGGCAGTCAACCTCCTAAGAACACTGAGCAGAAGACGAAGGACGACTCATCAACGAGCGAATAGTCCACCAGCAGATCACAGATCCATCGATACTTCGGCGCATCAATCAAGATACGCGATAGAGATGCACAACCAGGTATCTTCCAAGCCTGGTTATTGTACATCCTCATTCTCAACAGAAGAGAGTTGAGGACGGCGCTCGGTAGATGCTACACCGACTTCACCGCATTCTGACAGCCCTTGCACAAAGCTTTGTGCCAGCATATGCAAGCTTCAGCTGCATAACCTCTTCCCACCGAAAAAAAATCTCCTCGACTCCCAGATCTCAACCACTATGTTCCCTATCCGATTGGCAAAGGGATGCCCCCTGACGGAGTCGAACCGGCGACCTCGGCATGATCTAGACGATACTAGTGCCGCGCTCTACCAACTGAGCTAAAGGGGCTTGATGAGAGCATGGCCAGTGAGTAATACTATGTCTCAAAGTTGCGAGCAGACAAACAACCTCGAACGAAGACTCACTGGCTTGCCAGAGCTTCTCCAAAGCAATTCTTGCATGCTTCATGCTTAGATGAACAGATATCTATAACTCACCAGCTCGAAGGCCTGACATGAAGCCTGATAACATGCAACCCCGACTGCTGCTCACCGCTACTTGCCAAGCAGCATCTCCTCCATAGGAATAGAAGAACGGCGTGCTTGCAATATCTTTCGCTTACAAGTGCCTGCCTATCTCTGCTTCTCAAGTCGACCACCTTCTCGGGATTGAACATCATCCTCTAGGTGCTGGACCCTAATGCCCGGATCTAGCGGTCAGAGTCAGGCCACGCTCAACTACAGAAGACAAAGAAATATGAATTTCAAGCACGGAGACGACAAGAAGAAGTAAACCAGAGAGCATATCTGAAAAGATGACGATTTCAGCGAGCTTTAGGATCCCGAGCATCGCAGTAAATGTGTCCGCCATGAAGAAGTTTTGCCAATGATTCTCCGTGCTCGCTCTCTCAGGACAACCACTTTATATTATTGGAGCACAGGGTATTGCCGTTGTCACTCAGCATACCACCTCAGGCTCAAGCAAGAACGTCTTGGAACATTTGAACTGCGAATGCTAACCATGCAAGAAGCAATATCTCTCTTCCATCCATTTACCTCCTCACAAACCCTGCAATACCAATATTTTCGTAGCGACTCTGTCTTGCCCTTTGTCCGCAGCCTGGAGCATCGAAGCATTACTGCCAACATACAGAATACTATCCTTGAGTATCCCTTGCCGTACAGCAATCTTTGCCTGACTCGACTTCCTTCATCCGCTCTTCCATTCATCGAATGACTTTCCCAAGCCATGTTACGTAGAATGACTTGGTTCTCTGCCCTTTGATCGCTCTCGATTCTTGCTGTCGATCCTCTCGTATTTATGTTCACTTACACTATCATCTCAGGTGCCTCGAACACGATTGCCATAGTTGACTTATTTTCGCATTCGATGAATCAGCAACAATGCTTTTATCCTCTATTTCCTTCTAGTTGTCATTGTGTTCGCCAGTGACAACCTTCAAGGATCGAGTCACTCGATAGATGGCAATCGATACTCTTTCTCAGTCACCCATCGCTTTCCAATCCATCTTATTTGCTCGTTTGCTCTCTAACTATATGTCAAGTACGAACAGTGATACCGTTCACTCAAGCCAGACGAGGAGTCATATGCGACATGTGGTTGAAGTGATATGAAGTCAAGGTGAGATTGAAGCTCTCACAAACTATGCACAAAAGGGAAGGCACTAACCAAAGCTCTTACAAGATCGAATGCGCAACTACCATTGTGACATCACATGTGTAGTGCAGCCGCAACTGCCAGATAGCAGTTGCGGCTTAAGCGCTTTACTTCTCCCTCTTCCAAATGCGCCTCACCTCCATCAATCCATCTTCGTTTCTTCATTTCATCACAGCGCTGCAACCTCCTTCATGGAGCCCCCGTACATTCCAAAACCGAGAATCCGAAAGCCTACACGCTTTGACGGCGAGAGCAACAAGGCAGTCTACAAGGAGCACAAGGACCAACTCGAGACCATCGTTCAAAAGCCAGGCGCCACCTGGAGAAATGTTGAGTACTTTATGTGGTCCGAGGGTTATTTGAAGTTCAAGCCTTCAAGAATCTTTACATACACCTAGAATCGGATCTGGGAAGAGTATGTTGATCTATCTGCATGTCTCAAGCTATACTAATGTTATTTGGAAGCAGAGAGAGACTCGCAAAGAAGGCACTTGAACAAGCTACCTAACCGCTGCAACACAAAACGTTAAGCACTATGGCACCGCCGACTGCAAGAAGACCCGAAGATTCCAACCAGTCATCACAAAACAATGCCCAGATTGACTTCTATGACAATACAATGGCTGAAGAAGAGAAGGAGGAAATACCCATTGGAAACTTTGATGGCCGTCTTGGCTCTACACCTTCGTCTAAATCGTCTCTTCCTCTCCTAAGCAACCATGACCCTGTCTTTGGCTCGCCACTATTTTCAGCGGGTGTCGACTCAGAGGAGGATTAGGAGCTGTCCTCATCTGCAAGGCCGCCTTCGGACTTTAAGAGTAGCAATACAGCTTCAAACAGTCCAACTTTGGCTGTTACCCGTACAAGACGCAACCAACAGAGAAAGTCATATGTTTCGCAGCTGGCGCCACCTCGTCCTCGCCCTGAGATGTCTCGTGGTCCTATCAAGAAGAGAACAAGCAACAGACGAGCGCTTTCCGAACCTGACCCTGACCTAACTGACGACGACACTATTGCCGATGAGACGGACCTGGACCTAGACCTAGAAACCATTGTCGAAGAGACAGAGCTTAAGAATGACAAATACATTCGTCCTGGTCAGGTCAAGAGAAAGCGAAAGAGCCATCGCAACCCTGGTGGCAAGCGTGTTAACAATTCTGACAGCAATGCTGGCGGCAGTCGTGGTAGCAACAGCACTACTAACCCTTCGCCTACACAACAGTCACAGCAGGCAGTCGAACGCAGATTTCCGCCTCTGTCTCTAGCTGTAGTCGCATCTTCGAAGGTGATGCAAAACCGCTTTAGCATTGCCATTGTTGCGCCTTTGTCGCAACGAAGACAAGTCAAGTAGATTCATGGAAGGGGTAATCTGCAACAAGGTATTTATGAGAAAGTGAGTGAAGTTGATGGTCTGTTTCCATCAAATTTTATTATGTTGCATATAGCATTGAGAAGAAAGGTCTATGGGATGAATGGAATGCCAGTACCGACTCTCTGGCGATAACTACGATAATCATCACCAAAGAATTTGACTAGATCTTGTTCTTCGTCNTGGATCACCATTCATTAGCAACAGACCTATAGTATAAAATGAGCAAAAGACTTACTATTTATTCTGTCCTTGAAGAAGAACCACAGGATTATGAGATAGGACACACAGCAGATCTTATTCCCTACCACAATCTGTGTACCCACAGCAAAGAAGAAGTAGCCAAAGTAACTGGGATGGCGGAAGTAAGAGTAAAGACCTTCAGTAACCAAGACATGGTCGTTCTTCTTGCTCTTCGCAGGGATATGGTTGAAACTAACTCCTGCCTGCGCCATGGCAACACTGCGAACAACTTGTCCCATAATCACCAACGCCAACCCCAAGCCAACTGTGTATGTATTGCTGTAGCGATCTTGCAGGTCGGGGAAGAAGAGGGATGTAACGACGATTTCGATCATGGCGGCGACATGTGCGGCGAGGTAGGCACCTCCATTGCTGGTGAGGNNGAGGTAAGAGGACACCTTTGCATTGGCCGTGTTGTAGCGTGCGGTGGTCCAGAACTCGAGGAAGTGGAACAGAGAGAGTGTTGCGATGAACTCTGTGAGGCGCCAGATGCGGTAGCTGGAAAGTGCGAGCTGAACGGTGCCGATGCTGCAGGCAGAGAGAGTGATGCCTAAGCATAGACCGTGCAACGCGATTGACGAGATGGAGCGCGAGTTTCCTGGGTAGATAGTCGGGTCGACCAGGGGTGTTCGTGCTGCTATTGCGGTTCCATTGTTGTTCGCGACTGGCGATACTGGAGAAGGTAACGAGATGTTCGGGTCGCCTTGGTGCTCCATCTTTGATTGCGGTGTATAGACAAGATGGCAGCACTCGTTGGCGACAGCGCCTGGATTAAACACTCAGACTGGTCAGAGGCAGAGGTGCCAAACTTCTGGAATGCATGTGAACAATATCAGTGTCAGGGTCTCCCCACTAAACTCCACGAATGCGGCAGCCTTGGCGCTCTCTCACCATCTCACCAACCATTCGTATCATCAAACACACAAAGACAAATCTTGCAGACATTGTTCTTATCGTCATGCCTGGCTCCGAAAACAAAGCTAGATCTCTCAGAGGAGAGCTTTACCATGCATTCACTCCTGAACTAGTCGCAGAACGTCGTCGTTGTGCTCGCGCCTGCACAAAGTATAACAAAGCAGGAGAAGATGACACAATGACTAGAAGACGTCAGGTCGAGTTGTGGAAGGAGNTAAGTTGTCTTTCCTTTTGCACAACATGTATTTCTCATGTCTACGTCTACACGAGCACTGGTGCTTAGACGCAAAATAGCATCGTGGGAGATACCAGACCACTACCTCCGCGTAAGGAAGGTAGCACCGAAGATGAGGATGAAGAACTACTAGGCTCTGAAGCCTGGGTCGAGGCCCCATTCCACGCAGACTACGGCACAAATGTACGCCTAGGAGAGGGTGTCTTCATCAACTTCAATTGCACCGTTATTGATACGTGTCTCGTTTCTATTGGCTCGAGAACTCTACTGGCGCCGAATGTCAGCCTGTACTCTGGCACCCACCCTCTTGATCCTGATCTGAGGAATGGCACAAATGGCCCAGAGTCTGGCAAGCCCATCACAATCGAGGAGGATGTATGGATTGGTGGCAACGTGATTGTCTGTCCTGGTGTGACGATTGGACGTGGCAGTACTGTGGGTGCGGGTAGTGTTGTGACCAAGGTGAGTCGAACAATGTCCCAAATCATTNCAAGGACTGCACAGTGTGCTCATATGCATCAAGAATGTTGCACCCTACACTGTCGTAGCGGGCAACCCAGCAAAGGTCATCAAGCAGGCGCCCAGAAACACCACTACTGCGGAAGAGAGAGCAGAAATCCGACGAATCGCTGATGCTGCTTGAACTTGTCTCGCGTATCAGCTACCGTAGCAGGGAGTTCATGAATCTGTTATACTGCAAAAGGATCCCTCTGCGTCTCCGGTGCGGTGATTGAGAAGATTCTGATTGGAACCGCGGTAGGGTGGAAGAGGGAAGTCTGCTGTTCCATAGGAACCAGAGGGTAGTCCACCTCATGGACCTTGAATGCATTGTGTGCTTCATACAATTAGTCCCAGGGAGCTGTCATGACTTTTGGAGTCTTACCGCAAGCATATTCGAAAGCAGCAAATGTATCGGTGTTCCGGATGGTTGCTGAAATGATGATTCGGACATGAGGCCAGGCTTCGAACATATCTCTCATGGTAGAGACTAGTGCTGGAATGACTGCCTTGTCGTATGTCTGGGACAGAAATAAGCACAATTCTGTGAAGCGAAAGAATCTATAACTCACGACATCGGCACCAAGAACCAGATCACAAGAAAACGAAGGGTCTTTCTCATACATCCAAGACCCCTTCAAAGCTCGACCCCACCATAATACGCCAATGTCCATTGAATCCTTGACATCGTTGAAGGCTGCATTCTCTTGCAAGGCTTGTACAACACCTTCGTCACCATCGGTGGCTGTGACATGTGAAGCACCTAGATGGCTGGCACACAAGATGGACAATAGTCCTGTGCCCGCACCAAGTTCAATCACCTTCTTGCCTTTGATACTTGCTATCAGTTCGGGTGAGGAAAGCAGATAAGAAGAGAGGTGAAGGGCCGCTTCCCAAGTCCGCAACCCTGTAGTACCCGCACCTGAGATCACTGCACGATTCTCAAGCAGCTTCAGTTCAGGTTCTTTGTCTAAGATGGGCGAATCCTGACCGAGTGGTGTGTACGTTACCCAGTTTCGCTGCTGAGCAGCAGTGGCATCATCCGGCATGGGAGAAAACATCAGTTCAGCTAATGTGGACATGAGATTGTCCGATATTCCCNNTGATAACGACGAAAGCACAAACATCAGAAAAGCAGACAAAACAGGAATGAGACAAGACACGCTTACATCTTCTTCTGGATCTACTATGGAGTTCTCAATCTTGGACATGAGTAGCTTCAAGACACGAAGACGGTATCGTTCAGGAGGCAGAAAGTGAGAGACATCGTCTGTTTGGAAGAGATTCTCGAATAACCATTCTTGGGCTTGAGATGAGCGAAGAGTCTCTGAAGAAGGCCAAGTCAGGTTTTGAGCATCGAGCAGCTGCAGATATTGCCTGCGGAACAGACGAATCTGTTGCAGCGCTTCTCCTGACGGTATATCCTGGACCATGGTATGTAGACTATTACTGGTACCGTAGATGTGAGGATGGAAGGACGTAAAAATTCATGGTCGGCGTTGCATAAGCTTACATAAAAGTGAATAAAAGAAGCGGCTCGACGTCGGGGAAGGCGCGCTAGAGGCATGCAGCACAGACCACCCACACAAGCCAGCCTGGCCGTCGAATTTGCGCGGCGGTCCTTGAGGTTTCTTCTTTTGCTTCTGCTGAGACGACAATACCTTTTCGACGACCATCGATCCCATCCCCAGACCGCAACAATGGCCGACGCTCAAGTTACTCTGCGCACCCGCAAGTTCATCCGCAACCCCCTGCTTGCCCGCAAGCAGATGGTCGTGTGAGTCTCTCGCCCCTTCCCCACCGCTAGAGCACCGACGCTGTCCGCCGCCGAATCGAATGTCGACCTTGGCCCATGGTGACGAGAAGCAAGAGAAGGATCTATCATATCAGACGACATTCAACATTGCGCGCCGCCATGTGTGAAGAAGGATCAGTGATTGAAGGAAAATTTTCCAACCTACTCCGCATTTCTCGCGCACTCGTTTCCATGGGCAAGGACAGACAGGACGTTCGACGGCAGTGACAGTGAAGGCAGCCGGCACGATTGATCTCCTCTATATTGAGATCACACAGATGTACTGACTAGGGCTTCTTTCCTTGCGTACAGTGATGTCCTCCACCCCAACCGTCCCAACGTCTCCAAGGATGAGCTCCGCCAGAAGCTCTCCGAGCTCTACAAGGCCGACAAGGACCAGGTCTCCGTCTTCGGTTTCCGCACCCAGTACGGTGGTGGCAAGTCCACTGGCTTCGCCCTCATCTACGACTCCAACGAGGCCATGAAGAAGTTCGAGCCCCACTACCGTCTTGTCCGTGTTGGCATGGCCACCAAGATCGAGAAGGCCTCGAGACAGCAGCGTACGTTCCTGATCACTTCGNACGTTTTCCTACACTCAAATACTCACACACTACTACAGGCAAGCAGCGCAAGAACCGCATGAAGACCCTCACCGGTACCGCCAAGGTCAAGGGTGCCAAGGCCAAGAAGGACAAATAAGCGGATCGCCCACTTCTCTAATCAGAGTAGCGGTCTGTCGTCTGTCGTCTTCTTTTACCTTTGCCGGGCTGTGGAAATTTTTTTGGCTGTTTGGTATCATGGGATCCGCAGCCAGCAGTCTCACGCATCGGCGCGCATATTGCTTCGTCTAAAGATACCACCACTTGTTGCAAGTGGTCCATGGATGGGGATGAAAAATGGCGGCGTCCGGTTCTTAGCTTTTCGTAGTCAATACCCTTCGAAAAGTACGATCTATCATAAAAAGTCCAGTCTTTTGTCTCATGCCTTTCTTGTTCTTCCTTGCTCGGGTCTTCACATGTCTCGCATGAGTGTCCCATCATGGATCACGGTATGTTTCGAACATTCGCTCGTCGTCGGAAGGACTCATTTGCCTTGCTCTTCTTTGTCTGTTCAGGTGACGGTACACCTCAACCCCTTTCACCACCAGTTTCTCATTGGCACACAGTGTCTGTACGTTCTGATCCAAGACAACGTGCTAGGCCAAGCACTATCCTCGGGTGGTTTTTGTAATGTACCTAGTACGTTGCTCGAGCCGATACTTGCATGCTGCCAACTCTTTCTCAACCCCATCTAAATCGTTTATACCGCTATCTCTCAACTCAGGCAAGATTTTGACGCAAATCACATCAATCACCGTCATCGTGAATATCTGGCTCGAAGACACAAAGGGAGCTACTCCTGTGTTGAATATCTCCTTGGTACTCACGACTTGCAATCATAGTGAGTAAAGAGAGGTAGATGCAAGCCGTGACCTTAAGATAACATACAACCAGGAGCAGCTCTTGTTATGTCTTCTAAGCATGATGTTTATGATTCTAGTGGTGAATATCAATGCAAGTTCTTTGAAAGGTAAGTACATCTCAAGGAGGCAGTTGACGAGCATGTTGATGCTGAGTTGGTATAATATACACTCAACAAAGGTCTGTCTGATACTAAGAGCAACAAACTATCAACGGTCGTAGAAGAACCGAACATGAACAATGGTTCTAACAAACTGGATAGTATAGAGAGGTTCAATGCAGGATATAACCTATACCAGCAAGAAAACGAAAGCAGGGAGTATTCATGCAGTTCCAGGTCTCAGGCTCAACTCTCACCATAGGAGATTGCTATGTTGAGTCGTAAGTGTTCTGATCATCGCGTGAAGATCAATGTTATGTCTCTGGTGGAGACTCGTGATTGTCTTTGTCCTCGGCCGAGTGTACGGTAAGAGAGCCGTCGGCTTTGGTGCGTCGTACTAATCGTTTCTTTTTGGGAGGTGGAAGCATGGAATCCAAGACAGACACATCGTAGATATCTAACGTTGTGACAGTTGGCATCTTGACCCTTTCTTGAGTGACTGGGCGGCGAAGGCGACCAGAAGTGCTCTTGATGGTCAGGGCCTGCATGGAGCGAGTAACATGTGCCATAGTCTGTGCTGCAGGAGTAGGGACTGCGGTGTCTGTTGACTGGCGCTGGACAAGACGTCTCTTCTGCTCTTGGTTTGCTTGACGATGTTCCTCTCTATACATTACGATCAGCAAAACAGATTCTGCCAGCAACGAAGTACATCGACTTACTTCCTGCGAATCATGCCCTCAACATACTCATAGATCCTCGCCGGCCGGAACTTTTGATAGCCCTCAACTCTCATGAAGTAGTCAACATGCATCCAGGTGCTATTTGGCTTTCGGACGATGGCTTCAAGTTCCCGGTGGAACTCTTCATACACTCCTGCAACGTGCCTGCCACCGTCTCGTGGTGGCTTTGTGACGGTCAGCTTCTCAATGTATGGCGGCTGGGTTGGGTCACGTATGCCACCGCGGCGACCGACACTCATGATTGCTTCTGCTGAGGTGACTGTGCAGATGGGAAAGGCAAAGAGCAAGTAGGGGGAGGTGAGAGTGGGAGGAGCAAGGAGGAAGAGGTGAAATCAGAAAGAAAAAGGAGGAAGAGGTGGAAGTAGAAAGAGCAAGGAGGATGAGCAAGGCAGCCTCGTTGCGGCTAGAAGAAGGCAGTCGCGACCACGAATCTATTATCACATGGACTTTGCCTTTCTATAGCAGGAGCTCTAACATCTGTTAGAGCCTTCCTTTCGAAACATTACTGCAAGTGAGGGCATATGGATAAGAAAACAAAGTTTTACCTAGTGTTGGCAATGCACTTCACCTATTACCAATCTGAAGACTAGCAGAGGAGGCACTGACTGACGGAGAGCCAGATATAGAGGCAGGTGACTGGCTATGAATTATGGCGACAGTAAATTCGTTAATTGGGTATCATGATCTAAATGCTTGATGCTTAATGCTGGTTTTTCTTATGAAGCGTTAGCTGATGTGCTCGCAGCAGGTGGTGGCGCTGGAGCCGATGCTGATGCAGGTGGGTTAGCAGCAACAGGTGCCACCGGAGCGACTGGAGCAGCAGGACCAGGCGTCACGCCCTCCTTTCCTCCGTCCTCAGTTTTGACCTTCTCCTCCTTCTTAACAGGAACTTTGCCAGTGATAAAACACTCAGGCACACCTCTGGCAACCCGTCCCATGACTCCTTGTCCTACAATACCCATCCAGCAATCCCATCCTTGGCCTCCCCATCTACAACCGCCTGCACTGACCCTCTGCAGCGCTTTATAGGCGTCCAGGCCCTGATATGGTAGCTCAGTCTTTGGATCTTTGAATCTCGCCGGCTTTGCTGTGATCGCACAGACGGGCTTAGGTGGTGGGGGTGGCAGAAATTCCTTCTTCTTTGTGGACTTGGAAGTAAGGTATTTCTGTTGTTGAGGAGTGAGTGAAGGCAAGGCGTCAGGGATGAGGACAGAGGAGATGATAGTATTTGTCGTGGCGGACTTTTTGCTAGAAGGTGCGACGGGTGGTGCGACTTCCAGCTCGGGGAAAGCTTCGAGAATTATGAGGGTGCGCTGGGCCTGTTCGCGGATAAGAGGGATGGGTGGAGGTNNTGAGGTGTGGTCTCTGGTGGTGGTACTTGAGGGTATACGTCGAATGGTGTTGATTGTTGTGTAGAGTCTGCTGGTTGAGGGATAGAATTTTGTTCGATACTTGGTGTAGCCGAGTCAATGACTGCTGGCGGATGAGGCTGATCTGCCACATTTGTTTGTGTAGGTTGTGGTTGTACATGTGCTGTCTCTTCTGTTTGGCCCNTCAGGAGCTGGCGCTGGTGTAGGAGTCTGTAAGGATGAGGCCTGATTCTTTTGTGCAGTGGCTTCAGGCGATTGTGAAGCCCAGTAATGAATGCCGTCTAGGAATGAAGGAGATTTTTGTTCAGCAGCAGAATCCGGCTGCACAATATGCGGCTTAGCTGGCTTTTGCTCAAGTGTATTTTCCTTNGGTTGGCTTCGCCGGCTCAATTGCTATCTCGTCGGCTGCGTCTGGCATATTTGTATCTGAATTATCCATCGCAGCTGGCATGTTTGGCTCCTCTGGCCCAATTGTAGCTTTTGGTGATATTCCTTCNNGTCCTTTTCTGTAATCGAGGGCTCTTTTACTTCTTGATCCGATGTTGCAGCAGGTATTGGCTCGGCTGTAGAATCCACCGTAGGAGCGTCTTCGATCTGCTGGACTCCCTGTTCAGGTGCAGACCTGACTTCTGGAGGGTTTTTCAAGATAGGTGTCTTATCGGCCTCGACGGCAGTGTGCTGAGGAGGTGTCTCGGTCGACGGTACTTCGGGGACAGGCTTTGGTTTGCTCTCAACAACAACTTCAACCCTTGGTTGGTGGACGCGCTTGATCTTTATCTTTTCTCCTTCCCACATGACAGAACCGCTCCAGTACCTAAAGACGGGGCCATCGAGTTGTCGGTCTCGCAAGGCTTCGAGTCTCCTTTGTTGAGCAAGTTGACGCTCCTCCTCGGCCTTTTCCCAGCGGTTGAGAGTCCTGCTGTTCTCCTTTTCCACCTTCAATGCTCTCTTCATGCGGTCCTCTTGGGTGAGAGCAGGCATGGCAGAGGCAGCCTTCTTCTCAGCAGCGATCTTCATCAGCTCGTGAGCCTTCTCAGAGCGTTTTTGACTCTCCTTCAGCTTGGCCTCTGTCTGTTCCTTGTTGGCGACGGTCTGACGACGGCGCGACTGTCGCGTGGGTGCATCGTCCAAGGTAGGTAGCCAGGAGATGCGTTCGGACTTNTTGCGCGGACGAGGAGCAAGCAATGAATTGGTAGCGGCGAGTCTCTGGCGTTTCATGAGAGGGTTGAGCGGCATGTTTGCAAAGTCGTTGGCCTTGCGCTTCTTCTTGCGAGCCTGTTGACGTTCGGCCTTCTGCAGCTCTTTTTTCTCCCTGTAGCTCCTCCTCCTGGCCTTCGTCGTCCGANNGTCGTCGCTGGATCCAAAGGCAACATCTTCCGTGTCGGAGAGTTGGTAGTCTACCTGATCTGTCTCGTCTTCTTGTAGCAGGTCGTTTCTGACATCTTCGTCTTCGAGATGTTGCATGAGAAAGTGCATGCGGTTTCCCGCGGTGGCTCTCTTTGCACGGCCATGGACCAGTAGCTCCTCGGCGGGAAGCTCATCTTCGGGGTCTTGCGACATGTTGGAGGAGTAATTGGTAAGTCCATGATGGAAAGTGGAAAGATAGGGAAGGCACATGTCAAAGCGGCCCTCTTGGCGCCACTTGGGTGCCTGCCCAAACTGACGAATCTTGAAACTTTTTTTGTTCATGACTTTTTGTCCACCAACATAACAAACCGTTAAGATGCCTCGCCGCGTGTTGTATGTGCTTAGTACAACTTGCAAGTCCTGATCTGGTCCTAACATTTGTATAGCGACAAGAAGAATGCGACCACCTTCGCCCTGGTCCATCGTGCCCAAAATGATCCTCTCATCAACGATGCCGACGCCCCGAGCATGGTCTTCGCCGAATTGAGAGGCCCCCAAGATGCCAAAAACAGACGCAAGATCAAGGAGCGTGGTGACCTGGAAGATGAATTCGCTACAGACTACAAGCCTCACGAGGGTGAGGCTGCCCAGCACGGTGTCTACTTCGACGACACAAAATACGATTACATGCAACATTTGCGCGACTTGGGCACTGGAGGTGGTGCTGCCACCTGGGTTGAGGCTCCATCAGCAAAGAACAAGAACAAGGGGAAGATGAGCCTGGAAGATGCTCTGCGCGGCATGAACTTCAAGGACGATGACTTGGAGAGTTACGGTGGAGAGAGCGTTGCTTCTACCAGAAGTCTGATGCCCGAAGACATGTTGCCCAGCGACTTTGTGCGCAAAACTACCTACCAGGACATGCAGAATGTACCCGACGCTATTGCTGGCTTCCAACCCGACATGGATCCCCGTCTGCGTGAAGCACTCGAGGCTCTGGAAGACGAAGCTTACGTTGACGACGAGGACGACATCTTTGGAGAACTGACCGGCGACGCTGAGGAACTCGATCGTGACGACTGGGAGGGTCTTGAATTTGACGAGGAGGAGGGTGATGGCTACGTCGACGACGACGATGAGGGCTGGCAATCAGACGACACAATCAAGGCTGGAGACAAAGGCGAGAACCTACCACCCCCTGCCGATACTGCTGCTCCGCCGCCCTCAGATCCCAGCGAAGGAGCCTGGATGGAAGAATTCACCAAATTCAAGCAAGACGTAAAGGCTGCAAAGGCTTTGCCCAAGAAGCCAGCCCAGCCAGCGCCGTCAGACATGCAATCTATCAATACTGGCTTGTCTTCTCTGGCTTCTGGTCGCCGCAAGAAGCGCAAGGGTGCCATGACCTCAACCTCAGGTTACTCCATGTCCTCTTCCGCCCTAGTTCGCACAGATGCTCAGAGTCTGCTCGATCAGCGATTCGACAAGATCGAAGAAGCCTACGCCGAAGACGACTTCGACGACTACGGATCTCAGTTCGACGATGCAGAGTCCATGGCTTCAGGCATGACTGGCATGTCACACGCTTCAGCCATCAGCTCCTACTCACGAGCCACCGACTCCGAAGCTCCCAATCTCGTCCGTAGCGACTTTGACAGCATCATGGATGGTTTCCTTGCTGGTCACTCTCGTGCTGGTAACCGCGGTCGTCACATCAAGAAGTCTGGATACCAGACTGGAATGGAGCAGCTCGACGAGATCCGCTTTGGTCTGGGTCCTGCTCGTTTGGGCAAGGCTGCTCGCGCTCAGAGCAGTCGTCACAAATAAGTCAGCAACTTGATCTTGTCTCTTGTTTAGCGTGGCGTTTTGGGAAACAGGATATATGGATATATCACCAAAAGGATCATCAAGCGTAGCATTTCTATATCACGATACAACCATGTCAACAATCTTCTTTCTGACTTTCATTGTCCATGTACGAGACCAGGAAATGCACTTAGGCCGTGAAACGTGACCTCGATTGGGAATAAATATAGAAACGATTTCTCCTGATTCTCGATTTTTCTTCGTTACATGATCATATCGAGAGTGGCATCTCTTGCTGTCAAGCGAGGAACCCATCAAGGATGTACATTACAAGAAATATATGATAGAAGAGACGATTGGTATTGCATACAGCATGTACATCGGTCGAGAGTATTATGGATACAATGAGGCGAAACAACTATTATGTTTTACGACAGGGTATTGCAAAATACAATCCAAGGTACACATCACGACATGTCACACGAGTCAATGAAAGGCAATGCACGACGAGGGCATGAATGAACTAGATTTGGGATATCTCCCTGGTATCGAAAGGGGCCTGCTTCCTTGCAGCCACCCACACCCACGTAACGCCAATGCTTTTTGTTTTGAGCAGACCATAATCATCAACCACGACGCGAGAGTCTAGACCGTCCATATCCTTCTTTGGGATTAGACTGATTTAAACAATGGCGAGCTTGGTGGCGGCAATGTCAAGGGCATCGACGTCAGGAGTAAGACGGGCGAAGGCCTTCTTGGTGCCGTCGGGNGCTGCGGAGCGATACATGTTAGCAATGTTCTTGAGTGATTCAAAGTGGATTGCAAAGTCATACCGGATCAGGGTGTTGATCTTGACGGTGTCAACATCGTACTGCTTCTTGAGAGCATCCTTGATCTGGCGCTTGTTGGCCTTGGTGTCGACGATGAAGACGAGGGTGTTGTTCTCCTCAATCTTCTTCATGGCGGACTCGGTGTTGAGAGGGTGGATCAAGACCTTGTGCTGCTCGACACCGGTCTCGGCCTGGACACTCTTGCGGGGGTACTTGGGAGCGCGCGAGAGCTTGAGGGTCTTGGGCTGGTGGAAGGTGGTCGACAAGCGGACTTTGCGGACCTTGTGCGAGTTGACCTAATCAAAAGAATAGGCCGTCAGCGATGGGAGTGCTGACACGCCTCTATTTCAGGTAGTCCTTACGCCACGAAGAGCAGCCTTAGCGGCAGCACCGGCCTTGGCCGAGGGCTTGGTGGCCTTCTTTGCGCCTGCGATGCGTGTTAGTGAATTTGTTCTGGTGGTACGCGGATTTTTGCAGTGTAGGATCAAGGCCTGGGGTCGAACACATCCGCCGAAGACAGTTTTTGTCGCAATTGAAAAGTCCTTCGTCGTAGAGTATTCGCCTTCGTCGCTCGTCCTGGTGAGTCGCACCTTGGGTGTTGTTCTTGGGGGCCATCTCGTTGAGTTGTCGGGGTCGTTGCTACAGAAGTCGCTCGCTGCTCAAATTCGAATTTGCAAAGTGGGAAGAGGGAAAATGGCAGGAGCGACGCACGGCTAAACCCCGGTTCAGCATCCGCCTGAGCAGTCTCGCTCGAAATCTTGGCATCAATGTCAAACACTTTTTCTTGTGAGACAAAAGTGAATTGCAATAAGCGACTGAGCGAGCAAATAAGTTATTCACTCTCTAGAGACTTCCTGCTACGAAACCTGTGACGTGGGCGCCCAGAAAGGTCGCATAAGATCACTTCACTCGGAGGCTGGCAAAGACTATCACGACATCAAAACTCCACAAAAATGGTCAACACCAAGAAGAAGCAAAAGCCAGTGAGCCTTTCTCATGGTCGACCTCCAGCTGCAAGAAAACCAAAAGCGTCTTTGTCGTCCAAGGCAACAAGGAATTTGATCCAGAGTCATCATCGTCTTCACAAAGCCCTCGCAGATGCCACACGTCAAGGAGACGAACAAACTGCGTCAGCCATTCGGCAGCAGATCGAGGAGAAAGGTGGTCTGAAGAGCTACCAGCAAGCGAGCATTCAAGGTCAATCTAGCGATCGTGGTGGAGATACTTCGCGGATTCTGCTGGACTGGTTGCCAAAGGATCTGCCGACAGGTCGCACAATTCGTATGCTCGAAGTCGGTGCTCTTTCTGTTAACAATGCATGCTCCAAGTCTGACATCTTCGATGTGACGCGCATCGACCTGAATTCACAAGCCGCCGGGATCGAACAGCAAGACTTTATGGAGAGACCCATTCCGGAGACCAACGCTGACAAATTCGACATCATTTCGCTATCTCTAGTATTGAACTATGTTCCAGAGGCGCTTGGCAGGGGAGAGATGCTGCGAAGGACATGTCAATTCCTGCGAGCTTTGCCCGTCTTAGGTTTCGGGGAGTCGGCACCCGAATACTTCCCCCTCCTATTCTTGGTCCTGCCAGCACCATGTGTGATGAACTCGCGCTATTTGGACGAGACGCTGTTGAATCAGATAATGGTCACCCTCGGCTATGTCATGGTGAAGAAGAAGCTATCGACGAAACTCATCTACTATCTGTGGCGCTACCAGGGCAAGGGGTCAGAGAAACGGCACAGGTTTCGAAAAGATGAAGTCAAACCTGGAAAGACAAGGAACAATTTCTGCATCATTTTGGACTGATCATCTCATTAAGCTTTGTCAGCTCCTATAACCAGAAATGATCCCTCAGCAGCACTCCCAAGTATGCAGTGGACACGACTTTATGCCACTCATCCATGTGGCTGCAACACATATGCGCATTGTGTTACCGAGTTGGGCAGCAATTCTTGAAGTAGGCATTAGGCAAACCTTACGTCTCGACTGCATGTCGATCAACGCGAGCGAGCTTTGCTGCAAAAGCAAAATGCAGGAGGACCATCGATTGCGTGTAGAGTGGTATGGCCAAAGACAACCACAACCATGGTCTAGATCACATGACTGTGTAGTGCTGCAGGTGCTGTGTGCAGACATGATATCAGGCCGTGCAGGCGGTAGATGGAGAGCTCTCTTTGGCCAGTACGGAGTACAACGTATTGAATGCAAGGTGGAAGGAATCGTTGTGCAGAGGCGCGCGGCTCACATGCATCAGCTCATGCACTGCAGACAATCCATCACATCTCGCATCTACATTCCATACGTGCGTATGAGATTTCTGATACATTTCCTGCGGATCGTTGAAGCTGGGATCAATGATGAATACCTCCAAGAAGAATTGAGAACTTGTTTTTCGAGGTCGCTTGACGATGATCAATTTCCTCCCAAGATATCGGCAAGGCTGATGACAATCTTCGAGAAGTCTCCGTGTAAGTGACTTCATTTACTGGATAGATTGAGAAGCCCCGAGTGGACGGAAGGATTCAGTAGAGGAAGCTTAGCGCAGCATGGTCGGCAAAGGTCTGCAACCGCATGCCTTTCTGCACAAGGGGAATAGGCCCTTCCACAGCAGAAGATCATATTGTATTTTCAATCCAGTCGTTGTCATCAAGATCTGAGACGACAGTGCATCTCGTGTCACCGGGCGTCCTTATGCGAAGGCAGCAGGGTACGGCCCGCTTGCCCGTATAACGCAAGAGATAGAGAAGGGTCACATTTTGACATGTCAATACTCCAGAAAAGATGATGAAACGTCGTTCTAGAAGAGCGACCTGGACGTCCGAACGAAACATCGCTAAAGGATGCAAGCAGCACAGATGCCTGACCAGACCCTGACGGTAAAAGAGCAAACGTCGACGAGCGGTCCGATCCACAAAGATGAAGCCTATAGCAGTTCATAGCATTCTGATGGACTGGAATTGGTGTTGCTTTTTTCAGTGCGCGAATTAAACATTCGTATTCTCTTTGATTAAGAAAGACAACGCGGAAGGAACGGAAGATGGACGGCCAAAAGAATGGCTAGGCAGGTGCTGAATGCCAAAGACCTTTTTGTGGCCGGCGTCTCAGGACTTGAAAGAAGCACATAGAAGGTAAAAGCATATGCCCATACGAGGCTCTAGCGCAGTGGCTCTGAGATCAGCTGCCGGTGCGCTGCAGCGAGGCAGACCTGGAGAATAGCTACGTGCGTGGGAGCTGACCGAACGATTGGGCTCGAGTGATCACGATACAGAGCAGCCAAGAAGGGCAGCAGCAAATAGGAAGAGCAGGTCAGCGGGCTTAGGGTGCGATGGAATGCATGATGGCATGCTGTATGGAGACGAAAATCGATTGCACTACCGGGTGGAATCCGGCGCCCTGTTTTAGAGCCAGGACTCAGGGTCGTGGCCTTTACCGATGCTCACCGAAAGCGGGCGCGGACCTTTCTGCGACTCTGTTCGGTGAGGAACTGTGCTCCGCTGACGGACAGGTTGCGAAATTCTCACGTCTCTCGAAGCAGGGGTCTGGATATAAAACCATTTGTATGGGGAGTGCCCAAACAGCATTGTCATGTTGCATCTTTGTTGATTGTTTCAGCATCATTCCCTCGATCGTGTTAGTTGTTACGGAGACTGTGATATCTGACTCGAGTGCTAAACGGCTTACGGAGCCAGAAGACAAGAAGACCACAAGGCTGTTTTGCTGCATCATAACGCCAAGCTACCCAGTACCCACATCGACCTTTCGCGGCCATCGCAAAATCCTCTCTCGAATACCTTCTCTCCTCCCTCCTCCAACCCTCAGAATCTACTCATCATCTAATCGTCGTCGATTGCTGGTCTGGTAGAGGTTCCCCTGCATTGTTCTCGCGCTTCTGGTCTGATTCCACGGGCTTATGAGATCACGCCCCGCCACGAAAAACGACTGACGACAAAGAAATCAAGTTGGCCAGCTACAGCCACAACGACGCCCGGCTGTTGTCTTTAGGAAAACGTCCCTCTCACCTCGACTCCCTCGCGAACCTGCACTTTGTGCTTTGGTGCATTCCAGCCCTCTCTACACTTGTTTGTCCTCCTGCAATTCTTCAGGCAGCCCGTTACTGCCGTTGAAATCTCGCCGATCTAGCCGGGGTCACACGTCTTCGACACCTTCGGTCTGCTTAAACGCTTTTGACATCACGTCCCCCCGACAACTCTAAACTCTTTTTTTGTCGAATTCTCTTCCTTCGCCCTTGCCTGTTGACAGACACCATGAGTCTTCAGCAACCGGACATGTATTACGACAATCCTCCTGCAAGTCGCTCTCCCCATGCGCAGCGCCACCAGCCTCAACTGCACCGTCAGTCGTCGCGCCAATTTGACTCGTACGCTCATCTGCCCTCGGGTCTGTACGGCGCCGAGGACCAGCAGCAGCAACGTTTTGATGCTCCTCGCTACAATGACAGAATGGCCGCACCTCCCAACATGCACCAAAACATGAATCAGAATATGAATCAGAACATGAACCAAAACTATGGTGGATACGACATGGGCGCGCAAAACTGGAACAGCGCCGCCTTTGGAAGCAATACCATTGGCGCCTTGGGTGCTTCCCAGCGCAGACGTGGACCGCAACAGGCTCCCAGAAATGGTCTCCCTTCGGTAAGCACCAGCGCGGTTTCCCATCAACATGGGTTGGGTCTGACTAACGCTGGTGGACAGGCCTGGCTCGACCAGCCCCAACCTATGCCTCAAGTCTCTCCCTATCTTGGCCTTGGCGGAGGTGTCCTCGGTGCGCCGTCAATTAGATCGGATCAGCTTGGTTCCGAGCCCGATGAGGAGCTCATCCCTACTGCTATCGTCATCAAGAACATTCCATTTGCTGTCAAGAAAGAGCAATTGGTCCAGCTGATGACTGACATGGGTCTTCCTCTTCCCTACGCCTTTAACTACCATTTCGACAATGGCGTTTTCCGCGGATTGGCTTTCGCCAACTTCACCTCGCCCGATGAGACCGCTGCTGTTATCGATGCTATGAACCACTTTGAGCTCCAGGGCAGAAAATTGAGAGTCGAGTATAAGAAGATGCTTCCTGCAGCCGAGCGTGAGAGAATCGAAAGAGAGAAGCGCGAACGTCGCGGACAGCTCGAGGAGCAGCATCGTCCCATGGCAACCCAGACTCTGCAGACTCAGACTTCCATGTCCTCCCTGACTGGCCACATGCCTCCCGCCTCTCCTTCGCCTGTGTCAGCTGGCAATGTCGGACTCGCTGTTGATCTCAACAACCCTGACACCCTCAAGGTCTACTCGGATCTGCTAATCTTCAAAGAGGACAAGAGCAGAGATCTTTTCATCTTCCCCTCTAACCTGAGCCCTCCTCAGAGACGTGTCATCCACACCATTTCTCATCACATGGGTCTTGCTCACATCTCCAAGGGACAGGCTGACCAGCGTGCTGTCCACGTCTACAAAGAAGCTCCTCGCCAGAGGCTCAGCCCTCCAATGCCTCAGATTCAGGCTATCCAGCAGGGCGAGACGCAGAGAAGAGGCCTCAACCGCGCTGCAACGACTGACTTCACCGATGTCCGCAACCAAGACGCTTTCTACAACCCCACTGGTATTCGTCACCAGCAGTCTGGTTACCTTGCCGGCTTCCAGGACGCTCCCAACACTCTTGCCGCGGGTCCTAACCTTCGTGCTGCCAAGTCTTTTGCTGATTTGCGCTCTTACACTCCTTCCCCTGTTCCTTCCACCGCAAGTTTCCCTGCTACTCTTGGCAACAACGTCTCCCGCTTTGCCGAGTACGCTCGTGAGAACGGCGGTACTCCTGCCATCACTCCCACTGGTACCGCTGCACCCATTGGCACCCGTGGAGACGAGAGCATGCTCGTCAACGGGCTCGGCAATATGAACATTGGCGGCCCTTGCTTTGCCAGCAGCCCTCGCGGTCTGCGTGGTATGATGTCTTGGGACCGTGAATCCAACCCTGGACCTATCGGTGGCCACCGCTCCTTCAGCACCAATAACACCGGCTATGACGAGCAGCCTCGTGATCGCAACCAGGGCGTGCCCTCTCGCCAGCCTCGTGGTCCTATGCCCGAGCGTGGCTCTGGCTTCCCTCGTCGCAATGGTCACATGGCTCGCGGCAGCGATGAGCTGTCGCAACAGTCCGGTGTCGAGATCACTGTCGAGTAGATCACTCATTTTCTATGACACGTAACGGCAACTGTACACCCTCATGAGTATGATGCTTGCAACTCGAACCGATTTTCAAGAACGACTAACAAGCTACCACGGCATGGGCAGACGAGACGACAGTGTCTCATGTCTTCTTCGGTCTCTCGGCTGCCTTGATGAAGTCAATGACGAATGACACCAACGACCGCTACGAAAGTAGACCCTTTCAAAAGAACATATCCCACCATTATCGGCTTTCAGCATGGCTTAAAAGGACACCCACATAAGCCGGAAAGCAGCGCTCTGATTTTTGTCGAAATTGCATCAAGTCTAGTCTTTCCTTTTTCCCCCATCTGCTGCACTTCTGCTTTGTCAAATTTCCCTCGTCTTCCGAGCACAAATGAGAAAAGGAGGAAATGAAACTGTTTGGAATCTCTCGAGAGAACAAGAAGATAGTATACGAATCCGAGATGGCAAACACTTGTCTGAGTTTTCCTTTTGTTCTTCATTTTCCTATCTCTAATCTCTTCTTTCCTTTTCTGGGAATGGGACCGTGGATAGGAGAATAGTCTGGCACTAATCTTCCTACAATTGGATGTGTATTTTACTATGCTTATTGGAGGGCAGGCAGGGACACGGTGGTTGGCTTTGCTCGCAGCCAACTTAGGTAATGTTCAGATGATGTGTATTATTTTGATTTAATTGCTTTTTTATGCGTCTCTGGTGACCCTGTCCCACACTCGAACCTATCCCCGATGAAGACACCCCCTCATGTGCTAAAGACAGTCATAGTGTAGCTATAGAAATGCACAGTACTGTCGTAAACGATGTGGTCTCCAAGGAGAGGTCTCATTAAAGGCTTTCTCCATGGCTAGAGTCGTGTTCGAATCGCAACTGTGCATTTGGACGGCTTATCAAAACCCTTATAGCTCAGGATGGAGAAAGGGTTGGTTGCAAAATAATGTGATTGTCTGTAGCACCCGGAGGATAATCAAATGAGTGCAACAATACACGACACCAGAAGTACAACGAGAAGATCACCTACTTGTGTTCAGAGTACCCGAAATGTGTTTGAAGCATGAATATTTGGATGTCCGTGGCTGAGGCCTTCGTGAGCATTGTCATCAATAACGACAACTTCATAAACACGAGCACTTGAGGGTCCAATGACATTACTCATATTGACATTGTAAAGTGGCTGGTCATCAGAACATCACTGTATGGTAGCCAAGCACCAATCAGAATTTGTGGGATGGTGGATGACGGCGTTGTGATGCCGACTTGAAACAACTGGGACGAACGACGGATTTGACTACTGTCAAACTCCCCGCTTGCAACCAGTATCCCTCCATCAATTCGAATGGACAAGAGAGCAGTGTGCGGTTAGCAGTTGAGAATCCGTGTCAGCTGCCACAATTCGTCATGAGAGTCTTCAAACGTAGAAAAGTGAAGCTGTCATGCACGCGGTAGAACTGCTCGAGTGAGGAGCGGTAGGTAAACAATTGCATCAATATGACAGCTTAGTGACCAGTTGAAGACACATGCGGGGTCGTGGGTTCCCCTTTGCTTGGTTTAAAGCTAGTGATGAGCATCAAAACATGGTCAGCAGCTGCTTGATTGATCATCTCACTATTCGTTGCACCTACCTGCTCGGTCTATCATAAGGAAGAGCGGCACCACTTCCACTTCCTTTCACCCTCTCACATCCCTTCTTTCTCCAACTTCTCTCCCTAATACCTACTGCATCGTTGCACCAAGTCCAGACGTCTCATGCCTTTTTCATCGCCGACTCTACTTGGCAACACACTCCGAGCAAACGTATTCAGAGCTCGATTCTCAGCCAGATTCACCTGCACCACAATCAGATACGCAAACATGGCAACTGCTCATAAGACCACCATGGTCACGGCCTCGCCTGAACAATTCATGAAGACCTCGGGCTCGACCGATGCCGTCTGGGTTCACACCGAGCCTTACAGCAACCGCCCTCATTACCCTCGTCTCAATCAGGATCTGGAAACAGATGTCTGTGTCATCGGCAGCGGTATTGCAGGTATCTCCACTGCCTACGAACTAGTCAAGAAGGGCGTTCAGGTCGTCATGATCGAGGCCCGCGATATCCTCTCTGGAGAAACTGGACGTACCTCTGGTCATTTGTCAAGTGATATCGACGATGGCTACACCGAGGTCAAGTCCAAGCATGGCGACAATGGCGCTGTTATGCACTTTGAGAGCCACGACTGGGCCATCAAGCGCGTTGGTGAGATCTCGAAGGAGCTTGGCATCGAATGCGAGTATCGCAACCTCCCTGCCTACAACGTCTCACAATACCCTCGTGGCGACAAGCACCATGAAGACGACGTCAAGATGCTGAAGGAGGAGATTGCCTACTCCAAGACGCTTGGTATGGATGCAGAGTGGAAGGAAGGCTACGCCATCAAGGGATGGGATGGCAAGGTTGACCAACGTGATGCTGCTGTCTTCTACAACCAGGGTACCTTCCACCCAACAAAGTACCTTCTCGGCATTCTGAAGTGGCTCTCACAACAACCAAACTTCAGCTGCTACACCCGTACTCGCATGATGGAGTGCCAGGAGAAGGGCATTGAAATCATGGGCTTCGGATCCAAGGAGGTCAAGGTCACCACCGAAGAGGGCAAGACCATCAGCTGCAAGGATGTAGTCATGGCCACATGTGTGCCTCTCCAGAAGCTCAGCGTTGTCGCCGAGATGGAATACCACCGTACCTACTGTATTGCCGCGCGCATCCCCAAGGGCTCGTACGAGGATGCTCTCATCTACGACACAGCTGAGGCCTACAAGTACATCAGATTCACCGAGTGTGACGAAAAGGACGACTACCTGGTGATCGGAGGCTGTGACCACAAGGTTGGTCAGCACGAAAATGAGAAGGAGAACTACGAGGAACTGGAGAGATGGACACGCGAGCGCTTCACCCAAGTCGGAGCCACCGACTACAAGTGGAGCGGTCAGATCTTCGAGCCTGTCGACGCCGTCGCTTTCATCGGTCTAGATCCTGGCACCAAGCACACTTACATTGTTACCGGAGACTCAGGAAACGGATTGACCCATGGTGTCATGGCTGGTCGCATCATCGCAGACCAGATCACTGGTCAGGAGAACGCCTGGGCTTCCCTGTATGATCNNCCCTCACGCAAGGCCAGCATCGTCAAGTCGGCAAAGGAGATGATCACACACGACCTTCAGATCAACAGCCAGTACAAGCGTTTGGTGCAATCAGACATCAACGACATCGAGGACTTGCTTCCTGGTACTGGTGGTGTACTCAACTCGAAGACCAGCAAGCCGATTGCTGTGTACAAGACTGACAGTGGTGAAGTTCGCAAGATGTCAGCACTTTGTCCTCACATGAAGGNNGGAGTCGTTTGCTGGAACCACGCTGAAGGATCATGGGATTGCCCGATCCATGCTTCGCGCTTCTCCAGCGATGGTGTTTGTGTTATGGGCCCTGCAAAGGGTAACCTGAACCCCGAGAACGAGGAGGCCAAGAAGGCTCTGCAGCAAGCAATCCAGGGATGAAGAGGATTATACTCATTGGAGGTTGACAGGCGTTACAAGGTTTATGAAGAGCATGATTGACCGCGTTGGTGTGCATGGCCAGGAGTCTAGTAGTTTGTATCTGAGTAATCAATATGTTATACCAGACTTTGAGAGAAGGAGGGAGTGAGTCAAGAGCGCAAGCCCGAACCTCGGGGGATTGAAAGTCCGCGGTTGATGGACGCTTGGACCACATGCGATAAGATAAGCCCAAAAATGGTTGTCCGTCGCATTGCAGAGAAGGATGCGCCACGAAGAACATCTTCCATCTAAGTTCACTTCTCACACAACACAACACATACCACATCGTCAGCATGGGAGTCCAGAAGAAGACACGCAAGTTTGCACAAGTCAAGCGAGTCATCGGCCAACGCGATGCGCGCCTCAAGAAGAACCAAGTCACCGGCGACGACAAGGCCAAAAAGCCATCAGAAGAAGTAGTACGACAGATGTAAGTGGTTCCTATTTAGCACCGTATCTATTTGCAACAGTATATACTAACAAGAGCCACACAGCNNCCACAAGCCCCCTCATCCATGTTCTTCCAACACAACACCGCCCTCCAACCACCCTACTCCGTCCTCGTCGACACAAACTTCCTCTCCCACACCGTGCACAACAAACTCGAATTACTGCCTTCACTGATGGATTGCTTGTACGCCACCTGCCGACCCATAATAACCTCCTGCGTCATGGCCGAGCTGGAAAAACTAGGTCAGAAGTACCGCATTGCGCTTAAAATTGCGCGCGACGAGCGCTGGGAGAGATTGGAGTGTTCGCACAAGGGAACCTATGCGGATGACTGTATTGTGGATCGTGTGTTGAAGCACAGGATCTATCTGGTTGCGACGAATGATAGGGATTTGAAGAGGAGGTTGAGGAAGATTCCTGGTGTGCCGATTATTAATGTTGCTAAGGGCAAGTATGTTATTGAGAGGTTGCCTGATGCGCCGGAGAAGTAAAGAGCTGGAATGTTGGCTTGGAGAGAGTCAGAAAGAGGAAGACACTGTTGCGAAGAAATATGGAAACAGTGGGACACGCATATCGGGAAAGAAAAGAACGTTGTTCGCAGCTGCTTTCTATCCTGCTGCTTGGAGTTTCTTTTGCTTGGGACTGGAGTTTTCAAGGGTTGCATTATTGGGAAAGGGCGTTTTCTTTCCTCGTGTTTCTGCCTCAACCAAGATAGGCATCTAGGTCTTGAGGCTCGTTTCTGCATCATTTATCATCTGCAGAAGAAGCGCAGTAGATACAGGATCTTGCTATACCGCACAAGATCAGATCAATAAATCACATCCATTGAAACCACTTTCTGCTCCTTGCCATCGTTACGTGCAGGCCTAAAGAGACCAAGAGTCGATCAGAGAGACAGGCTATACAGAAAAGACACTTCCTGAAGCTGGTGAGACGAGGTCAAGAACACAGCTCTAGAATTGAAAACACAGAGAGAGATGGAAGCGAAACAGAAATTGGAGCATATGTACAAGGTACAACCAATTAGCGGTGGGATATCAAACCAGACAGGCAGAAAGAGAAAACAACGCCAGTGCAATATGAAATCTCTCAAACAGCTCGTTTCCACCTGAACAGGATGGCTGAATCGAAGGACAAAATCAGTACAAACGCATAACTTCTTGACAGCCTTTGTGATTGGCAAAGGCATAACCCTCCCACGAAAAACATGAAAACACCAAACCAGGGCAGGTCGGCGACCAGAAGAAAGAAAAAAAAGGTGGCCGACCTCGTCATTATGCCCCCAATACCAATGGTTCCCACCATAAACCCCACCCAGTCGTCCATATCCATGGATCGAGATGCACGTATACTGGATTCAAGCATGAAGCCGTTCATCTGCGTTGATGCGTTGTCGGACGTATGCAACCTTCAGTCGTGTGTGAAACATGAGTACGCGTCGAGATAATAAGAAACAAGTCGTGATAATTCATGCAATGCCAAAGTCCGTTTCTTTCGAGGACAGACCAAGCTCTTGTGAGCTTCGCAAAGTTGAGCCATAGTCTTCTCGGTCATGCAGTTAGCAAGTGTCGTCGTCGTTGTCTAAGTCCCGTAGTCATCAGAGGATGTTGACCGACATGTCCCCACTCATGAGGCCGTACTTGGACATAGCCAGGTCATCGTCGACGAGACCCATCCCGATACCGCTATCATCGAGGTCGGCTGCATCTAGACCCTGGGTTTGGATGGGTTGAGAAGGCAAAGACTGTCGTGGGTGTGGCATTGCGAATTTCTGTTGTGGCTGGGATGAAAGCTGTTGCGGCTGAGACGATTGCATGGATTGACCTCCCATATCGAATGAAGCATTGTATGTGTGCATAGATTGCGTGGAATGGGCACGCGTCACTNNTTTAGGCTTGAGGTCAGTCAGAGCTCCATGGAAAAGACAATCGAGAACAAAACGTTAGGACTTACTTTGAGCACTAGCAGGCCGAGACTGCGGCTGCATCTTGAAATCGACTTCCATGCTGCTCATTCTACTGTCACTACCACTGCGCATGCTGGCATTGGAGTCCAGAGGCTTGACTTCAGGGGACACCTGGGCGACAGATGCCGCAGGAGTTGCGTGAACAGGGTTGTGCTCGAGGAAGCCACCCATGGCTGCCAACCATAGAGCCATCTCATCGACAAAGATCTTCATGACCCACCACGTCTGGTAGCTGGCACCTCCCATGATAGTGATGTCTCTCAGAGCTGCAGTTCCAACAGCACTGATGCAGTGCAGCAATAGCCTCGTATTGGCTTGTGGGAATCGTGAAGGGAGTGATGTGAGGAAAGTGGACCACCTGTCAAGAACGTTTTCGGTCGAGACCTGTCCTGACTGGTCGGTAGATTGAGGTGGTGGTTGCTGGAAAGTAGGGAAGTTGGCCTGAGCGAAGCCGTATGCTTGGTTGTCATGGGCGAAGAGCGGGTTGTCGGGGAAGGGAGGAGAACTGAGAGGCTCCAAGAGACCTCTGATGTCGCAAGTCATGATCTTGTAGACCTCTTCGTAGCCACAGGCAGGAAGTTCGGCCTCCATGACACGCTTGGGATTGACCATAGTCACCCACTCACGCCACATCTGCTCACGATTTTGATCGACGGTAAGCAGGTTTGCAGCAGCGTGAGCAGCAGCATTGACGCGGATGAGACGATGAAGAAGGCTGGCGAATGTTGCAGCAGGCTTGAGTTTGGCTTGCAGGACGTGAGTGGGATGTGAGGCAAACGTCTTTGAGATGTGAGCGTGTAGGTTGGTCGAGATGTTGTTGAGAATGTTGATGACAACAGGCGGCGCAGCCTGAAGAGTCAGACGTGAGACGAAGCGAACCATCTTCTGGTACATCAGTGTATCGCAGGCTTGAATCCATGGAGCAAGGTTAGGATGCGCCAACAGCTTTTGCACAGGCACCGTCAATGTGCCATGGAAGNNGGATGTGAACAGGCGGAAGAACTGCTTCTCCTTGCAGAAGCGGATGCAGTCGATTAATGACGTGCAGTGAGTACGGTACAGAGCAGTGAGAGCTTCGGCCGTGTCGGGATCCGTCTTGACGGGGCAGAAAGGCAGAATGTTGGGCAGCACGATCGTGTCATTCTCTTGGAATGGCGCCTCTTCTTTCGCTGGGAAGCGCAAGTTCTGGTCATACATGATGGAACAGTCGTTGTCTGCAACCATCCCACGCGTATCGGGGTAGGCGAAGAGTCGCGCCGTTGACGGTGGACCACGAGGCTCGACCTGTGGTGAGGGTTGCGACTCAGCCGAGCCATCACTGCTATGGGTTCCATCAAGGCCTTGAGATGGAAAGGCGGCGGCATCAGCAGGCAGGCGTGGCACCTGGTTGAAGTCTAGATGAGGGTTGGCCGAGGCACTGCGGCGCATGTCTGAGGCCTCGGCGTGTAATGAGTTGGAGTTTGAGCGTTGGAGACTGAGTTGCGAGTCCGATGTGTCGTCGACAAGACACAAGTCGACATAGTGGTATTTGGACTCACCACGGACACCAAGTCGTCTAGTTTGAATGCCCGGGAAGATGACTCGCACCAGCTTGCCAAAGGATGCTGGATTGAGAGGCACCACACGTTCCGTACCACACCGCGTAGCATAGTGTGAGTAGACACGGTTGCGCGGCACTGATGTTTTGGCCGCCTTGCACACCTTGCGCAGCCTAGAGTCGCGTCAGTAAGAGAAGAGATCATCAACATGATTGACTTACCAGAGCATAGCGAACAACTGTTTTGTCTTTTCCGCCTGAGGAGTACGTTCCTTGGCAATGACTTCTTGAGCGACTTCTGGTAATGAGCGCGCCTCATTCTTGGACAGCAACTCGCGCAATTCCTTGTCGTTGGTTGCAGTAGCCGATGAACCCTTGCGGCGACGGTCTTCTGGTTCATGGCCACTAAGTTGGGGGNNGAAGGCGGCGAGACCCATGGGGACGGCATACTCGGCGGGTTGGAACATGTACGAGCCATCTTGAGTCGCGAACTGCTGCGCTTGCGCGGTGAACTGGTCCATGGGGATGTGTTGTGATTGGAAGGTGCGCTGCATCATCTGGGCGTCCATGTGCGGTGCGGAGCCTTGGGCATAGTGTAGCAGCATTGTCTCCGGGTTGTGGTGGTTCATGTATTGTTGTTGATGCAACATATCGGGAGCGGGAGAGTGGGCGCTCTGGGTCGAGGCGCGTGACAGCGGACGATGTATCGAGTGGGTAGAGCGTGTTCGCTGCATGGTGGCTATGTCGATTGGTATCTCAAGTTCATAATCCAGCAAGGCCGGCTTTGTTGATATTGGTGTTGTTGACTTCCAAGTTATTTGTTTGTAATGATCCGGGAAGACACCGACAAGGCCACGCGTGTAGACGTCTAAACAAACCTCGAGGTGCGAGATTCTTCAGGAAGACGAGAGATAGCGCGTCCAGATTATGCGCTGGTATGGAACCGAATTGTCGAGGACTAAAGGCGAGTCGAGGATGTACGAGTAGCGATGCGGATCGCCAATGTTTGGCATGTGTTTACCAACAGCAACCGGGCACCGAACAACTGAGCTGCGGGTCACGTGAAATGCGCGATGACAATACGTCACGGACCAAATAAATAGTCCTCTCAAACCGAGCAGTGTTTTAGGTCGTTTGCTCTGGGAGCGAGAAAATAATGAGGTTCAATTTCACGGAGATTGGCAGTTGCTGTATGTAGTAACCTCCCTGCAACGTTGTTTCTTAAACCGTTGCCGCTTCGTTGGCAGGGTGTGCGTGGTGTGGGCGGCTTCAGCAGGAAGGCGCAGGCTGAGGCTGCACAAGCACAACAGCATGTCGCCAAAGATTTGCCGGCCCGGGCAGGAAGGAGCGCTGACGTACGGGGTTTTTCGAGCTCTCGTCTCTCCTGGCCTCGAACCTTTCTCTCCCCTAAACCATCAACCACCTCGCTTTTCGCTCCAATCTCATTTGCTTGCCGTTTGCATAGCCTTAATTCAGCCCGTTATCAAAAATGTCTTTCCAGGAACGCGCCCAGCAGCACATTTCGCAGCTCGACAAGGAGGTATGTCTTCCAGAGCTCCACGTGCCTGTTTCCTCTCGTTGACCAAGCCTTCTACAGCTGTCCAAGTACCCTGCTCTCAACAACTTTGAGCAGCAGAGCTCCGTCCCCAAGGTCTACGTCGTCCTGGGTCTCGGTGCCCTCTACTTCTTCCTCATCTTCTTCAACATCGCTGGCGAGTTCCTCGTCAACTTTGCCGGCTTCATCATCCCTGGTTACTACTCGCTCGAGGCTCTGTTCTCCCAGACCAAGGCCGATGACACCCACTGGTTGACCTACTGGGTCACTTACGCCTTCTTGACCGTTCTTGAGAGCGCCGTCAACGCCGTCTACTGGTTCCGTGCGTCATCCCGTCCGCTCCCCTGCAGCTCGTTGCCGTTTCGCTAACNNATTCTTCTAGCCTTCTACTACACCTTCAAGTTCATCCTTGTGCTCTGGATGTCCCTTCCCCAGACTGGGTAAGCCGTCTCGCTGCTCAGTAAATCTGTACTCTCATACTGATATCAAACAGTGNGTGCCAAGATCGTCTTCAACTCGCTCCTCCAGCCTCTCTTTGGCCGCTTCTTCAACCAGGGCCCTGTTGAGTCCGCCAAGACCCAGTAAATTGGTCGTCGCATCAATCACAACATGATGGTGTGAGGCAACTTGTGTGAAGTCTGGCCTTCCTTGACTGGCTTCTTGCATTTCTCAAAACAGCCTTGTCTTTATGGGAAACACGACTAATGCCCTCGAAAAATTGTTGGCGAAAGCAGAGTTGAATAAGAAATAAGTTGCAGTGTTGTTACGAGTCGAGCCTTTTTAGGCTGTTGGAGATTACATGTGGAGGTTATAGGTATGCTGAAGGTATTACAATGAAAGAGTTTGTGTACACCTCTCCATCGCCTTCTCAGGTTGCATCCGTGATTTTGCGCTGCATCAAACATGCCTATTAGCCGTTACAACCTATATATCTGCTGATCTTGCAGTTGTGTCTATAGGCCTTCGCGTGTCCACGTCGATTGTGTACCATCCACTCTGGCACTGGTCCAAGAATCTATATACTCGTTCATGTACTTACTGCTTGATCACGCTGCATTCATTCCGCAATCATCAGCTGCTATACTATGGACCTTCACACCAAGACCGTCGAGTTTCTAAGTCTACCACCCGAGATACGCAACCAAATCTACCATCATGTGCTGAGCGAAACACGAGGCCTGTTTCTGAACAGCCTTGAAAGACCGGCTTTGCTGGCTACATGTCGTCAGATCCAGCGAGAAGCATCACCTATCCTCTTTTCGAGCAATCAATTCAATCTCCACCTGAGTCGGCCATTCACAGGCTGCGACCCGAACATGATCTTGAGACCATGCACTGGAATGTTTCTGAGAAACATGCAAGCATACGTGAGCCATATCGTCCACATCAATGTACATGCGACCATCCGCTACAAATCTTGGAACGGATTTTTTACCACTTTTCGTATCAAAGTTAGAGATGGCCACGTGCATATTGAGCTCGACGTGACTAAATTGATTGGTCACGCAAGGTCTATCTGTGTACCCATCCTGTCGGCGTTGGACGAACACATCATTCGGACAGTTGAATCCAGCCATTGCAGAGCGCTCGGATTTCATGATCTTGAGGCAATGGTCAACATATTTCGACCATATCTACTCAACGGGCTGCGTGTTCGCTTTGCTCCTTGACATGAAGCACAGCGAGCAGGGCTATCTACTCAGATTGCCCACTATCTTCGAACCCCGATTTCATCGAAGAGCCTAACAACCTCACTTTGTAGTGAAGTGCTTGTACACACCATGCCACTTGAATTTGCAGATTGGAAAGTGACGCACGAGATTGTTTTTGTTGGTACAAACAACCCTTTGAGCAATCCACTTTGCCAAACCTAATGCAAGTTCCATCGTGGCTGCCTCGTCAGTTACCCACAGCGCGATAGCTTCCCTAGTCACATAGGCTGCCAGATCTTTCTTTGGTAAGAACCCTTACTCCCACAGTAAAACTGGAAGTCTGAGGTATTTCGCGCGCATTATTGACTCATAACCAACTATCATCTAACTTTCTTCTTGTTGCAGGGTCATTGGCAAAAGACATCCATCGCAGCAACGTTCACTTCGCCTCTGGCCTTTCCAAGTTCACAAAAAGGTCAATTCTAGATATGGCGGGCCTATCAGCAGTTCAGACATCCTCACATCGGCGCACGATACCACCACACATACGGTATAAGTTCAAGGCGGAAACAGCTACGATCGTCTTGAAGGCGTCGAAACACAAGACCATCGCCGAGAACAGACCGTCCAAGCCTGGATTCCTGGATCTGCCTGGTGAACTGCGCAACCAAATCTACGATCTTGTGGTAGAACCAACGACATGCGGTCTTACACTGAACCTCTACAACTTCCGCATACCGATAGCAAAGCTGGCTTTGGTGTGTAAGCAGGTCTTCCGAGAAGTTGTGAGTGTTCAATTCGCAAAGGATGACTCTGCGTTCCGTTGGCAGGGTCATGAGTCCGGAGGGCATTTGGACTTCTCTGTCACTCAAAGCCCCATGTTCTCAGCGGACACTCAACGCTGGGCAGAGAAATGCGCTATGCTGGGTGCGCCTCTCCGCTTCAAGCATCTTCGATTTTGTGCACCTTCTTGTCATGGCACTGGTCTCTCAACCACACGTCGTACATGGTGCATACATGTAGAGGACGGAACAGCCCGTGTTGAGATCTTGAATGCTTCTACAGGAAGGGAGTGCGCAGAGATCTGGGAGAAGAACATGACGAAAGCATTGTCAGAAACCATGCATCAGCACGGAACCTATTCGCTAGGTATTCCTGAGCTCGAGGCATTCCGCATCCTACTTGGTCGTTTCAATCTGCACGAACATTTCAGGGGTAGGTCGTTGCATCCCCAGGCACTGATGTCGAAGGATCCAGAGATGATCAGGTTGAAAGCTACATATCTCGGTTGTCATCTCAAAACCCATCCATGGGACTACTACACTGCAAGACCCTGATTTGGAACGGATCGAACTTGAACAAACACGCGATTGTATCGATCGAAGTTCTGCAGTATTCAGGAACGTATGTGTCAACAGACGAGGATACTCTTGGGCAGAGTGTCATATCAAAATTTGCAGGAGAAGTTCACGATTCCAGCTCTTCCTGTGTTGAAGCTGGCCACAATGCAAGAGACCAATTGAATGAGAGCCAATGAAATCACAAAAATCAGCACATATTGTTCTATCTTCCAAGAGCATTGTGTATAGAAAGAGTTACTTTGTGATGAGATTTGGCACACAGAAAGGCAGTAGAAATTCGGTAGCATTTCTTGGGTAGACAGACTCATGCAGTGACACATGTTGGTGAGTGGTGCGACTGACATGGAGGAAGAAAGAATGGCGTCGAGACCGCCTGGCCGGATATGGATACCGTGACTCAATCAAACCAACAACGATGATGTAGTAGAAAGACTCGCTCGTTTCTCTTTGAGTACATAAGACCCCGATCCCTCGAATTTGTAAAGAGAAAACAGACCTTGACGAAGAGAGCGAACCAAAATATCGAAAATGACATCACCAAAGATTCACGCCGCCGATCGCGACACAATTTCCGAGTGCAAGTCGCAACCCATCGACTCGCAACAAGAAGCTGTCGCAACAGACAGCGCGACTTCCTCGGTACGAGCGGATTCTCCCATCTCGGTCGCAACTACCTCGTCTACAACCTTAACACCGAAAAGAAGAAAAAACCGCAGGGCGAAACAACAAACACCACCTTCTCGTGTTGACACTCCTCTTTCTGCTGGCAACACGGACGACGCAACGATGACCTGCCTTCCCCTTCTCATTTGCAGTCTAGGCAACCCAGGCGCCGCGTACGCAAACACTCTACACAGTGCTGGTCACAATGTTGTAGCTGCATTAGCAATACTCCTCCAAGCCGGCCAGTTCACAAAAGACCGCTCATACGGCAATGGCACCCTCACACGCTCCTACAACCCAGAGATGCCGTGGACGTTATGGCAATCACCCGCTTTCATGAATGAGAGCGGTAAAGGTGTCAATGCTGCCTACCGCACCTGGGCGCGCGAGAACAACATGCAGGGAAGACTGGTGGTCGTACACGATGAGTTGGAAAAGCCGTTGGGTTCGGTGACGATACGGGACAAAGAAGGGCTTTCTGCCAGGGGACACAATGGACTCAAAAGCTGTTTAGCAACTCTGAATGGTGTCAAGTTCGTGAGGGTCGGCGTGGGAATTGGAAGACCAGTCAGCAGAGAGCCTAATGATGTTGCGAGATATGTCTTGAAGAAGATGACGCCGGCAGAGAGACAAAAGATCGAAGGTGCGGCCGAGGATGTTCTGACTAAGTTGTTGGCCATCAAGGGATGAAGATAATATTCTCACTTCCTCGACACAAAAACACCCATCTGGCCAAGGAGAGCAGAAACAGGTATCTGCATGGAAGTAAGAGGCTGATGGCTGGTCCATGACTCTGCTCTGAGGTTGGTTGCATGTTTCTTCAGACACTCATGCGCAACCTCATCTTAGAATCCGCTTCGATGAGCACTTAGACTATTATGTCTGGATGAGGGGAGCTTTGAGTGTCAGCTTAGCAGGCACGATCTCATCTTCGTAACAAGTTGGTCCTTGCAAATTACCAGCTGTGGTATTCAAGGCCTATACTGAAGGCTCTAAAAGCAGATATCTTGATTCCAGATTCTCGAGTCTATAGCAGGAACGTGTTCATAGGGAAAGTTTTTTCCTTGTCTGTAGACATCGTAGTGCTGAACAGAAGCATAGAAGTTAACGTTGCATACCATCCTCTACCACGAGTCTCTACACATAACTAATCCAAGTGGCAATTGTCGTCTGTTTAAAGATAGCCCAATACAGCGGTCTGAGTTCTCGACTTGAAGTCAAACCCCGTCTTCCAAACACCGAAGAACGTAGACGCGCGCTTATGTATGAGTCTAAAGGTTCAATATATGCTTAAAGAGAAATAAGGGAATCGATTCTCGTTGCTGGGTCCCAGCAGCATGGTTCCAAGTGCAAAGATTATTGATTCATGCTTTTCAAAACGTCGAAGGCAGGCAGGGCGAAAAAAGATTATTTTCCATGGGCGTGCTTTGCAGAGTTTCGGTACATCCTTTGCCGGGATGGATGGGCATACTTTCGGTGTTATAGCACCGAAAATATATCCTTTTGGATTTGCATCTCGCTTCGCACCGGTAGAGTAGGGCAAAAGGATGTTGACTCGAGAAACACTATATGAGAGTTGGGAGATCTGAGATGCGTAGGTTTGGACTCCGTTCGTTGCTGTTAAGGGTGTGGGGAGCGTGGAAGTCTGTCTGATATACCTGGAGGTTGCTATATCAGTGCCTGAGGCATCTGATTGTGGTATGGGGACCCTGTTTCTACCTTCTCCTGTTGTCTGCATGCTTTTGGTCTTCTCAGTTCTTCTTACGTTTCTCCTTACGGCCGCAGACATGGGTTTGCAGTCTAGAACTCTACATACAGAATGAGTGACCGTTCATATCAATAAATTGTTAAAACAGGCAAGACTGGACGAGCTGCTCCTTCGTTCATTCGGCCGTAGCATAAGCACAGCCCGGAACATGAAAGACCCGTCGTGCGGGATGGGTGGCTTGCACAAAGTTCTCAGAAAGATTTGGAGAGCATGAGCAACATCGCAGAAGTAGCACAGAATACTCCATCTTGCGACGAAAAGAGAGGCTGTCATGAAATCTGAGTCAAGCATCTGACCAACAACCCAGATCTCCTGAAGTCCCAAAGGTTGCAGCAGGATCTTGTGGAGAGAACCACAGACCACGGACGAGTCAGCACAGCACGGAGCCTCATGACCGAGTCGAACTTACACTCTTGCACGTCACCCGCTTAGATTCGGGCTATGGATGTAATAAGCTCTCAACGCAGGCAAGGCAACAACTGTGGGAGCGACAAGGAGCTGAGGATCTTGACAAGGGGTATTGAGGAGCAAAGGGCTTCTTTCTCCTGCCCCGTCGCGCTGATCCATTGCGCCGTCGGCCAGCCTTGACAGACACTTTTCGAGTCCCAGCACGCATGGGCAAAGTTGCCAGTCGACCCATGAGTCAGTCGTGGACTTCAGCTGCTGATCAGGCATATTGATATATCAGCATTTTCTAATACGAAAGAGTTGTGTTGTATGGACTTTCGATCAAGTCCTGGTCTGTGATGATGATAAGGGTCGGGGTCTGACGGAGAACGTGAACACCACCATAGAAGCCAGGCATACTGATCAACACTGCATTGCTTGCACTAGATGAAAAGCATGTGCTGCTGCGTCTGTACCTTCGAGACACAAGTCACAGCATCACCACGTTCACCGCTCTGCAGGATTTCTCCAGCGATAGCGAGAGCGTGCAAGCGACGTGGTGCTGCCAGGAGGTTGAATCATTGCCCAGTACGCGTCATCATGGTGTATTGTTCTTCCAACTCGCAAATTAGATGCAAGGATTGTGTGATGAGCATCACAGAAACGAGTGCCTACCTTGTTACAGGAGGTATACCATCTGCTCGTTATAGAAGTGTTCTTGACCATTTCCAGATCGCACAAGCGATGTACCTTTCTAGACTGATACCGTTCTACGGTCGAAACCATCGTGTTGTAACAACTTTGCCGCCAAAACGTGGCTCTTGCATGTGCATGCATGTGCACAATACTTGAGCAAGCAAGACATCCCTTGTCCAGCAGCATAGTGACGAGAGCACATCGATGATCTCGATACAGATAGACTGTCTTGACAGACTCCATGTGCGATTGGTCTCCAGAACACTTGGTTGAGCGCTGCAACTCGATGATGATGATTGAAGCTCCCAGTCTCCTCAGCTGCCACTGCTACTGAACCTCCTCGACAACGCCCACGATTGCCTGCTGGCGCCACAACCCACCAGATTGGGCAGCTTCGAAGCCGTTGACAGCAGTACCGCACATATACTCTCAAGGTGCAACCAAGTTAACTTCAGTGACCTGCTAGCTAATGCAGCAGCTTCAGAGGGCACCGACGATGTCAACTCTGACGATACGAGAACCGAATGATTAGGGCCACGACGCAGTGCACTAATGGTGGAATGGCTTCGATCCCTGAACTAGAGTCCGGTACTTGGCTACGAGAGCCTACGACCTGACCCCGCCCAACTCGTAATTGCGCAACAAAATGAAGGAACGATGTCAGGTCCAAGCGCGCTGGCAACATGCCAGGGAGTATCCTCCTTTCCCTGTAGTAGGATGGACGTAGGGCAAGGGATCGGATGCGGTATATTCAGGTGTGTCAGACATTCTGTGGGGCATGTGCCTTGAGGTGAGCAGATATGAAGCTTCAGGGATGATCATGATTCCATCGTGTAGAGAAGTGATCTGCTCGTAGAGTCGTACGGTGAGCCTTCTACCAGTGGCGCAGCGCGTTTGGCGTGAAGCTTCTCAAAGTGTTGAAACCCAAACTGAGCACAAGCTGCCGATAGAAAGCATCAGCGCAAGCCCCGTGACCTTGAACGTGAAAAAGCAACCCGAATCAAAAATGCTGTTGTAACAAATCAGAGTATGATGAGTTTGGCAACTGTCAGAGCCAACTCACAAGATCTTTGACTTTGTCTGTTTTGATGGGTGCGAGCAAACCGAGAGCTTATCTGTGCTGAGGCGGGCGTTCCACGTGATATCGAAGTCGAACGAACAAATTAGTGTTGCGTTGCAAGATAAATTGCTTGCAGTATAATTGAAATCTGGAAGACCCTAAGACAACGAATGTCCCTGGTGCACCTCATAGCCGTAGATCCCCAAGTTTGTGGGTCACATGAGTGTCGCAGGCGGATGTCCGGACCTGGTCAAGGAAGAGAATTGAACACATCTGTCTAGCTATGAGCGATGCGATGGCGGGTCAAAAGGTGGACAGGAAAAGCGCGCTCCGAATAGGTCGTGAGTCGTCAAGTCCACCAGCAGAGACCAGATGACATCCTACAAGCACTCGTATACTGGAGCCGGTCGGTACCGTGATGCTCAACGGCGCCCAAACTGGGGAGACTTGGACGGGATAGCGCCATCCGAAGGCAAGAAAAGGTCAGGCGGCGGCTATCGAAGGGTTTGGACGAGCTGAATCTCGAGTTATCCCCGCGGACAAGTTTGAAGTGCCCAGGGGTGTGTTAGATGAATCAAGTTCAGGAGACCTCGTAACGGAGTGGTCCGCCTTCCTTGAGTTTGCCGATTCCAAGCTCCCTCAGAGTTCACACTGAAATTGCGCCAGCCGACGTCAGAACATCTTTAGCAAAAGTCACTTTGTGAATGTAGTCCCGTACGCGTGGCTGTGAAACGAAGAGAAACATTGCGCGTACTGTTCCTAGAAAACAGTGCTGGTAGAGGCGTTGTGGGTTCTGGAAGACATTGAGCGACGAAGGATGTGATTGTTCTACAGCAGACCAGACGTTACGAGCGGAGATGCCAAAAGCGGTATGTTTAGAGAGAAAGTGTCTGGTGCGCCGGACCGAGTGAGGATCCAACTCTTGAGACGGCAAGCCAGATCAAGGGTGCGAGTGTCACTGTTGCGCAACTCGACAAGGTTGGCGGCGGCCGTTGGTCTGCGCCGGAATCGGGGGAGATTTCACCTTCGGCATACTGACCCTAAAGGGCCACGCGCCATCAAGACTGCGCACCAGGTTTGGCTCAAGGGACGATGCGCCTTGTGGAAGGAACCAAAACGTGCGGCCGAGGATTGCATTGTACAAAAGAGGGAGGTGTGAAGGGCCCGTCCCCCAAGGATTCATTAGTCAAATACATGATTAGTGAACAACAAACAGAGGACCGTGTTGCTCCGGCCGAAATTGTCTGACACTCCGTGAGTCCGGGGCTGACCAACCGATCGAATGTCTCGATCTAACATCAGTTTGGCATTGACGATTGTCGGGTGGTAGGTACTAGACATTTGAGATCTGAGCGACTGTTGAAATACGTGCGTACTACACAGCCTTGTACATATACATTGTTCCGAAAGTATTTGCGTTTCGGCTCAGATCATGCTTAATGCTCCCATCGCATGAGTTCATCTCGGCCTAACGAAGAACATGACGTACGGCCAAGCGCGCTGGATTACCTTGGTACCACCGAAATCCATAACGGCCCCTCCGGTTGGTCTCAGTCCTTGCGAGGTTCGCTATGCAAGCCGTTTGATGAGCACGAGCGTTGGCTGTTCCGAGGCTTCAACCTGGACGAAAGGTGATTTTAGTCATCGGGTAGATGGACATAGTACGTACTTGCTTGAGGTCAGGTGCATGCAGTATACAGCTGCATCAAAGGACGTTGTCGAGTGGTATACAACGGCACTCTCCGACCTCACTGGTTGTCAGGTTCACCATCGCCGAACTCTAATGGCACATGTGGCGGGATTGCCATCTGACATCCGTCTTTCTCCTGTCGATCATTAACTCGACCCCACGAAGTTATGCAGATTGAGTTGAACTGTTGCGCAACTGCGACGAAACCGAGCGACTCGATTGCTGTGTACACTCTTTGATGTCTGCGCAAGCATCCGATCTTGTTGCATGTATCAAGGTCATGAACCAGATTTTCCTGAAAAAGCACCAAGTAGTTAGCAATTTCAAGGCAGAACTGGTCTGTGAGCTGCTCCAACCATCTCGTCATATTGACTTTCGACTATCGCCAACTGGGCGTCTTCCAGAAAAGATTGGATCCGCTGTGCTGGTACGAACGTGTGTCCTGAGCGTTTGACTTTCCTCACCACTTGGCTTCCGTTATCATGTGTAGGTCTACGATTTAATCGTCCTCTTCTTGTATCTATCCTCGCCAACAGAGTATGATCATTACGCGTACAGTCAAAGATACTATGCAAATCAGGTTCGCTCCTTGAGGCGACTAGTCCTGTCGCCTGTCTCCAAAGAGGTGGCGTCGCGCCGCTCTCGAAGCCTTTTCCACTTTAGGACGAGCCGCTAGGATCAACCTCACCGTGTCGTCGCACTAACTCGCTTGTCAATTTGCTGAAAATTTCTGCAGACCATACCACAACCTCGTCAAGCGTAAGGACGTACGTATCCCAACTTCCAAGCTGTTGGTTGCGTGATGACCCTATTCTTGAAGTACGAGAGTTTCGAGTGCTAGGCTTTTAGGTTTGGAACGCAGTGCTTGACCTAGATAGTCAACAAGATAACATGGCTTATTTCCGGAGCGCTCTCCGTTCCAATTCACCACTTACTTCTTATGAGTTGATGCTGACCGCCGATGTGAATTTGTCTATTCGAGCGTGAGATCATTCATCACTGATGATTATTCACATATTGACGCTAGCACTAATCATGGTCATGGTGCTCGGAAATGTGATCACATTTGTGAACGCGACGAGTGTGCGTAAAACGCCATGTATATGTACCGAGGTAACCGGACTCGATTGAGGTTAGAACAGAACGCTGGGGTCGGTCGGCTCGCATGGCCACGTCCACATGGCACGCAGCCGCTTCGCCCTAGTTCAACCTAGGGGCAGTTGCGCTGCTTAGGGCAGAACGTGACGCAACCAATCAGACGGTCTTCCTCGAGTAGGTACGATTAGTGACCAGATTGACATCTGAAATGTAGCTCTCGAGTACGCGTTGGTTGCGAACCAATATCGCTCAGAGTGGTAGCTGTGACCCAGGTTCCAGCGTGCCGCGGAGTCCTGGACGGCTGCCGAGGTGTTCATTCAGGTAGAGAATATCGCTGGTCGGATGGACCAACTCTGCCTAGCACGTACCAACGGATCCGCTGCTTGATCGTCATCCAATNNGGGTGGCTTGCCGTAGTGTTGACCCGAGCTATGTCCACCTCTCCATCAGTCACCTTCAGTCGCCGCTTCGCAGTTTCAGAACACGGACGACTGGACAGTAGACGTGTCGTATTGCTTTTGGGAAGCGCTGAACCAGGTCGGCNNGATCATGCGAGTCAACATGTCAGGCATGTCCNNGCGCAAGATTGGTTGTCGCAAGACATGCGTGCGGACATCCGAATTGCAGCGTACTGTCAACGTCGGCTCGTTCAGGCATGTAATTGCTCGCATGCACGACGAAGAGCAAAATTGTTCGCTCGCTGGTGCGCAGTGTTATGGGCTGGACCTCGACCGGGCGGCTGGATCCCTGGGATTGTCTCTGCAGGTCATCATCATCATCAAGAATCGCTGCAGTGATCGGGTTCCCGCGCTACTGTATGCCCTTACCTAGATAGGATGGGCGGCCGCGAGACTAGGGAGATGCTCCGTCCAGTCAGCAAACGAGCGGCTTCACACNCCCTCTGGGGTCGCCCTGACAGACGTTTTTCATTCTCACAAGAACCGCCGATGCTAGCTCCGAACCACTCCCGCTCGACTGGCACAATTCTAATTCAATTAAAGACATCTGTGCCTGCTGTCAAATCGACCGTTTTTCTGGACTGTGTCTCTGACCTCTNNTTCTCTTCGATTTGCAAGTCTCGCCGAAGCCAAGCACAGCCGATCGTCACCGGCTCTCGCGCCTTCCTCGAGCACAAGTGTCGTTGCGCTTCTTTCCCCTCTTGCTAAAAAGCGGCCCCTCCGTGCTGTTATCCAGTGTGAATCTTTATTAAACCTGCAGTTGCTCACCAGACTACTTTTACTCTTGTCAACCTCTTCCCCACCAAGAGCCAATCTTCACCATCCCAAATCTTAACCCCTCAAAACTCTCGAAGTCTGTTTAACGCACTGCTCCCGCCGCACGCCATTGTCCGGTCCAAACTCTGATCGTCTCGTCGGTGCCCAATTATTGGCTCACCCATCAATTCACGACTTTCTGATCATTGTTGTCATCCTGATCTGTCCTCGGCCCGAACATACCCTGCCAGTGTGATCACGGCCTCAGTACTGTCCAAGCTGTGCTCCGAAGTCAATCTTGCAACAGATTGCCCTGCTTGTCCGCGCGACCTCACTCTAGGTAGGATTTCATCCTGCAGTCCAAAACAGGTTCCTGAACGCTTGTTAACTCGACACAGCTGCGTACTCCTTCTCCAGCATCATCCGATCCCGCGGAACTAGCCACTGGACCACTGGTTGACCAACCGACCCCTCCCGACGTCGAGCCATCAAGCAGTTACTTGGCCGACCTTTGACATCTTGATCTCGACATCGAGCTATACCACTTTGAAAGCCTTAGTCAGAAAACGGGTGAGTCAATTCGAGTCTCAACCTTTTAGCATATCACTTGCTCGATGACTGACGCGAATTAGAATATTGAAAGGTCACAGTCGGTTGCGCTTGCAGTACCAGCTTGACTTGGACAATCGTGGTTAACTTTACTTGCCGGTAAGTGGAAAGTCTATTCAAACGCGTTGCGCTTCTACGAAGCTAGCGCATATTCCCCAAGGCAATCCGTGCTCCCAGCCTGTCTCTTCCCAATATGCTATCACCGTTCTCTTCCCCTCATTCATCATAGACCATTCACACCATTACCACTCTGATCCCTTGTTTCTACTTCAATCCCTCAAAGTATATCACCTGCCCTGTGTGCCTGTGGTTCACAGCTTTGTCAGGCCATCGAGGCATCTACTCACCCCCACATTTCTGCGCAAATCCTCTCTGCCATCACTTCACTATCCGTTCATTCAACGACTTATTTTCATCACGCGAACCATTCGCTGACTCAAGAAGACAAGAAAGTAAAAGGCCACGAATCTAATTCTGGATTCACTTTTACCCTCAGCTTCATTTGTTTCAACCTTGTCAACGATAGTTGACCTTTATATCGATCTCAATCCTCAAGGTTACTGCCTTCATTGACCAGTATGAGTGGCAGCGGCTCCGGTTCTGGCCCGCTCCAGCCTACATGGCATGGATTCATTCAGAACAGCATGGATGGCCTTGTCCTCTTCGAGGCATGTCTGAGCGGAAAGCTGCATCATGTGCCCCGTCGTCCTCACGACCGTGAGCGTGCAAGCTTGATCAAAAGCGGCAGCGTCTTCATCTATGAAGAAAACGCGTCGGGCATCAAGCGATGGACTGACGGCGTTGCTTGGAGTCCCAGTCGCATCCTGGGAAATTTCCTGATCTATCGCGAGCTTGAGAAGCCTTTCCCTCNNCCTGGCGAGAAAAAGCGAGCAATGAAACGCAAACGTTCCTCACAAGAACCCGAAGGTCGCCGCGAGTCTGAGGATAACGAAGTTGCCGAGTACAACAGGCTCCCTCCAACGCCCCCTTCGCCTGCGAACCCCTCAGACGCAAAGTCCGCCGCACCCGGCGCAACTGATAGCGAGAAAGAGGTGGAACGTCAGCTCATTGGCTCTCTTGTTGATAGCTACGGCTTCAGGCCCAATGGTCTCGTCAAGAAGACTATGAGCATTTCGCTGAACGGCGTCTCGCATCACCTGGTTTCTTACTACACTGTGGAAGATGTCAAGCAGCGAAAGCTCCAACGGCCTCTGACTGACTCGCGACTTAACGGCATAGCAATTCGCCCTGAGCTGTACTTGAAGCAAAACTTCCGGGCACCTGTTGAAGAGCAAGACCAGTTCGCCGTCGACCACAGCGGTCACGCCTACCCTCAAATGGGCTACTCACATATGGTAGCACCCTCTGGTTATATGATGCGCCAAAGCTATGTCGCACCTGGTTATCCACCCATGTACGGTGCCGCTCCAGTATCCACTGGAGCAACCGTGTACAACAATCTGCCGGCTACAGCGCCCGCACCTTCTTGGCCACAAACATACAGCGCAGCACCTTCGCAGCAAAGCTACAATGCTTACTACAGCCGCACGGATGCCTCAACTCCCCAGACATCGACTAACTCTTATACGCCAATGCCGCCCATGCAATCGCAATACCAGTCACCAATGAGAACGCCCGCTCAGAGTTATGGCCCACCAAGCAGCATGACTACCTCATCTACCCCAGTGGCAACACAATCGCAATACCAACCAGCGCAAACGGCTACAGCAACACAATACCAGCCAGGAAGCTATGGTGTTCAACCAAGCTCCCACCAAAGTGCTTCGCCGCAGCAACAGAGCATGAGGTCTCCTCCCGTAGGACCACCGCCTCAGTCGATGAACGCCTATCCCCCACGCTCCAACCTTCCAGGCAACCTCCCGAGCATGTCGAGCTACAGACAATACACGAGCCAGAGCGGTGGATCACAAGGCGAGATGCCCAGCATCGGAATGGCTTCTGGATATGGCAGCAGCCATTCGCAGCCTAGCAGTGGAAGCTATGGTGCACCTAGTTATGGACCTCCAAGCAGCCTCAGTGCACCTCAAAGCTACCGACACAGCAGCGACACAGCGCCTCCTGTCCAGAGCACGCAATATTACAGCGACGGAAAGCCCGCTGTGAGCAACTATTCTTAAGCGCGCACTCGTCTTTCTCTTCGAAATGTTCATGTTAACGATCTTCTTTGCTTCAGAGTCTTGCGTTTCAGCGAGTTTTTGCTCTTTCGCTTTCTCCCTTTCACAGCAGGAGACTAGTCTCCTAAAGCGAGGACTGGTCTCGGGTAGCTGTGGCAGTGTTGGGCATCAATCATCTGTATTGTATTCGAGTAAGGCAGCATTTGTAGTGTAGAACCAAAAATGGCAAATTGTCTATCAAACAAGATCTTTGCATCGTCAAATCTACGTAGAGTGGCTCATCTATCTGATGCAGTCTGTGCTCATGACCGCTTGTATGCTTGAACGATTTATGGGCGTGAGTGTGCAATAGTCCGGATCTTGAGTGACCAACGGAGCGTTGACAGGTTTTGTCCACGTCGCGACGCTCAAATCGTGAGCATGGTCCACTGAGATGTACGAGCAGCACCTACATCTCAAATCTCCAGGGAGAGTGCGTCGGCAGATATTGCTGCAACCGGACAGAGACATTCCTTGCATGGATGGCAGCCCTAGAAGTGATTTCTGGGATGTGCTCTCGAACGCCTCGGACCTTTGGATCTGCAGCGTCTTGAAAATGACGATCATCGGAGCGTTGGCGTTCTCATGTGATTGTCTCTTTTCCAAATTGATGATCGGACCTTTTGCAAGCGCGCCGACCGAACGACATGTCGCATCCAACTGCAGCAGTCAATAAGACATTGTTTACGAGCCATGGGAGGTGGTCAATGGCACGTCTCAGCACATCGGCCAGGTTGTCAGCTGTCAGCTCCGCCGCCATGACCGGTCGATCACTCCCTTTACTGTGCCGTAACCGCGCCTACGCCGCGGTCACTAGACCATCTGTATCAACATCAGCATCGTGCTCCGCGCATCTTGCATTCCGCTGGCCCATTCAGCAACACCGTTGCAGTTCGCGCTACCACATTGCCTTGAGCTCCGCAACAAGGTAAATCCGCAATTCATAATCGTGGGCCGTACGATCTAACAATGGCAACTATAGCTCATTCTCTACCTTGACATGGAGCCCACGCCGCTATACCTCAACTGCGAGGTCTGTCTCGGATCAGAAACCAAACAGCGTGGGTGACAAAGCGCGTTCCTTGACACCACGCGAGCAAATTTACAATGTACCAAACATTCTGACCGCATCCCGTTTGATCGCTGCGCCTTTCGTTGGCTATCTCGTATTGCACGAACAGCACAAATGGGCTCTTGCTCTTTTCGCATATGCAGGTATCACTGACTTGGTCGATGGATGGATTGCACGCAAGTACAAGCTGCAGACTGTTGTCGGTAGTGTCATCGATCCCATGGCCGACAAGTTTCTGATGACCATCCTGACTGTCACTCTATCAATGAATGGCCTCTTGCCAGGTGAGTAACTTCTACGCTGCATGAGATGCTGTGGCTGACCCGTATTGCAGNTATCTCTGGCGACCCTCATCCTGGGACGCGATGTGTCGCTTGCAGTGGCTGCTCTTTATTGGAGATACGCATCTCTGCCAGCGCCAAAGACTTTCAAGCGATACTGGGACTTCTCGTTGCCATCCGCCGAGGTGCACCCTACCACTATGAGCAAGTACAACACCTTCCTCCAGCTGCTGCTCATCGGTGCCACTCTGGCGTATCCTGTCATCACAGCCGACAATCACCATCTAGGCATCATGCACGATATTGGCCTCGAGAAGCTTGACCTCGCCCAATTCATGACATACTTCCAGATTCTGGTGGCTGGAACCACAGCATGGAGTGGACTCAGTTATGCCTTCCTCAAAGATGCGGTCAAGATTCTAGGCAAGGATGAGCAGCTGAAACTTAAGCAGGGAAGAAGAGGTAGAGCGATCATCGGCGTCACTTTTGGCAGTGTCGTTGTCGCGGCTGCATACTTGGCTCTGACCAAGGATCTGCCAAAGAAGAAGGAAGAGGGAGTCATTGCGTAAAATCGCCTCGAAACGTTCGAGTGAGTAGATCATATAACACTAAGCATATTTAGCGTCAAAACAGCATGATTCGTCTCGGTACACCCGCCATACTTCGAGTTGAAATCAATTGCGGCAGGAAGATGTAATCTTTAGAGGGTGCGACTTCCTGTCTTGTTGTGTGCATTCTTACCTAGTTAGGTTTTTGACTCGGCTCGTGCTCGCTCTTTCTCATTCCGTTTGGAGCTATCTATGGGAAGTTCTTAGCTCGACTTTGTGCTTTTCTTCCATTCAGCATCGCGTCCACCATCAATCGTCCATCATCAATCGTCCAGGTCCTTGACCATCGCTTACTTGCCGTCTCTTGTCAGTATTCACCATAGGTACGCACATACACGTTGTTTCATCAACCTCCAATCCTTCTCTCATCCCCTACACCCTACACAAAATGTATAGCGTTGCTATCAGCGACGTCCAATCACGCGCCACCCTTACTCCAGAATCCTCAAGGGGACTGAGACCCGAGACTACACATTCAGGCACCCCTCTGCTATCCCTGTCGTCGATTTGCATGTTTGCTCCTCTATGTTGTCTACTCGGGGCGGTGTAGAAGCGGGTTGTCCGATCAAAATAGTAGACTTTCGTCTTGTGTTTGGCTCCTCTTTCCCACGTCAATCGCACCACAACGATTTTGAGGCTTTACACTTCGCTGACAGTCCCACATGATACGCAGGATACCCGGAGCTCGTCGAGCAAAGGCTCACCACGAACCAAGACCTACTGTCACCAGATCTACCCTGAGGATAATGCCATGACAATGCGTCTGTCATAGTGCCAGGGTCACCCACCCATCAACAGACCCCAACCCAGACATCAGAGTGCTGGCTTCCAATACGTACAATACACGATGAACACCTCACAATCAAAGAAGCCTCGTCCCGTAACACCACACTGCCATGATGCAGCATGAGGAAACCGTCGCTCGCCGACCAAGCCGCGGAAATCCTCGAACAGGCTCATGCACGATAAATTGAGCAATGCATGATTTGCAAAGCAAATGAATCCGACATCACATGCAATAGTCTGCTATGCAGACGACGTTGCAGAAACGAGCTCCACTGACACTCATTCCTTAATATCGGAATGCGTAAATGAACGCATGGGCGGTGAGCTGTAGGAAAGATGCATGCATATTGCATCCCGAGCACGCCAATATAAATACTTGCAGCCCCGGGACATGACTAAAATCTGCGGAAATACTGCAACCTCCTGTCCTCTGTCGGAGCTGTCCCAAAGAGGAGGCAGCATTTCGTTTATGCAAGCTACACGCCTGTGATATTGTCTCATGCGTATGTCCGTGGCTTGTCACAATGGACATGCTTGGGCTGCGTTCTGAACGGGAAAAGTCTGCCCCAGCAGAACAAAATGGCCAAACCCGAAGACAAGGTGGGCTAGATAAAAGAAGCAGACCGTTAGGTGTGCGTCAAGCACTACGGGCATGTACAGGGTGATTTCGCAGCCGTTGGATAGCGCGCACATCAGTGCGTCTGCATTTTTAAGGATTACAGCGAACCGCAGGTGTTCTCAAGGTCAAAACAGGCAGTCTGCAAGCTGCACACTATCCAACGGACGCAGACACACCCTGTACTCCTTCAGGTCCGCTGTGGGTCCAGTTTCTAGATCTATTAGCGTCTACACCGCAGCTCCATATGGCTGATTCGATATTTAGCCATGACGAGAAGTATGACGAGTTAGATGCAACAAAGGTGGATTGATGTCCACAATTATATTGCAATTCTTGAGTGGGCATATCGATTGGAAGATCAGTGATCATGGTGCATTTCAGTTGTCACACAGTCGGGAAGGCAAGTTGCAGCTTGGGAACAGTGATCGCTTCTTGGATATACATGGGGTTAAGAAAGATTGAGGAAAAGAAGAAAAAAGGAAACATCAGCAGTACCCATGCTGTCCACGTCGCACTTCATCATTGCTGCGCCCAAGAGAAGTCTACTGAAATCAAAAGAACTTTTATGCGACGTCGTGGTCTTCCTGCTCCATGGTGGCATCGGCGGCCTGCTGGGCAGCAGCAGCGGCCTCTGCAGCTTGTGCCTCTGCCTTGACTCTCTCGGCCTCTCTGGCGACATCAGCAGCCTCGATGGCGGCCTCGCTGACAATAGCCTCCTCGACAGCCATCTTGCGTCTCCAGACACGAGCCCAGCGAGCACCCCACTGCTGCAGTAGAGTCTGTTCGGCACTGTCACCGTCGAAGCGTTCGATCATGTCGTCTTGAGCTGCATTGGCAACAGTCGAGACGGCCTCGATGATGGCGTTGAAGAGATCACGCATAGTCTGGCGCTCGCGGATCAAAGTCTCGTCCAGCAAGCTCTTCTGCTCTTCGGAGAGGTCGGCCTCGGCGCGAGCGCGCACAATCTGGCGCATGCGGTTGCTGACCTTGAACATAGTGGCCGAAATCATCTCGTAAATGTGAGTCTGTGCAAGTGCACGACCGTGCTGCAAGTGATCGTGCAGCGCCCACTCGATGACGCTCATGGGTGTGATGATGGTGTAGTTGAGAAGCTTGTCAATGATGTTGACAGCAGTACCAGGGTGGTCGGCCCAGTAGTCAACGACCGATGTGATGATTTGACGGCGTGCAAGCTCAGACTGAGGTCCGATTGCGAGGAGACGTTCCTTGCATCGCTCGATACAGGACAAGACGTGAGAAAGCGACTTACCGCCGACTGAGCAAATGCTGGTCATGTATGCATCGGTGCTAGGCACAAGGACGTCTTCAACACCGTGTTCGCTGGCCAGTGTCTGAATCTCGGTAATGACAGTTTCGATCTCCTCTTCAGAAGCCTTCTTGCGGATCAAGGCATGCATGGCATTGCCTTGTTGAGAGTAAGGGGTCTGCTCGTTGAGGTACTTGAAATCAGGAGTATCCTTCATCTTACCCTCTGAGATGAGGGGGNNAGCGTATGCCTCGGGAAGTGTCTCTCTGATACGCTTGGCGAAAGAAAGACGAATCTCCTTATCTAGCGAACCCACGATGAAGGCCTTTCTGGGCTCCAGGTCGGAGCGCTCAAGTTCGTCAATCCATTCAGTCCACTTCCAACGGAACTCAAAGTTGCTCAGGTGGTGGGCAAACCAGTCCATGTAGCGGTATTGAAGCTCGAGATCCATGATATCGAGGCTGCGGAAGAGGAAACGAATTGCTCTGCCCAGACTGGGAGCGACGGCGGCAGGAGCAATCTTGCATGCCTCGGTGATAACAGAGTGGTAGTAGACAAGCTTGTGTTCTGAGGTAGGAAGACGCAGGATCTGAGAGAAGACAGCATCAACGACCAGATCTTCAGGCTTCCAGGTCGAACGTCCTTCGGGAATATCCTTAAGCTTGTCGAAAGCGGTGGCACGCTTGACGAAGGTGTTAGGGGCCCAGTAGCAGTCGACATCAATGAGGAATTTGGCAGCAGCGTTTCGGTTGAAGTCAAGGATGTTAATAGTATCCGTGACTGCGTCTCGTAGCAGCGATGCGGCAACGTTAGAGGTAGGAGGAACAGACTCTACGTCCTGGTCGGCGAAAAGCGAGAAGCAGATCTCGGGGAACAGGGCGTTAGGGCCAGGGTTGACAGGAGAAGGAACTGAGAGCTGGGGGAACGAGTGCTTGCTGGGTACAGCCTGCTCGCCATTCTCAGCGGGGGCCGGAGTAATCACACGGGTCAGGCGAGGGATGCAGGCGAGCTTCCAGCCAGAAGCGGCCTCGCTCTGAAGCTGGGTCTGCAATGCGCTGAGCACACTGGGGCAGGCCATAGGCTTCTGCTCTCCTTCAGCAGTTGGGTATGGATCGACTAGAGCCTCAAGGGCGTGCGGCGTAGAGGCAACAATGTCGGTCTTCTCCAGCAGCTCAGCTGCGCGTTGCTCCAATCCAGTATCAGGGACAGCCAGAACGTAGGGAATGGTGAGGAGGATGATCTTGACCAGCTCGAGGCCGACAGCGTCGTCGGACGAGGCAGTCTGGAGGTCAACGGCGCGGTCGAAGAGCTCGTTGAGGATGGCAAATACACCATCGTCGCTGAAGAGAGGCTGGAGGCAGGCCAGGAATCGGAGCAACAGCTTTACACTGCGCCATTCACCAGCATCGAGGTGACGCTGCAACAGAGTTGATGTGCGAGACAGGACCTCAGCGGCAGCGTCGCTCTTNTCGTTGTTGGCGCACAAGACGGAAGCGGCGACGAAGGGAATCTTGAAAGGCTGCTCGAGCACCAGAGACAGGACCAGATCGCAATACGTCTCCTTGACGTAGTTGTCGTGGTAGTTTTCGGTGACGAGCTTTGCGATTTCTGTAACCTCATCTTCAGGGTTCTTCATGGGACTTTCGGCGACACTGAGCAATTGGCGGCGGAGGCGTGTGCCAGGAGGAGCATCTTCGTATCTTCTGCGCTGGGGTCTGCGATCATAACCACCCTCGTCGTCATCTGTAAACAAAGCAGCAGGTCAGCTCGACGATCGAAGGTGTTTCCTCTGGGCGCATACCTCTGTTGAAGCGCCTCTTGCGGTTGTTGTAACCACCGCCTCCACGTCTGTCGTCGGCCATCTTGTCGGGGTCGTACAGTCGGACGCGTTGATGAACTTCGTCGCTGGCAGTGTAATTGTTGCTCTGGAATCTGAACTTCCCTCTTCCGCGCGGACCTGTTGCTTGGAGGATCCGACGCGGAGCTTGCGGCGCCTTCTTGGCAGCCGAGATGCTCAATTGGGAAAGCACTGTGACCTGTGCTGCCACTTCATCTTCATCACCCATCCGAACTTCTTCCACTTCGACGTCTCTCATCTCGACATCATCATTTGTCTTTACTACTATCAATTCCTCGTAGCCAATCTTCTTGCGGGCGATCATAAGCTCCCTCTCTTTATCCGTCAGTCTGGCCATGACTGACGATCTTGAAAAGATGGTATTCAAGAGTCTTCTTGTGTACTCAAGAGTCCACAACCAGGCAACGGGTATCCGTGGCAGAGGATGAGAGAGAAGAGGTGGATTTTGAGCAAGTAAGCAAGAAGGATAGAGGAAGGCAAGAGAGAGGAGGCTAGGTCTGATAGGCTAAGTACTAACGACAGTCATGTGTAATCAGAAGAGTATGGTAGTGAGCAGTCCTACGAGAGGATGACCGAATGATAGAGAGTGTTCTGATGTCAACGCTTCTTGAGTGAGAAGGAGCTCTGTGAAGGATAAAGGTCTTGGTAGAAGCAGCGAAATAGTTATAGACTTACAACCTCGTCAAGTGAAACCAAGCAGCCTGGAATAAAAGCAAGGATAGGGACTGTAATTGAAAGAACAAAATCAATTCTGGTCTAAAGTCAGATAGCCAACTGCAAAGCAACCATTCACTTTTCGCCCACGTCTGCTTGACTATGCAACTCTCGTAAGAGCAGGAGCTCTAGACAACAACAGAGACCAGACCGAGCATCATGGAAAGGAACAAGAGAAACACGAAGATGAAAGAAAATCCCTGCGTTACTTAATCTTCATCAGAATGCTCCATTTCCTGTCCGCTGTGTCACAGACGGAAAAAGGTCACCTTTCGTTTCGATCGCATGCCATCAAATGGCCTCAATCCCATCATGACTTCTTTTTCCTCCAACTTGTTGACTCTTCCGAGCGCCGTTCGCATTGCCCGAATCAGAACGCAAAAGCAAACAACAACAGAGTTGAGCGAAGCACCAATCGATCTGACTGCACACCTCTGCATTTAGAGATGGATACAACGAGTGTCAAATCTGTAAAAGAAATTCCAACTCAGAGATCTCTACCGCACCACACTTTGGAATAAAAGGAAGAAAGGAAACTCGCTCGGGCCGCCCGTTCGGAGTATAAAAGAAAAGAAAACAACAAATAAGAGAGACATCAACAGCGATGCCAGCAGCAGAAGCGGCGGCGGCATTAGCAGCAAAGCAATTACTCTGAGAAACCAGCTTTATTCGACGTCATTTTGTCTGTTAAGCCAAGGCTTGTTCATTGACCCTTTGTCGTATGCGTGAAAAATTCGAGAGACTCCAGGTGAGACGCCGGTAAAGCAGACCGCTGATGGGTCGATCGAAGGTCTTGAAAACTTGAAAAGAGTATGCATCGCTAATTCATGATCTGTGTATAGTTTTTTTGCCGATAAGTTTTTTGTTTTCACTTTGTTCTTCTTTTAGTCCAGTCGTGCCATCATAGCATCCTTGGTCAAAGGCGTCAAGTTGTCAATGTCAAGACCCTTTGCTGCCAGTTGGGGACGGATGTGTGGGGGAACAAGTTGGTGGTTCATGTGAGGTGCGATTGAGAGTTCNTAAATATGATCAGTATGCTTCATCACGTCGTTGAAAGGAGAAATATTGTCCTTACCGTGGTGGTTGAAGTTGAAAAGCTCAGGCATGTCCTTGGTCGCACCTCCAGGGTGACGAGAGTCAGGGAAGCGAGTGTTGGGGTCTCTCAACTCATCAAAGAAGGGGTGAACCATGGCTTCAATGGCGGACAAGCGTTGTGTCGGTGTGTATTCGAGGAGCTTGGAAATGAGATCGATGGCGCTTGGGTCGGCCTTGCGGAAGACCTTGTCGGATGGGTGAGCAAAAATTCAGGATGTAAACAGTGAAATGAAACTTACCTTGTTGAAGGGATGAGGCTTGATCTGAGGGAATTTGTGCTCCATGTAGTTGGGGTTCATGGTGCGGATTTGGTCGCGAGTAGGGGTTCCCAAAACCTTGATGATCTCGACCAATTGATCAATACCTGATTCGCCAGGGAACAATGGCTGTCCAAGCATGAGCTCAGCCATGACACAACCAGTGGACCAGACATCTNNAATAAGGTAATTGAGTCAGCCAGCGACCAGCATACGATGCTTCAGAGTGCACATACCAATCTTTGTTGTGTAGTTGGTTGCACCGAAGATGAGCTCAGGGGCTCTGTAGTAGCGTGAACAGATGTACGAAACATTGGGCTCGTTCTCGATGAGTATCTTGGCACTTCCGAAATCGCAGAGCTTGAGGATGCCGCTGTTAGGGTCGAGAAGCAGGTTTTGAGGCTTGATGTCTCTGTGGCAGATGCCCTGGCTGTGAATGTAGGCGAGCGAGCGGAACAGCTGGTAAATGTACAGCTTCACCTCGAGAATAGGCATGGTTGTCTTCATCTTATTAAAGTAGCGAGATGCGCGGTAGACGGTTTCGGGAACGAATTCGAGCACGAGATTGAGGTAAACCTCATCCTTCTGTTCAGCGTGCGTTAGTGATTGAGTTGGGGGGNNATCAAATGGGNNCCTGAGACCTACGCGATCGCCGTTGGAGTAGTAGAAGGCCTTCAGTTCGACAATGTTTGGGTGTCGCACTATTCTCATGATCTGAAGCTCTCTGTTCTGCGCGGGGTCAGTCGAGAAGACGGAAGAATAGGGATCGGGGTTGGCGACCTTGAAGCGCTTGTCCTGAAGCACACGCTTGATGGCAGCATCCTCACCACTGGGAGAGAGCTTGGTCTGGAAGACGACACCGAAGGAACCGTTACCGACGATTTTGCATTGGGTGTACTGCATCTCTTTTGTCTCTCCAGTCAAGCCATCCTGGACCTTTTCGCGAATTACCTCTGTACGGCGTCAGCACGAGCAAAGCGTATGAGTGGGCCAATGGATGGAAGTGAAGAAATGGCGAGCTATATGACGGATGCGCAGATGGCACAAGGCAAGGAAATGAACAGCGCGGGGGAGGTGATGATATCCTTACCGCCCATACGTAAGCTAGAGAACGCCGAAGGCCTGTTCTGCGACATGATTGCGAATGGCTGTAAGATGCAAGGCGAATTGAAGCTAGGTCACCAAGGGGTCGGGGGCAGGTAGATGTCGAGGGGTGATGTAGCAGTGGTGGTTGACGAGGTCGGAGGATGCGTCGATGCGGGCCTGTGCTCGGAGCTTGTGTTGACGGATGTTATGCAGCGATGCGCGATCGAGGGGAATTGAGAACTGAGACGAAGCCGAAAGTGAAGTATGCCGCGCCGGGTGCAGAGTACAGGAGGGCTGTTGTGAAGAAAGTGCGCTGTCAGTGTCTGGTGGGGGACAAGAGCAGAGAGAGCAGTGGGCAGGACAGGCAATTGTGAGGGTCGAGAGTGTCACCTGCGCCGCGCTTGAAACGAGGAACACCACTGCCCACGTGATTGGCCTAGCTGCTGATTGTCTTACCTGAGATGGTCGTTGTTTCTTGTTATTTTCAATCGTCTTTGGGCAGGACTGTTGAAGGACTCGACAATGCTCCAAAGGATGCTCTTTCTGCTTGGGAAGTTCGAGTGGTGGTTGAAGGCCTCAGCAGCTCTTTCCCTAAAACGTTGGTTTTGCCCATCCGCTGCGCACCGCATCCCTCACCCCGCTTTACTCCTCGCCCAATTGTCACTCATCTCATCATGGAGCTAATCCTGAACATGTACGCATGACCTACAGGCCGCTTCGACGAGGCTGCCATCATCATCTTGCTATTCTCAATGCCTGTTTGCCCGTTAAAGTCTTCAATTGGCAAGCTTTTGCCCTCTATACAGTCTCGACATCTTGCACATCTCCATCTTTGTTTACCTACTCAAAACGAGCCCATTACCACAGTCACTGCTCTGCGTCTGGCCCTCAACGGCTCCCCGCCCAGGAGTTCAATCTCTGCAGCCCATGTGACTTGCTCGGTCGCTAGCGTCGGGCCCAGGCGCTTTGCACACTTGCTGATTCGTCAGGGCACCCAGTACGCAAGTGGCTGACATGTCTGCCGGGATCCGCACTTGACCATCTCTCTACCACAAGTCTTGCCCAGCTTGCAAGTGCATCATGATTCTGTAGACTTCACGAGAGAGAGCCAATTGCAATCTTCTGCCTTCGCCCGCAGCCATACAAATATGCGCGGCAGCGCGCCCTGTCCAGAGTTGCTGTTACTGTATTGCGTCAAGTTACTGTCAGGGCATGCAGGGATAATCATCATGATCGTGACCTTGTCTATTCGCTGTTACTCGATCTCAACAGCCTCTCAGCCGAACATCACTTCACTTGCTGACCAAGAGCGCTTGTCTGCATTACGAGTTCATGCCTAAATTCACATGAGATTTGGCTGGTGAAACGGACAATTCCTCCCGGTTTTTGTTGAAGGAGGTTGCTGAATCAAAGTTCGCACTACATCACAGCCGCATGTTCGTTGACTTGTTGTCTGTTGCTCGTCCCAGACTTTTGCTCATTTCGTCTCGTCCCGCCGCCAACGACTACCAATCCGGCTGCTCTCATGTTCATCTTGCTTGTGTTGAAGACTCAACGCTGAAACATCAAATCCTAGATCTGCAGCCAAACCAAACATTGTTGCACTTCGGATTGTCTCATGTCCGAGAGCAGAAACGCACCTGATACCCGTTCCCATCTTGAACCGTTGTCATACTTCTGGTGAACCACAACTGGTGCGCGCATTTCCAGATTGACGGAACATCATCAATCCTTCGCCTAGTCTAGTGCGTCGTCCCTAGCTGTCTAACAGCATGCTCTTTGACAACAGCCGAAGAGCAATATCACCTCGATAAAGCAATGTTAGTCAGAACGCACGTCTTCGCATTAGAGAACTGCCAGGCTTCGGCTGAGTATCTGTTGCTGAACTTGTTGACCTCGTGGCTGCACTCGTGCGCATAGCTGCAAGAAGTCGATGCAAGCCGTGGTCGCCGCATCGGTCGACCTGCAGGAACATGATTGATGATCTTGCACATCAGCCAATCCGCTGCCTGTCAGGATCTTGTAACTTAACTTATGCCTCTGCGCTGGCTTGACTTCGGTAGTTTGTCACCATGCAAACACCAACCCCGCGCCCTATCGCCATCTATCGCTGGCTCAGAGTAATACATATGCTTGTGCGCCTTGCGTTCGCTCAGCTTTCGCTGAGCTTCCCTGTTTGCATGCAAATAAGCGAGTCAACAATATACACAGCTCAGGGCACAACCTCTCACGGCACATCACCAAGGGTCACGGCATTTGCATCCTTCGACGAGCTTAATATCGGTGCCTCTGTCAATCCCCCACGCCTGCTCCTCATGATCAGATTGATCCGGCATCTGCAGACGGCCGGAAATGCCACCGGCATGATATCGACCTCACCCTGCATTGAAGACACATCACGAGGTATTGCTTTTGAGAGTCACATATTCCTCTTACCTTCCGTATTCGCTTGTAAGATGAACACAGATCTGCTGTATGCATGCAGACTCTTCGGCAATATTCACATGTTTTCTCACTGTCATCATCTACCTATCTTGATTCTTGTCCACAGCCATCACCATCCGGTCAACTCTTGTCGCGTGTCACTGAATCCAAGCACACGTGCTCACAATATTGGTGGTCAATGGTCCGCTCGTTCTATAACGTACGTAGAAGGAGAATCGTCGAGTCTCACAACAGTCTGGGCACTGTATTCTACTACCAAGCAAGGCATGTGAGCAGATTTCCCTTGATAATTTCTTGTCTGTGTTCTCAAACAGACGCCATCTTCTCAGGGACATTGTCAACCAACACCACCAAAGAATGAACAAGAATGTTATTCTTTACAGTGTAGGAACACAGCAGTTGGGTAGCGCGCACATTCATGCGTCTGCATATTCAAGGACTGCAGCGAATCGTGAGTGTTACCAATCTCGAAACAAGCAGTCTGCAAGCTACACACTATCCAACAGACTCGACCTCACCCTAAACTAGGAAATATTTACACAATCTCTTACTCGCACCCTCGAGTACAATATGGTCAACTTCAATCAACTCTAGAGTAGCCATTACAGTAGAAAAGAGACGATTCATATCTCCAAGCTTATACCTCTCTTCCTACTCTTTGTGAGAGAGCAAGCCAAGATCCATTGATCCCATCACCAACAAAAACCCATGTCTCCACCTCTTTCTCTCTTGATCGACATTTCCACAATAACAATCGCACATCACCATCATCTCCCATCCATTGTCGTCGATTTTGAGCTTTCAATTCATCGGAAGATCGGCAAACCCCCAACGAAAAGATTTCGGGACGAGTAAACAACAACGTGGGTCCTTTTTATAAAGAGCCCCCGAACGCGAATCATGAATCAAGTCTTGAACGTCCGTTTGCTCCACACAGAAATTAGAAAATGACATGGATTCACCGTGGAATTGTTGACGTAGGGCAAGGATCGATCTTTGTTTCTGCTATATGGCGTCAGTGCTGGATCAATGCCTGAGTGCCTTGATTGTGCATGCCTGAGATTTGATGAATATCCTATGCTTAATGCTTCTCTTATGGATTTTTGTTATCATGTTCTTTGTGCTTGTCTTGTTTTATCTCCACAAAATCGATTCTAAATTTATTCTCATCAGGCTACCACTTATACGAGCCCCATTTATGGAGAGACGAGAATCCTCGTATCGAAATCGTGACAGGGTTAGGAGAGGGAATACGAGACTTGGCTTTGAACAGTTTGGCAGGGCATCGCGACGCAGCAAGATCCATGCACTATGGGACAAAGTCACAAGTCACAAGTTTTTTCGGATTCTTCATCAAGTGGTCGTCATAATGTATTTATGATTTTCGAGCAGGAGACATTCACTTGTTGATGAAGGGATTTCTCCTAGTGAGAAACTGGTCATGCGAGTCACCATCAGTAGGTGATTAGATGTCCGCTGTATTAGTCCCAGCTTCGCAGTATAGAGTCGAGTGGCTACAGCTTTCAGAAGAGATCAGTTGTTCATGATGACCCTAGCCTCCAAACCCTAACCCTTTCCTTTTCAATCCAAAACGGCAACTCCCTCCTGTGTGCCAAAGACACGTAGTTTGTTACCATAGACCTTCCAGAAGCCGGAGTCGAAAGATGGCATCACAGTGCCAACTTCGCGNCTCTCCCAATCCGCGTTCTCTGCTGCCAGCACGGGAATAGTGTCCCAAGCTGCTCCCGCACGAGAGTCTGAGATACCGTCTGTGTCTGCAACCACAGGATCAGATGCATGTGCGTCTTCAGAGGGCAAAGCGTCAAACTCGAGAACCTCTGGTGTCTTCACTTCATCTTCCTCAGAAACGTCAACGGTATCTTGAAGTTGATCGAAAGCTGTGGCGTGAGCAAAGCGACCGCCTTGATGTGCTGGAGGTGCAGGGGTAGTGGCCTTTGACTTCTTGTTCTTCTTCTTTTTCTTCTTCTTGGAGTTTCTGCTCGCTGTGCCCGATTCATTTTCGGTTATTTCTAGCTCGGTGGTTTGCTCGCCTAGTGAATCTTCCGGTGTTAATTGGTCTGCTATCTGGTTGTTTTGCTGGTTTGATGTGGTTGTCTGCCCTCCTAAAACTTTCAGGGGTGCCTGAAGGAGGCCTTTGACACTGTCAATCGCTGAATTGATTACAGAAGGCGTGTTGGTGTCGAGTTGGACACCACCACCGTCAACATCTGGCGGTGTGGGCGGGATTGTGTTCTGTAGCTCATCGTGATCATAATTTCCCGCGAGCTCGAGTTTTGCTGAAAGACGCACACCAACTTCAGCTGTGAGCATGCTGTCGTAGCCAGCCTCGTGGAATGCCGTAGTATCGGTGTACTTGTTGTAATCTTTGTGTGTAACGACGCTAGGCTTTTGTTGTTCTGAAAGCTTCTCTGCTATTTGCTCGAGGGAGGACTGAGGATTGATGTCTCCACAATTGTGAGTGGCCATGTATTTCGTGTCAACAATGATCGGGAAGAGCTCGTGGATTAAGCTGGCGAACTCATCCACAGTGTCCGGCAATGCTCCGATGAAAGTCCTGTAGAAGTAGATTAGGTCGAGGAAGAGGTTATGACCGAAAAGAGCCGTCTTCTTGTTGCGAATCATGTGCTTAGCGCGATTGAATCGTGACTTCAACTGGTCGAGGTCGACAAACCCAGGAACACCTCCTGGAGTTGTGGCAAATGATCGGACGTCGATGCCTTCAGGAGCATTGCCACAAAGAGCTTCCACAATCCATCTGAATCCTGTTTGGCGAACGATCCGGTCATGAACCTCCCGCTTGCGCTGAGCCTTAATGTACTCCTCGCGTTCGGGATCAAGTCTAGAGACACGGACCAGGCCTTTGTTGGGTATGCTAACAAGATCGGGGTACTCTGCACGCACGATCTGGTGCACCAACCGTCTCTCGAAACGATTCAGCTCAGGGTTGGCGTTCTCATTAGTGTCCAAGGGACCGATAACAACAGAGTGCGCACTCGGCTTTCCGGTCTTGAGCCAGTCATCAACCTCAGATCGAACCCTTCTGAGAAACTCCAGAGCTTGCACGTCTTCTGGCTTGATCTCGATATCGGTGAAAGATGACTTGTCGTTCCTTGCGGCTGCTCTCTCTTCTGCTAGTTGAGCTTCATCCCTGGACAAGTATGGGACTCCAGAGGTGAAAGGAAGATCAAACTTAAATCCGACTCCAAGCAGGAACTCAGCAGCTCCACTATGAAAAGAAAAGGTGCGATCAACATCCAGTCGCTCCTCAAGGATCGGACTGAGGTTGAAGTTGAAAGGCTTGCAGACGTAGGTGCCTTCAAGCACATCGTCCTTAACGCATGTGAGGCCAATCTGTAAGATCTGATACTGCTCGGCAGCCTTCTTGGTTTCGAGGTAGCGCTCCTGCAGTGAGGGTTTGCCAGGCTTTTCCTTTGCTTGTCCCTTGACAGGTACGCCGGAAAGTTCGAGATCGAAAGACACAAAATGTGCTTCTGCGATAGCCTCAAGGACGTCAAGAAGACGCGAAGGAAAAGATGATTTATCTATATCCATGTTGGAGAATGATGAGAGGACGGCAGACAGGCCGTGAAGGAGCTTGTAAGAGTAGAGGGCAGAGGCAAATCGCAGCAGATCGGAGTTATTTGCGATGGATGGAAGAGACAATGAATTGAGAGGCAAACGAATACCTACCGCGCTAAGTCAATTGTTTTAACGCAACAAGCTCTGAGTATAGAGCAAGTACCTCGATGACTACTCTCCAAGCTATACTCACTGACTATTCAGTGTGTTGATGATAGAGATGTGAATGTGAGAGCGAGAGAGCTCAAGACGGGCTGTATGCATCTTGAATATGATGATGTAGCGCTTAGAAGCAAGAGGTCCGAGCGTGGTCAACCTCGGCTCATTCGTGATCAGAAGCCGGTGAAGGAAGGAATGACTGGGGAAGGTGAGGATAACAACACGATTGATAGCCGACCAGGGGGCTCTTCAATCGTACGTTCGCTGCTCGAGAACAGAGAATTGAGCGACATGCCCACTGACTCAACGGCATCAACCATGTCGTATGAGGATTCGCTCTCGTCGCAATACTTGACCTCGTCCATCTCGTCGCTCTCTTCGGCCCGCGCTCAGTCGTCGCAAATAGCCAGAACCTATCGCCAGGCTGCCCAATTGTTCCTCACTCGCAGGCTTTATGAAGCCTTGTCTACCATTGATCCCATCATCTCGCCCGAAGCTCCAGACTCGCCTTTTCAGCAAGACGAACAGACCGACCGCCATGCTGCGCCTGTCGCATTCGCGTCCAAAACTAGTCGCGTCAAGGTGTGGAGCTTCTACTTGACTCTTCTCAATGCCATTATAGACCTGGGTCCCGAGGAAGGCAAGCTGGTCTTTGGAAGTACCAAATGGCGAGAACTGGCCTCGTACGCTCGCCAAGGCACCATCTGGGACCTCGTTGTCAAGCAGGGTTATCAAGGTAACGAGGGTGCTGTGGACGCCGAGGTGGTTGTCAATCTGTAAGAAGCTTTCAAACCTATATCGTTGCAAATCGCCTGACATGTGATAGTGNCGACATTGCTTCTGGCACACATGCCGTCGCAGAAGCTAAATCAGCAGCGTCTCGAGACCTACCTGTCCGCCTTATCCAATCCCAGCTTTGACATTACTGCCCACCTCGAAGCCTCCCAGCAATCCATGCGCAACTCATCCCACCATAATGGAACCAGTACCCCGCGCGATTTGAATACCCGTCTCAAGCTTCTCGAGCTTTATACTTTACATGTTCTGCCACAAAACGACGAATGGGACTACGCTCGTGATTTTATCAGCATGAGCGAGGTTCTAGACGACGAGAGAAGAGATGCTTTTCTACAAGCACTTCACACATTGAAAGAAGAGAAAGCACTGGACGGAATCCGAGAGAAGGAACTTCAGCGCCGCCAGGATGAGGAGATGCAGCAAAGACGTATCGAGGATGAGACACGCCGAAAGGAAGAGGCCAGAGCGGAACAGGAGAAAAGGCGACGAGAAGCTGATGAAAGGCCACGTACAGCTGGCTCGCAGAACAGAACGCCCTCGACCTCGAGCAACAACAACTCTAGAGCAGGACAGACTAACNAGAAACCCACCTGCGTCGAGAGCGAAAGCTCCGCAAAGAAAGCCACGCCTTCCTCACCACGCGTTAATCGCTCGATATTTGCGACCATGCAGGCGGCCGTGCTGAATGCTGGAAAATCCGTCAGTCAGAATCCCATGGTGTTGCTTCGATTTGTACTCTTTCTGATGGCTTTCACTTTGGCATTTGCACGTCGAGATGTCAGGGATAGAGTCAAGCGGAGCTTACAGGGGGGCTTACATAAAGTACAGAGGACCATAGGCATGGGTGTAAAGGTTTCCTATATCTGAAATAATTGATAGTAACTAGAATTGGCACGACGAACATGTTCCTGCATGACAGTAGTTACTTGCAGGAGATTTTGTACATTGATGGCTTGGCGCATATTGTTTGACGCTAGAGGCTAGAGCAGCATCACGAGCACTTTTTTGTAGCGCGCGCGGCCAGACGTCTTATTGTTTGCTCCCTTGGCCGTCTCGTTCGGTATTGTTCGAGTGAATGCGAGATATCATGTCCAAAGTCACGCTCGCACTCGTTGCCGCAGGTGGTGCTGCGTTCGGAGCAGCAACCACAGCCGCTCTGTTCCCTCGCAAAACAGCAGGCCCCGTCAGCGTCAACANNCTCCCGCCGCTCCCTTTCCTACTCCCGTCACCCCGCCATTGGCTGTTGGCAAGCCCGNCAGGTGTCCAGGAAGCTCTTGCTGCTGTTGCTAGACCCGTCGACCCCAATGGACTCTACCAATATGGATTCCCTGGCCCCGTGTCCGACCTGAGAGCCGCCGCGTCCTTGACCTCTGCATACGACCGTCGAACAAGAAACCCGGCATGGGTCGTCGAGCACATCACTCCCGAGTCGCTCAAGAACAGCAATGCAGACCGCAAGCACTCGGTCTTTGTCGAGGACGAGGCCATTCCAGAGAAGTTCCGTGCTAAGCTCAAAGACTACTTCCGCAGCGGCTACGATAGAGGTCATCAGGTTCCTGCTGCAGACGCCAAATGGTCGCAGCAAGCCATGGACGATACTTTTGCGTTGAGCAACATGTGCCCTCAGGTCGGCGAGGGCTTCAACAGAGATTACTGGGCTCACTTCGAGGACTTTTGCCGTCGTTTGACCGGACGTTATCCTTCGGTTCGCATCGTGACTGGACCCTTGTACCTTCCCAAGAAGGAGGCAGATGGCAAGTGGAGGGTCAGCTACGAGGTCATTGGAAACCCTCCCAATGTTGCTGTACCTACACATTTCTACAAGGTCATCTTTGCCGAAGATGGAAAGGTTGGCGGAAACGTCAGCTTGGGTGCTTTTGTCTTGCCCAACGCTAAGATTGCAAACGACAAGCCCCTTCAAGACTTTGAGGTACCTCTCGAAGCTGTGGAAAGGTATCGCATGCGCTTTGACAATATGCAGACTTGCAGTGAGCTGACGATCATCACANGAGCATCTGGTCTTGAGTTCGCATCGCTTCTTCCTCCGGCTCAAAGAAAGTCGTTGTGCAAGGAGATCAAGTGCTCCATTATCGTCAAGGATTACTCGCAAAGACAAAAGACATTGGCCAACCCTCCTCCGCCTCCCAAGGCGAATCTATAATGAAGTCGAGAAATTGCTCGATAATGTACAATTATTTTGGACCGGGGCATCTTTCTATGCATATCGTACAATTGGTCCTATCCACCCATCTCTTTTTTTCTCCTCGTAATCGTGCTTTGTCGTAGAAATGTAGAGTTTACATCATGATGCCACCGGAACCGGCCTCTCTCTGTATGCGGTTGATGTATTGCTTGGAGACGACGTTCCAGGCCGACATGTACTTTTCCATGCACTGCGAGTAGCAGGTGGATTCGCCCGAGGACAAAGAGGAGCCGGGCTTGGGGATGCAGCGCTCGAAGCAGTGTTCGTTGAGTTTNCTAATGCGCCGAGGGTCAGCGCGTGTGGGCGAGGTGTGGAAAAGCTGGATTCTTTGTACCTCGACAAGCTGTCTTGCGTTTGCGACGGCGGCTTCTTGTGCGACTTGTTGCTTGATGGCCTGAGTCTGGCTGGCGCCTGCAGCGGGTGATGAACCTCCGAGGAAAGACATAGTTGTGTGGGTGGAATGTGTGGCTTGACTGAAGATACAAAAGTTGATATGCACGTCATGTCGGCGACGGCGGCCCTGAAGGATGTTTGAACTGTTTGGCTTTGCGGAGCTCTAGATCAAGATGACACGAAACACACCCCCTTGGCGCTGGAAATAGACCAGTCTGCTATTCTCATTCTCCCATAGGCCAAGGGTGCCGTTTGCTTCTTCTTTATTCCATTCGCCATGCGCTTCCTGTCTCTGCTCGGAGCTGCTGCTGCGACGTGGCTAGCTGGCGCAAATGCTCAAGACACATCTGACGTGAAGAGCATCCNNCCGTACGACATGCGACCTCGAATGTCCTGATTTCTGTCCACATCACTGACACTTGACCAGCTTCGCACACATTCTCTGGTCCAGCCCTACCTCGACTCGGACCTCCAGAGCAGATGGTGGGACTTTGGCGGCGACACCATCATCCGCGCCGACAAGCACATTCGTCTTAGCTCCGACCGCCCCTCGCAATCCGGCTGGATCTATTCGAGAGTCCCCTTGACTGCTACCAACTGGGAGATCGAGGTCGAGTTCGACATCAATGGCCAGGGCAACCTCTTTGGTGACGGCTTTGCCATGTGGGTGACCACCGACAGAGCCCAGCAGGGTCCTGTCTTTGGTAACAAGGACATGTTCGAGGGTCTGGGTATATTTTTCGACACATACAAGAACAACAGACCTGGTGTTGTTTTCCCTTATGTCATGGCTATGCTTGGCGACGGAAAGACTGTCTACGACCAGGCCCACGACGGCAAGGCCAACGAACTCGCTGGCTGTTCGGTATGTTTTACTCTTTGTCTGTTTATCTCTGGCTACTTGCTAACATTCTATAGGNCACGTGGACTCCGTAATGCGAACATCCCCACCAAGGCCCGCGTCACCTACTTCCAGGAGAAGTCGCTCAAGGTCGAGTTGATGTACAAGAAGGAAGACGAGTGGACCCCCTGCTTCGACGTCCCCGGCATCAAGCTTCCTGGTGTCACCTACCTCGGTTTCTCTGCCGAGACTGGCGAGCTTTCCGACAACCACGACATCATCAAGGTCGAGACCAAGAACCTGTACAGCCCAAGCGGCGCAGCTGGCACCCCCAAGGATTACAGCAAGAGCGCCTACAAGCCGAATCAGTATGCGAAGAAGGAGGGTGGTGGCTGGGGTTGGTTCTTCTTGAAGTTTGTCCTGTTCGGTCTGGCCTTGACAGGAGCCTATGTTGGATTCACCGTCTACCGCTCAAACAGAAGACGAGACAGATTTTGAGAGTCATTTCTGTTCTTTAGTCCTTCGTGTTTATCTTGTTATCGTCATTAAAAAAGTGGGAAAACAGCGTTTCAGAAAAGAAAAGCAGGACTTGCTGGAATTGTGGAAAGCACAAGGGCAAGAAGACTGCAACTACCTTCCCACTACATATATTCTTCATAACCATTCATCCAACCAACGAATCTCCCAGTCTTTGTTTTTTCGTTTCAGTGTCCTCAGAAATTGAGTCTCTCCAATGTTATCACGACGACAACCACAGATCTCGTGCCTGTTAAGCACAAGCGGGCTGCCATGTCAACTTTGGCTTAGGATATTCATCACAGGACGATAATGAGGGTTTTCTCTCCCAACACTCCACTTCGTCTCTCCAATCCCTCCCCTTTTCCGGCTTTGATGTTGCAAACACCTCTGTTCTTCTTGCTTCTGAGACCAACATTAGCAGAAACCCCATCGAAAGCAGAGATAGCGACCAGCTGCAAAGGGGAAAAGCAGAAGAAAGACGGAGCCAGCGCCATCCGATTGAAAACTATCTTTTGTTTTCCATTCTCATTGCCCTTAATTCCGTAGCGGAAATCAATGTGTGGCTCGAGTTGAAGAAAGTATCGTCAAGCAGCGCCTTGGGATGCTAAACACGTCTTTCTGTTTCTGACATTTCCATCCTTTTGACTGTCGCATAATGTTTCGAGTGTGTCTCTTTGGTCCAGATGCAAGAAAAGAGATGATGAACAACAAAGCGAGAAAAGAAAGGGAATGGCGATGAGAAGAAAAGGATGTTGAAGAAATGAAACAGAAACCCAAGAATTGGAAGGGCGCAGTATGTCGTCCCCTACGATCTCTGTTCATTGTCTCAGTCATGGTGCGTGGCTTGCAACACGTTTGCTCTTCGGGACACCCGAGGGGCAGGTATGCTGCAGGCACGCGAGACTGCCTTGTGTGTGATTGTTTCTCGGCATCGGGGTGAACATGCTAGACACACTGATCGTTAGCACAAAAGTGCTTTGGAGACGAAAGCTTCAAGATCTCTTACCGCTGCTTGCCAATTCTTGTATGGGTTTCACTTTGTAGGTTTTAAGCAGGACTCGAAGAGATATGTAAGATCTTATCAGAAAACGCCACATCTGACATGTGACTCTAAGCATCTCAAGCCACACCAACAGCACCAGCCACAATATAGAAATCCCACGTCAATCTTGCTTCACGTGCTTCCCATTAATTCTACCTACTTTTTTTTTTCTTCTGACTTACAATTGAAAGATAGCAGTGGCTGTGTCACAAAGAATGTCCTCGACTTGGATTGATCAGGTCAGGTCGTCGCATAATCTGCAACTAGCGGCCACGGCGGTGGCTTCTGGATTGCTGGTTGGAAGTGCGATTTTAGGGCTGCAAAAGGCAAAGCAACAGTATCGGGTTTCTGATCTCAAGAGCTCGATTCCTGATCTTGACAAAGATGAGAATGTTGTTCAAGTATGCTTTTTTTTGCATCATTTGGTTCTTCAAGTCTAGTGTGCTGACATGTATTAGATAAACAATTTTGGCGGTGCTGTGCAAGATGGCTCGAGATCATCAAAAGAAGATGAGAGAGGTGCTGCTCTTGCTGCCAGAGCTCGCTTGGGAGACTATGATGAAGGTGGGTATATCTTTCGTGGTGTAAAAGCATGACTCTGACAGAACACGTAGNAATTGATTCTAGAACAATTGGCCCGTAACCGCGTCTTCCTCACCGACGACGGTCTGAAGAAGCTACGAAATGCATTCATCATCATTGTTGGAGTCGGTGGTGTGGGTTCGCATGCTGCAGCTGCTCTTGCCAGATCTGGAGCTGGAAAACTACGCATCATTGATTTTGACCAGGTCACTCTTTCTTCTCTGAACAGACACGCCGTGGCCACGCTTGCAGATGTAGGAACACCAAAGGTCCATTGTCTACGCAAACGTCTCGAGCAAATCACACCATGGACACACTTCGACTGTAGAAACGAACTCTTTGTAGGCTCAACCGCCGAATCACAACTAGCACCTTGGGCAGATGGCCACAAGCCCGACTTTGTCATTGATGCCATTGACAATATTGACAGCAAGGTCGACCTTCTAGCCTACTGTCACAAGCACAACATCAAAGTCATTTCCTCCATGGGCGCGGGCTGCAAATCTGATCCCACCCGCGTGTTCCTCGGCGACATCTCTACTAGCACAGACGACCCTCTCTCCCGATCCACACGACGCAGACTACGTGCAAAGGNNGGAGTCAAAGATGGTATTCCTGTCGTCTTCTCCAGCGAGAAAACCGCCCCTGGCAAAGCTCAACTCCTCCCCCTCTCCGATGAAGAACACGCANAAGGCAGTGTCGGCGAGCTCGGCGTGCTCCCAGAGTTCAGAGTCAGAATCCTGCCTGTGCTAGGCACCATGCCAGCAATCTTTGGCCTTTGCGTTGCAAACCATGTCATGCTGGCAATCAGCGGTTACCCTCACGAGTACCTACCTTCTAAGTCTAGAGACAAGATGTACGATGGTATCTTGGCTAGCTTGCAAGGCTCAGAGGAGCGTGTAGCCCGCCACATGTCCCTCGACCCCCTCGGTCTCCGCATCCCCATCACCCAAGAAGACGTCGGTTACGTTGTTGAAGAAGTCTACCGTGGTCGCAGTGTAGTCAGTGGTCTAGCCAGCCGTCTCGCACTCGTGCGTTGGCACAAACCCCAAGGCCAATTCATCGATACCAGCATTGCAGGACAAAAGAGCTCCAACATCGCGATCAAGGATTTGGTACTTATGACCAAGGATGAAGTCACCCAGCATGAGAAGTTGGTGCTCAAGGGCGACAAGACCCCTGAAGAAGTTTATGATGCCAAGGTTATCAAGTTGGTGAAGGAGAGGATGAAGGAGGAGGCCAAGTATCGCGATTTGAGGTAGAAGTGTTTTTTTTTCTGGATACACTGATGCCGATATAAAGAGCTGCACACCAACATCTAGAATCAAGATTGTTCTTCACTCCTACTCTCCTCACTCGAAGCGCAACTCTGTGAACGCAGTGAATCCAGCCCAGCAACCATACACAGCACAGGCCCGCTTTCTCACAAATAGCAGTCACCACCAGCCGGTTTCCCGGCCCAATTGGTGAGACCCTGACCTCTCGTGGAGCGGTAATCCTGACAAAGCCCACTCTCTCGCAACAACCACATGAGTCTTTCCCCCCAAGCGATGGTTACTTGTTCTGGCTGTTGCTTCAAGAATAAAGATAATCTCGTCTCGACAATATTTTGTAAACCCTCTCCCCGAGGTCGTCAGTGCGGGTCATTGATCATGATACCTCACTTCACCTCGAGGATCATCAACACGAAGAGCCTGCGATTGAAGAGTCTCATTCTCCGAGGCGTCTCTTTCACCAGTCCCTCGCTCTGCACACCTTGGAAGCCCAGAGCTCGGTAGTCCAAAGCTTCATGCTCAACGCCATCGCACTCAAGAGCAGCATCCTCGCCCGCAAGATCCAGTCACACCCGATCAACCCATTCGCAGAGACGAGGCAATGGCCCTTGTACCACACCAACATGAAGAGGTCGTGCGCGAAGATCAGGCAATGGCCCTTGTGCGTCACCAGGACGAAGACAACCACCAACATCCTGCATCAAGCGACACAGGCAGCGAATCGCCTCGTCCACCCACTCCCCCCTCATGAAGACACTCCGTATCAACCACCTGCCTTTGATGTCTCGTTCGCTGTCGATCAGCACGACAATGTCGGATCTGTCCAGTTCTTCACCACCCACATCAACCTACTCAAGGAGCATTGTGACAGAGTCAACGACTTTCTCTATGGCGCTGTACAATGGTCTGCATTTCGCCCACAGCTCCACTAGGAAATCCGAGCAACACCTTCTTCTTCTTCAGACATAACGAGCTCAATGCCGTCGGCTTCAAGCTTGTCAAGCGCATCACAAACAATGCTGGCAGGCATATTGTTGTGCTATACTAGCATCCAATTCTTGGTGTCTCAGCCGCCGCTCGTGGAGCTCTTCTCTACGAATGGTATGACGCCAACGACTTTGTTATCGACTTTGACGTTACCATCTTTCCTGTCAACCGAACCCTCCTTAAACGTGGACTCAAGCTGCTCGGACCAAGATTGACTGCACTCATCTTTACGCCCTTGACAGGTGTTGTGTCCCCTCGCGTGCACATTAACTGTGGCTCGCTTGAAAATGGCATAACCTTTGCTGCTTCTCTCCCTCCTTCTAGAGCAGTCTTCTTGCTTGGGGATTAGGTGTATATTGCGATATCAGACTAAACTGTCGGTATCCTCGTCTCTCGATCAGATGTGTAGTCGTGCACACTGTAGAACGAGAACAGTACCTCGTTCCAATGTTGCATCGCCAAGTGTTCGTCCCCCAAGATACATATTAGAACAACCTCCCAAGGATCGAGACCAGAAGAAAAGGGCTAGATCTACAGTCTATGACTTCCATCTTTGCATAATCGACAGAGTTCTAGAGGTCCGACGGAACGTTCGTATTCTTGTCTTGTCATCTTGTTCTTACAAGTTTCACATACCACCACCAGCAGACTACCCTTGCTTTTTAGTGCATCCTTCAAGATGCAGATGTACAGTAACAGCTGCATTCCAGCCAGAAAGTTCCAGACTTCTTCCCTCGATCCCTCCACCGCAGTAAAGCCACCCAAACGTCTCATTCTGTCGATCACAGAATGTCCATTTGCTGACAAGCAACAAGCAAGGCACTAGAAACTTGGTTGGTCATGCTCCTTGCTTCCATAATCTCTACAAGTTGTATGTTCCTTTGCTTTCCATAATCCTTGATCCTCCAACCTGAACTCTATTGACAGAAGACGGAATTGATACCGTGAAGGTATCACATGAAGCAAGAACTACACGTTTACGCCCTTCCCCAGACGCCTCGTTTCTTGACACCTCTCTTTCCATCCCCCAGACGCCACGAGAAAGCGAAAGGTCAGGCAAGGTGAACCGTTTCTCACGAGCAGTCAAGAATCACATAGCGCGTAGTCCTAAATCGCGGTTATACGAACCTACACCAAAAGCCATCTCGGTTAGGTTTTCCTACTCTCTGAGCCGCCGGCAGGTACTCATTCCTAAAACCCGCCAACGAAGCTCGGTTGATGGATATTCCCATACCCGTCGGTTATGTAGCCTTCTATAAGCTCGGCCCTCGGAATATATGTTGTTCCTTTAAACTTTCCATGGCTAGGGTGATATACTTCCACTCCGCCCTGTACATTATAGAGTGTGGCTTGCTGTTCACGAGAGACAAGCATCTGCTTGCGTTCGTTTCCAAGCGGCAGTTATATGCTTTGAAACCGGGAAGGGGCAGAACGCGGTTCCTATCAGTTTCTGTGGCTTGGAGGTACTTGTATATGGCCACGTGAGATATCATGTGGTATGGCACGTTGAAACTTGGAGCATTGTTGGAATAGACTTTCTGGAGACTCTGGGGTAGGTGAGTTTATGGCTTGACGTTCGTGTGGTGTGAAACAGGGACAGGGTGGTGTTGAAAGAAACTAAGGCAAAAGCAACAACATGTCAACTGCCGTGAAATCGTTGACTGAACAATCACAGTCTGGTTGCAAGATGCTCGCTAGACATTACTCATTGTGTAAGAAGTTTCATTGATTGAAAAATGTGAAGTTTATTCATGGTATCTAAGCAGCAGCCGGAGCTCTGCGAGTAAAGTTGCAAACAGGAAAAGTGGACAAGACCGTGAAAAGTCGTTTCTATCAAGAGCACAGAAGAGCGAGCAGGATTCATTTCCTTACTCGTCGTCAACAAGCCATCCTCGGCACATGTTGACTGCTCTTTCCCAGCGCTTGACTCCCTTAGCACTGTCCTTTGCCTCCATCTTGGCCTCAAAGACGGTTTGTCCAGCGGTGTTGACCTCCTTTAGCTCGTCAAAGTTCTTCCAGACACCAGCGGCAAAGCCGGCAGCAATGGCAGCTCCCAATGCAGTGGTCTCGCGCATCTTGGGTCTGACGATGGGGATCTTGTTTTCGGCCAGGACGTCTGCTTGGATTTGCATGCACAGTTCGCTGTTTGACATGCCACCGTCAACCTTGAGCTCTTGGAGAGGGTGACCACTGTCCTTCTCCATGGCATCTAGCACGGCTTTTGTCTGATAGCAGACAGCCTCGAGTGTGGCGCGAGCGATGTGCCCTCTTTGTGTGTGTTGGGTGATACCGAAAATGGTACCTTGAGTGTCGGTGATCCAGTATGGTGCAAAGAGACCACTGAATGCTGTGACGAAGACGAGACCGCCGTTGTTCTCCACTGTGCCGGCGAGCTCGGTGATTTTTGACGAATCGAAGCTGAAACCCAAGTTGTTCATGAGGAACTTGACACCTGAACCTGCAACTGCAATAGATCCCTCAAGGGCATAGCTTGGTGTTCCGTCGAAATCGTATGCAACGGTGGTGAGGAGACCGTGGGTGGAGATGACGGGCTTGTTGCCGGTGTTGTACAGGATGAACGAACCTGTACCGTANTCTTTTTTGTTTGTCAGTTTGCTGCTCTGTGTGACACACCATATAAGCTTGACTTACGTGTTCTTTGCGCTGCCTGCATCGAAACCCTTCTGGCCGACCAGGGCAGCAGACTGGTCACCCAAACATCCGGTGAGGCTAAAGCCGGACAGAACTCCCGAACCGATTTTACCATAAGCCTTTGCGTCAGAAGACTTGACAATGTCAGGCATGTGAATTCTGGANAGATCGAACTCCTCATCGCCGAAGAAGGCAATGAGCTCTGGGTTGTACTTGAGTGTGTGGATGTCCATGAACATTGTGCGAGAAGCGTTGGTAGGGTCAGAGACAAAGACTCTCTTCTCGTGTCCATTGAGCTTGTAAACAAGCCATGCATCAATGGTTCCGAATGCAAGAGTGCCTCTCTCGTATGCCTCCTTCACCTTGGGCTCGTTCTTGAGCAGCCATAGAAGCTTGGTGACACTGGGGTAGGTGGAGAGCGGCAGACCGCACTTTTGTGTCAACTCATCGGCACCCTTGCGAGACTTCAACTCTTTCACGATATGCTGAGAACGAGTGTCTGTCCAGACGATGGCGTTGTAAAGTGCCTCTCCTGTTTCAATGTCCCAAACGACGGTCGTCTCGCGCTCNTGTACAAAAGTTAGCATGAGATGTTATCAGGCAATGGCGAAGGGATCCTCACGATTTGTGATGCCAATGGCCTTGATGCTGTCGACTGAGTTTCCGTCCTTCTTGAAGGCCTCAACGGCACCCTCAATGCAGTTGTGTACAGAGGAGACAATCTCCTCAGGATCATGTTCATGCCATCCGGGTTGAGGGTAGATTTGGGAGAATTCNCTAATGACGGTCAATTCCATAGCTCCAAGCCGAGGAAACAACTATCGAATGCGTACTTCTTGATGAGATGCAACTGGCTCTCCAGCTTTGTTGAAAATCAAGAACCTCGAGCTGGTGGTTCCTTGATCAATGCTACCAATGAATTCGGCCATGATGTGCTGTTTGGAAAGAAGACGAACGCGCGTAGAAAAGAATAGACTCTGACTTCTGAATGACAGCTTTGAAGATCTTGGGCAGGTGCGAGTATACTTAAGTACTCTGGGCACGTATCTTTCACGTGCCTGCCAACACGGAAAATCTCGAGACCGTCCCTTTAGCCTCCACATCTCCTGTCGCGAGGTCCGAGGGAGGGGACTCTGGACCTCGAAAGCAAAGGCTACTTGCCGTGGATTCTTACAACGTGTCCCGCTCCCCAAGACGAGCTTGTGATGGCTGCGTCTCAGCAGAATCCTTCTCTCAAAATCTTTCCATGGCGTGCACGGATGGGCAGGCAACTGAGGAGACCCCGCATTGATCATCCGAACGATGCCAATACTTCGAGACTTCCATACTACGATGCTAGCTCACTGTTTGCTGCAATTGTCTCTAGCGTGGTGGGTCGCATGGCTGTATCAGGACACTATTGCGACAATCACATGCTCTCCAGCTCTTAGCGCCACGGTTCGTCGAAGGATTCCGCTGTCACGGTGTTCTTGCCGATCAGATTGTTGAGATTATTGAGATTATCGGACCTGACCCATGCTAACACCCCAGACAACCCCAGGTCCCCGCTGCAGATCCTTTCGTTGGTTCGACTGCAGCTCCTACTATGGTCGAGAGCTCTAGGCGCTATACCCAAGTGCTTAGATCTTCTGGTGATCGCGATAGTACCCGTAGGAATGTCGCAAGACATGACGTTTGAGCTGTTGTTTTTGTAGGCAGTCAGGGAGGTCTCCTTTTGACCTAGGGTTCCGGCATCCCCACGATAGCAAGTTGCCGGCAAACTAAATTGGCGCATTGAGGCAGGAAATTATCAGCCATATGGTCAGATACGGATATAGAGTATTAGAGTTGGGCAAAGACAGCCGACAATCACGCCGGCGCCATGTCCTCGCGAGTCGTGCAACGGTGCAAGTGCTACAAGCCATCAAACGGCCATGGAGCGCGATCATACCTACCTCACCCGGCGTTGCCGCGTTGTGGTATTGAGCTGTGTGGCGTCAGACGCCACGAAACTATACGTACCTATATCTACCCCAATCTTGACTAGTCACCCAGCGGACGCAATCCGCTTCGACCAATGCCTGTAAACAAGATGGCGGCTGTTACGTTTGCTCCGTCTCGTGTTCATGTCTGACAAGCGTGGGGTCAAAAGGAGGCAAGAGCACGCCTTTTCATGTCCGGATGCGTACAAGTCTAAGCGTTGGCACTTGGGAGACGGCCGTAGCATGGTATGCCTGCTGCGCTTAGACTCCATATTCGTTTCCAATATGCCCCATCACGAGGGGGCCGGGGAGCAGCTGGGGAGCTGGGGATAGAGCCATAGCTTTCGATAAGCGAGTTTCTCCTTTACGACCAAGACATCTCTCGAGTTGTTCGAGGTCTTGCTTCCTCGGCAATTCTAGCAGAGTTCATCAAAGGCGAGAATGTACAAGACTCTGACCAATGGTACCAGGAAGAAGTGGTACTAACTGCGCCTTGCAACATATTCTTACAGCGGGGTAACAACGTTGGGAAGGTACGGGTGTTCCTGGGATACTTTTCCACCATCTGGAACCGTCGGCAGGATGGGCACTCTGGAAGTCTGCAGGGAAGCTATGAGCAGCTAAGTGGTGGCTTACTTCGAAGGAGTCAAGCCGCGGCAAGGTGCAGTTCTCGCCGCGATGCAAGCAACGGCGTACTGACAACGGCACCTGGGATACTTGCAGCTGAGTGGTTGACCGATCAAGATCTGTGATGATAGCGTGACTTGTGCTCTCAGGCCCGACTGCCGGACAACCAAGGGTATTGCTAAGGATCGGGTCCAAGACAAGGAGGCGGGATGCGATAGGATCAGAAAGCAAAAAGCAATCGTAGTCAGACCATTTATAAAGGCCAGTCCCAGGCCATGTTGATGTTTTGATCATCACATCCAGCATCTCCTGTCTCTTTCATTCAGATTTTCCTATCATCCATCCATAATGGCAGATGTCAAGCACCACCCTGAAGTGTTCTCCGACAAGCTCTCCGACTTGGAGATACACCAAGTGGAGCATTTTCGCAGTGACTCAGAACGTTCAGATGATACTGTGGCATCTCAGCCAAAGTTCGTCGAGACTGGTGTTCCGCTCAACAGAAGTCAGACTGCTGCCGCTTTGGACAAGACCGATCCTAAGTTCCTCTGGCCCAGAATCCGATTGACATTGCAAGATGCCTTCTCCGAGTTCATTGGAACGTTCATCATCTTGATGTTCGGTGATGGTGTCGTGGCTCAAGTCGTCCTGTCCGGCGGCAAGAAGGGTGACTACCAGTCCATCAGTTGGGGCTGGGGCATCGGTGTCATGTTGGGTGTGTACGCTGGCGGCAAGAGTGGTGCTCATCTCAACCCTGCCGTCACCTTCTCGAGTTGTGTTTTCCGAAAATTCCCATGGAAGAAGTTCCCGATCTATGCGTTGGCTCAAACCCTTGGTGCTTTGTAAGTCCAGCATAGTCCAGTGTCATCCTCATATACTAACAAACTATCCAGCTGTGCGGCCGGAGTTGTTTATGGAAACTACAAGTCAGCCATTGACGTGTTCGAGGGTGGTGCCGGTATCAGAACAGTTGGTGGTCCGAACTCAACAGCCGGTATCTTCTGCACATATCCCGCCGAGTTCATGACGCGGACGGGCATGTTCTTCTCAGAATTCATCGCGAGTGCTCTTCTCATGTTCCTCATCTTCGCTCTCAAAGACGACTCAAACCTTGGCTCTGGCAACCTCACACCGCTTGGACTCTTCTTCATCATCTTTGGTATCGGAGCATGCTGGGGCTGGGAGACAGGCTACGCTATCAACCTTGCCAGAGATTTCGGACCTCGTCTCATGTCATACTTCCTCGGATACGGTCATGAGGTCTGGTCGGCAGGAGGATATTACTTCTGGATTCCCATGGTTTCGCCGTTCTTTGGTTGCACTTTCGGTGGCTTCTTGTACGACCTTCTCATGTTTACAGGAGAGAGTCCGATCAACGAGGAGTGGATGGGTATTCCTGGAGCTTACAACCGCTTGATGTCGTTTGGCAAGTCGAAANAGGAGAAGACCGAGTCCAGTCTGGTCTAAAGATTGAAACAAAAATAATGGCATAGATGATAGTGGTGTATTTGGTAGAGACAAAATCAAGCTCCCAAAGGGCAGTCGTTGTTTTCAGACAAATATTGTGCATTGCGATTGCAAGTGAAGTGAATTTTCAGTCGTGTTTGGAGGAAGCGAAGTCTTCCTTCTCAACGTTACAGTGCCATGACTTCATCGTCAACAGGTTGAGGCTTCAACATGGACGATGCAGGAGCGGCGGTGTGGCTGCATGGGCCGGTGCACGATCGACAAGTTCATGCATTCGCAACATGGGCATGGAATTTCGAAACAAAACATTTGCTTGCTCACATTGGTTGTTTCCAGTGCAGAGAAAAAAATGGACGATGTTTGTTGTCTTCTTTGACGTGAGCGGTGAACAGCTCGGGCAGCGTCGGGAGTTGTGGACGGACCCTGAATCAGTCCCGCCTAATAATTTCCTTGTCATGAGAGTATCATGTGTTCTCTCTCCTCTGTATATATTCCTCTCTGCATTGTCTCGTTGCATCTGTAGCATTTTGTCTGTGTTTGAGCCTTCGTTATGAGTTTTGGCCGCTCCGAGCATTGCATCTAATCACATCAACTCTACTGACAAGGGTCATGTCATCATCGCCCATCGATGCTGCCAATGGGTCGCCGGTAGCTCCTTCCGCGCTCTCGGGAGATGTAGAGCGTATCAAGGAGCTTGTACGTCTGTCCTCCGGCTCCAATATCAGCCACCAGGTCTTCCGAAGGGCCTTTCACGCAAACATTACCCAAGAACACATCCTCAAAGAACTCGATTCTCTTCAGAAGAGATTACGCAAGTCAAGACCACCAACCCGCGCCCCCAGTCCTGACTCTGAAGATGAGTCTTTCTCCGATGCCGACTTCGAGCGAGCACAAGACCAGCACCTCCAAGAGCTATCACAACTCCGCGAAGAATTGGAGAAGGTCAAGCGCGACCGGGAACAATGGTTGGAGAATGCCGAGAACCGCATCGATGTCTTGATCGACGAGAAAGACCAAGTTGCTGCTCAATTGAAGCAAATCGTGAAAGAGCTGGAAGAGAGCCAGGCACAACGGGATCAGATCAAGCAATCTCTTGAAGAGCTTGTGTCAAAAAACAAGGCCTTGATCTCGGAGAAGGAAGAGAACCAAACCAAGTTGGCACAACTGCGTGGAGACAGCGACAAGTACCACAAGCTGTATGAAGAGGCCACTACTTCACTACGCACACTCGAGGAGGCTTCCAAGGCTGCAGAGAAAGACAAGGAGACTCTCCACACTTCTCTCACAGCCGCCAACGACAAGATTCAAGAGCTGGAACACAATATCGCTGAGGCTTCGGCTACTGCTGCAGAGGCAAAGTCTCAAATCAAGAGCCTGGAAGAACTCGAAGCCACTCTGCGCGAATCTCTGGAGGGCAAGTCGCAAGAAGTTGCTGCTCTTCAAGAAGCAAATGCACAAGCTGCTGAGAATCTTCGAAAATCTATTCAAGACAATCACGCCAAGCAAAACGAGGCTGACAAGGCCCTGGACAGCCTAAAATCGTCCAAGGCCGATGTTGACGCTGAGCTCGCAACTTTCAAAGAGAAGGCCGCCGACTTGGAGAAGCAGTTGGCCACGGCTACGAAGGCATTGGAGACTGCAACCTCCGAACGTGAGGCCGAGAAGCATAAGGTCGAACAAGAGTTGCAGTCGCTAAAGGGCGAAAAGGACACCATCGTCGCAGAACTCGATGACACCAAGACACAATTGTCTTCCACTCAGAAGGAACGACAAAACGCCGTCCACAAGCTCGAAACCGCTCTCCAGCAACACAACGAGGCTCAGAAGGTCATCGAGGATTCACTTGCCGACAAGGCGAAGGAGTTGGACAACATCCGCTCAGAACTTTCTAAAGCTCAAGAAGACCACACACGCCAATTGGATGACCACAAGACATCTTCTCAAAAGATTCACGAGGAGCTCAAGCAGCAACACGAGACTGTTCTCAAGGACCTAGCTACTGTCCGCCAAACTGCTGCAGAATCTGACAGCAACTTGAAGGCGAGACTTGCAGAGGTCGCAGGAAAGCTTGCAAAATCTCTCAAGGACGCCAAACAAAGGGAAGAGGATGACAAGCAAAGTAGAGCACGGATTGCCGAGGTCGAGTCTCAACTCAGTACCTCCCAGGACCATGCATCATCGCTTGAAAAGCAGCTTGAACAACTCAGTCAATCAAAGAATGAGATCGAATTGCAACTGACTTCGTTAAAGAACAAGTCGCTTCCTCCAAGAGTGAGCTCGAGAGCATCCGCGACAACAAAAGTCAACTCGAACAGCAACTCGCATCTTCTCAGGAGCAAGCATCAGTTTCGGGCAAAGAGCTTGAGGACTTGCGCAGCTCAAAGGAAGAGGTCGAACACAAACTAGCCGTTGCCCTCAAGGAAAGCTCATCAGCATCGTCGGAGCTTGCGGATTTGCGTCAAGCTAAAAATGATCTAGAACAGAAGCTGGAATCTTTGCAAGAAGAAATCTTCAGATCTGACGAGGAGCATGAGCAACTTCAACATGCCAAAACTGACATCGAACAACAATTGACTGCCTCGCAAGAGAGAACAACTGCTCTGTCTCAAGATCTTGCACAGCTGCAACAATCCAAGGACGAAGTCGAAAGATTGCTTACCTTGTTCCGCGAAAAGGTTGGCACGCTATTGGCAGAGACCAAGCAACTTCGTAGCTCCAAGGACGAGATCCAGCAACAGCTCACTGCTTCCCAAGAACAAGCTTCGAAGGCTAGCGATGAGCTCGAGCAACTCCGTGAATCTAAGCACGAGCTTGAACAGAAGCTGGCGAGCTCTCGTGAGCAAGCAGATTCCGCATCAAAGGAACACGAATCACTACGCCAATCCAAGGATCAAGTTGAACAGGAACTGTCGCAGATCTCGGCCCAGCTCGACGAGTCTCAGAAGCGTTTGAATGACCTGCGCGCAGCCAAGGACAAAGAGCTAGCAGATATCTCGGATGCACTAGAGAAGGCGACCCAAAAGCTTTCAGAAGCCGAAAAGTCCAATGAAGCCGCTCGAACGCAAGCAGAACGTGATCAGGAGGAGGTGTTGATCAAGTTGCGCCATGAACATGAGAACGCATTGAAAGCCGCTACGGAACAATCTGATAAAGAGCTCGCCGATATCAAGCAAGCTCGTGATACCGCTATCTCTGAGCTTGAGCGCCGTCTCGACGAGCTGAAGTCGGCTACCACAGCTCGCGAGACTGAGCTTGAACAAGTCAGAGAAGAAGCTCAGCTTCAAGTTCAAGAGGCTCGCGCTGAGCACGACAAGCATGAGAAGAAGATGCTCGAGGACCTTGAATCTGCCAAGCAGGCTCATGAATCAGCCTATGCCACACTGGAGAAGCGTTTCCAAGATGCAGCGCAGAATCATAAGTCTATGCTTACAGCGATCAAGAACCGTTACGAGGAGAAGAATGCCGAGGCTCGCAGCCAGCTCGAGGCAGAAGTGCAAGAAGAGCGTCGTCTTTCTGAGGAGAACAAGAGAGCTCTCGGAGTTGCAGAGAATCGTGCAAACGAGCTCGAGAAGCGTATCGTTGAGGTGCAGAATGACCTATCAGCACAGGTTCAGGAAGCCAAGGACAACTACGAATCAGTCAACAAAGAGCTCGCCTCTAGCAAGTCCGAGCACGAGCACGAGTTACAGAATCTGACGAAGACTCATGAAGAGCGACTCGCCTCAGAACAGCAACAACGCCAAGATGCCGAGATGGCTGCCAGAGAAGAATCAGCACAAAGAATTCAGGAGCTTGAAAATTCAGTAAAGGATGCCACTGATGCGCAGAGCACACTCCAGCACCAAATGGATGCGCTGAAGAAGGGTCACGAAGAAAAGCTTGAAAACAACAACAAGGAGGCCGAAGCAGCGCAGAAAAAGTTGCAAGATCAAATCGAAGCCGTGAAAGCCGAGCACGAAGAGAAGCTCCGTGTTTCTCAGCAAGAAGCCGAAAAGGCTCAAGGAGAACTAAAGCAGCAACTCGAGCGTCTCCAACAGGAGCACCAGTCAAAACTCGAAGCGGCATCAGACAAAGCCAGAATCGCAGAAGAATCAATGGCTCAGAGCAATGAGGCGCACGCAAAGGAACTTCGTGAGGTTGAAGCTAAGCACGAAGAGCACGCTAAGGCGGCCGAAGAAGAATACTCCAAGACGCTTGAGAGCGTTCTTAACCAGGTTGCTGAAGACCACAAGAAGCAGGTCCGACAGCTCGAAGACACTCATGCTTCAGCTCTCAAGGAAGCCAAGACCAATCATGTTAAGAACATTGGTATGCTTCGTGATGAACTCGACAAACGTCACGAGGATCGCCTCAAGCAGCTCGAAGAGACGCATCGTTCTGCTCTACAGGACACAGAAGCCAAGCTCCGCGAAGAACTCGAAGAGGTCAAGAGAACGTCTGAGGCCACCCAAGCAGAGAACTTGCAAAAGCATGAGCAGGAGCTTGAAGAGCTGAATGCCAAACACAGCGCTCAGCTTGTTGAGGCTCAGAAAGCTTCTGAGAACACATCTACAGAAACTCTGCAGAAACACAAGCAAGAAGTCGAAGAGCTGGAAGCCAAGCATCGTAACCAACTGGATGAGGCCAAGAAGGCTTCGGAAAATACTTCTTCAGAGGTCGTTGCAAAGCATCACCGGGAGCTTGAAGAGTTGCGAACTGGTCACCGCGAGGAGCTTGATCTCCATGAGCAGCGCTCCGCTGAAGCTCGTCAGGCTGTCGAGAAGCAAGTGCAAGAGCTCAATGAGCAGCTTAGCAAGCTTCATCTAGACAATCAGGCAGAGGTATCTTTCCTTCGTAAGGAGATGGAGAACAAATCTGCCGAGGCCCAAAAGGCTGAAAAAGAGACTGAGACCCTTCTTCAAGAAGTCAGCGACGCCAGAGCAAAGCACGACGACTTGCAAGCTCAGATCGAGGGACTTGGCCAGGAACACCAGAGCCAACTCGAAACTCGTACACGTGAGGCTGAGGAGAAGATGGCTGAGGTCAAGCGCTCTCATGAAACCCAATTGTCTGCAGTTCGTGAGGAAGCAGAGCAAGCCAAATCCACTGAGTTGCAGACACAACTTGATGCTCTTCGTCAAGACCACGAAAAGGAACTTAGCAATCGTGCTGCCGAAGCCGAGGAGAAGCTGTCTGAGCTCAAGCGTACTCATGAGACCCACATGACTACTGTCCGTCAAGAAGTGGAGCAGGCCAGAGATGGTGAGACCGAGGCGCAACTGGAAACTCTGCGCGAACAGCACAAGAAGGAGCTTAACGACCACGCAGTTGAACACGACAACAAGATTGCCGAGTTGAAGAGCAGCCATGAACGAGCCGTCGCCAACACTCAGCGAGATGCAGAAGAAGCTCAGGCACAGTTGCAGTCTCAACTTGATGGTTTACGCCAACAACACGAGAAGGAACTCAGCAACCACACTTCCGAAAGAGACGCTAAGCTTTCCGAGGCCAACGAGCTTCACGAGCAGAAACTTGCTGAGGCTCAACAAGCTGCTGAAAAGGCCCAGGCCGAGCTACAAACGCGTCTCGAGCAGTTGGAATCTAGCCACCAGAAAGCTCTGGAGGTCCAAGCCAACGAAACTGTGACCAGACTTACAGATATGGCTTCGAACCATTCTGCAGGAACTAGCGAAGGTTCAACAACTGCTAACGACCAGCCAGGAAGAAGCAGAGACGAAGCTTGCACAATTAAGGCAGAGCCACGAAGAAGATATCGCCTCCGTCCGCCAACAAGCTGAAGACCAACGACTCCAATCTGTCAAGTCATATGAGCAGCAACTTTCAAAGCTCGAAGAAGAAAACCAAGAGAACCAATCATCGGCCGTGCGTGTGCAAGAAACCCTTCGAGAAGAGCTCCAGCAAGAAAAGCAAAAACTGACAGAAGTAGAAGAAAGGGCACAAGAGAGCAGCATCAAAGAAAGGCAAGAGCGGAGCCAACAACTAGCCAAGGCTAGGGAAGAACATGATTCTGCAGTGGAGGGATTGAGAGCTGAGCTTGCGATCACCAATCAAAAGCTTGAGCAGGCAGAGTCGGATATGCAGAACCTTGCTGAGGAGAGACAGGGGTTGGTGCTCGAATTGGATGCGTTGAGGAAGGAGATGGAGGGTGAAAGACAACGACAGATTGCAACGGAAGAGGAGAGAACTACGGCATTGAATACAAGACTGANNTTGAGGAGAAGAAATTGGAAACCAAATTGGCCACTGTGGAACACGAACGACAAGAAGCCGCGCTCACCATTGCCCAACTGACTTCGGAAAAGGACGACAGCTCTAAGGAATTTGACGCTCTGACATCCCAGCTGGAAAACCTTACCATTGAGTNTAGAACAAACTAAGCAAAGCCTGGTCGACAATGGTACTGATTCAGACTCGAAGCTCAGGAACCTCGAAACACAGCTCCAAGAAACGCTAGCAGAGAACGCAGCGCTTAGCAAGCAAAGTCAACACCTCAGACCTACAACGCCTCTGAACAAGACCATTTCTTATGGCAGATCGACTTCGCTTGGAAGCTTGAGCCAGAGGTCGGGTGCGGAAGACTATTTTGGTCATTCAGAGTCGGATTTCTCTGATATGGGCAAGGTCATCTTTGCCAACGAGGCTGTTTTTGTCCAGAAGATCAAGGAGCACGTTGACGGCCTGGAGCACGCCAGAGACCAGCTCAATCATGTGTATAACCAACGATTTGAGGCCATGGTCGACGAGAGGGCTCGCCGCGAGGAGCAGCTCGAGACTCAGCATACCACCGAACTCGAAGCCGCTCGTAACAAGCTGAGAGCAAGCTACTCACAACCTCTCTACAATACTGGCGTCAAGACCACCTCCACTTCTACTCCCTTTGATGGACACGTCGACGAGTTTCAGATGGAAGACAAACGGCTTGTCTCGGAACATGCAGAGCGACTTGCAAACAGAAGATCGCAGGTTCAACACCATCACAACCTGCAATTCCAAGCCCTGAGCGAAGAGTATGACAAGAAGATTGCCGAACTGCTGGGTGAGAAAGACATGCTAGACTCGGACCTCAGCATTGGGCCCGAACGTTTTGAGGAAATGTCTGAGCAGATTGATCGTCTGCACAGCGCAACCAACAGTCCGGCCTCTATTCGTCATAGGCCCTTGCGTGCGCAAACCTCCATCGATCACCTGCAAGGTCAAGGCAACCAGCACCTCTACCGCAGCATCGACACCTACCACCCCACGCAACGAACAGAATCACCCGGCTTTGGATCGCGACCCCAGTCCGCCTCTGCCGAATCACAGATCTCGCTGCGTCGCAAGAGCAGTCACGGCCGCATATCCCAATTCATCGGCAAAATGTCGTCGCCATTTTCTTCCTCCCGCTCTTCTCGCTCCTCAACTTCCGGCCCTTCCCGTCCCCACACCACCGGCCACCGCGTCGTGTCCACCCCTCCTCCCTCTTCTCNNGAGTACTCCAAACACTCCATCAGCGAAGGCTCAAGCACACTAGGCAGAAACAGTGTCCGTCCCATGACTGCAGAAGCGCCGCGCACACTCGACAACAACAACCACGCAGACATGGATTTCTCTATTGCGCCTGAGAGATTCGAAGCCCTGCGCGAAGGCCAAGAATTGAAGAGTGAAGAGTTGGGAAGGAGAGGTAGTGTAGTGGGCACTGAACAACAGTCGTCGCAACACAAAAGTCCGAAGATCTTGAGACATATTTCGGGGTCGATTAGGAGGAAGATGGCTTCGTAGTGGGTGTTTGTGTGTGTGTTTTTTTTTTTCGTTTTTGAGGTTGAGGTTTGGCTGGGTGAGGGTCTGTTTCTTTGCCGGAGTGGATTGTTTTGAGTGTGTGTTGTGAGTTGGTATTCTTTGTCGACATGGTTCAAAAAAGTTTGTGTTGTTGTTTGATGGCATAGCGAGAAACACAAGCATTAGCATAGCGTTTGTTTGATCAGAGCATTGTTTGGCTTTTTGTTATTCTATCGCCTTGTTATCGACTTGTACAGTTAGGAATTTGTAGTCTTTGTACTTTTAGTGTTCCAGCACTTTCACGAATACCTTCTTTTTCTGTACTTGTACATGTATTGGCTAAATAAATTGCAGTTGCTTATCTCAAACTTCAAGAAAAGGCACATATATACAGAAACTTTCTTCATGAATAATTGCATCGAGGCAACTCGTCGAGCGGCCAACGAATTCGACGGAATTTGCAGACACGAAAAATCTAGAACAAGAGCCCGATATGTATGAGCGGAAAGCGATCAAAAGTCGACTCTGGTGTTGGGTCGCTCCTTCCTGTGATTAACAGACATCTTGGGGTCACACACCTCTTTGAATTCTTCTTGCAACACTTACCTGACATAGAAATCGGGGGACGAAACAATAGTTGGTATTGACGCATAGATATAGTCAATTCAATCAATCTACTTTCTCGTAGGTTCGAGTTACGGCAGTCGTACCGCGCAGAAAACTCGAATGATCTACTACACAAAGACGGGTGTGACTTGCAACAGAGCGAACCTAACGGGTTAGATCAGATTGTTAGCAACAATAAACAAAGGAACTAATTGATGATGAGAAAAGAGGACACGAATGCCACTTTTGTCTGCAAATAAACGCGGTATATAAAACCCATTCTGAGGCTCCAGAAACAATTCACGGACAAACAAAAGAGGATAGATAATGTAAAGACATGATTCGAGACAAACATTGGTACCCGCAGGCGTGACATACTTTTCTAATTCCATCCTTCCTCTCCTAGTTGGGAGTATTTATCATCCAAAAAAAGAACTAATCATAGATCACAAGAGAATAATGAGAATAATACAAAATAAAGACAACAAAAACGGGTATCGACAAGAAAAAGAACAGAAACGGGGATATCTCAGAAGAAGATCAACAAGAAGAAAACAAGAAGCAGATTGAGATAGAAAAGAGAAAGGAGAGTCATGGGTCGTCGTCAAGGATGCAAAAACACATGTTGTCCTCTCTATGACTCCTCGGCAAGGAGTTCGTCTCCTATCTCACGCCATTCGCGGCTGCGATCGTTGAGACGCCTTGTACCAGGGACACGTGTGGCCCATAAGCTTTCGGCTGGTGTACGCATGGTGAAGCCACGTTGACTGCTGATGACGCCAATGGCCTGCAGAACAGCTTTGCGGCTGTCACGGCCAAAGACGGCAGGGTGGTTAATCCACTCCAACGATGCAGCGAGCTCCGTGTCTAGTGCTGACATGATGTCGGCGTCAATGCCAGCAGCAGGGGTGAAGGGGCTCATAGGCTCGAGACGAGGCGGTGTAGGCGTACGTCTAGGCTCCATTGAGATTGGAGGATTGACGGACATAGGAGGTGGCGGCAGAGGTCCTGTGGGTGGTCCTGGAGGTGGGTAGTCCGTGCCGTTGCTGTGGATGCTTGCTGTGGGGGTAGGTGGAAGACGAGCAGTCGGTGGCGCTGAAGGTGGCGGAAGAGGAGGAAGTCCACCCTTGCCGAGACCCTTCAGGATACTACGAGTCTCTGTGAGGAGATGAGAAGCTCTTTCGTGTTGGCCTCGTGAGACCAGTGTCAAAGCTCGCGTGAGCATGTCGGATGTGAGTAGTTCCATGCGTCTTTGTACCACTGACGGGTGTGGTGGAATTGGTGGCGTTGCTGTACGGCTCATTGAAGCTTTCTTTGAAACTGGAGGAAGCATGGTGATTGCAAGAAGCGACGGACGAGGCAGCTGAGTGACGTTGCCTTCGCGAAGGATATCGCCCCATGCCAGATCCGCCTGGATAAGAGGCACTTCTTCGACAGAGACCGGTCGCATATCATCCTGATCCAGCGGTCCGCCGAGAGCCTCGAGTCCAGAAACAATGGTCTCCCAGGGATCTTGCAAATCCTGCTCGGGAGACGAGTTGTCGGGTGAAATTGCTAGCTGTACGAGAATGTCTATACGAGCATCAGTATTGTAGAAAATATTGAGTTTGATGGCCAGCTTACCTTTCTTATCACCAAAGCGCAAGTCACCCAATGATGCTTCAGCATCACGGCCAGTGGCACGCTTTGTGATTTGGAGCGCTCCGCTGATTTTGACGAATTTGGCAGGTGAACCTTCAGGCAAGCGCAGTTTCAGCTTAGCGTTTTGATGTGAAACGCTTTGCAAGGATCCTAGACAGCCAGCCACGCATTCACGAAGCATCATCCAGTCTTTGACGTATGTATATGTTGCTTTGGTGCGGGTAGAGAGCTCGATCATAGTATCCGGCTTGTGCGTGAGACCCAGACCGAATGAGTGTATGGCGATTCTGTGAAAAATTAGCTTCTGTGTAGGGACTCTCGAATTCGAAGAATATGCTTACTTGGCGGCTTCAGCGCGAGAAACGACAAAATCGACACTCTCGATGTCGGACGTTGTTGAGTCGCTGATAAGCATGATTCCTGAAATAGGGTTGGCCGCCTTTCTCTGCATTAAGAGATCCATGGCTACATTCGCGCCATCGACAACATCAGCGCGCAGGCTCTTCTGTCCGATAGGTTTGATTGCCTCGAAGACTCTAGACCATCCGTTCCAATTCTTTGAAGTCATGCCTACAACAGGCATACTGCCTCCGCTAGACCCGTATGTCACAAGGCCCATGCGATCTTGCTCGCCAAGGTTGTTTACAAGGAATCGCAAGACGTCGCGGAGCAGAGAAATCTTGAGACCTTGCATGGACGATGAGATGGGTATCACCACTACAATGTCCAAAGGAACGTGCATAGCAGTAGGAAGTCTGTAACCATGCGTGCCACGGAATGTAGGGCTAGTGTATTCGGTAGGTGCGGTGTAGGCGGATCTACCAGCACCATAAGACGATGGGATGGAAGAACGTCGTCCTCCTCTTGAAGCCAGATCGTCCTCGTCGGTACCAGAAGTTTCGAAGTCCTCGTCGCTTTCAGACGTTTCGAGGCTGTTGATACTGACCAGAGCGCGGCGCCAGATGTCCAGCTGTGATCTGTCGTGGAATTGAAGGTGGAAATGCGGTAGCTCAGCGACTGAGAGGTTTAAAGTGAGTATGTCTTGCTCAGGAACAAACTGAACCTGCTTCAAGTGTCTCTTGATCAATATGGAACCCTTGAGTGTGCACTTCGTTCTCATCTTGGCAGATTCCGTGGCGGTTTCCCACTGGTGCTGGGGCTTCTTCTCCTTGATACAGATGAGCATCTCAGTAAAGAGATAGCACTCCAAATCTTGCCATGACTGGCGATCCTTGCCTACGCGGATGGTACCATGAAGCAACAGTCTGCCGAACCTGTGAGAGAGATGTTAGCACTAGACCAGGTGGAACGTTCGGACGCATGACTACCTTGAAAAGTCCAGACCATGCCAGTTGTCGACTTTGGCGTGCAAGTCTTCAGTGACACGGTCCAATACGTGAGAAGGCGTGTGAGGGATGTCGAGTTGCTTTTGCGGCTCGGGCGAGCGAGGGATTGACATTGCGTCGATGCTGTCGGCAGCAGGAGAGACAATGTCTTCAGGATCGGGGTGCCATTTTCCATCGACGACTTCGACAGTGATCAAGCAGGTCAAGCTTTGCTGATGGCGGCTTCGATTCAGCGTAGGGAACTCGGTACGGACAGTAACGGTGGGTGCAGGTATGGGGTTCTTGACGGTGGGCCGTGGGCTTGGTACGTCGGCGGCGATGGATTGGAGATCGTATTCGATCCTACGATTGCGGGACTCGTCTGTTGCCTGACTGTTGTTTCTCTCGTGCTGGCGAGACTCGACTGATCTGGTATGATGGCTGTTGCTGTGGGTCAGGTGGGTGTTGTGCGTGTTGACGCTGTTGTTGTGTTGGTGTGAACGAGTAAAGCTGGCTTGAGTAGGTGGACGCGGGCTGGGGTCGAGGATGGCGGTCTGGACTGAGTTGTAGCTGTGGTGGGCATGGCTCGGGAGCGAATTGTGGTTATGGTGCGATTGACTTTGAACAGAGGCATAGCTTTGGTGCGTATGGCGAGGCGGGTCGTCCCAAGGAGTAGGAGTATTGTCCGTGTCTCTTGTGCGCTCGCGCAAGTCTGGACTGTTTGTGCTGCGGTTGTTGACGAGATTGTTGAGTTTTGCTNNGGCGATTGTTAGTTACCGGTGGAGTGGTCAAGGTCGCAGATTTGTGTTACCAAAGTCGAGATTGCCGCCTCGGCTGGTGTCGAGCCCCAATGGAGCGTTGCACGAGGGGCATTCCTGGGACTCAAACTCCTTGATGAACTCGTAGAAACAAGCTTCGTGAGCGACATGGCCGCACGACAGTTGCAGGATGCGCTCGCCGCGCAACGTGTGTTCCAGCGGCTCCTCGCATGCTGCGCACTCTGTGCCGATCAAGGTGCGCTCACGTCGAGACTTGGGACCGGTGGCATCGATCATGTCGCCGAGTTCGTCGTGGACAGTCGGGGTCGGGGCTGGGGTGGGTTCTGCGTCTGGAGTNTTCTTCAGACGAGACGAGTTTGGGCGGTCATGCAGACCTCTGAGCGAGGCGAAGCGTCGAGTCGTCGTCTTGGGCGTGGACGTCGTCGTCGTCCCGGCTGTAATGGTTGCGGTATGGGTGGTGGGATTCAGGTTGCTGCTCCTTGAAGCAGGACGGAAGACGTTGACGAAATTGACAGGCGCCGAGTGTTGAGGGCCGCCCATGTCCATGTAATGGATTGTCGCAATGACGAACTGGTCGCTGGGTCTGAGATGCCGATAGTATGAGGCATCACCCAGAATATGCTCTGAGCGCTCCCGCCTGAATCGACGACCTGAGCTCGGCCCTTCGAAAAACGCTTCTGAGTTAAGGGTCTCAAGAGTCAATCTAATCCGGCTCCGAACTAACGAGCTTCCTCACCAAAGAATCCCCTGTCCTGACCCTTTGATCCAGACCTATCAACTCATGTCCATATTGCTCATGACAATCTGCAGTTGTGTCCTAATCTCGCCTCGCTCACTGCCATGTCTCGACGCCTGCATACGTGCCCGACAACCAATATTGCCTCTTCCATGACTTTTCCATATATCCAACGGCCATCCGTCCCATCCTACCGGGTCCGCCATTCCCACATGCGGCCGTTGACTTCAGAAACATCAACCAAACCCTCTTCCTGCTTTGCTGCCAGCTTCCTGTTTTTGTCATGCCGAGTCCCACTCTTTCCTCTTCTTCGTTTTGTACCGCTCCTCCGAGCGCCTTGACCCGACTCTGCCACGAGTCGCTAGTTCCTAGCTTAGCCCTGTGCAGATTGCCATAACTTCTTCCCCGTCCAACTCTCGCTCTGACCTGCCGCTTGTCTCGAGAGAATTCATGTCTTTCCCTGTCACGCGAACACCATCCATCAGGAGACACGACAACCCTCACTCCGATCTGTTCATCTTCATTATAACCTGCTCTAATTCCTGCCGCTCCATCATTTCCAGCCTCAACAAACGCCCAACCAAGCATGGCACTTACTCATGGTATTTTGTATCAGCCAGCCACTTTATACTTTGGACTGTTCAAACTTTCGTTATCTCCACACGTTGATTGACAAACTCAATCCCGTTTACCACGCGATGCCAATGCTTTACCACCAACCTCGCCCTGCTTGTTATCATGTTTTTGATCCACGGCTTCCCTCCTCTGCCATTGGACGTCGTCATCGCTTCGCAAGAACCCGGTTAACATCCGATCCTATATGAGCCCCCATCACCATCGACATCTGATGTACCGTGTACTCGCCATTTTTCATTTACATAAACAGCCTGCTTCAAGCCCATCAATTCACTCGTTTGATGAGCCACCTATGTTTCAGAATCTCGGCGAATCTGATGTTTCTCGTATTCAACTTTGGTGATACCGCTTATCTGATCCTCATCCTGGTTCTTTATCAGGTACAAGAATACCTTTTTTAGCCAGAGTTACTCTGAAGCTCGTCTACAAAGTTTCAAATCCTTCTTTCTAGAACCGGTCACTCTCCGCCCTCAAGGTTTCCGGATGCTTTAGAACCACGAGGCAGCCCGCTGTATGAAACATGCTCCTCCATGTTTTGACCTTCCAAGTGTCTGCTCTGATCATGTGCGCCACGTAAGAGGTCGCAACGCATCCTTCGATTGAAAGCGTTTCTCATACGAGCCGCGGGTCGAGAGACGTTCTCCGATTGACACAAATGGCATGATGCGAAGTGTACGGCCGAGAATCCTCTCTGCCACAAACACGCCATAGAAGCTTTGAATACCCCCAGTGTTGCATCTGGAAGACAGTTCACCCTCTCACATCGAAGCCTTTACGGCCGGTAATCATTCGAGCTCTCCCTCAGCACCCTCAGCTGCAGAAGGAGCCTCAATTCTAGAGGTGGCACCAGTTCGAGGCTCGGATCATCTCCACGATCTTGGTAGGAGCTAATGCTGCGCTCGGGCAGTACGCTCACAGGCAAGCGGCTAGATGTACCTAAGATCGTGGTCGTCCGAAGCATTTTGGAGGCGCCTCGAGGCTCGATCCAGGTGTACCTTCGTGAACCAAGCCTATGTGTAGTCCTCGCTAACTACAGCCTAAACATGTTAGACGCGGAGTTCACAATAAGGTACGCTAATAGGATCCGACCAGCTAAACTTCTATAAGGAGACGAATGAGCTTAGGCGCGAAGTGAGCAACGTCTTCTGAACGGTTGACGCGCCTCGCGGTTCTTTTCGTGACTTTTTCTCATGTGCATGACTCTTTTGCTCCAACTTTCAGCTAATGTGTATCGCGCAATGTTGTAACGGCTTACAGTGCTGTATCTATGCGCATGATAAGAGGTAGAGCAGCACGGTCACACCAATCTTCGCTGCAAGTTCTTGCCTTAGGATCTGGAGTTCTCATCATGCTGCGTGAGGCTGCATCGCATGTGTGCAGATCATCCGTACTTGGCACAGTCCGTGCATCTTCGTATGCACAAAAATATACACTCAATCCTTCAATCGACCTCTTGCCCACAGGTCGGTACCTCCTCCGATTGCTTCTCGGTGGGTGCTCGGGACTTTTGGACGTGTAGTCGGTACAAGGTTTTCAGCTTGTTGATCTGGGACAAGCAAGGTGAGGTGACGGCGCTTTCGACAACGTAGCTGCATGTCCGGATCTACAACAGCATGTTTAAAAGGTTGCGGCCGATGTGTCCTCGGAGCGGAAGGCATGGCCCCTCTTTCTGACATCGAAAGGGACCTGTCATGCTCGATAGGAGTAACACTACAGATGACCCAGATTGTGTACAAACAACCTTATGTATCTGTTTCCAAATAGACACGGCAAAGGTACTGCGTAACTCTGTTTCGAGAATGTCGTGCATGAAATCATCGAGTGCTTTTCACATGTCATCTTTGAGCCCTAGTAGACTCGATTCACTGACGGAATATACATCGATACTCGATCAATCGTTAGGAAACTACCTTGTATGTGCAAAAGGACCGATAGATAGATATGGTATGGTCAAGAAGGCATCGATCTAGAGCCATGCAAAGGGAAGATCAGGGTGATACCAGTAGCATGACATGCCAAGCCTCACCAACGCCTGCTCGAGTAGCCAATCATGACCAAGTCTGAATTCCTGCTGAACACAAGTCTGCGTTTCATAATCATCAGCAACTCGGAACTTGAGTACACATATAATGGAAAGAAGAAATGAGGCTTTTCAGANNAAGTACAAAGCCCCGCAAAGATGATATTGATGATGTCTTGCTCACAAAATGCAGCTCAAACCAATTTGCATCGCTCTCAGCCAGTCGACCCTAGCGTTTGTGGGCAATCACAGAAATGTCGACAACATCATCCAAAATCTCGAAAAGCTTTCGAAAACATTAGAGGAAATCACTACACGGCCAGACACTTTCGATAACAAATTAGCCGATTATGTCTTCTTTCCCATCTCTCAGGTTCTCAAAGCGAGTCGAGATCTTCCAGTTCAGGCCATGGAAGCATGTTTACGATGTCTCGTCATTCTCATCTCCAAGGGCTGGACGGCAAAGATCGATTCGAATCTGAGTGGCCAGCTTCTGATCTTCTTGACCCTCACTTGCGATACTCCTGGAAAGACAGTACCTACAGGACTCGCCACGGATGAGCTTCGCGCAGTTGGGTTCCAATGCATGCAGGCACTCTTCCAATCTTTGAGTGCAAGTTATGAAGGGAAAGCCTCTCTGGTTGGTACTGCAAATGTTCCTTCTCTGGGACATGCTGTCTCAGTGGTTCTCGCGGGCATTGTGGACGGAGAGTCTTTCCAGGTCCAACTATCAGCAGCGAATGCTTTGAAAGCCCTGGCTTCTTGCATAGATGACCTGGAAGTGCTGTCAAGCTTTTTACCCGGTATCGTGTCATCATGGACCAAAGCTCTCACTCCAAGCACGAAAAGTCGGCGACATTGGAGAGTTCTTGTAGCTGGCTTGCAGACTATTGAATCTCTTCTCAAAACACTCCTTGGCGATAGAGTGGTCGATCAGCTATCATCCTCAGCAGAAGAGAAGACTGCTTTGAACGAACCAAAAGTTACAAAACTCGATGGCAGCTGGGTGAAAGCGACAGCAGCGCAGTTGAAGGTTGCGATAGCAAACATTGACAGACTACGTACGCACGAACGTCCAGAAGTACAGGAAGCCGTTCTAGAGCTCAATTTGACACTTCTCTCGGAATGCAGCCATGCATTAGCAGACTCTTGTGCTTTAGCAGCAGAGACTGTATTATTGCTCATGCAAGCAGATTCAAATGCTGCTTACAAAGACAAGATTGCGGCTTTGGCCCAGAACAATCCATCCATCTCCGATGTTTTGTCGACAGTATTCCGTAATGAACAGCTATCTCTGGTGCGGATTATGCAGTCGAATGATGATCAGGCTAAAGAGCGATCACTCGGCAAGCTGTTTGGCGCATACACAATACTGGCTGGCACAGAGATTGATATGTCAATGATATCAAGGATGCTCGGAAGCGGTCTCAAAGATAGTGTGACAACAATCCTGCAACATTCTGTCGACTCCAAAGCAAAGAATCCTCGAGTTACATCTGTAACCATCTCCGATCTCTCAGTTCAGACGAGTCAGAAGTCGCTGACATTTACTTCACCACTGGCTGAGTTCAAGACTCAAGAAACAATACTGAACTACATAAGTCGGATGCTCAAGGCTTTGAAGGACGCACATCCGTCTCTAAGCCTCGCTTCGGATCTCATGCTGGCGTTAAGAACATCGGAGAAGACCACTCAGATTGCAACATTCTGGCTTATATTACAAGATCTTCAGAACAATAGCGATGAAGTTGATGGCTTCATGAACGATATGCTGGTCGGCGATCTATACTCCAGAGATCACTCTTTGTCGTTACGAGAACAGTTATACTCTTTCTCTCTGGAAGTGCTAGAAAATGACGAATCCACAGACTGGCGACTCCAAAGCCTGGCTCTTGAAGCTGTCGCATTGCATGCACAAAAGCATGGCGTCGACTTTAGGGGCGAGCTCGTGGAAGCATTATATCCTATCCTCCACCACCTTGGTTCGGAATCAGGCTATGTTCGTAATCATGCAATGACATGTCTGAACATTGTTGCAGACGCGTGCAAATACTCTGATGCAGGCGAGCTCATCGTTTCCAATGTCGACTACCTCGTCAATGCTGTGGCGTTGAAGCTCAATGCCTTTGATGTATCACCGCAAGGCCCACAAGTTTTGCTCATGATGGTGCGATTGGCTGGTCCATCACTGCTGCCATACCTGGAAGATACATTGGAAAGTATCTTTGCTGCATTGGAAGATTATCATGGCTATACTACTTTGGTGGAGCTTCTGTTTGCTGTTCTTCGGACCATGGCTGAAGAGGGAGTCAAATCACCTATGCTCGCCATAACCAATGGATCAGAGATACCCAACAAGGACTCCAGCCGATGGAAGCCCGCTGACCTCGAGGAACTTATTGAAATCATCAAGAGCCTCTCACAGAAGCCAGCCGATGCTCTAGACCCACCAACCCGACTACTTGATCCCGAAGACGAGGCGACTGAGGACCAACCCGACGAGCCAGAACCAACAGAATCCACGCCACCAGCTCCCAAAACTTACAACCTCCTCCTCAAAATCACCCAACTGACCCAACACTATCTTTCCTCCTCGTCACCCTCGTTGCGAACCTCCCTCTTCTCCCTGCTCACCACCACAATCCCCTGTCTCGCAAAACACGAAAACTCGTTTTTGCCACTCGTCAACACGCTATGGCCGGAAGTTACTTCAAGACTGTTTGACACGGAAACGTATATCGTGAGTGGCAGTCTGAACATCATAGCTACCATGTGCGAACACGCAGGCAGCTTCATGCGCACGAGAATCGATTCTCTATGGCCTGAATTGCTTTCCTTGCACCGAAGATTGTGGCTAGAGATCAATGCCTCCAAACCCAAATCGCAGCAGAGCAAAAACACCTCAAAACACCTTGCCATCACAACACAAACTCTAGAATTGGGATATGTGGATACATCGACCAAGTCGTTGGTGAACAGTCTGCAGGGGTTGCTGGTTGCTGTGGTAAAGTTTGTAGAGGTGGATGCAGAGAGATTTGACGATGTGTTGAGGATGCTAGGGCCCGTTTGCCAATTGCCAGAAGATGTGAGAAGGAGTTTGGAAGAGTTTAATGGGGATGCAGTGTGGTTGGCAGAGTATAGGGATAAACCATGGCCACTGAAAACACCTACAACCTCGAGATTTGCATTTGCAAAGGCTTAGCTTCGAGGTGAGGGGGATTTAAGGCACAGATCAAGCTTTGCAGCTAATCGGTGTACCGCAATGGCAAGTGACGAAGATGTTTGTAGCTTGGTGGAGTGGGTGCGTATAAGGTCTATCTCAGATTTCGACCTGCACGAGTTGCGTTGCGTTCTAGCATAGTAACAGCCAAAAAAGTCTTGTCAGCCACCTCAATCTCAACAAGAAGAATCGACGCCCAGTCTTACTTCTCGCACTACATGATGCAAATCATCGATGCTTCAGCGACTTCGGCATGATCTCGCGAGCGAGACTGGGCACCGCACTTGACCAACTGAACGTATATCCCCAAGGACCAACCTACTCGCTCTGATCTTCTGCACCTCCTTGTCATTCGTAGCAATATCTTGCTCACCAATCAGGTGTTTCGCTCACATATGTTGAAACTGCTTTTTTTCGGCCATTGATCATGCAAATATTCTTTTGCAAATGCCACAGCCCCATCCCTTTCTATCATACATCCGTCTTTCATAGTTGTACATTTCCATTCCTCATCTCGAAGGCATCCAAATCCTCCTCTTTACAAATCCGTGGCAATACGGCCGCCTGCTTCTTCAAACTCTTTTTCTTTTACATGTGCGTTCTCATCTGCTCCAAGTTCTTGATGACGACCAGATTCGCATCCATGAAGCGATCGACACAGTTTTGCATGCAGGGTTCCTCGCTTCTGTCCAGTTTTCCAGAGGAAATCTTGTTAGTGACGCATTTGCGGAAACAGGTGTCTGTGAGGGAGTGGATGGCTATAAACTTCTAATCAGCCAAAAGTGTTCGCATCCTTGAGAATCTAGAGGCCTAAAGGCCCAATGGTTGGACAGGGTTGCAGTAGTTGTAGAGGTTTGTGGTGTAGGGGCTTTCACACGTACATTGTTGGATGCGCGCCTTTTGCGACTCGTTGACGACGAATTGTTGCAGGTCCTTCTTTTCGGCGTCGGACATTTGGGAGATGTCAATGTTGCCGCTGCCCAGAGAGTCCATTTTTGTGCGTGTGTTTGTGTGTAGAATGTGTATTTCGAGGTGTTTGCCGGGTGTTGTAGTGTGTGAGGAAGTAGATCAAAAGTGGCAGTTCCGCTGGGCGATTGCAGCTTCCACAGTTTCTAGAGCTGCGTCATGAAATCCGATGGACTTTTGAAATGTCTTGGCACATATTAACGATGTTGATGGAAAGTCGCAAGACGAAATTTACAGGACAATGGCACAAAACAGTGCAATGGGGTATCAATTAAAAGAGTATAGACAGAAGTAGGAACTTCTCAGTAATGCATAATTCGTGTAACCATCATGCCCAAAATCACTCATGCTGCAGCTAATTTGGACAGCCTTCGTGCCTCGATACGTGCTTGTGCTTTGGCCAACCTCTCGTCACTTAGACTGGCGATTCTAGCTCCAGTCTTGGTCGGGCTGGTCATGGGTTTCATCTCAGGTTTGCTCGAACCAAAGTTCAGCGCACCAATTCCCAAGGGCAGAGCAAGACGGTCGAACTGCGGTTTCTCTGGCGAGTACTTTTCGACCAGCTCATCGATAGTCATGTCTGCTGTGGACTTTCTGCTACTGCGAGGTGTAGCGCGAGGTAAGGGCTCGGGAGATGGTTGTGGAAGAGCCAATGAGATATCGACCGTATCTTCACTGAGTCGCTTTGCATGAACAGTCTTGGTCACCTTTGGCTTTTCGTTTCTAGGCGTCTGGCCTTGAATGTTCATGTCTCGTGCTCGTAGCGGTGATTGGTCCCTATCTGCCGCATTGTCCAGAAAAGGGCTTGAGAATGCAGCATTCGCCCAGAGATCGTTTGCAGGGACCGATTTTGGCGTTTTGCGCTTGGGACTGTTGGCAATGCCACTCTGCTTGCCCAGCACTTGATCAGGGTCGTGGCGGAGGTGCTCGTTCTCAGCCTTGAACCTGGCAATATCCTTCTGCGTGTCCTGACCTGTCTGACCCATCATCTTCTTTTCGAACTCCTTCATCTGCGCAGCCAACTCGTTTGTCTTGGCTTCAAGCCTTTCGACCTTGAGTCTTTCCTGACGCAGCTGGGTTTTCAAGTCGGCGACTTCGTCCTCCTTTTCCTTTGCATAATCCTTTGCAGCTTTCTGTTTGATGACGAGTTTCTTCATTTCGCGCTGAGTGTTGTCGGCATACGACTCATACTCTCTCTTCCAGTACTTTCCCGATTGTGAGCGTGGCTCCATATAGTCCATGGTCAGGTCAGTGTCGTCTTTGGCTCTCTGGGTGTGGTTGGTCTTTCCCTTTTGCGCCGAGTCGCGAACCTCTTGAAGCTGGGCGGTGAGCTTGGTTCGTGCTCTGTTCGAAGTCGAGCTTGGTTGGGCGAGGCCACTCCCGGGGAAAGTACTCGAGAGAGCAGTTCCACCCTGCTTTTTGGACTCATTGTCAAGGACGTGAGCTCCAAAAGAGACAGTCTTGTTTCGTCTGGTAGTTCCAGGGGTCATGAGAATGCCATTCGGTTTGGTGGGCGACAATCCAGGAGCTGAAGGCAGTACGATGGCATCGATGTCGGGTTTGGATCGTGTAGGCATTTCTACAGGCATAGTGCGTGGCTTCGAATCGATTTCGACCGATTGTGTGGTCGCGGTTTCTTGGGCATAGTTGGCCTCATTAGGAGGAGCAGGGGTGCCAAAGATGGCATGTTTGAATGCGCGTGCTGCAAAAACATGGGCTGGTGTCTCTGGTACCTCAGGAAAGGCATCTAATGCGAATTAGACTTGTTCTTATGGTCAGGAGAGTCAAACGATACCTTCATCCTCTTCAAGGCCCTTGGAGCCTGTAATCCAGGAAAGCATAATGCGCGATGATGTCGCCGACGCGGAATCGTGGTTGCGCTCAAGGCGAAGGAGCGTGGATAGCTTTGTTTACACTTGCACCCAAATTCTGCCACGCTACTCACACCGCCTTCCACTTCACTCACCGCCTAGCCACGAGGGTTCATCTTGCAACGCTTGTATCCGAGTATGTTCTGTTCCTCTGATAACCACTCCCTTTCTTTCCTATACCATAAATATTACAGAGAAACAATGTCGGCCACAGCGTAAAGAAGTGCGGCTTCGGCTGCATTCTTCTTACATAACCTTGGTACTGTGTCATCTGGCACTCTTAAGCCACGCGAATGACCACCTGCAAGCATGGCTCCAAAAACGCCTGCAAAGACGTCTAAGAACAGAAAACACAATGAACCCACTGCAAACAAGCCTTCCGCCTCAAACCCACCAGATGGCCCTCATGTCAACTATGCAGAGGTTCAGGCGGACGAGATCAACGTCCTTGAGGCCATCTTCATGGAAGACTATGAAGAAGTAAAACTCAAGTCTGCCTGGAGCAAGAGCTCCGATCGTGCATTCAATCTCAAACTCAAAGCCTTCTCTGATGAGTCCACCTTCGTCGTTCTTTCTGTAAAGTTCACGGCTACCTATCCCAAATCTGCCCCTGTGCTTCAAATAGAAGGCCTGGATAAACTGCAAGCTCAGGCCAAGAAGCGTCTTGAAAACATCGTCAAGACTAGACCTGCCGAAATGGCCGGCGAGGTCATGATTCACGCTATTGCATCAGACATCCAAGACGCCCTCGAAGACGCCGTCCAGGCTAGAGAGCAGGGCGTCTTACCCAGTCTTGATGTCGAGCGCATAAACCAAGAGGCTGCCGCATTCGACCAAGCTAAGGAAGCCGAAGAAGACGAGGCTAAGAAAGTCCAGGCTGCCCAAGATGAGGAAGAACGCATGCTGCAGAAGATGATTCAGGATGAGGTTGAACGCCGAGAATCAAAGCGACGCGATCGAACTTCTCGCGCTCAAACAGCGTCTAGTCCACATCCTCCGACTGACGATGACGACAAAAACACAATCAACTTCGACCAAGATGTCGCACTTGGACCTGGCGTCGAAAGTGCCCCATTCAACAGCGTTGCACTGATAGCCCCTATTACTTCCAAGGGCCAGATGAGCATTTATGCTGCTCAGCCCAAGTTCTCGAGAGGTTCTCTCATGAGCCCGACCATGCTTGCGGCTCGTCGTCTGTCTTTGAAGATCGTACATGGCGACGCCGCGAGCAAGAATCACTTGTTGGCTCTGGAAGAAGAATTGGAAGCGCTGAAAGTCCTTCGCCAACCCAACATTGTCAACATCTATGCTTTCAAGGTCGAAAAGCCCGAGGGAAGAGATGGAGGGCTGAATCAAGATTGGGATGTCTCTGTTCTGTCAGATCTTGCCAACAGAGGAAGTCTGGCAGAGATGCTTGAAGACGGAAATACTGTACCACCCGCAAAAGCAAAACAATGGTCTCTGGATCTGCTGGAAGCTCTGGATTACTATCACCGTCATGGCATTGTACACAAACGTATACACAGCGCCAATGTTTTGCTATTTCGGTCAGACACTGGAGTTACTGCACCCAAACTTGCCGATGCCGCCTACGAAGACAGACTACTCAGACTACAAGGTCGAGCAAGCACTTTGGAGAAAGGCAAGAAGATGGTAGCATGGCTCGCACCCGAGTGCTCTGGAGAGGACGCAACCTTCACTCGTCGAAGTGATGTTTGGGACTTCGGCGTCCTGCTGGTTCAAATGCTCTTTGGCACCTCAGTGACCCGTAAGTACAACGGACCAATGGCGATGCTTGAATCTCTCGATCTTTCGGAGCCCCTCAGCGATGTCCTGCGCAGGATGTTCAGTAAGGAAGCGAAGAACAGACCAACAGCCTTTGAGCTGATACCTAGCGAGTTCTTCCGCAGTGATCTACCAATCATAAATACAGAACACTCCATGAGTCGACGAAGACAATCGTCCTCGATGAACTTCTCCGGAGATTTTAGAAGTCCTGTTGCTAGGCGCTCTAGGCAGAATTCTCAGAGTGTTGGCGAAGGCCCATCCCTCTCAAGATATACCAAAGACTTCACTGAGCTAGGTCGCCTTGGTAAGGGTGGCTTTGGCGAAGTCGTCAAAGCTCGCAACAAGCTTGATGGTGGAGTCTATGCAATCAAGAAAGTCAAGCAAGACTCGGCTGCACAGCTTGAGCACGTGTTATCAGAAGTCATGCTTTTGCATAGGCTCAACCATGCTTACGTAGTCCGTTACTATTCCGCTTGGGTTGAGGNNGATGATTTGTCTGGCATGGTTGAACTAGACCAGGAGTCTGTGTCGTTCGCAGAAGATTTGACAACCTCTTCCGGCGACGGTATTCAGTTCGGCATGAGCAGTCGTGGATTGGACTTCGTCAGCTCGAGCGGGCTTGGCGACGATATCGTCTTTGGCGAAGATAGTGATAACGACGAAGAAGACGATGATGATGACGATGACGACGACGAATGTACAGCGTCTGGAACCGAGACTGACGGTCGCATTGCGGACGGAAGATCTATCTTCAGAAATGGAGGATTCTCCGAGAGCGCCATTAGCGATGGCGAGGACACCGATTCACGTCCCCAGAGAACACATCGTGCCTCATCTCGTCGCTTCGTGCGTTCTACGCTTTATATTCAGATGGAGTACTGCGAGAGACACACATTACGAGACTTGATTCGAAAAGACATGTACGCTAGACCCGAACAAGGTTGGCAAATGCTTCGACAAATTCTTGAAGGTCTTGCTCATATCCACAATCACGGCATCATCCATCGTGATCTTAAGCCGGACAACATTTTTATCGATGTCGCAGGCAACCCTCGCATTGGAGACTTCGGATTGGCCACAACAAGCCAGTACACCAGCGCTGATAGAGTCATGGCTAGCACTAATACCGGCGCTGATATGACCAGGAGTGTCGGAACTGCCATGTATGTTGCACCAGAAATTAAGTCGGGTTCTGGAGTCAATTACAACGACAAAGTCGACATGTACTCGTTGGGTATCATATTCTTTGAGATGTGCTTCCCACTGCGAACTGCCATGGAACGCCATGAAGTCTTACTCAAGATGAGGGAGAAAGAGCATGTCTTGCCCTCCGAGTTTCAAGCTCAGGAGAAGGTGCTTCAAGGTAACATCATTATGGATCTCATCAGTCATTCTCCTGGAGATCGACCGAGCAGCATGGAACTCCTAAGAAGCGGGAAGCTGCCGGTACAGATTGAGGACGAGACTATCCGACAAGCCTTGCAGAGTTTAACCGACCCCGGATCGCAATACTACCAGAAGATGATGACAGCTCTATTCACTCAAACACCTGATCAAAGGATCAAAGACTTTGCATGGGATGCCAAAGCCACCAAGCAGCCCCCTACCGCCGAAGATTTCCGTGTGAGAGATATCGCCAGGAACACTCTTTGTTCCATCTTCCGCAGACATGGCGCGGAAGAGACACAACGTCCGTTGCTGCTTCCACGTTCCAGCTACTACACAGCACCCAATATTGTTCAGCTCTTGGACGGGACCGGCAATCTCCTACAGTTACCATATGATCTGGTCCTTCCACATGCCAGACGTCTTGCCAAACAAGAACCATCCATTGAGAAAACTTTCGTCTTTGGTAATGTGTTCCGTGACACTCTGAGTGGAGGACCTCCAAGAACGATCAAGGAAGTCGACTTCGATATTGTGACTAAAGAGAGCGACGATCTTGCACTTCAAGAAGCAGAAGTTCTCAAAGTAGTCGACGAGATTATTGACGAGGTCCCTGCATTGTCTTCGCAACCAATGTGCTTCCATCTCAGTCACTCTGATCTTTTGGACCTCATTCTTGACTTCTGTCGCATCGACAAATCTCAACGGCCAATTGTAAAGGAAACTCTCAGCAAGCTAAACATTCATCAATTTGGCTGGTCCAAGATACGTGCCGAACTTCGCTCGCCTTTGATCGGCATTCATTCTACATCTTTGGATGACTTGGCACAGTTTGACTTCCGTGAGACTCCTGATAAGGCTTCAAGGAAGCTACAGGAGATCCTCGAGGACAGCACACACGCAAGCAGGATAAGAAGACCCATGGAACACATTAAGCGTGTGGTCGATGCTATGAAGCTTTTCGGCATCCGGCGCAAAATCTACATTTGCCCCTTGAGCAGCGTGAATGAGAAGTTCTACGCTGGAAGCGTGTTGTTCCAGTGCATCTATGACAAGAAGAACAGAAACGTCTTTGCTGCTGGAGGAAGGTACGATCGACTCATTGACGCCCATCGTTCTCGCGCCCATGCCGTAAGTGAGGCATGTCATGCTGTTGGTGTCAGTATCGGTTGGGATGGTCTCATTGCCGCAATCATGAGGCACAAANAGAATGCCATCAACAGCACATATCTCAAGAAGGGACAGGAAGAGTCGCTCAGCCCAGCTTGGAATGCAAAGCGCTGCGATATTCTCGTAGCTTCTGGCGACCCGACCGTCCTCCGCTCCACCGGCATCAAGGTCCTGTCTAGCCTTTGGGCCAACGACTTCAGCGCCGAGTTAGCCACGGATGCACGCACCATCGATGATGTGCTCAGCAAGCAGCGCGACGCATCTCATCCATGGATCGTCATGGTCAAGCACGAAGCTTCAAGCACTCTCAAAGTGCGCAACAGCACGACAGACACCGAGACCGAAGTCGCAAGCACCAACTTGATTTCCCACATGCGTTCCGAATTGCGCGAACGCGAGACTCGCGAGGCAGGCAACCACCGCTCCCGCCACCATCCAGCACTGCTCCGCCATTCGTCCCATCACAACGAAGGCAACGGCAACGGCGAGCGCGGCAAGAACAACGTCCAAGTCCTCATGGCGCAGCACCGCGGCAAANAGAGCAACAAGTACCACATTGTGGAAGCAGCACAACAGCGTTGGGCATCCTACATTGACACCTGGAAGTCTGCACCCATACTCGCCATCGAAGGACGTGAAGGCATTGTCGACAATATCCGCGACGACACTCGTCTTTCGGATCCGGATTCGTGGCGCAAGTTGATTCAGAGCACGCCGCTTGCTGAACGTCAGTATCTTGCTCAGGTGCATGAGTTGCTTTTGGAGATGAGGAAGAAGTGGGAGCAGGGCGAGGATGGAGCTAGTAGAGAGGCTTGTCTGTATAACTTCAGAACTGCCAACTGTGTTTATTATGACGTTGGTCTGTGAAGAAGGAGTTGCCTTTGTGTGCATCGCAGGAGCTTCTCATAGTTGGTCCGTCTCATCCCTTGTTCATAGTCATGAGCATACAACTTGTTATTTGACACATTGCCGTGATCCAGTTACATAGCTTTAGACTTGACAAGGCGAAATTTTGAGCTTTCCAAATTGCTTTCACACATGCTAATGTCTGACATTACAAGGCATTTTTATCCTTCAGCTTTACTAAGACCGGCGGTGTCTGCCTTCAAGTCCAACTTCTCCCACTCATCATCTCTGGGAAATCCAAGATGATATCTTCCCGTCACAGCCCATTGCAGCAGTGCCTCATCTCCAGTCTCAAAGTCCAACACATGGCCACCTTCAGCGTCTTTGCCTTGCTCAGGCTCAGTCATGAAATGGCAATGCACGCCTGCCACACTAACGCCTTGCATCCACTCCGGACTCGCGATACCAAACATGGTCCCCTTGACATCCTTTACACTCCACTTTCTCGCCTTGGCAGCAACCTCTGCAAGATCCTGGCCTTCGTGTTCTTGCGGCCCTGCAATCCTCAAATCCAGCGATTTAAACTTTCCTTTTACCAGAAATGGTACAAAGGAATTCTTGCCACCGGTGCTGGGGCCGTTTTTCTCGAACAGATCCACCAAGTCGCCTTTCTTCAGTCCTTCACTCACTTTCATCCCAAACTCGGGTTGGAAATTGGTGACTTGCACAAACGGCAGAGAAGTGGATGGATCTGCAGGTTGTACTTTTCCGGATCGCAGCATTTGCCAGGGTTTTCCGTCGAGGAAGAGGAGTTCACCGTTCATACGAGCAAAAGTGCCGATGCCGTGGGTGCCGTAGCCGGGGAGTTGGCCGCAGGAGGGGCCGGAGTGGGCGAGGCCAGCCATCAAAGCACTGGCTGTACTGAACTGGAATATATCGTTTGGGATTTTGGAGACCATGGTGTGTGTGTGTGTGTGTGTGTGTGTGTGTGTGTGTGTGTGTGTGTGTGTGTGTGTGTGTGTGTGTGTGTGTGTGTGTGTGTGTGTGTGTGTGTGTGTGTGTGTGTTGTTTTGATGTGGTCGTTGATTTATAGTGTTTTGATGCTCAAGGATGGAGAAAGACCTTGGTGCGATGGTAGGTTTTCGCAGGTTGAATACTCAGATATTGTCTGGGATCGCAGCAGACAAGGAGTTCTCGTATGATATTTTTTGATGTACTTGCGAAGAAGGTGGGAAATGGCAATGGCCGGTGGTTTTGATGGTTTGTGATCTGCCTTTAGAGCTGGCGTGTTTGTAGTCCGAAGTCCGGCTCCAAGCGTTGACAGACTTGCAACAAGCACTTTGTTCAAAAGTGTCAATACTTCGGTCGCTGACAGGTATTTCGTATGGGATTGACAGTCTCTAAAGACTTCTTTTCAGCAATAATCGCGATTCTGGGCGAACGTCAAGAGGTCGAGTGGACTGTCTTTGGTAGGAGCGCAACTCGTCAATGATGTCAACGCTATTCAATTCTCCGAACATTTTCGGCAACATACTCCGGACCATATTGTCTTAACATCCAAACCAGGAATATTGGCATAGATCGATATCATACAAGACACATTACGACCTCTTCTTGATACTCAACTTTCTAGATACCAATATGGTTGTGGCCGACCCATGTTCCCAAAGACACTCCTTTACGCCCTCGACTTGTTCCACTCACAACACTCGTCAAACTTGACTCCGTTGCCACCAAACACATCCAATGCACTTCCGATGGTCAGATCTACCTTTCCATCACTCAGCTTCTCTACCAATTCTAGATCCTGCAGATTGCGACCGCCTCCTGCGTATGTGACGGGGATAGCCGACCAAGCAGAAAGCTTGCGAACAAGTTCTTCGTCAATGCCTTGTTGCAGGCCTTCATTGTCGGCTGCGTGGATAAGGAATTCAGAGCAGTAAGGTTGGAGCAAGGAAATCGATTCTATCGTCAGAAACAAGATGTCATTAGCATATACAAATTTTGACAAAACAGAAGCAAGATTGACAATCAATGCGATTAAAGAGTAAAAGGATAGTAGAAACAACTTACCAGCGGTCAATTCCATATCGGTAAGGTCTTGCCATTTGTTCATGGCGACGAACCATGTTTCTCCCTTGCGACGGCAACTCAGATCAATGACGAGTTTCGAAGTGTCGTTGTCCAGAGCTTTGAGTACTGATTGCAAACGTTCCAGAGAGAACTTGCCAGAAGGGAAGAGGAAAGATGTGATGATGACCTGCAAACAACATGTAATCAGCATATGTCATTCTGGACATTCTCGAATTCATCCTCTCCCAAAAACTATTTTCTCATGTCCTTGGTGAAAAGTCCAACATTCATTGAGAAGCACAAGAGTTGAAACGAAGATCATAAAACTCACCTTACTAGCACCCTTCTCAATCCATTCCTTTGCATTCTCATCCTTGATCCCACCGCCAACTTGCAAATGCCCAGGCCAAGCTTCACAAGCCTCTCTGCAAGCTTCCTCATTTCCAGGCCCCAACATAATCACATGAGCACCCTCCAATGCGTTTTCCTTGTAGAGGTTTGCATAGTAGGATGATGGCAACTTGGATGTAAAGTTTGTCTTGAGCTCCGAGCTGGTGGTTGTCAATGTGCCGCCGACGATTTGCTTTACGCTGCCGGCGTGCAGGTCTATACACGGGCGGAATTTGGTCATTGTATTGTGGTGTTGAAGTGTTGTGTTTACAGCTTGATTTATTGGCCGAGTCGGAGGGCAACGCGGCTCTTTGGGTGTCTGTGTTTTCGATGTCGAGTAGGGCGGTTTTGCAGTGGAAGGCACTTGAGATCGGCTACACCTTCTCGCTTTTTGTGGAGACTTGGCCAGCTTTTCCTTGATCTTCACAACGCTTTCATCACACAATTATTGAGGAACATTGCATAGCTGCTTTTGTTGCTTCTACCAAAAAGACATGGGAGCTGTTTGAGGATTCGTGATTTATAGTTGGAACATATGCTAATCTCATCCACGCTATGATAGAATACAAAGGGGCTGCTCTGGGTGGTAGACCATCGACACAAATGGTTCAGGATCAACGCCTTTGTTTTTTTTTTTACAGACTCGCTGATACGGTAGAGTCTTGCATCCTTGATCCGTATTGAGGTGATTGTTTCGGACTGAGCAAGTGAAGATGATGTGAATGGTTTCAATGTTCCTTCCATACAAAATCCAGAATGACTTGGTGAGTTTGCACATGATAGCTGTGTCGAATGGTATGCAGAATCGAAAAGGCTTCTGACTGTTGTTGGTACAAGGACAAATTTGTCCGTGGAAGATCAGACGGAGCTGATGACGTTTTTCAAGAGCACAGTCTGCTGATTGACGGCGGCCGATACTCAGTGACGGGTGTTGGTCAGAGTCGTATCAAGATCATCTTCTTCTGTACAGGAAGCACTTCAAGCTCCACGTAGCCAGTAGCAGCACCAGAAGTCCCATGGCTGCATGGAACTCGTCGGTCTCCCACCACTCGAGTTTTTTGGGTGGCAGAATGAAGGTCTTGATGCCCTGAATCAACTCGCCGAGTATGATGGCGTCGGTCGAGCCAATGTACACACTATAGAGTGGTCGAACGCCAAATAATTCATCCCATAGTTCAGTGAGAGCACCTTGGATAGGCATTAGTAAGATTGCGTAAAAACACTCAGAGCCACCATACATACGCAGAGCGGCAGCGCCGATGGAAGCCAGGATGGAAAAGACCAGTGAGAGGATGGTCTTCATCGAAGTGATCAGGTCTTGGCCCGAGATATGGTCGCTGGTTGTAAGCATTAGTGAAGGAGTGGATGCTTGGATGACAAACAATGTAAGACTGCTAGGAGATCAGAAAGTCATTCAAGATTGAAGATTTATATGGCTCCATCGCCAGTCGTGTTGTCTTGGTCTGAGATTTTTCACTTGCTAACCAGCCACACCAACACCTTACCAATTGCGCATCTGAGATTATCACTGTAGTCTCAGGTAGCTAGCTTTGCATTAATAACGAGACCTTTTGCATGGATTGAGATCTCGTCCATTATTACGCTGCCAGTCGACGTCGGAGTAAAGTGAAAGCTGTAGCAGCCCAACTCGTCGTCGTATGCTTCTGGAGACTTGCAGTAGGCATCTGTTGCCTGGCACATGTCTTCTCACCAGACTTGTACTTAGGCGCATTCGAATCACACCGAACTTTACGCGCAAGACGGTGCTCAGGGCTGATTGTGGACGAGACCTGCACAAAGCTCATCGAATCTGCGACTGTCACAATATAGTGCGGTATGTTTTTCCAACACTATTGCAGCATCGAGTAATGAATAGAGATACAATGCAGAGACGATGATGGAAAGTGAATGGTGTTCGGCTGCTGAGAGCAATGTTCACGGAGTATGGTCGGGAAAAGCCGAGCACTCGCACACACACACGCTAGCGCAAGCTTGGCGTTCGCGAAATACCTTCGAGCGCTTGTCGACTTCGATTTCTTGCACGCCCAGCGACAGCAGAACCGCCAACCACATTCAAAATGGTAAAAATCAGCCTGCCAGGACACCGCAACCCAGCGCGCAATGTGCTGACAGGATATCTAGGGTCGTGTTATTCGCAACCAGAGAAAGGGCCGTGGCTCTATCTTCACTGTACGTCGTCCACCCTGCGTCGAGAGTGCGCAAACATTCGCGAAATTTTCAATCGTATACTGACACAATCTGCTCGCAGGCCAACACCAGTACGCATCTCCATTCGCACGCATGCATCAATCCCGAACGCTCCCACTGACTTAGACGCTCTTCAAAGGACTCAACAAGGCCCCCGCCCAGTTCCGTACTCTCGACTTCGCTGAGAGACACGGCTATGTTCGCGGTGTCGTGAAGGAGATCATCCACGACCCCGGCCGTGGTGCCCCCCTGGCCAAGGTCGTCTTCCGTGACCCCTACCGCTTCAAGCTCCACACCGAGACCTTCATCGCCAACGAGGGCATGTACACCGGCCAGTTCATCTACGCCGGCAAGAACGCTTCCCTCACCATCGGCAACGTCCTCCCTCTCGGATCCTGCCCCGAGGGTACCGTTGTCACCAACGTCGAGGAGAAGATGGGCGACCGTGGTGCTCTTGGCCGTACCTCTGGTAACTACGTCACCGTCATTGGCCACAACCCCGACGAGGGCAAGACCCGTGTCAAGCTTCCCTCTGGTGCCAAGAAGGTTGTCAAGTCCAGCGTCCGTGGTATGATCGGTATTGTCGCTGGTGGTGGCAGAACAGACAAGCCTCTCCTTAAGGCCTCGCGCGCCAAGCACAAGTTCGCCGTCAAGCGCAACTCATGGCCCAAGACTCGTGGTGTCGCCATGAACCCCGTCGATCACGTAAGGACTTTTCACATGCAACGGACACGCCAGAAACAGCACACTGACACAATCTACAGCNCTCACGGTGGTGGTAACCACCAGCATATCGGTAAGGCCTCGACCATCTCCCGCTACGCCGCCCAGGGTCAAAAGGCTGGTCTCATTGCCGCCCGCAGAACTGGTCTGCTCCGTGGTACACAAAAGACCAAGGAGTAAATCAGTGGTTAGGGGAATGGAGTGCTGGTCGGTTGGGTCGTCATTCTCGTTTACTTTGCCAAAAACTATGAGCGATGCCTGGCAATTACTTTGCTGTACTTTTCCAGGTCTAGATACCAGGAATGTCAGAAAAATCCACGAGCAAAATGGCTTTTCTTTTCACAGGCAGCATCATCGAGGAATGTCCAAAAATGTTTCATGAGCACACGATCTTCCACCTGCAATCTTGATATACGTGAACAGCGAAATGATCTACCTAGACTAGAGGAGCCGCAGGAGCTGAGGTTTTGCAATGGTTGATCTTCTGCAGACAGGCGACAGACGGCGGGCCGCGTCAAGCCAGGGGTATCGAAGAAGGCTGTGCCTGTGTCGTGTCGTAAGTTTGGCAACGGTGGGTCAAATAGGGCGAGTCGACTTGTTTCGCCAGTGACGGAACAGCCGCCGTGCCTCTCCACAAGTTGAACATAGCGAAAGGCCGTTGGAAGTAGGCCGAGCATGTACCCCCACGTACCAACTTCTCGATTCCTGTTGAGAGCTGCCAACACGGCCGGAGCCTGATTTCTGGCGTCTTCAGCATGCGAGTCATCGAGATGCGGCTGGATGTCTCTAGCAAAGGTCCGCGGGCACGGCGGTCGCGTGTTCGCTGAAAAGACTAGCTTCTGGCCTCTGGCTAAAAAAAGGCTGTGGAAACTTCTCTGGTTAGGAACGCGTGTGTTCGGCTCCCCCTAAACAGGTGGAGTCCAGAGTCTGGGGAAAGATGGTTTCAATCATGTGTGAGAAGTTTAAGTAGAGACATTCAAGTCGAAACCTGCTTGTCCAATAGAGTGCAGGCTCAACAAAATGACGAGGGAGCATCGATCGTTAGCATACTCATTCGTTTAAGAAGTGCCAGCCCTGCCATCTCGCGTTCTCTCCTGCCCCCACTCCTTTCATCACACGTCACAGCAATCAAATCAGCCGGCAGTGCCCCTCTCGCCAGTGCTTGCCCTCATTTCCCGCAAACTCACCGACGTACTTCCAACTTGACAGTCGGACACTTCTTGGCTACCAGGTCATCCACCTGTTCTCTCCTTAGCAGCAGACAAACAACGACGATACCGCCAACATGAATATCGGCAAGAGATTCGACCGCATGAAGCAATGGACGGACGAGAGAATGGGTAAAGAGATCAAGACTGCTGCGTCCGACGAGTTCAAGGCTCTTGAGCTTGAGATGCAGTTGAGACACGAAGGTACGCACCCTGAGTCGTCAAGGGTACGATATGAACTCAGGAACCGTCACTGACATTGCTACTTTCCAGGCATGGAGCGTCTGCAAAGAAGTATGACTACGTACGTCAAGTCCCTGTCCAAGACCAAGGAGGCAGAAGACAAGGAAAAGACACTGCCCATCGCCTACCTCGGTTCCACCATGGCCAGTCACGGAGATGACTTCGAGCCCGACTCGGAGTTTGGACAGTGCCTCTCGGGTACGTGACTATACTATACATCTGACAGTTCGTTTCCGGCTGACCATACGCAGNCTCTCGGAAGAGCCAATGAGAGAATTGCTCGCATGCAGGAGAGCTATGTCTCGAATGCTACCAACAGCTGGCTCGAGTCGGTTGAGCGTTCCCTGGCCCAGATGAAGGAATATCAGGTGAGTTTATCTTACTCAATCTACTCAGCTCATTACTAACCTTAGTTTCTCCAGACTGCCCGCAAGAGACTCGAGACCCGCCGCCTTGCTTACGATACCTCGATGAACAAACTACAAAGAGCAAAGAAGGACGATTTTGCCCTGGAAGAGTCTGCACGATCACAAAAAGCAAAGTATGATGAGTCGAGCGACGACGTACAGCGCAGGATGCTGGATATCAAGGAAGCCGAAGTTGACAGCATAAACGACCTGTCGACTTTCCTGGACGCCGAGTTGGCATACTACGACAGAGCACGAGAGATTCTCATGCAGTGCAAGAGAGACTGGCCCGCGTACGTCTTTGCAAAGAGGGATGGTTGATATCATGTTCACTGACAATTTGCAGACNCCTCTGGCAACACTGGTGCCGGTCTGGCTGTTCCAGGAGGCCGTAGAGTGCCTAGGTCTCGCTCCAACACTGGTAACTCAGCATCTTTCCGTCAGATTGATGAAGACGAGCCAGTCCACGATTTCCGCCCTCCCATCCGTGCAAGAGCACCTTCCGGTACTAACTCTCCTCGCCGTGAGCTACCTGGCTTCGATCTCNCTACTCGACCTTCCGCTCGTTTCGAGGGCCCATCAAGTCTAAACTCTCGCGATACCTCTCCTATGTCCATGCCTCGTCTGTCTCGAGTACCTACAGATTCTTCCATATCCCTCAGGCAGGGACTGAGACCAACCAAGCGAAATGACAGCGCGAACTCGGACGTATTCGGTGATCAGGATGACTATACTCTGGACAATGACCGCTACGCCGACGAGCGTTCTGCTTCGCCCGCCTCATACAGTGCAGCTCCTAGTTTCTCGCGCTCCGCTAGTTGGTCTCAGCAAGACGGTGGAGCCAAAAACTTGCCCCGCCGCCACCACCTTCGAGGTATGCATATTTCATGCGCTGTCTAAACTATTTGCTGACCTCGATGCCAGAGCTAAGAAGCCTCCACCACCTCCTCCAATGAAGCGCAGCGCCTTGAGTACGTCTGATGTGCCGCGACAGTATTAGTTGATTGGTTTCGTTTTGAGCGCAGACAGGAAAGGAGGTGTCATCTTTGCGAGCATACTTGGGAGGATAGGATTTTGTTCTTGGGGCGGTTTTGTGAATAGGAGTTGGCAGGACATTTTTCGGTTTCCTACTTTGTCTGAGTGATTGTAAAATGAAAAGTTACATGCTTTTGCTCTCTTGCGTTTGGTTATAGTTTTGGTTCATGGCCGTCACTTCTGGTCTAGTCACTTCAGGTTCCTCAAGCAGTGTGATGCTTAAATTCGCCGAAAAGATATCTCGGACGGTGCACGGCTCATGTGCCGGAAATGTACATCCTGGAGTCAAGATGCCACTGTAGCCAGCAGATTCATGTCTGGGAACAATGCTCTTATACATATCCTGCCAACATTGAACATGTGAGAAATGGTGTGATGTATCAGCCAGGGTGGTATCTGCAACAAGATGGAAAGCTTGGTGATCAAGCTTTCGCAGAAGGCTTTGTATGACGAAGCCACACATGTGAACAAGCCCATTACTTCTTCACAAGACATTCAACTTTGGCAAACTTGATTCAAAGAGGACAGTACACACGATATTGCAAAGTAAATACATGGTATAAGTGATAGAATGTCACGTGCACCGCCAAGAGGCGCCAAGAAGAGCTAAAACGGAGCGACTTCAGGCTCCATCGGAGAGTGCTGAGCGAGGTTCGCTGGTTCGGTTGTCGAGCGACAGCATCGCCGGAATTACCACCCCCGCTTCGTGCCATCGAGAACTTGTCTGCAACGCGTATCCCAAGGTGTCGACGCGACGGTGTCTAATTCGCAGACGGCCAACCACGACGCCCGACGCTCACTTTCCCTTTTGCCTGTCTCGTTCGCGCGAGGCAAGAGCGCGACTGCTCGCACACGTCCACCCATCCATCCAACCACAGCCCGAGTCATCAACGCCTGGCCATCACCAACGAGCCTCATCAACCTTGACTCGAATTAACGCCAACCGCTCTATCCATTCGCACCTACTCGCCAAAGCGACCGCGACTGTCGCCAATCTGGCCTCAGGCACCAATTGACCAAAGTCCAACACGGCTTCGCGCAACAGCCCCTGCCCACCATGGCTTCAGTCCAGCAACAGCAGCCCGGCATGAACATGAATGCCCAGGCCAACCACCCACAATTGACCAAGGAGTACCTGACACAAACCTATCAGGTTCGCTGTCCACACTCCCTGTCCATAGTACATGGTGCTAACACTACAACAAGCTCTACACTCAGGCCAAGGCTCAAGGTGTCCCTGACACTGACCCTGAACAGCTCAAGCGCGGTAAGATTCTTGCTTTTGCTCGCTCGAGGTCCGAGATGGCCAAGAGACAGATGCAGATGCGTCAACAGCAGCAGATGCAGGCCCAACAGCAGCGTCAACAGCAACAAGGACAGCAGCAGCAAAATGGCCAGCTCTCGCAAGAACAGAACGGCAGCCTCAACGCCAGCGCTGCTATCCAGCCTACCAATGGTGCTGCTCAACAACCTACACCCCAGCAGCCGTCATCAGGCGTGTCTAAGGATGCACTCCTGTCTACTGACCAGCAGACCACATTGCGCCAACAGCTGTCTGCCTTCAACTACCTGCAGAAGAACATGCCCATCCCTCAAAACATTCAAGACTCCCTCTTCCAATCACAGAAGACCACCGCTACCGACCCGTCAAAACCTGCCTCGCCCGCAACTCAATCTTCCACCAAAACCCATCGCTTCCAGTCCTTCAAGGACCCTCGCGCCTTGATCCCCAGTTCTATCTCGTATCTCGACCACATCCGCCGCGACCAGCGCCATATCATCCCCAGTATCATGCCTCTAGGAATTGATGTCGACAGAGCACGTGAAGAGAGGGAAGCCATCCTGTACAACCGCGTTATGGCGCGCAAGAGTGAACTGGACAAACTTCCTGCAAACATTGGCTCGTGGGACACAACCTCGTCAACAGTCCCTGTTGACAATGGCAGGCNNTTGAAGCTCAAGGCTCTCATCGAGCACAAGATGCTGTCCTTGCTTCCCAAGCAGCGTCAGATGAGAGCGAACGTGAGTCGCGAGATGATGCAGTCCGATAACCTCGCCATGACTGCCAACCGCGCTTTGTACCGCCGCATCAAGAAGCAATCTCTGCGCGAAGCTCGCATCACCGAGAAGCTCGAGAAGCAACAGCAAGATGCCCACGAGTCAAAGGAGAAGAAGAAGCACAACGACTTCCTTCGCTCTGTGCTGTCTCACGGTAACGAACTCAAGGCCTCGAGTGCGAACCAGCGAACAAGAATCCAAAAGTTGGGCCGCCTCATGCAAACCACCCACTCCAACATCGAGAAGGAAGAACAAAAGCGTATCGAGAGAACCGCCAAGCAACGTCTGCAAGCTCTCAAGGCCAACGACGAAGAGACTTACCTCAAGCTGCTGGGCCAGGCAAAAGACAGCCGTATTTCTCACCTGCTCAAGCAGACCGATGGTTTCTTGGATCAACTCGCCGCTTCCGTCAAGGAACAGCAACGTGGAGCTGCTCGCAGATACGGAGTCGTCGAAGAAGAAGAGGAAGAAGAGGAGGAGGTTGACGGAGATGAAGATGGCGAGGGCAAGTCAAGAAAGGTCGACTACTACGAGGTTGCCCACAAGATCAAGGAAGAAGTCACGAAGCAAGCTGATATCCTGGTTGGTGGCACTTTGAAGGAGTACCAGATCAAGGGTCTCCAGTGGATGATCTCGCTCTACAACAACAACCTTAACGGTATCCTCGCTGATGAGATGGGTCTTGGAAAGACCATCCAAACAATCAGTTTGATCACCTACCTCATCGAAAAGAAGCGCCAGCCTGGACCTTACTTGGTCATCGTACCTCTGAGTACTCTTACCAACTGGAACAACGAATTTGACAAGTGGGCCCCCTCTGTTTCCANNAAGATTGTTTACAAGGGACCACCTGCGCAAAGAAAGACTCACCAGAACCAAATCAGATACGGCAACTTCCAGGTACTGCTTACCACCTATGAATTCATTATCAAGGACAGGCCCGTACTCAGCAAGATCAAATGGTTGCACATGATCGTCGACGAAGGTCATCGTATGAAGAACGCAAACTCAAAGCTGAGCAGTACCATTACTCAGTACTACACGACGCGTTATCGTCTGATTTTGACTGGTACTCCTCTACAAAACAACCTTCCCGAATTGTGGGCCCTTCTCAACTTCGTTCTCCCTACCATCTTCAAATCGGTCAAATCGTTTGATGAATGGTTCAACACTCCTTTCGCCAATACAGGTGGACAGGACAAGATGGAACTGTCAGAAGAAGAGCAGCTGCTTGTTATTCGTCGTCTTCACAAGGTTCTTCGACCTTTCCTTCTGCGTCGTCTCAAGAAGGATGTCGAGAAAGACCTGCCTGACAAGCAGGAGCGTGTCATCAAGTGTAACTTCTCATCACTTCAAGCCAAGTTGTACAAACAGCTTGTCAGTCACAACAGGCTCATGGTCAGCGATGGCAAGGNNGGTGGAAAGACTGGTCTTCGCGGTCTCAGCAACATGCTTATGCAGTTGAGAAAGCTTTGCAACCACCCCTTCGTCTTCGAAGAAGTCGAGGATCAGATCAATCCTGGCAGAGGAACAAACGATACACTGTGGCGCACAGCTGGAAAGTTCGAGCTTCTCGACAGAATCTTGCCCAAGTTTGAGAAGTCGGGTCATCGTGTCTTGATGTTCTTCCAAATGACACAAATCATGAACATAATGGAAGATTTCTTGCGTCTACGTGGTCTTCAGTATCTGCGTCTGGACGGATCAACAAAGGCTGATGACCGCAGTGAGCTCCTCAGAATCTTCAATGCGCCTAACTCGCCTTATTTCTGTTTCCTGCTATCGACCCGCGCTGGTGGTCTCGGTTTGAACTTGCAGACTGCCGATACTGTCATCATCTACGATTCTGATTGGAACCCTCACCAGGATCTCCAAGCCCAGGATCGTGCTCACCGTATCGGTCAGAAGAATGAGGTCCGAATTCTACGTCTCATCAGCTCCAACTCTGTGGAAGAGAAGATTCTCGAACGTGCCAACTACAAGCTTGACATGGATGGCAAAGTCATTCAGGCTGGTAAATTCGATAACAGATCGACCAACGAAGAGCGTGATGAAATGCTTCGTGTCATGTTGGAGTCCGCCGAAGCAGCCGAGGCATTCGAACAAGAAGAAATGGATGATGACGATTTGAACATGATCATGATGCGTTCTGAGGATGAGCTGAAGCTCTTCCAACAGATGGACCGTGATCGTTACAAGGAGCAGAAGTATGGTCCTGGAAAGAAGTTTCCTCGTCTCATGTCTGAGGCAGAACTTCCCGATATCTATGTGAACGAAGACAACCCGATCGAAGAAATTGTCGAAGTCGCCATGGGTCGTGGTAACCGTGAGCGCGCCAAGGTTAAATACGACGATGGCCTCACTGAGGAGCAATGGCTCGAAGCTGTGGACAACAGCGATGACGATATCGAGTCTGCCGTTGCTCGTAAGCAGGCACGTATCAGCAAACGTGCTGGTAACAAGGAGAAGAGGATCCGTGGCGAAGAAGGGTTGGACGATACGCCTCCGCCAGACTCTCGCGCCAGTTCAGAGTCACCTCAGCCTAAGAAACGCGGCCGCAAGCCCAAAGCAGAGACTGTTCAGAAACGCAAGGCCGAGGAAGAAGTCGAAGCACCTCAACCAAGAAAGCGTGGCCGCCAAGCCAAGGTGCCCGACCTCTTACCGCCGTCCGAACGTGAGCACCTACAAGCTGTTCTCGACACGGTGCACGATACACTCATGGATCTGGAAGAGGTTTCCTCAGATCCTGACCTAGCGAACAGGGGGATTATCGACCCCTTCATCGAGCTCCCTCCTCAGAAGCACTACCCTGACTACTACCAGCTCATCAGCAAACCCATCTGCATGGAGCAGATTCAGAAGAAGATCAACAAGAAACAGTATCAAAACCTACGCCAATTCAGACAGGATATCCAGCAATTGTGCGACAACTGCCGAAAATACAACGAGGATGGCAGTATTCTGTATCAAGACGCAAATCTGATTGAGGTATGTAGTTATACTGATGGATCTATGAAGAGACAACGACTAACAATAGCCTATAGGNAAACTGCTGTCAAGAAGCTCGCCGAGGAGACGGCCAAGTATCCCGAATTCGCTGACTGGGAAAACGAGACTGGCAACACGCGACCAGTATCGAGCGCAGGCACACCCCAGCCACGCGTCAAGCTGAGTCTTGGTGGCCGCAAGAGCCGCGGCGGCACAGAGTCGATGGCACAGAGCGACGACGACGAATAGATGTTCTGTCTAAGCATTTTCCCCAGTGGATGGCGGTGTTTTTGATTTCTCTTTTATTCGATTCTGTTATAGTATTTTACTGAGGACGGGGGGAGTATGGCAAAGCTTAAAGAAGAGTACGGAGCTACGATTACACAGGCAAATGACGTGGCTGTCAGGGGGGGATTGTTCAAGGGTTAGGTGGTATAACAATTTGAGGAACGCTTCTCGATCACAAAAACCATTCTTCCTCTACCTACTTGCATTATGGGGTCATAGATCCTTTGGTTCTTTCTTTATGCAGATGTGTTAAAGAATGCATATTTCCTTCTTCTTTTGCTTCGCTGGCTGTGAGCTGATTTCTCTGTGTGATGTTGTTCAAAATTGTACACTTGTTCCAACCCATTCGACTTGTACTATTCTATTGTTCATCTCGCGTCTCAACTACTCTTGATTGATATCTCTACTCTTGCCCTTGCTCGTACCTAGCTATAATTTTACTCTGTTCTGCGCAACCAAAGATCTAATCTCCTTGACTTGTTTTCTTTTGCATGATCATAATGGATCTTATTTTTTTTTTTCACTTGTTCAAAACACCTTCTTTTCCAATCTCTCTACGGTAGGTTTGTTGTCAGTATTTATCTCTTGAAGAGTCGTCTGATTCTCTTTCACTTTTTACAAGATTCTGGCAACCTTAATTGTTTGGTTTGTACTTGATGGAAGGGAGCCAGGGCGTTTGGCACTCGCCCTTGCAAAGCAATAACTACTTTTGTGTTGGGATTTTTTTTCATAGTGACCTAGCAGCCCAGCTCACAAAAGAGATTGCAAGAGTCCTAAGTCCAAGTTACAAGAAAAAGAAAGAAGAGGAAATGTTTTTGTTTTGGCAAGAACGTTTGTTTGGAATGTTTAATGGTATCTTTTGGTTCACATAACTTTTCTTGCACGGTAAAAGGTTTTTGGCCGCACCACGAGGCTGAAAAAGAATAGAATGTTGGTGGTTTAAAGTGCTGATGAGAGTTAGGTTTTGGTCGTAGAAGACCCTTTCTTATTTTTGGGCATTGAGAAACAAATGTTTGAGATTTATTGCATGCGTACTTCTTAAATGCCTTGTTTGGAAACGTGGTACTCTATGTGCGGCGGGCGAAGTAGGTTGCGACTTTATAGGATCGAATGAGTCTGTGGGATCATTGTTCGAAGGGAACGTGGAAGGTTATCGAGACAGACTATCATCGGCAAACAAACAGAGTCCAGTGGAAGTTGGTCGATGTGCTCGCCCTGCTTGCATTGAGTCTTTGAAAGTCGTAGGTACAGCAGTTTGGGTGAATATTGTAGTATTCCCAGCCTGCGCTCGATCGTGACATCAGCAGATGTCAATGCTTTCTCTTTGTGCCATTAAACATCTGCAAGTCCACCGACAATAGACCGAACATCGTGCCGTTGGGATGTTTGGAGCTGAGTTGAGTAGGTCCAGAGTCCGTGTCAGGTGAAAAGGTTACTACGCAGAGGTTCTCCATTCTTGGGGTTGTTGGGTAGCGAAGCGGCAACAGGTATAGAAGTCCGCTACAGCTCTACTGATCCACGGTAGAGGGGTAAGAGTGTTGGAGGTTGACCAGGAAGCCACTTTGTCAATGAACATGCTGGGCGCAAATCCGCGTGGACAACATGAACAACCTCTGCTGTGTGTAGAACTCGCGCAATCTTTCGTCAGACCTCTACCGGAAGGAGCCGCATATAAGCTCACACGACAGCAACTGATGTTTCTAGGTGTGCCTGACCCTTCGACCCATTCATAAACCAGACGTTCATCAGGGAAGGAATAAAAGTCGTCTGGGTGAGCCTTGAGGCGCCAAATGTTGGTATAGAACTCAGCACGAGCGGCCATGATTGTGGCATCGTGGAATAGAACTGTGAGTTGAAGGCTGAAAAAGTCACCATAGCAACAGACGACCGCTTTCTGCGAATACTCTGGCAAGTTGTGCCAGGAGAGCCAGAGTATATTGTTGTGTCTATGACAAAGATAACATTTTTCGACATTGCTCCCACCAGCATGTCTTGTACGTGGCCGGGAAACCCTTCCGGAGGAATTTAAGGTGGCCATTGAATCTCCTGATCAAGATCCCGCTAGCATCGCTTCGTGTCGATCGGCATACTCTGGTGAGCGGATGCAACACTTGTAACTCAGACTCATTATCGAAAAGATGGCTGTATATCATATCCCGAAGCTCTTGTGGCAGGCAAAGAAAATGTGACTTCTTCGGGTTGAGTTCTCGGAACATTACTTTGTGAGAAGGTCCCTCTAGAATCATCCCAACAACGGATGAATCGACTATAGTGGACCATGCCTCTGCTTCTTTCTTCTTCTTGGATGTGGCGGTGATGACAGGTCTTGGTGCTTCGCTCGAGCGTGAATTTGTGAGCGCCATCATGTTGGATGCCATGATGATGCTTCTTTATGTGGTTGAACCCTTGATTGCTGCGACTTCGTGGACAGACAGAGAAAGCTGCAAGCTTCAGCGTGTAAGAATGCCAACTGAGAAAGATTTGGTGCGTGTGCAGAGACCTTTGTTTTCAGTAATGACAAGTAATGCGACAATGACTCAACAGGTTGAGTTCGGGAACACGAGCAAATTAACTCGAGAGGATAAGTTGGGATGATTGAGCAAATTTAGCATTTGCCCGTGTACAATTTTGTCTTGGCGATCATAACGGAGGTCTATATAACGTGGAAAAGAGCATGAGGAGGCGTTACTCATGGAAGATCTACTTCAAAGCGCGCTTGGCGATGTCCTTGCGGTATTGCATACCCTCGAACTTGATGGTCTGCACGCCCTCGTAGGCACGAGCAACGGCTTCCNNCTTCAGAGTAGGGCCAGTAGCAGTCGAAGCGATGACACGACCACCGCTTGTTACGAGTTGACCATCCTTGATGTCGGTACCTGCGTGGAAGATGACGGTGTCCTCGGGAGTGGCAGTCAAGGTCATAGGAGTGCCCTTGGCGTAAGAGCCAGGGTAACCACCAGCAGCAACGACGACGGTTGCAGCAGCGCGTGATGAAATCTTGATGGGACCAAGCGAGGCGAGCGAGTTTGTGGTGCAGCTGTACATGAGCTCGGCAAGATCGGACTCGAGCAAAGTCAGGACAGACTGGGTTTCCGGGTCGCCGAAGCGGACGTTGTACTCGAGGACCTTGGGTCCAGCCTTTGTCATCATGAGACCAGTGAAGAGACAGCCAATGAAGATGTTGCCAGAGTTGCGCATACCATCGACAGTAGCTTGAAGGATAGATTTGTGGATTTCCTCATTCTCCTGAGCAGAGACGACGCCAGTAGGAGCGTAAGTGCCCATACCACCAGTGTTGGGGCCCTTGTCGTCATCGAAGATGCGCTTGTGGTCCTGAGCAGGAGGCAGACTGGCAATGTTGTAACCATCGCTGAAAGTCAGGATGCTGCACTCTTCACCGATAAGCAGCTCCTCGATGACAACAGTGTCACCAGCCGAGCCGAACTCGCGGGTCAGCATGATATCCTTGAGGGCCTGTACAGCCTCTTCCTTGGTCTGAGGGATGATGACACCCTTGCCAGCAGCGAGACCGTCGGCCTTGATGACAACGTCGTGGTTGATGCTGTCGAGGTATGCCTTTGCCTTGTCGTAGTCGCTGAAGTTCTCGTATGCGGCAGTGGGGATGTTGTGCTCCTTCATGAAGTCTTTGCTGAAGGCCTTGCTACCCTCCATACGGGCGGCAGCCTCATTAGGACCGAAGCTCTTGACTTCAGGCAGGTGCTGAGCGAAGTAGTCGACAATGCCGGCAACGAGGGGAGCCTCGGGACCAGGCACAAGGAAGTTGACCGAGTTGTCGCGGGCGAACTTGACCAGAGCAGGGAAGTCGTCGGCCTTGACGTTTTGGACATTGGTGACCTTGGTGGGGAAACTGTGAGGTTTCGTCTGAGTATGCTTGTGCGTAAGGGTATGCCAGTGCTGTCACTAGGCTGCTCATGAGGGAACGAACCCTGCGGTACCGCCGTTACCAGGCACGACGTAGATGTGGTCTACGTGCGGCGATTGGACGAGCTTCCATGCTAGAGCATGCTCGCGACCACCGTTTCCTACTAACAAGACGCGCAGACTGGGAATCGACATTGTGTATGACTGTGTCGAATGGAAGGTGCAAAAACCCCGCCAAAACTTTTGAGAAAGCAGCTGCACCGCCACATGAGACTACCGACTTCGGACAAGGGTCTTGAGTCGGTCGTCACTTCCCTCTCTGTCTCTCAATAGAATCATGTAATCAGCCCATTCACACATGTCTTGGTAGTACAGCTCCAAGACGGAAAGTAGATTGATCAGGCAGACAGATAATGAATTCATGATTGACAATTGCCGATGTTTCTGCCTAGATGTTCTGCGAGAGTAGGAAAATGGATATGGCTGTGCCACATTGCTCCATGCTCAGCCACTTCTTCACATGCACTGACTGTGGGGATGTAGGGTAATGTCGGGCCGGGCGTCTGTACAGTATGACGCTCGTTGCGATCGAGTCTCTTTAGATGGCTGTAGCCTGCGCGTGCTTCTGACACCTGACACTTCTCGACTCGTTCAATCATGGTGACGAGAAAGCCTGTCCCCTCTCGCGATCCCGAGCCAGCTGCCTCAGCGCCGTATCCTGCCTCTCCTATAGCTCCTTCTGCACCCAACGGCCACGCGGCTGCCTATCAACCACCGCACGACTCCGATCTCTCACTACAGCGAACTAGGAGCAGTTCGGCTTCCTCGCACAACACATGGAACTCTGGCTTCTCTTCTGATCACGAAGACGACAGCAATGAACAGCCAAAGCCAGATTCGGCAGACATTCCTGCTTCACTAAGAGTTGGTCGTCCTCAAGCTCCAGAAGCTCAACACTCTTTCCAATCGCATAACCCATACCACAATCTGCACAACCAATCCCAACAGCCGACGCAATCTCAGCCTCTGCCATATCCTTCCGAAGACAGCCAGTCAATATGGAGCTCAACACCTGCCCATCCCACTACTGCTCCTCCAGCCCCACCATCATATCCTCCTCCTTCTTTACCTCCTGCGCCTACCTTCGCTGCCCTGTCGCTGGACGACCATGTGCAGCAAGATACCCATAATACAACACTTGAACCACCGCCTCCAGAAATACCTCAGAAAAGCAGTAGAAGAAGTCTGATCTCGCAAACATCCTCGAACCCATGGCAACAAGACCTCGACAGAGAACAAACCTTACAAAATCCCTGGCAATCTACTCCTAGCCCTCAACCACACCAGCTTGATACTATCTTCCACNCCTCCTCCAGGTCCACCTCCCTCGCATGCCTTCCCCAACAACTCCCAGCCCACGCCCTCTCCTCCCCACCTGCTCCTGCTGCGCCGAACTTGGCTTTTAATGCTCCTTCTGTTGCTCCTCCCGCCCCTCCGCTTCCGAACCATCACTATGGTCCTCCCGCGAACCAACAACCCTCTCCTGCGTCGCAAGCGTCTCATGCTGTTCCAGCGCCCACTCAGCCAGAAACTTTGTCCTCACATCCTCCTACTCTTCCTCCTGTCAGACAAGAAGAATCTCTTATAGACTTCAGCACCGACAATGCTCTTCCGCCTCAAGCAACGGGTCCTCAACCGCTTAACACGCCTCAACCTGAACATAGCACTAATCTTTCTGCGCCGATTCAATCTGCTGAAGAGTTACTCAGTAAACAACGCAACGAGACGTACCAGATCAAGCATATCAACTGGTTCGATGCAACCGCCGGACCTAATGGCCATATGCGACGCAGTCCCATCTTGACGCAGAATGCCAACGGTCCTTGTCCTCTGCTTGCTCTTGTCAATGCTCTGACTCTGTCAGCGCCCGAGTCGCCCAAGACAGTCCTGGTTGATACTCTCAGCTCACGCGAACAAATCAGCCTCGGTCTTCTCTTGGATGCTGTTTTCGAGGAGCTCGCAAGGAGAACCGAGATCTCGAGCAAAGCACTCCCCGATGTTGGCGAGCTCTACACCTTCCTCATCACATTACACACTGGCATGAATGTAAATCCGCGATTTGTTGCTGCCCAGGATGCTCCGCAAGGACAACCCGGCTGTTTCGACGAGACGAGAGAAATGCGCCTCTACAGCGCATTCGAAATGCCTCTCTTCCACGGCTGGGTTCCGCTCTCTAATTCATCAGCTTACGAAGCTTTTGACCGCTCAGCCAAAACCTTCGATGACGCACTAAACATTGAGACTGCCCAGGCTGAGCTTGAGCACAAGCTAGGGACTGATGGACTATCAACCCAAGAACAGCAGATGTTTGAGGATATCATCTTCGTTAAAGAGTTTCTCACGACCTACCCCACTCAGCTGACTGATCATGGTCTCAAGCTGATTGCAAACTTCCTGCGACCAGGTCAAATCGCCATCTTGTTTAGAAACGATCACTTCTCGACACTGTACAAGCACCCAAGAAGTGGCACGCTCATGAATCTCGTGACGGATGCAGGCTACTCGTCTCACGATGAAATTGTCTGGGAGAGCTTGGTAGACGTCAGTGGTGCAGCTGGCAGTTTCTTTTCCGGTGATTTCAGACCAGTAGGAAACACCTCGTCCGGAACTCAAAACGAAAATGACTGGCAGACTGTACCTACACGAAACCACCGCAGCTCGCACAGTGGTACTGCTGATTCGTCCCAATCACAGCCACCAGCGGAACCTCGCGGACACGGGTCGGAACAGGAGGATGCTGACCTAGCTCTGGCTCTTCAACTCCAGGAGGAAGAAGAGGACCAACAGCGCCGTGCCCAAGCAGCCCGACGAAGAGAAGAAGACGAGCTCTCACGCCAGTTCCTTGAGCGTGAATCTGCGTCTTCCGGGCGTAGCCCCACCTCAGAGCAGCGTCCGCCAGTCCCTCCTCGAAGGAGCAATATGGGCAACAACAACAATTCCATCCCTTCCCGCAACGGCCCGCCTCCGACAGCAGACGCACCGTACATCCGAGAAAGAGACGATGGCGATGAGGAACCACCTACATACGAGCAGGCGGCTTCTGACAGACCATTCCGACCAGCTGGTGCGACACGAGATCCAAGGCAAGGGGATGCTCTAGGTGCACTGACAGCGCTACAGATGCAACAAGGTCCTTTCGCCAACCAGAACGGTAGTAACCCCAGCATTCAATCACCATCTATGCATCGCAGACGCTCGAGTGCACTGAATCTTGGGCGGACCAACAGCAACTCTCAGCGGCTCAGAAGGCGTGAGAGTCAAGGCCACGTTCTCCAGACTGCAGCGAGCCCTCAACCTGCACCACAATATTCTGGCTACGTTCCTCCTGGGACTGGTGGTAGAATGACTCAGGCCGAAAGAGAAGAACGGTGTATTGTGATGTAGATGTGATCGCTGAATGGATCGAAGCAGGGCGGTCTCGCGTATCTCGTCGACCGTGGTTTCGACGCCAGGGTTGGCAATAATTTTTCTTTTTCTCCTGTTCTTGTTTAGTCGATATACCCACTTCTTGCTACTCACCTTCAGTGTGATTTGGCAAGAAATGTTTTCTGCTGTTGATGCGCGATGTCCATATCACAAATAAATTTTAGATCGAATCAGTGACCCATCTTCCGTCCAAGCCGAGGTGTTGAAAGATGTCGCAATTTACCCTGTTCCAAGATCCATCGCTCTGATGAAATATTTCTTTCGATGGGCGACCGACGAAGCCAGCATGCTGCATTTGAATTTTGTGGCCACCTCCCTTTCTTTCGATCCCTCGATTTGATTTGCACAAACAAGATCGTCGTCGGGTTTTCGTTGGAATCGGACCTCGGGAAAAGCCAGTGACGACTCATGCACCACCAGCGGAAATGCGAAAATCGAAGAAGATCGTTTCTTGTTGTGTGGTTTGGCGCTTCTTTGCTTGCTGATCGTTTTCTGAATCCTTTTCCACTTTTGCTGGTTGAGCAGTGAGCACCCGAGGTTTGTCTGGCAATATTCGAGTAGGATTTTTTGTACAGATGTACGGAGTTACATGGCAAGTGCGTGCATATGGTACCTACAGCAAGGCTCTGCGATGCTCTGTTTAGACTAGGAACAACGATTGAGGCTCGGAGAAGTATAAAGCGCCACCATCGTCAACGACATGGGTTTTGCGGCTGAAGTGTCTCCGCAGTTTGGCTCCGACGACCATCTGTTGTTCATCAATTGCCAAACATGCCTTCTGTCCAGATGAGGATATATATCTGTTGGAGCAAAGCGACGGTTTGTGAACTAGACAACGACTAGATGCTCCTTGGTCCCATTGGTTGAGAAATTCTCCGATGCGGCGACGTTTTGGTTTCTGGTTTATTAGAGGAGCAAATGAGCCTCTCTTTGCGATTGGCGAAGTTGTGACGATGGTTTGTGAAGATCTTCTGGGAGTGTTCGGTTACTACACTTCAATTTGACCCACTTCGGATGCTTGGATGCGCTACTTCATGCATGCTGATTTTCTCCGAATAGTCATTGCTGATCAATACCATGCGCTAATTCTTGGGAGAGGCTTGTTCCCTTCTGGCGGATTCGATCTCCTGTGCCTTTGTCTGGGCTGTAGGAGGTCAAGACCCTGTAGTGTTGCATCAGAAAGGCTGCCTTGTACTCGAAGAGGATTCGGACTTCGAGCAGATGACGTTCAACGCGATTCGCCAATTTATCTCAACCTCAGCACATCGCCAACCACAATCCCAAACTACTGCAGCTCACGAATGACGATCATCAACCATCGGACATAGCGAACCAGAACTCTGTTCACACTGGCGGCTTTGACCCGAAAACGCTACGAATCAAGTAGATGATCTCCCACGCCCGCTCCATCCCCAACAGGGCAATGCAACGTGGGTCTTTGATATCCTATTCCGGTGTTTGATCTGCTACTCTACCCCAGATCGACCACGCCTCTTGCAACATCATCGCATGTTTGGAGGTGCGCTCCACCGCGGCTCTTCACCCTGAACAAGGATCTCATGCCAAATAGACTGCTCAACACGGCGAAAGCTACAAGCAGCAGCCGTCAATGCTGGTCAGCACCACATTGCGTATGTGGGATTGCACATCACTGATTGTCGATCCACTGTCATTCGAGCATAGATGGGCGGTGCCCCCTTGAAAGGAGTGAACAACATATAAAGAGTAGATGATTCCACTCTCTGCTTTCTATTCCTCTCATCCAAATCCACTTTTGCAATCGCTATCTTAGAACTTCTTTCGCTCCACCTTACCTAAAACAACCAACCACCCACAAAAATGCTTTCCAAGACCATCTTCGCTACTGCCTTCATGGCCCTCGCTGCCTCTGTCGCTGCTGCCCCTACCCCTGCTCCTTCTGGCCTCGACGGTCTCAGCAACCTCCTCTCTCCCGGATCCTCCGACTCTGCTAGCAACCTTGGCAACCTTCTCTCCCCTGGCTCGTCCGACTCTGCTCTTAACGGCAACTCTGCTGAGGGCAACGGAAACGGTTCGTCTACATCTTCAATGCTTCTGCTTTTGGATCCAAGCATACTGACATTGTTACTTTAGGAAACGAGGCTGGCAATGGCAACGAGGCTGGCAACGGTAACGAGGCCGGCAACGGCAACGGCAATGGCAACACTGTTGACGGCAACTCCTTGATCAACCTCAGTAAGTCTTTTCCTATCTACTCTCCTCGTCTTTCGGATATTAATACTAAACAGAGAACTAAAAGGTGGCTTGGATGTTGACCCGACGATCGACCCGACCATTAACGTCAAGTGCAAGAACTGAGAATTCTGTACATATATCACCACTCTTCTTTTACGAAAACAAAGCATGGTATACACGGTCAACGGGTACGGCGCAAATTTACGAACGAACAGCCTTCTGGTGTTAAGGCTTTAATGGCTTCTTTTTCTTTTGTATCTTGGTTCGACTGCGATGGGTTTTCCCTTTGAGGCAGGTGCCTCGGGGATTATACTTGTACATATTACCCCTCTGTCGTACGAACACTACTTCCTTCCAACTTACATGTTTATCTTTATTGCTTGAGTTCAGTGACGTGTCTCGCCTTCAACCAGAATCGATCCTGCAATTGCTGGTCCTAAACTATACCTGCCACTGCGAGGGTTTGTCTTGTTGTGATCGCCTTAATATGGAAATCCCTGGTGGAGTCAAGACACGACACATCCATTGCGGCCACAGGCTGTCAGAAATAGCAATCAAGACTGTTTGATCCGCCACCCGATGCTTCTTCTGAGGCTCCTGTCACCGCTTTGCATCTTGCCTGCAGAGAAGTTAGAATATATGCTCAAACTCTACAACGCAGAGCCGAAGAGATCGACAGAGCCACACAGGCTAGAGCAAACACAATGAATTCAGGCTTTTGAAGAACCGCTGCTTGCTATTAGTCGTTGTCAGATTGTCTTCAGTCGTCAGTGCGAGAATGTTCTACGGCGAGTTTAAGCTCATCAAGGGTCTTGAACTGGTGGGACCATGCTTGTCTAATGATGTTTCCGAGTGGTAGATCTGAAGTTGATGGCAGAGAATCTGCGGCAGGCCATTCGTCCATCGACACACAATCTATCTGAAACTTTTCTCAGCGAGAGATGGAGTAGATTACATTGGTGACATGCAGAAGATCCATCTCGGCGGTATAACCATCTTCATCCATAAGCTCGGTGACCTGGTCAAGTGGAAGCAAAGAACTGTTTGCAAAGTCGATGAGTTTGATGTTCATGTCATCGTCAAGCATGAGATTTCTCAGTGCAATGTCGAAAACCAGGACTCTTATCTTGTGACATGCTATCACCGCGTCAAGGATTTGGAGAATCCAGTTCATTTTCTGCTTCCAGGGTGCAGGTGGATTGTGTTTGATGTAGTCTTCCAAATCTCCGTTGGTGTAGAATTCGAATACCAGTCCATTGGCGCTTATTTTCAAGCAATTGGCAATACCATGCACACCTTGTAATCGTCGATAGGCTTCCTTCTCGCGGCTCAAATCATTTGTGTACATGTTGTTATGAACATTAGGTTTGGTGCTGCGGTCTGCTGAGTTGTAGGTTCCTGTGAGTTTTGGGACCTTCATGACTGTTGATGATGTTGTGTCGCGAATGATGTAGCCATCCATACCCGCAGCGATAATGTTCCCTTTGATGTTCGAGCCGTCGGCGAGAATGACGACTGTCATGTCTGTTGAAGCCATTGTCTTCCGGTACCGAAAGACGGATCTGTCTGCGTGTTGACGTGCAAATAAAGAGAAAGTCCTTCTGGGACGAAGATGCGAAGGGCGCCTACTGAACCACCGTCCGTGCACTCATGCATAAACACAGGAGGATCGACGCGGTGGCAGGATTGGAGACACAACACAAGGTGTTCTGTATTCGCTCGAACATGAAGAATCAAACGCAAGCGACGAAACTCTTGTTGATTGCATTACCTTTTGTTTCCAACAGCGGCTCTATCGCTCAACACGCTGGACAAGGACGAGCAGTAATTTTGAGCCATCCAATGCATAAGCGCAAGATCTCCTTACCCTTGTTCTCGCGCTCGTTGGGTAGTTGTCATATATTGATCAAATCAGACTAAACGAGTGTTCGTCCTCGAGATACTCTTCACGCGCGTTTTAATTCATACAGGAATGGAATGAAGTAGACAGGGACAAAACCTTTGAACGTTGTCTGGAGGAGAGAACAACCATCACGACGGCTGGATCCGTTGTCTTGGCAGTCGCCAAATCTTCGAACCACTGCCAGTCCAGCATCTCAGCACCTCACCACCAACAAGTAGAAGAGTCATCAAGCTCAATATCACTGATTACTGTCCTGCTGGTTGACGTATGGAGCCAGGCGCAGTTCTGGACCTCCGAGAGACGGACCCGACCGTCCCACCGCCGCTCGGCGTCTGGTCTTGGGCCATCACCATCGAAGCACCTCGTTTCAATCATATCAGAGTTTGGAACGTGCCTAAGGCCTTTCCAGGATGCCTATGATCACGCTCACGCCATGAAACAAGAACGTCTCGGGCACGTTCGTGTCTTCGTTGTCTGCTTCAAATCCCGGGACGGCAGAATCTCGGCTTGCCCTTATACAGAGTTGTTGTCGTTCTGGATCAGTCCTCATGACCAGAACCCTCGGGCTTTGACAGCGACTATGCAATTTTCGCAGTCTATCGGGCTCGCTCAGGCAAGCGGAAGAGATCGGTAAGTTTGTTCAGCTGTAACAACACTTTAAGGTGAGATAGGCGAGAATGGTCGCCTACATATAAACATAAATCTACCTCTATTTAATGTCTGTCCATTACCTTCTCTATCATCTCATCCACATATCAATCATCTCTCTTGCATATCTTGTCTCCCAGACTACTCATCACAAGTCATTCGATTGAATCACACTTGAAACCAATCATCTCTTCAAACCACTTCCTCCAAATACACACCACCATGCGTCCAACACCCGCTCTTCGCAACAACCTTCGCAGCATCAGAGCTTGCTTCGAAAGACCTGAAGCTCAGAGCTTCCTCAACAGTACTTTCAGTCCATACACCCAGGTCATGTTGGCGAAAGGGTTGGATGGACCGTTGTATGGTCAGTATACAGCCCGAAAATGTGCACAGTGCTTCTTCAGGATGCTGACTCATAGTAGGTATGGCGCAGCCGTCACAGGTGTTTTGGGATGGCCATTGATCACCTCGAAGTTGGTGTATGGCAAGATCGGAGTATAAAGATCATGATCGAAACGACGAACCACGATTGGCTTAGGGAGGACGCAAAGGATAACTCTTACGACACTTGAGCTGTTGCGGGAAAGAGAAGCCATGGATGATAGCCTCATCGATACATGAACGTGTGAGTTCACGAAACGGAGAACATGGGGTTTTGCGCCACACATCAGCAAGCATTTCATTTGTCTGGGGGTCAGGTCGACGCTGTCGATGACCGGGGTACACTTTTGGAGTTAAGGAGCACCTTTTGATTATATTGATACAATACCGTATGTCAACGCTGATCGCTTCCTTCTTCACATTATCCTGATCCTTCGGGACACTTTGCACCGAGCGGAATTCTTCCCGACACCCGTCCTCCAACCCCACATGATCCCCCATGCAGTGCGGGGGCCTTTACACAAACCAAAGAGGACAAGATGATCATGGAGGATGCAGAGAGTCACGAGCTGACAGTCTCGAAAACTTATTGTGCTTGTTCAATTCATCATTTCTTCGCAACCTGTTTATTCCACCATCTTCTCAAAGGTATCGTTCAAGTAATTATTCAACATGGGAATATGGTATACCTTCGGTATAGCATTGTTCGCTGCAATCGGTACGTTCCTGTTCGGCTTCGACACAGGAATCGCAACGACGAGTAAGTCAGCCACTATCTTCGAAGACACCAGCATATCTCATCCCGCGAACAGCGNNATTGCACATCAAAGCTGGATTGATTATATGGACCATCCGTCAAAGGGTCTCACTGGCGCCGTAAGTGTCTTTGCATGCACCACAGCATTGCGCTGATAGCTCTAGGTTGTCGCTGTTTATATAGCAGGTGAAGCTCTGGGTGCTTTGACACAGACTGCTATAGGAGATAAACTTGGTCGTCTGAGATTCATGCAAGCTCTTTGCGTGGTTGTGACGATTGGTACCGTCATACAAACTGCAAGTGTCAACATAGGCATGTTCCTCGCTGGCCGCGTGTTGGCCGGCTATGCTGTCGNNGGTCAGTACTGCCAGACATGTACTTTGCATCTGCTAACATACATCAGCGGTATGGTTGGAACAGTCCCGATCTATCTTTCTGAGATCTCCTCACCACAGCACAGAGGCCTCATCGGAGGTATCTCTGGCTGTGGCATCGCTTTCGGAACCATGGTACGTACAGCATCTACTCTAAGTATTACATACGCCTTCTAAGACGCTCGATCTAGANTGTCCAACTGGGTCGGCTTCGCCTGCAGTTACGCCTCCTACGGCCCTACGCAATGGAGGCTACCACTAGGCATGCAAGTTCCCTGGGGTATAATCCTCTTCTGCGGTCTTGCGACCTTCATGCCCGATTCTCCCCGCCAGCTTCTACGTATCGGCAAAATCGACGATGCGAGAAGAGAGTTCTTCAAGATACGCAGGGATTTGAGCAGTCAAGCTGCTGGACAGGAATTTGCATTGATGAGAGCGCAGATTGAGTATGAGGTTGAGAGGGAAGTCAAGAGTTATAAGGAGATCTTCCGCTTGTTTAGGCATAGGGCTCTCGTGTAAGTGCTTTGTGGATCAGCCGTATACCTTGTGCTAATCTTGTGATCTTAGGNNTCTATTGCCGTTCAAACGATGACTAGCTTGACTGGTGTGAATGTTATACAGGTATGTTTTGATTACTGGTTCGAGTTATGATCAGGCTGACAAGAAACAGTATTATCAAAGTGAGAAAGAAAACACACTTGCTTCACATTGACCCACATTCTAACTAGACNNACAGCAATTCTGTATAAATCACTTGGTATCGGCTCTAAGCAGATCTTAGCTCTCGCAGGTGTATACGGCACCGTGGCGTTCCTCTCAAACGCCATCACAACCACATATCTGACCGATCAGTGGGGCCGTCGAAAGTAGATACCTTACCCTTCCCCAAACACGACAAAGAGTTATGCTAATGCATTCCTTAGGATGATTCTTGCCGGCTTAGCAGGCATAGTCATCGTAGAGATATATGCTGCAGTCATGCAACGCGAATTCCAGAATACGGACAATCAGGTCGGCAAGGGATTTGCCATCCTAGGCATCTATCTGTTTGTGGTGATTTACNTGTAAGTTCTCGTTCACTCACTACCTACCATCGAAGAAAGAGGTGCTAATGTGTGATACTTTACAGATGGCATGCTCAACAGCACAACATGGCTTTACGGTCAGCAACATCAAAACTTTGGCTAGAGAGGATGGTGCTAACATTGAGTAACAGGAGCCGAAGTCTTACCTATAGCACTTCGAAGCCGTGTCATGGGTCTAGCAGCAGCATCTCACTTTATCGTCAATGTTGGCATTACCGAGGCAGGACCTAGTGCGTTCTCCCACGTAAGTCTCAACAGAAGGATCGATCGTCAAGAGTCGTTCTTTTCTCTCTCGTCAAGTGACACCCTCACCCCAATCGTAGCATCAAATGTGTCTGGAGTAAATCGCTAACCGCCACCCACACAGATAAAAGAAAACTATTATTACGTCTTTGTGGCCTGCTCCTTCTTCTTTCTCATTATGGCCTACCTCTATNTTCCCGTAAGTTTGTGTTTCTGCATTGCGCTGTGCTGAGAACTCACTAACGCTCAAACGCATAGGGAAACCAGACGCAAGACATTGGAGGAGATTGCTGCTGCTTTTGGTGACAAGGTCGTGACATTGACGGAAAGGGAAATGGCTGTTGAACAGACTATTGCAGAGGAGAAGATTGTGTCAGAGCATGTGGAGGACGTGTCTGTTGATAGGAAAGTGTGAAAGGTGGTAGTATGATGTTGAACGCAGATCGGATACAGAGAATTGAGGTCTGGTAGATCATGTCTAGGTAATGGTCAGTAGTAGACAGAGCAGCCACGATGCTGTTTCACGCCGATGTAATTTTCCTTCCCCATTTACTAAAGCATGTAACGTGTATAGCTATAGAAATGCACAATATTAATAGGAAACAAGAGACTATTCACGGAGAGGCAACAGATTGTCGATTCTGGGTGAATACGCCTCTACTTCCCAGCACAATTGTGCCTTCTTGTAGTCTATGATTCTCACTTAGCTATAGTTCGGAGTACGGTGAAAGTTACAGGCTTTAGCACACGGAGGATGAAGCGTCTCTGCAAGTCCACAGCCCTATGCTTTCATATGAGGTTCCTGAATACATCAAGTCAGTCTGATTGATTTTACAATTTTATGTCTATCTTTCCAAAGCAAGGCAAGAACGCCTACCCGCATGCAATAAACATCAACATCGTGGCCCATTATATGCTTGAGATACGCATCTTCGCATCACTAAACATCTTCGGTTTTCTTCTCTTTCTCCCCTTCACTTGAATCATCTTCCATATGCTTGTTCTCCTCAGCCAAACAATCCTCATCTGCAGCGGCAACCTTGCTCTTCATCCTCAACGTATGTCCATACTTGAGGAAAAGAATAGGTGTGAAAGCAAACAGAGTCGCCACAGCAGCCAAGATGGACGCAGCAATATTCGCTCCCAGGCCCGAGAACATCTGGTAAGCAAACAGAGGGAACACTGCAGCTGCAATGGTACGGCAAGTGCTGAGCGAGGAAACAGCAGACGCAGCCATGGGTCCATATGAATCGGTGCAGTAGCCGAAGAGCACATAACTAAGATCGGCGGTGGCGAAGCCTACGAGGACAAGACCGATCATCGATACAACCCAGTGAACGTTGGTGACTCTAGGTGGGATGGTCCAAGCGAAGATCCAGAGGCCGATGGCGAGGGCAGGACATGCAAGAGCGAAAGATCTGATCTTAGTTTCCGGCAAGAGTCGGCGTTTCTGCTGGCGGAACTTTTTGAACAGATAGTCGTCGTAGAAGCGTGGCAGGACGTCCAGAAGGATACCGATAAGAATGGCGATGAATGACAATGACGAAGAGGTTTGAGAAAATGTTCTGTTGAAAGGTGGATTGGTGTATGCCACAGTCAAGCCTTCTGTCAAACCATAGATCAGTCCGAAAGCAATGGCGCAGAGTGCTGAACAGAAGAATACTATAGGTTCAGTGACCAGGAACTTGAGAGGGCGGAAGAGCGAGTCTCTGACAAAAGACTTGAATGAGAATCCTTCAGATGAAGGACCATTCAGATCATCGCGACCAGTCTCTGAATGTATAACGTCCACCTTCTTCTGCAGAAGCTGTTCAGCTTTGGTCTCCTTCATGAAGAAGGAAAGAATGGTTGACACTCCGGCTGCTACAGCGGAGATGTAGAAGACTGCTCGCCAGCCATAGTAATGAGTGATATACGATGAGTAGATGGGACCCAAGACGAGACCAATGAAGCCGGAAACAGTATACCAGTATACGACCCAGATTCTGNNTTGGAAAACTGTTAGTATAATGCCGAGAATAGGTACAGAGTTTACTCACCTTATCTGGGCACCCCACATATCTTCAAGACTGCCATATGCTACACAAGCAGGAACGGCAGCTGCGATACCTTGGATAAAGCGACCAAAGTATACCGCGATTGGCGATGGCGGCGCTGCTGTGACTACTGAGAAGGCACAGAATACAGCGCAGGACACGATGTATAGTGTGCGACGGCCAAAGGTCTCAGATATCGGAGCGCAGACTATGCCTCCAAGAGTTTGGCCAAGCAGATACATGGTAACAAAGGCGAACACTGCAAGGGTTCTACTCATATGGTACTCCATCCGAGCAGAGTCGGCCGCTGCAGTCNNTATGCTTGGTCAGGACAGGCTGTGTCAGACTAAGGAATAGGATGAACTCACTCCCGCCGAACTTATACCAGTCATGAACAACTCGACCCAAGCAATCATCACAGTCGTGTAGCATTTCGCGACTGGGCCCCAATTNCTGGGGTGATCTTTGCTATCCTCGTTCCAACATACTGTGTTTCCATCCTCGAGGTGGCATCCATGTTGCTCGAGGAGGTTGTCGGTACTTTCCCGAGTTCCAGAAGGCGAAGGCGAATTGAGCGAAGTCATGTGCGACACTCTATTTTATGATGAAAAGTAGGTCGAGGACGAAAGGTCGAATAACCAAATTCGACAGCGATAGTCTGTTAACACTACATTTCCTATAATTTCTGATCGTGGCTTGCCATCTGGCATTGTGCCGTTATCCTCATCTGAGACATCAAGGGATGATACAAGACGTCATCGTCGTCGCACGCTCCCAAGCGTTATAGTAAAGACAAAGAAGTAGAGTGACTGATTACGATTTACGAAACGCTGGATGGTTCTTTGATAGAATCAAGCGTTGGCCGTTGGCAATAAGCGCAAGCTTCTAACCTTGTAGGAGATATATGACGTTGACAAATCTCCGCGTCCCAGATCTCCTTCCAAAATGGAGATGAGATCTTCCATTCCAAAATAAAATCGACCCATGGGGAAAGAAAATAGAGTACACAATGGCACATGCCAACAACGACCGTACATTCCTCCGCGGGCCGGGCCTCGTGCTCAATCGCTGATTTTGTATTGGATTGGCTTAAATGATCCGCCATTCGACTGCAGGGCCGAACAAGCGGTCAAAGCGATGATCAGGTCCATCTCGGCCACGAATTCGATGCTGTCACCCGCCTTGGTGATTGGGGGCAGCACCTTGAGCTCTCCCGAATCCGAGTCGACAGTGACATTCATGAAACAATTGAACGCGCAAGGTATGCGGTCGGATGAGATGCCGAATTGCTCAATGGCTCCAGCAATGTTGCCGAAGCATCCTTGGTGTGGCTCCTTGTCACCATAGATAATGCGGAAGGTGTCTTTTGAGCATGGCGTTAACAGAAAATCGTGCTTGCCAGGAGAGTTGTCGGCGACTATTTTGAGCATGACATTACTGCGGTTTGAGTACAGCGGATCGCCGGTGGTGAGGTAGATTCGACTCGCGTAGTCGAGTGTCCTGCCGTTGCTGATGACTTCGTCTGGATCATGACGGTTGAAGGCAACGAGGTCAGAGACTTGTACACCTTTAGGATCAATCACCGTCAGGCGTTGTCCCTTGTTCAAGGTGAAGGCAGTGCCGGTGCGAATGGGAATTTCGACGGTCTCAGGCATGTTGATGTTTTGGTATAGGCGTGTTTGCGAGATCAGGGTGTTGCTGTGCAAATCAGGAATTTGTATTTCTGGAAGAAAGTAGACGAAGCATGATGCATGATGCATCTCATCAACGTGTGCCAATTATTGATCCCACGAACCCCAGACACGTCATTCCGCGTTGTTCTAACGTGCCTGACAATCAGAGATCTAAACATGGCAGTTGGATCAGATGCGGCTGAGACTCGAGAGGTGGTTGGCTCGGTATGTCGGGTGGAGTTGAGCCTCCCCGCCTATTCCCCAAACATCGATTTCTGTTACGTTAAACAAAGCCTCGTGAGCGTTTAGCCAAGCTGGATGAGGAATCGCGTGGTTCTCATGACATCAGGATCTTTGTTTGCGACACCAAAGAAATGTCATACATAACAATACCTGTACTCGTCATGATTTCGTGTGTAGTGCGTCGAGTCTCAATAAAATGTTCTTGCGTGCTGCCAGCTACGTTGTCACTGGTACGTTCTCAATATGCAGCTTGCTCTCAGTATCATCTTCTTCTTTCTCGGCTTTGGTCTAGCCACAATTGTTGCATTGAGGCCACAAAAAGCAAGGAAAGATCTCGACAACTTTACCTCTCAACTTCGCCATGTTACCAATGGGTTGAAGGGACAGGGGTCGCATCCTGGCGACATGGAACAATCAGAGTCTGCAGAGGAGATCATCAAAAGGGGTGCAGACAACCTGTTGACCAAGTAAGATCCTTCAATGCCAATTGCTCGAAGTGCGGGGCTGACAATTCATCAGGNNGAGCAATTGGAGGAGAAGTTCGACATGAACGCATGGCAACGCCTGGTCTATGAAGAGTTCAAGACCACCATCCTCGCGAAAGGCAGTGGACTCAAGACATTCCCTTGCGTCTATGCGACCATGGGCTACCGCGCCGGAGACCATCGCTACGTCTTCCTGGAGTCAGACGATCCATCAGAACCAAGAAACGTACGAATCATTGCACCTGCCCTGAGGGCATATCTGCAGGTCTCAAGATCCCTCGGACCGAATACCAGCCTGGTCATTATGGGTGCACCTACCGAAGGCTCATTGAAGACTGTCGAGCAATACAACAACGAATTCTTTGATATGCTGCGTGGATTGAGAATCTGGGACTCAAAACCATGGCCGAAGGATATTCCCCAAGAGACGATGAACGAGAAGTGGACATTCTGTTTCGATGGCATTCCTCTTTTCCCTGTCGCGTTGACACCCGCACATCAACGAAGATGGTCCAGACATGCTCCTGTACCTTTGGTCGCTTTGCAGCCGAAGTGGGTCCTCGACAACCTCATGAGCACACCGGAAAAGCGCAAGTCGGCCACAGGCAAGGTCCGAAAGTTGTTGGCAGAGTACGACCAGATCGATATCAGTCCCGACTTGACACAGTATGGTGAGGAAGGAACCTCCGAGATCCATCAGTTGTGTTTGAAAGATGAGAATGAGACGATGGACTGTCCGTTTGACGATTTCGACAAAGGAGGAGGCAGGTCCTCATCTTCCTCGTCACGTCGTTCATCCATGGAAGAGACAGCAACATAATATAGCATCGCCATACACTAATATTGTTTCATCCAAGCTCTTGAGTATCCTTTGGGCCGTCTTATGATAGCACACGTGCGTGCGAAGCTTGTTTGAAGGGTCTTTGTCGTTTAAGGCTCTCATGAACAATGTGAACTGGATGTTGTCCATGCCGCAGGAAGGCACAAAGCCGATGCGTAGCAGTCGTTCACTATTTGATCCTCACGATCCTTACATGTAATGGTGATGGAAATGTGAGACAGTGATACAGCGCCATGTCAGTATGATGAGAATGTGTAGTAGGGATGATGTTGGAAAGTCTTTGATGCATGAACGAGCTGGATAGCTTGGCTATGTCCCAGCTTGTCTTGCGTGCAATAGTCGTGAGAACTCGACGCGTCTGGTGAAGCCCTAACAGATGCCACATCTAGGTACTTTATGATTTTATCTGAACGGCTGCTAGGAAAAATTCGAAGATGAGGTCCCAGTGTCAACAAAGATCCCATTCTGCTTATGAATGACCCGCTTCGGTATTGATCGTGCCGCGCCTTGAGATGTGCTTGTCTTTGACTTTGATAAGTCCGTGCGTTAGACGCACAGTTTGATAATTCACGGAATTCGAACAGATTTCCAAGCCTTCACTCTTGACCGTTCCATTTCAGTTCCAGTATCTACTTGTACTCTAGCAGGGTACAAGCGGCTACGCGGCCATCTGTCAGCATCTCTTATCATCCTTGACTCGCGCAGAGTGTTGTCGCAGCCAGTGTCGTCAATATGTCGTCTGGAAGCTTTGGTATGGCTTCTACAAAGCCCCGAACGCCATTTTCAGCTAAACTACATGATTTTGGACACTGAGGAGCTCTAACATCGACGGAGATGTGGCCGAGTGGTTATGGCGCCAGATTCAAGCGATCAAAAGCTTCTCAGTAATATGAGTCTCCTGGTAACGTAAGTTGCGCGGGTTCGAATCCCGCCGTCTTCATCATACTTTTGCTCTTTTGCGCTCTGCCGATAAGAGAAAACCACGTAGGCCTCGCAACGGAAAACGACACCTTCAATGCTGTATCGTGTGTCAAGTTTTGGGTGTGGTGGACGCAATAACGTAGGACAAGGTGAAGCCTCGATTTTTCAGGCTTCAGAGGACTGATGCATTATCACCACGGGCGTCGGATTGACAGACAGTCATGTGATATGAGAGTGTCGACAACGTCAGTGACTGCAAGTCCGGACAGCTTTACTGGCGATGAACATATTGTATGATCTGGCTGCGCAGCTCAGATATGCAGCACGAGAGGTGAAGAGAAGGACCACAGGTTTACGAACTACATGGCGCCTTGCGAATTGATTGTAGACAAAGAACAATACTGGTTTCCCCGACATAACAGAGCTGATATGTCCAAGGAATGTTTCCTGGGATTTTCCAATTTCACGCCTCTGCCACAAACCTGCGAATCATCACCAAGGATCAAGATCAGAACCATACTCCTAATTCCAGTTTCGAGCATCACGAGACTTCTGCCGTCCTTCGGTATATGCTTCCCCTTTGGATGTCCCTTTGTCAAAACCCCATTTGCTATCCCTCTCGGAAATCTGCCTGATGAACAAAGACATGTCAGTCCACCCCTTGCTTCTGGCGGCTCACACTAGGCACCATGTCTTTGTCTAGAGCTAGCTCCTCCCAATTCCTTGCCGCCATACCGACGCCGAGTTCCAAGTCCGGCCATTTCGGCATGCCGACTTTGTTTCTCGGAGGTCGAGAACACTATCAAAGAAATGTTCCGGGACATCTGGCATAAACAGGACCCCTGCACGAGTATCAGACTCTACCCACCGTCTTCGTAATCACTCGCTGCCAGAAGATATCATGCAGTTCAAGAACGCTGTTGCCGCGCTGGCTCTCGCCGGTGTTGGTGGTGTCGACGCCTTTTTCCGTCTCAACTGCGCTAAGGTTCAAGTTGGACGTATTGATCCTATTGTCAATCCAGGTGCCTTAGCAGCACATTGTCACACCATTGTTGGTGGTTCAAGTGAGTTTCTCTCATCTAATCTTCTGCGCATGACTGACCACATTCGCCAGNATATCGGTGTCAACGCAACTTTTGATAGTCTGTTCAACTCGGAATGTACTTCTTGCGAGGTTTCGGCGGACAAGTCTGCTTACTGGACACCAAACTTGTACTACCAGCATACCAACGGCTCCTTTGAGGAGGTTCCTCACAGTGGAAGTGTCGTCTACTATCTGGGTCGTACTCAGGCTGCCGACAACATTATCGCATTCCCTAAAGGATTCCAGATGCTGTCTGGTAACAAATCCCTGAGAGCTGCCAACCAATCAGGCATGACTTGGGGTAATGCCTCGTACCCCAATAGACCAAACTCTGATGCTATCAGTTTTGCATGTCTCGCCGCGACAGGTCTTCCAGAGACGGGTGGCTTACCTGCTGATCCTCGCGTTTGTATCAGTGGTCTTCGCGCTCAAGTCCACTTCCAGACTTGCTGGAATGGTAAGGACTTGTACAAAGCCGACAACAGCCATGTTGCACATCTGTCGCAGATCGATAACGGAGTCTGTCCTCCGACTCATCCTTTCATGTTCCCTCATCTGTTCCTTGAGACCAACTACGCAGTCAATCAAGTTTCCAACCTGAACGACGGCGGTCGCTTCGTCTTTTCTCAGGGTGATACCACTGGATATGGCTTCCACGGTGATTTCCAGAATGCTTGGAACGATACCGTGCTGAAGAGTGCCATTAGCAACTGTCTGGTTGACGGTTTTGACGACTCTGGTACACTCGATGACTGCCCTGTGCTCCACCCTTTCTGGAACCCGAACTTTTCTGACAACTGCCCCATGCAGCCTCCTCAGGTCAGCGAGCGTGTTGAAGGTATGCTCGACAAGCTTCCTGGTTGCGTTCGCGTCACTACCGGCCCTGGAGCCGCCACAGCCGCTGATATGGAGTGTCCCGCTGGTGCCCCTCAAGCCAGTATTGCCAGGACTGTTGATTCCACTCCAGCGCCCACATTCACACCTACCGCTGGCACACTCTTCGGCAACAGATACAACAAGATTGTTGGCTGTGGCAATGATTCGTACGTCAACAATGGCTTCAGAAGTCTGAACGCGGACTACACGACCTTCCCAGGCATGACTGTCGAGTACTGTCAAACCTACTGCACCAAGCATGGGTACCCCTACTCGGGCGTAGAGAACGGAGATCAATGTTATTGCGATCTTATCATCAATCCATCAACCATCATCAAGGATCAGACAAACTTCATGAGTGGCTGCAATATCGCGTGTCCCGGCAACCGCTCCGAGCTCTGCGGCGGAGCCTTCTACATGATGATCTACAACAACACCGATGCAAAGTTCAAGCGTACAACCAACTTGGCCAACTCAGTCATCCAGATTACTTACCCTGTGGATCCCTTCAACTCCACATACGTAGGTTGTGCAAGCGAAGGCACCAGTGGACGCGCACTCAACGGCAGCTCCATAGTCAACGCAAACATGACTCTCTCGCAATGCGCCGGTCTCGCCGCCAGCAACAACGCCGCCTTCTACGGTCTTGAGAACAATGACGAGTGTTACGTTGGTAACGGTCTAGCCGCTGGTGGCAAGCTTGTCGACACCACTACCGACTTCACACAGTCTGCATGCTCCGGACGCTGCGCAGGCAATTTCTCACAGATCTGTGGCGGAAGAGGGCTGTTGAGTGTATACAGCAACCCTTCGTACAAGCCCGTGCAGGTCGTGCCCAGCGTAGGCAAATACCAGAGCAAAGGATGTTTGAAGGAACCCACCAGTGGAGGCCGAGCCCTCACCGGAGCTAGTACTACCGATCCTCTGATGACGGTGGAGAAGTGTATCAAGTTTTGCTTGGGCAAGCGCTACAAGTATGCCGGGTAAGTTTCTTGTCCCTTCTTCACATTTACACTTTTTCCATGTCTCTGATTTGCTGACTTCGGAACAGTANTCGAATATGGCCAACAATGCTACTGTGGCTCAAGTATTTCTCAAGGCGCTGTTGCGACAAAGTGCGATAATCCATCCCTCATGGTGTGTCCTGGCAACAACCAGCAATTCTGTGGCGCTGGCAGTTTGCTCAACCTCTACTACTCTTCGACATAGTTGAGCCGACCGACGAAAAACATATTCATAATCTGCTTTCTTTGATTTTCTTCTTTTGTTTGTTTATTTTCGTCTAAGTATGAGATTGGCAGGGTGTCGATGGCACAAACAGGTCTGATCAAGTTGTTGTCTATTTCGTATCGTGCTTCTTTTGTTTACATAATTGAACGGCCGAAATATATAAGATATATAACATTGTTATCAATATATAATCTATCAATCTTGCATGTCATCAATGCACTTTATTTTCGGATTTTCTAGAGATGCCTATTCACTTGTATCTAATCACCTCAGTCGCAAGAATGGCATAGCAGCTCTTTGTTCTATACGGTAAAGGGAGATCAGACACAAGGACGTTTAAGCAATGAACAGTCTTCTATATGGTAAAGGGCTGTACAGAAACACTCCATCGCAGCAGCCTTTCTTCTCCTAAGATATAATACCATACAGTCAAAAAAAGATGAGAGAGATATTCGTACTCGAGGCATTCCACCCCTACAAAAGCTAAGAGACAAGAAAAAGTGCAAAAGAAGGGATCTGTCCAGAGGAATTATTTAATGCCGATTGCCTGAATCGAACAAGCGATCTTCGCATTACAAGTGCGACGCGTTACCCCTGCGCCAAACCGGCAGTTAATCAGAGGACAGATGTGTTGACCGAGATCTGGTCTGTACATATAACCTGAGCTTCATGGGCGACAGATTCCAACACAACGCGACAGCCTATCGTATGCACGCTGTGTTCTTACTTATATGGCTGTGTCGAGTAATGCACTGTGTCGCTGGGCGTCGTAGCGATTTGCCCACTTGCGCTGTGATTGAGTCGCACGTGGGTGGTTCGAGTCCGCTGCAACCCAGAGAGAGAGAGGACCGAAGAGCAGATAGTGGAGCACAAAGAAAGGCAACAGAGGAGAGAACCCCAAATGTTAGAACAAAGACAAAAATGAAAACTCAGCACGCAATGCAGAAAGATATTATCAATCTATGCACAGCACAAAGCCCGCCAAGCTTTATTATGCACCCATGCTTCACGCACAATTCCAAGGCTTCACACAGCCAAATTTTTCACCAGAACCAAAACTCTTCTCTCTCACCTCCACCACCTTTCTACAGCAAAATAACATGCATACTATGAGCAAAAGAGATAGTGACGAGAGTGGGATTTGAACCCACGCCCTTTCGGACCAGCGTATTGGATTGAACCTTAAGCTGGCGCCTTAGACCGCTCGGCCATCTCGCCTTTTCATGATTGCTCGTTTGACAAACTGATATATGTTTCAACGCCGAGCACTGTTGTCGGGCGGTGTAACGGCGAGAAGACGGTCGAGAGAGGTACAAGAGGGTAAAGGAATCGTGAAGCCTCGTCGTGGAAGCCGACATATAGGTATGTGCTCGATTAAAGAATGTGGCTGAGAGTAATCTTGCGATTGCTGAGCTCTGGACGAGATTGTGGTCGTTGGTTGGGAATATGTAGCTCTAACAAAGTGTCATGCGAGCCAGGAGTCGGCAAGTGGACAAACGGTATGGTCGATGAGGCCAAGCGGTAACATCTTCAACCGGGACAGAGGCGGCGAGTAAGTTGTCCAAATGGAGTAGCTCGCCAGGGTCTTGTCAACAAGAGAGTATTCGAAGGGAAGCAGAGAGGACAAGAGGCGATAGGTAAGCACAGACCTCCATCCTGGCTGGTGGTACAACCCTGATTGAATATTTCATGGCGCCGGCGACGAGCAACGCAAAGCCTTGATAGAAGGCCTTGGTTGTAGATGTACTTTTGTGGTGCCCTTGAGTTGTTATGTGGGTGAATGGGTGTTAGGAGGTCGCGTAGAGTCTGATAGGTGGTTTTTGAATAACTGATATATCTATCTTCTGAAGTCAGGCCTAGAACAACCAGTCTTAGCCCGAATGTCGGCTCTACCGTATGGTTGTTTTGTCGTTGATGTTGCTGAATATAAGTATGGTCGATTGGTCTGGAAGAACGATTGCCGAATATCTATTCTGATCAGACTAGGGGTCAGTAGGATGATTGAATGGCAGACAGAATCGTTTGTAGAGCATGTGCGTTGATGGTTGTTGCCCTCCAGACCCCGCATCAGTGACGCGTCTCTTGCACTTTCCACCTTCAGAGCGACATTCACGCATTCGACCTCGCATCGCATTTGTACATATTATACATCGGCAAGCATGAAGATTATCGTCACAGGATGCACAGGTCTAGTCGGCTCTGAGGTGGTTCGCTCAGCCATCAGACACCAATTCATCACACACGTCTACGCCGTTACCCGCAAACCCCTCGACCCCAAGATTGCAAACAACCCAAAGGTCACCCAGATCATTCACGAGGACTTTGAGCAATGGCCCGACCACTTGCTGAGGTTGTTTGAGCATGAAGGTGTCAGAGGCTGTATCTGGTAAGTCTCGTTGCACACCTCCAACAAGTACAAGACAAGACAGGACAGGACAGATGAGCTAACCACTCCACCAACACAGGNNTGCATCGGCGGCTGGGTCAACAACTTCCCTTCTCTAGAAGAAGCCCAACGCATCAACATCGCTCTCCCTCAAACCGCTGCCGAAACCTTTTCCTCCTCTCTCGCTCCCTCTTCCGCCGAAATCTCCCAGTCCAAAGACAAACGCGGCATCGCCTTCCGCTTCATCTACATGTCCTGCCACGGCGCAGAGCAAAACCCCTTCGCCTCTCTCTGGTGGAGCGCCGACAGCAGAAAGATGAAAGGAGCCGCCGAAAAAGGCCTTTTCGAGCTGGCCGATTCACGCACACCAGGCAGTTTCGAGTGCTATAGTTTGAGACTGGGAAAGGTGCTTGCTGGTGGCCAGAGTGTGTATAACTTGGTGACGATGGGTAGTAGCCAGAGTATCGCTGATACTTTGGTGGCGAGGTGTGCTATCAATACTGTGCTTGATGGCCGCACCAAGGAAGAAGGAGGTAGGATTTTGGAGAATGTCGATTGTTTGGGTGATGATTGGGCTACAATCAACACTTTGGCTATCGAATAAAAGAGGATTCATGAAAGGAAATACACGCATTTTACGAAAGGCAAGAAGGTCAGGGGATGGGTTTGTGGTTTACGGCATTGTTTCTTTGGAGTTCTGGCATGGCATTTTGTTTCCTCTGTTTCCTCTTTCTCCTATAAATCTTCGCCGTTGTGCTGTCGTTCCCTCGCAGTCTCGTTTGGCAACTGCAACTCTCGTTCTCGCCGCTTCTTTCCTCTTCGTCCCAATGCCCATGCTTCTTTCTCTCTTCGTTCCAAGAGCAAAGATCCATCCGTCCTTTCTTTCTTGTAGAGGCCATCAAACCTCTTCATCCACATCTCCATCCTCCTGCTCCTGCTTCACAACAACCTTCTGCTTCTTAGCTGGACCTTCTTCATCTGCCTCATCCTCTGCACCTCCCTCTGCAGCCTCGCCATCTTCTTCTTCTTCGCTGTCGTCATGATCGCGAGTTCTCTTATTGCTTTTCTTGGTGTTCTTGCCTTTTGCTGCAGCGCTGGCTCTGGGTTTCTTGACTCCGGTTGGCTTTTTTGGCGGTGGTTGTGGCAGAGGAGGACGAAGAGAGTTTTTGATTTGGTCTTTGACGGCGCGGAGGGTGGGTGCTTCGCCTAGGGTGGTGGTTGCTATTTTCGGTTTTGGTTGTTAGTGAACTGTTGCCTGGATGAGTAGAAGCAAACAAAAAACAAGGAGGTAAGTTCATCAACTAGAGAAACACGGCGGGAGAAAAAGAACAGAAAAGCAAAACAGAGAAGGAAAAGAGTAGGTAAGAAAAGAAAGAGAAAACACAACACTTACGCCATCCAGCAATAACACTCTCAGCGATCTCGTTGGTGATGGATGTGTTCAGTGCGCCCAGTGCGGCTCCCAGAATGTAGACATTCTTGTCGTTCTCCCACTTTACCATTTTGGCGCGGTAAGGAGGTTTGCTGTATTGTGATTGAGAGGTGGGTCAAGGGGTGAAGAGAAGTGGTTGCGTGGTGGAGAGAAGGTTTGGACTTTTGTGTGGTTGTTGACAAAGGTGAATGTGAGACGCGAGAGACCTGGAAAAGGTGTGTAGGAGTGAAGGGTTGTATTTGGGATGGGTTGGCGATTCTGGATACAGAGGTGAAAGTTGGAGAGTTGGAGAGTTGATTATGGATGATGGCACGTGAAGTGATTGTGTGTGGTTGTACGGTGATGTGTTCGTGTTGTGTGTGTTCTGTGAAGAGTTCCAGGGGAGATGATATAGGTTAAGAATGTTCCGATCGAGTGAGATAGAGTGATATTAAGCACTCTTCTTATCACGTCGCGAGTAGTAGTCAACGTGAAGAAGGATTCCAGAGTAAGCAAGAGGACAAGTGAACAACAGTGCACACTTATATAGCAGACAAGCATGTATGCACTTTTCGAAACAGATCACAGACCTTTTGGGTCCAGACCGCTAAGGAGTCCTACGTCCATCTCTCCCTGAATATACACAACTTGATCAAGTCGCAAATCGTTAGTTAGGATAGAAATCATACTAACAGTTTTGCCTCTTCAATGCTCCTAAATCATGATCCAGTCTGTCATTCTCTTCGAACGCCCTCCATTACGTGAAGAGTATAAAGTCTCTCCTTCTTCAAAAGAGGCAGAGGTAAATACCAAACACAGAAAAGATACAACGCACCTCTACACAAAAAGCCATCAAGACTTGTCAGATTTTGACGCATACCACATCGTCAATCAAGTTCAAAAACTCCATCTCTACGCTTTGAGCAAAAGCTCGAGATGCTTGTCAACTTTGAACGTGAAAGATACGTACCCAATATAGGAAGGTCTTTTATATTTCTTGGCAAGAGCGCTTATCATTTAGCATGTCTAGGGATGTAGATAACAGAAGAGGTCTGTATCCATCATCCCACCTCTGTTCCTTTTCTCTCCTCCTATTTGCCTTTTTGTGTATACCTGACTCTTTTCTCCGCAGACTTGGTGCGCGTCCCAACAAGATGTCTCTGCCTACGAATACACAGCTTGACCACAACTACGATCGTTCAGGCCCACTTGTACCTCTCTTCCCTCCTCCACTTCTCCAACCCCTCACTTACACACGCCTGTCCACAAAAGACAGATCCCAGAATCGAAATCACAGTAGTCGACGCAAAACACCAAGCACGGCTTTTGTTTGCTGTGAAATCGCGCTATCCGTCTCTACACCAAATGATCGAGTATCTGTCTGCAAAGGTTGTTGATGATGTTGTGGTTAGTATGGAGGCGACGAAACGCGACAATGGATATCAGTTCTTGTATGTGATCAATGGGAGTAGTGGTGATGAGGCGAGGATGTTTTTTTATGGGCATGTTTGAGGAGGAGTGGGTTTGTCGATTTGATTGGCATGAGTTTTGGAAGTAAAGAGTTGTAATATACTCAGTAGGGGATGTGGGAGATGCAAGTTCAAGAATGGAAAGATTCTTCAGCAGAGTGGATTGGATGTTTGCTTGATACGAGAAACCCCTCTTTTTCTTCTTCTGCTATGTCTTTGTCTCTTGCGTGAAAGATACCCTTGACTCCAGCAAAGACTTGTCTTTAACAATGTTGGATAAGATGGAATCAATCCAAGTATTAGTGTATTAGATATACTTTGATCCCGTTATCACCTCCCTTCCATCCTACTTCATAACCCACTTCTCGTCTTTCGCCCTGGCACTTTTCGCTGTCTGCGTCTCATGCAACGGTACTCTCCCTTTTGATTTCCTTGCTGACCAACACTCCCCGATCATCTCCATCACTGATCTGGCGCCGGTGCGAGAAGACTGGTAATTGGTAGTTTGCGCCTGGGTGCTCGAGTCGGCGTCTAGGGTCGAAGCGGCGAAGAAACGCTGTCAGAGGACGTTTAGGCGAGGAAGGAGGAACTGCATCGTTGAAGCGAGAGACAATAGGCGATGTCGAGACTCTAGAGCACGTAGCTTGAGAACTANNTCACTCATGGAAAATCAGTTACTCGACCACGTGGATGCAGAAACAAAAGAGAAACTCTTACCTTTCCGTCTTGATCCACGAACCATTCTTTCTCAAAGGCACTCTGCTGTTATCAGTGGATGCCTCTCCCCTCCTCGACCCCTCTCCACTCTTTGCCTCCAAAACTGGAAACACCCTTCCCAACCCTACTTTAAGCAACCACTCTCTATACATATTCTTGGCATCTTCCCCCAACCCAAAAAACAAAAACACCAAAAAGCCACACGCGAGGTTTAGCCAACGATCATAAAGAACAGAAGAAGGCATCACAATTGACGAATTCCACGTCGTGGGGTTGTGGACGGTGGAAAAATTGAAAGGAAGGGTTTGGTGTGGGTATTGGGTGACGATGATGTAGATTTGCACGGGAGTGATGCCGAGGATGAGGATTGAAGAGACGGCGAAGAGGCGAAAGAAGCGGCTGCGTGTTGTGTTGCTGCTGGCGAGGATGCTGTCGAAGGAGGAGCGGTATTTGTGGAGACGGATGATGACGATGGCTGTGGAAGATTGTGTGTCAGAGAATGATTGTGGAAGAGAAAGACAAATAGACTTACTTGCGTAGTATACAGCCACAGCATTAGTTATCATGGGCGCTAGCCAGATGAGAACGAAACTGATCTGGCTGTTGTAGCTCATCAACTGACAGCCAGACACTCCAATCAGTGCAAAGCGATTCGGCTGTACAATGTACTGGAGAATCATAGTCAGAAGTGGCAGACCGACACACCAAGCCAGCTCAACAGCCGTATTCCTTCTCTTCTGTGCCTTGGAAGGGCCCAGCAAAGCTTTGTCGGTATCCAATACGGAAGCAAGAGCTCGCAACAGACACAAAGCTGCAGCATCAAGTCCAGTGATACGACCACCCAACAGCTTGACCTCGACATCGCAGAGACCTTGACCATCATACATGTCACGCATGTCGATGTATGGCCAGATGATGACATTGATGACGCTGATAAAATTCATCAGCATGATCCAAAAGACCATAAACACAGCTGCTGCATTGCGGTTGCGGAGATGCCATATCAACGGTGGAAAGTTGAGGATCAAGAACAACGGCGCCAAAACAGCCAGGAGTACACCTTCGGGTATGATGTGATCTTCGATGATGGTGTAGCTTGCCCCTGTTGCATCCATTGCTGTCGACTCTTTTTGAACAAATGCCGAGCAGTGTTGAAAGGAGGTTCCGTAGTATGAGAGAAAACTCAGAGAACGAGAGCGGTTAATCGAGATTCTTTGATGGATATGAAAGAAAGAAATCGGAGGGAACTCATGGTGGACGAATACTTGACCGCATGTTCTACCTTCTCAATAATCCCAATAAGCCTCAATAAGCTGAGACAGGACGAATAGACTAACTCGCTGTTGTCGCAGTGTTCTCAAAAGCTGCGAATAGCGAAACCGTATTGAGAAGCAACTTGTTGAGCGTGTGTGCTGTTTCTCATTGCTGTTGAGCTAGGGTAGGTGTCTGAGTAGGCGACTTTCCTATACTTACCGGATTGGGTGCTCAATAGGGAAAACATGACCAAAGACAAAATGCGACCTGGACGGAGTGAGAAACACTTGCAATAGGACAAATCCTTGTGTTTATCAATCAGGAAATATAGAGACCACTCTAGATAAGGTTCCAATATATCCGGGCTGGATTTAGAATAGGGTTGTGTTCTGGTTGCAAGACGCGTTGAGGGTGAAGTCGCTCGGAGGTTGCCCAAGAGAACAGATCCTCTTCCTCAAGCGATTGTATCTCCAGGCGTGTCGTTTCTGGAGCACTGCTCTGTAGCGACACGGGCAGCGAGGTTCGACTTGTCAACACGGGAGATGACGCGAACTGCTGACTGAAGGAGAACAATTGCATCCGAAGGTTGTTGGCGTTGGGGAACTTCATGTAGTAGCCCTACCTCAGACAGACAAGTACACTCATGACTGCCCACCCGAAGAGAGAACCCCTTGTGGCTGACGATATTATGTTGCATGACTACACAAGAAGAAGCCTCTCCACCAGATGGTAGCGTCTTTTGGCGATAAAAGCGTGTTCCATAGGCCTAAATCTGTCAAAGTCTCCGTAGTTGCCATCATAATGGATCATAGGGAAATTCACGAGCCCGAGCTTGGCAATCTCATCCAGGTCTTTGCAGTTGCATAACCAGAGCTTGTGAAAGATGAAGTGTGTAAGGGAATGACTTTTAAGCGCATTCTCCACTAGGTACTGAATAGAGAGACCGAAAGTGACCTCACGTGAAGACGCAGGAAGTCTGTCAGTATTGGACGTGTTTGGACTTGTCGATGCGAAAGCTTGTCGGACTGCAGCGACCAGATCAGCTCACTAGATCTTGCATGCCTGGCAAATATGTGCTTACCTTTGTGCAGGAATCTTGAGATGACCGCCATGCATTCTAAGAAATGCCAATAAATGATGGTAAAGTATGAGAATCGGAGAAAAGGCTTAGCCTTGGTCTCGACGAGAACCTTGGTGTCATGAGCAAGGCTTTTGGCGGTGCATCGAGGACATAGGCAAGAAGGAACTGGTCCCCCATTCATTTTACAGCTAGGACGATGTCTGTGTCTGGCACCGGCGCCAACGCCAGTATTATTTGGACGAGGAAGATGATGCATGATGGAGAATAAACACGAGATCAAAGACTGATTGGAAGCTGCCACATGGATATGCTTCACCTACCTTTATGCGCGCCATTGACTGGCGAGCGCGATAGCATTGCATTGTCTACCTGTCTCGTTCGTGTCTCTGATTAACGAGACAAACAGAGTGAGAACAACAAGTGCATATCTGTCGTAGACCAGCGATAGTCTTGGAGGAAAGCATTGTGGCATTAGAGACAGGTATGCATACCATCAAATCAAAGGCATTCAGGCGGTTAGACGAATTCAGGATCGTCAGGCAGCGTGGCAGATGTAAGGTTGAGACATGGTCAGACGCGTGCATCCAGCTTGTGCGACGACAAGGATAGATCGACTGGTGGATGACGTGAATTTGACCGTGATAGGCGAGATGATCATTCAGAGCAGCATGTTGATGTCGTCGTTGATGGATGGCCTTGATTGTCGGTCATCGGGTTCCTGAAATCAGGGCCGGCATTGCGACGACGGAGGCGCACATGACATGGACGACGCAAGCTGTGGCAACGAATCGGGAATTTTGGCATGCGCCCATGCATGCACAACGAGCGTCATGGCTGGCAAGAGGTTGTTTCAGCTTGATAATCAGGCCGGGCGACGACAGGACGTTTCCTGCAGCAGACGTCGCATGGGGGCTGTGAATGCTGCGACGTGTTGATCAAGGCCATCTTCGTTGCAATCAATTGGTACATGGTTGATATCTGATCGAAGGTGCAGGGTGACGGCCGGTGATGAAGGTGTTACTTTTCTTAGCTCTAAATTGCCACCGGAAGCAGAGTGGAACAAGCAAAGCGCTTGGCAGGTCAAGAACGTTTGAGTTTTGCGGCGAGATGGCAACGGGTCTCCGCTTTGATCTGGAGGGGTTTGGTTCGGAGGTGCAAAATGGTGAAAAATCTTGAATGGTGTCGCTGACAGAAGCCAATAGGTAGTTATAGCGCGTCATGTAGACAGACAAAGGCAGCGGAGGTAGTACCGAGTAAGCAAGAGGTGCAGGCAGATTGTGAAAAAGTGGCATAGGACGGCATGTTGTTTTGTCCGTAGGAGCAAGCCGCAAACATTCAAAGACCCTGTTCAATATGGGCGAGAGTCAGTGATTTGAGAAGGAGCCAGCCACGCTTCCATGCCAACAAGGACAACAAGAACAACAAGAGCATTCTGAATAGGCAGACATCTTATCACAAATACAAGAATCGGAAACAGTTATAGGCGTTGAATCCAGGGAGACAGGCTTCCAGAAGACGACTCCTTCTGTGACGGTTTTGTCGTCTGTGTTGACACGCGGTTCCCCTTTGCAAGAGCTTCTTGTTGACCGCAATCTCGCTCTCCCGCTTTCGACCCATCCACATCCACATCTTGAACCTGCACCTGCACTCCGACACTCAACTACCCATTTCACTCTACTCTCTCACCACTCACCCTCCGCACAACGCACAGCCGGCTGTCCAACCCCCTCCTGGCCGACTGCACTCTACGAAATCTACGCGGCCTCGTTCAAGATTTCTAACCACCCGCCTGCCGCAGCGCGCAACAACGACGACAAAGCTCCTGATATCCTCTGTCTCCGCCCAACATGGCGTCTGGGTAAGCGCAGTCTGCTCATGTCTCTTGCTCGCCGCCGAAGCCTTGCCAACGACATGCATCTCCCTGACTGACCTGGCTAATTCCTTGTTCGCAGCATTACCGGAGTATGGCGCTCCTTTTGGCACACCATGACGTCCAATGACCGACATGCCTCACCCGACATGCCCTACCGCACCGGCGCTCACACTCCGCTCGCTCAAAGTCGGCACGCTCCCCTGACTTCGGTCGCTACCGCCGCCGAATCTCGCACCGATCTCAACAACCCCTACGCTCAAGACAATGACTTTATGCCTGCCAATGGCCGCATGTCGCCCAACGGTCCCTACTCGCCTGGTCTCCGCTCTACAATGCAGCGCCAGTCCAGCTCAGGGAACCTCGAGGGCGTCGGTCAAGGCGAGATCCAAATGCAGAGTTTCTCCGAAGGTCTCCCTCCTCCGCCGCCTGTTGGTCACTCATGGAGACGTATCGATCAATGGGCCGAGCACAATCACGAAGAATTGTTCGAAAACTTGTGTGAAGGCTGCACTCAGAACGATGTTAACGAACTCGAGCACGAGCTTGACTGCACACTGCCCATGGAGATGCGCGAGTCGTTGATGATCCACGACGGTCAAGAGCGTGGCGGCAGACCCACCGGTATTCTCTTTGGCTGCATGCTGCTTGACTGCGAGGAAATTGTCCAAGAGTGGAAACAGTGGGCTCGCATTGGCGACGAATACCTCCGCGCTTCATCTGCTCCCCTTGCTACTCCTCAGATTCCCAACAAAGCTTTCGCCGGTTCATCTACTCAACCCTCAGCTCCTCAATCCACTTCGGGCGCTGGCTGGCGTTCTGAGCTCATGTCAAAACAGGACTCTCACCCACCAAACGCCGTGCAAAAAGCATACGTTCACCCCGGATGGATTCCCGTTGCAAGAGATTGGGGCGGTAACAACATTTGCATCGATCTGGCCCCTGGTCCCGCTGGAAAGTGGGGTCAAGTCATTCTGGCTGGTCGCGACTACGACTGCAAATATGTTGTCGCTCGTTCGTGGTCCGCCTTCTTGGCCAGCGTCGCCGACGACTTGAGCACTCCCAAAGCCATCGTCGACGATGAGACTGGTGAGCTCACCCTTCGCGAATTCAAGAACCAAAATGTCGATCCTTCGTACATGGACATCCTGCGCTGGCGCACCGATCAAAAGTACGGTCGTCGCATTCCCAAAGGCGCCCGCCCTCAACAGCCCCTCCGCATCAACAGTAACGTCAAGAACGAGTTCAGCAGTCTCAACGGCTTCTCTCCTTATGCCTCTCCCACTGGTAGCGACCGCGGCCGCAGTCCTCAGCGCTTCTCCAGCAACGGCAAGGCTCCTGCAAACCAGAGTCCTCGCGGCCACGTGAGCAGCCCTCTGNCTCGTGTCGCTGAAGAGACTGGTCCCACACTCAAGACCGACAACCTCGATGCCGTACTAGACACATCCAAGAGCAACGACAACTTGCTAAACATGGATTCGCCGCTTCCACCCACCGTCGAGACCTTCGCCGACCAAGACCGCAAGGATGAAAAGGAAAAAGCCGACTCGGCCATCACATCATCAGAAGAAGCGACAAAGGGTGGTGCCCCCACAGTCGACACTGAAGAAATGAAGACGGTTGAGATCTAGACTATCTCCACAACCACATGAAAAGGAGGAACGCGAGCACAACGTCCAACATTTCAATGCAGAAGAAAAGGGACACAATCAGTCCTCTTTCAGGCAGGCCCGGACTGGTCGTCCCACTTGTACCTTTTAGACACTCTATTTTCTGTTTTCTAGCTCTTCTTGGTTTGCGACAGGGATCGGGGATCATTAGGATTTTATCACATCCGACAGAGCGAGGCCTCACATTTTTCAGCTTTACTATCTCTGTTCATTTTTCGTTTTTTCTTTTCTTTTTCTTTTTCTCGTTCCCTGGGCAAGGAGACAAGAGAAGGTCTACGGCGTTCTTCCTGGTGTAATTCTTTTGTTTCTTGCCAGCCCCTAGCAATTCAGCAGAGAAGCAGCATGAGTAGTTTTATTTGTTTCTCGGACAGTAGAAGACGTCCCGACGATTGAGACACAAATACCAACGCCAAAAATTTGATATTACATACCTATGCTTTCCCCTTTCTACATGATTGTTTCTTCCTCTTCTTTTCTCTAATGCTAATTCCTTCTCCGATGCGAGGACATTCTTTCTGGCAAAAAAAAAAACACATAACAACCCAACATGAGAAGGAAGTCTGATGATCAGAAAAGATGCAAGACACGCATACAAGGCAAAAGTTCAGGCAATCAGTTTCAAGCAAACAGAGCACAATGGCCTTTGGAGAAGACCCAGCATCATCAAATTCCTCAGTCCAACCTAGCCCAAAACCCACAAATCTCGTCTAAACTCCGTGCGTTTTCTGGTATCCACGTTTTCGGTTCTCTCTTTTCGAGAATTATCCAGTCTTTTTTTGGCGGGCTCGTGGCAGCCTGGCTATTAGTAGAACGCATCTGACTTGCCTGAGCGCCTGAGGTCTGTGGTTCATATCAAACATAACATGCTTGTTATTCCATATTTCCCGCTTTGGGGGTTTGCTTATTGTGTTTGCAGCCTCAGCCAGTCTATCGCACAATCTTATGACAAAAAATCGCTACGGAACCCCCGAAAGAAAACAAGTGGTTTTGTGCTATAATAGCCAGAGTAGCACCGTTTGTTTCTGAGGTCTTTTGAGATGCCCCATGCCTCTGCCAGCTTGCACACCAGTCAAATCCCCCCAATCAGGGAGAGAGAGAGAGACTTTCTTGGGCTTTTTTGGTTTCTGGGATGTTTTTGACCCTATCTGCATACACGCTGCTGCTGCTGTTCCAAGTTGGGGGTTTCTGCTTTTGACACGCAAAAAGAAGCACAAGGGATGGGGGTTGACACGCACTGGTGTAAAATCGAAAGAAAAATGAGAAACAGTTATACGTGTTTTTTTGGTGGAAAAGGTAGTCTCTTGATATTGGTTGTGCTCTTTTACGCAACAAGAGACTTTGTAAATCTATGTACAGCGAAGGAATTGAAGGAAGAAAAAAGGTTGGTCTAAACCACCTCAAGACAGCGAATGTAAACATTAGTGAGCAAAACCAATGATCTTCAGAGCAAAGGCTCAGAAACGATATCCAGTATCGTTTTTGACCAATTTCCGTCTAAGCAATCAAATCCAAACATCCGTCAAGCACACCTTCGAGTTCCTGAACCCGACGCTCCAAACGCATCTTCTCGTCACGCATAAACATGTATACTCCAGCATCGATCTCGCAAGTGCGGCCGGGAATCCTAGCCGTGGTCGAATCTCTCGAGACAGGACGGACAACCTCCTTAATAGGCTGCATGGCAGAACTCCAGCGCTCATGATTCAAAGTGTAGTTGTTGGGATTCGGCGATGTGGGAGTCAAAGGACGCGAGCACGAATCCGCAGTATCGGCTTCACTTTCGAAACCACTGTCGCTGTGCAGGGAGCTGCCATCGCTGTGGCGGTTGCGGCGCGGTGTAAGGTCGTTTTGGCGAGCGATGCGTTCGTAGTGTTCGCGGTCTTCGTGGCGGCGTTGTTTTTCCGCTGCTAGTTCCTCGGCGAGAGCGCGATTTGTGGCTGCTTGTTCGGCGGCTTGTGCGGCCAGATTCTCGAGTTGAAGTTTGAGGTGCTGGGCGCGTGTGGAGGCTTCTTCGGTCTCTTCGGTTTGTGCTTCGCGCTCGGCACGAGCGGCTTGCAGTGCGGAGGCTTGTTCTTTGTAGGCGGTTTGCAGACGGTTGATGAGAAATTCGGCATTGTGCAGGAGCTCGTCGAAGGTGGCTGGAGTCTTGTCGGTGGGCAGGCCAACGGGGAAGAGTAATGAGGTTGCTGGGTTGAGGATATCCATGCCTACGGTACTCTCTGTCGGAGGAGTTACAGGAGCAGCCTTCGTAGAACCGAACCAGGAGAAGCTTCGCAGACCCGAAGGTTTTNNCGGTGCAGGAGCCTGGGGCTCAGGGATGCGGCCGGAACCACCGGTGAATGATGACTTGTAAGACATGATGTACTCGGATTCTTCTTCAGGCTCTGAAGGAGCAAGCGAGGAGCGACGGGGTGTAAAGATGTCGGTAAATGATGGGCCCTTGCGAGGCGGTGACCTGGATGAACCGCGTTGCTCCTCGGTGTCGACGGGGTTGAGAGCGGGTACAAAGCTGACCAGAGACCTTGCACGGGCGTGGAGTGAAGCCTTGCGTGATAGAGAGCCGACAGTTGCGACGACTCCAGGAGACTTTACGTTTTCTGAAATGGCAGACAGGACTTGCTTGCCAAAGGCGGCCGAGACGGTGCGCGACGAGTAGGATAGAGAGCCGGAGGAAGCAGGGGTATAAGTGTTGCTGTAAGAAGTATCCTCTGAGAATGCTTGGTTGTAGTTGTCGTAGTTGGTAGAGCGGACGGCGGCTGTACTGGGTCTTGCTAGGGCGACGGGCGTCTCTGGAAAGGGCGAGGGCGAGAGCGAAGGTGATGATGAGGCAGAAGAGGAAGTTGCCATGGCTTAAAGTTGTTTCCTTTTGGTCGAGGATGGCTGGATGCTTCAGCTGCGAATGAGAACCTTCGACGCCTTTCCCCACTTGGTCTCGACAGGGTACTCCGGGTGAAACAAGCAACGTCTCTAGCGATTGACGTCGACTTTTTTTCACGAGGTTGGGTTAGAAAACCGTCAAGCAGGCCAAGAGAGTCTTGGATCTGATGATCTGTTGTTTTCCAAACGCTTTGTGCTGCTCTCCTGCTGTAAGGAGGCCTCGTCGCACACAGTCGTCGAGGGGATGCAATGCAGGGCTAAGCTTCGAGGACGGCTTGAAAGTGGAGATTGACTTCCGAGCAGTACAATGTTCGAGGCGTGAAGATGAACGATTGAATGTCAGAGTGATATTGCGTCTTGATTGCTGATTTGGTGTGTAGAGTATAAAGGATAGACAGGGGCTCGTTCCTGTGCAGCAATCACTCGCAGCATATTAAACCTGCAACTGTGCGTTTTGTTGCTGACGACAGTCAAAACGCCTGTGGCTGGGGGATTGAAAAAAGTGGCTGGGAAGAGCGTGCACGTTTGCACCGGCTGTCCGTCCGCCCATTTCTCTGCCTGACAACACCGCCTTACAAGAGTCCGCTTGAGTCAGCCTTTTGCCCTGACGCTGTTCTCTTCCCTTTCCCTGTTTTTCGCTTGCGTGATGGGATCAAAATTTCTTCTACACATGTCTCTGTGCTCGTTGTTCCAGAAGTTCGAGAATGTCTTGCTCACAGCCACAAGGTCTCGGGTTGCTTTGGCACGCGAGACGTTGTGATCCGGCCTCCACACCGTTACCAACGTCTCGCCCGGACAACCCTGTTTCTGCCAATCTCAATCTCCCTATCAATAACTGATCCCTCTGAGCAACGAACCCCAGCCTCCATCTTCCTTAAACGTCATATCCTTCTACACCGTTGTATTGAACTGTCCCTGCCTCTTTCTTATATACTGCGCAATAGGTAAACACGTTTTGTCCTTATCTGGAGAACTGTTCCATCCTCACCCTATTCTTAGCAATCACCTATTTCCAGATTCGAAACACTTGGTCTAGAGGCCCTGGTCTTGCTGTGTCGAACCATTCTGGAAGATTAGACTGATCACGTGTACAGCTTATACATGTCCTATCTTCACAGTATTGGAATTTGAAGGAGTATTCCGCCTCTCTTGGAAGTATGCATGCCACTTGTCACTTATAGAAAGTATCTTGATTGCTTCTCGCGGCAACCGACGCTTCGTGTGTAGTCAGAGTAGGTCTGTACAACGAGAGACAACATAATGTCTCAGACATGAAAACCCAAGCACACTTTCCAACCGACACACCAATACAATGTAATCTCACCATATTCTTGACTCTCACACGCCCTTCTTTGTCCTCGACCAAGAGACAGTCCTAACACCCATCGACGAGGTCTCTCGAAAAGTNNACATATCAGGCTATCAGCATGTCATTCTCCTCAAATCCCACCTCTCCATTTCCATCTCCATTTCCTCACTCCCTANCAACCACAACATCCAAACTCGCCACCATGAACCCTACACCCCACACCACCAAACACAAATGGCGCAAAGACAAATTTTGGGCTTTTATGCTACTAGGTCTGAACCGCGTACTCTATCATGACTTTCTTCCTCCTTGGNGCGTTGAGTTTTTGGTAAGGGTGAATGCGCAGGCTTGGTGGTATTATGCGCAGTATGAATTTGGTTCGAGGCATGAGATGCCAAGGCAGAACAGTCAAGGAAGCAGTCCTCGGACTGAAGATGAGGGATCGCTCGGTGATGATGCTAGTGTGGGAGATCGACCAGAAGGAGATGATTTGTCCAATTGCTTTGATCAGACTCAGAGTGCCACATCTCCTGCCTCTACAGTCGGCGGAAATTACCCAGTCACCTTCAACTCGTCTGAGGCTTCAGGTCAGAACGGGACCGGATGTGATTCCAAACCTGCGTCGCCAGAACGCAGTTGGAGCTTCTCTTCTGGAAAACGAGTCCATTGCTCGCTTTGTTGTACTGGCGGATGTGGAGATGCTGATCGTTGTTATCTACAATGCTCGTGCCGTAAGGAAGAGATCAAGGCCGAAGGTCTGTTGCCTAGGTCTGACTGGGAAGAAGATGATGGTGGTCAAGGTTTTGTGGATTTGTTGTAGGTATTTGTTGGATGTGCGTGTTCGACCTCCTTGCATCTCGTACATTAGTCTTTTCAGAGTCCGCCATCATACTCTTCTTCAACTCCTCCTTGTATGCATCCGTGATGGCACCGCACAAGACCAATTCTCTTAGTCCTTTGAACTGCCTCAGCGGCTCAAGAACCCCTTGCACCTCTTCAATACTTCTAACCTCTCTTTCTCGAGTCTTGCCAGTGCCCCTCTTCTCCCCCNNCTCAGGCACTCCATTATTCCCGTTTTGCAACCTCACAGTTAACTTTCTCAACCCTTCATCTCCCTCCGCCTCTTTCATAGCTCTAACCAACTTCCTCACTTGCAACTTCAACCCATACACCAACCCACTTCCCCCAACATTATACTTGATCATCCCCGTATACTCATCCACAACATCCACAGTAACCACCACTTTCCTCACCAACCCCAAATACCCACCTTTGACCAACTGCAANAAGTCAAACGTACACGAAGGCGCTAATCCACTCGCCAACACCCAGCGAAACCGAAACTGGATCTGGTCGTAAGATACCCAGAGCACGAAAATATTTTCGCCGTAGAGCAGGACAGAGCATTCAGAGTGCAGTTGTTTGCACACCGCCAACAAACAAGTCTGGCCTCGATGCCAGAGAGTGGTGTTTGCCGTATACTTAGCACTCGGCAGAGATGCGAGATGGAATTGGTGGGCTGAGGATGCTGCGTTGGAAGTTCCTGTGGGTACGGAAACCAGACTTCCTGCTGAGGATTTTGTTTCTGTGTAGGGAAGGAGGTAGGAGTAGATGGTTTTNCGCAGTTCGTAAGGGAGACGAAGAAAAGGAAAAGAACGTTGAGTGGGCTTTTGGTTCAAAGGTGACTTTTGGGTAGAGTGTAGGCGCAAGATATCGGCTGTTGTTTGGGTCATGGAGAGGGCTGGTGGTGTTGTGTGGGTTGTTGCTGGAGTGGGGAGGGGGTGGTAGTAATCGCGGCAGTTGTGGTGGCCGGTGTCTGTTAGGGTTGTCATGATTGAACAGCTGAAATTATGAAAGACAATCGATGTGGGCAAAAGTGATACAAGAGCTTTCCTCGTTGATTGACAGAGAGCGTGAGTGTATGATTGGAAATGTTCTTGTTGGTAAGTCACGACTCCCTCGGCCATCAGGGTGACGGCTCGGATGCGGAGGTAATGTGATATGCAACGTTGAAGCTTTGTTATCCGACACCAAAGACAAGATACTGTTCTCTAACATTCTCTATCGCCCATTCGTCCGGGGCAATGCAGCTGAGCTATTGATGACCCTTCTGAGGTCGCGTCGTTCGTCTGCTTGAATACGTGCATCCCCGATAGACATGACTGTCCTGTGCCCATCTTCTGGGTTGACAGACATTCGTTCGTCTACTCAGCATGTTGCTTCTCTCATCAAGCCCAACGCAGGGCTTCTTTTGATCTGATTGCCTAAACAACTTGGCTAGAATCGAGCTCTAAATCTATCGAGTCTGGCACCCGTCATTACCTGACCATCTCAACAGCCTTCGTGAAGTACATCACACCCAGAACTGACCGTGGTTAATCGAGCAATTCGTCCAAACCGCCGCCATGCATATCGAACTCCTACCATCCGAGCTGGTCACGGACATATTCCTCGCCTTGCCTACCATCTCCTCCGTTCTCGCCTTGTCCTCGACCTGTCATCATTTTTGCCAGATCTACACGTCTTCCAAGAAGCTCCGAATACTGTCACAAGCTGCCGAGAACGAGTTCGGCCCTACATCAGACATTGTCCAACTCGTCACCCACAACTCCTCGCAACCTGCCCACCTTCGCCGCTCAGTCCCACTATCACAAGCCTTGATCCGCTCCATAGTAAAAGTCGGTCGTGTTGCTGCAAAATGGGAGGCCGTATACCCATTCAAGAAGTGGAAAGCCGACTTTGAGAACAGACGATCTATATCCACCGACGAGCGCTTTCGCCTGCGACGGGCGTTATACCGTCTCTGGCTCTTCTCTCGCGCCTTTCATGATGGAAGCATCCTTCGCTGGATGAGAAGTATGCCTGCTCTCCACCACGAGAGAACACTGCTTCTGCACAACTTCAACACTCTTGAATTGGCTGAAATGCTTGATGTTCACAATATGCTGCGCGATACCATCAGCAACAACATCTGTCCATCCAACGGCACCGTAAGCCGCAAATTCCAAAAACGCTTCCCAAACTCCGATTACCAACTCCTCTTCAACACCAACCTCAACTTCCCTCCTCCCTCTTCTTTCGTCCCCAATGGTACTCACTTCTGCTCTGAAGTGGCAGCTTCCAAATGGCACAACAAATACGTTCCGACAGCAAACCATGAGCCAGGTGCCGAAGGCTGGGGCGACGATATCCTACACTACTATGTTGTTGAAGACATGTTGAAGCTTGATCCTGAGCAACTCATGTTCTTGAAAGAGAACGCACCATACAAGAGCCAAGTCGAAGCTTACATCAGAAGCCAAGGCGATTGGTTTGACAACAATGGCGAGACTTTTGTTCAGACGTTGCAGCAGGTTATCCGCGACCGTGGCCAGGAGATGGATGAATTCAAGGAAGCGATTGAGGATGGCGAGTTGGGTGTTGCACTCAGAGAACATTGAGTTTGTATGCAGAGTCGAGGAACACTACTAAGCTATAGAGTCATGCTTGCGCTATCTCACAGGCACACGTCTAGAATCCTATGCTTGAGTTTTCGACCGAGGGGGGGAATGAAATACATTGTAAAATGCTGAGTGTGCGACTCTATCCAAAAGATTTTCTGCAAGTGAAACAATCAAGTTGGGATGGACAGCAGCTTTGGCGTCAGGCTCTTCAATCAGGCTGCGCGCCGCGATTTAGGCATCCATCGCGAGTTTTGGGCCCCGCGACTGCCAAATCAATCCTTTCAATTGTCGATTTTAACACCGAGATCAATTGAATCTGGTCTCTGAGTTGCTTGGTCGTCTTTTTTTTTCTCCCGCATCACTCTCACAATTCAAGAGGTGTCATCTGCTTGCTGCGGCCTGTTGACCAGAAACATGGCTCCCAACTGTCGTGTCTACTTTCCGATCTCACAAGTCTACTATTTTGACAAGCGATGGAATGCTATCTTGACCGTAAGTCTTCATGATCGACATCGCAAGATCTTTTGCCTACACAACTCACCTAGAAACGATACGAGTCGACTTCTGGTATCTGTAACCTGCATCTACAGCAGGGCAAATTTCTCCCGTCTTTCGTGCACGCGCTGGAGCATTGGAAACCTCAGAGCATATCTTTTCTGGAACTGCCTGCCGAGATACGCAACCAGATTTACCATCTCATAATACCCAGCTTGGATGATTCATATACCGAGCTTCACCATCTCAACCCTCGAGGATCACAAACAATGCTTCCCGCATTGCTCATGCAGACCTGCAAACAGGTGCAGAAAGAAGTTTCGGCATTGTATTTTCGAAACACGGTACTTAGCCTTCGCCTTCAGAACAATCAATCTTTACTCTTGGATCAGGATGATCTGCCTCCCTTGGTCTCCAGCACCTTGCGATGGTATAGTAAACTCGATGCATCAATCACCGATCAATTTCACCACATCAACCTCGATATGGATCCCTTGAGTTGCAAGATCCTTGTCACAAACTCCAAAAGGGTCTTTGTCCAACTTTGCGCTGTGGGACGACCGTACTCGTTCACATCGAAGATCCTCACAAAGGTCAGTGTTGCAATCAGAGACGATATCATACGCAGTCTTGCTGTATCTCCTACTGGTCTTCTGGGCTTCCGACATTTTGCGATGGCCGAGACAGAAGTCAGGTCCCTGCTAGAGTGGCAAGAATGGAAGAGACAAGAACTCGAATGGCAAAGCACAAAAGCANACGAGGCACCTCGACACACATACAGGCATTCGCACAGATGTCATGCGTATGGTTGTTACCAGTGCTACCTAATCACGCAGGCAGAGAAAGAGAAACTGCCCAGGCTGATCCCAGCGGTCAGCTTTGAAAACCCCAGCCAAGTACGACAGCGGCTTCTGTGGAAANGAGAGCAGAAACAATGGCGTCAAGTCAAAGAGTGGGAAGCGAATAAAACGCTCCCGGGATATCGGATGTGGGAATATGAAGACTACCCAACAGAAGATCAGATGTGGGAATCCGGAGATTATCTGATAGAAGAGGCCGAGCAAGAAGGCATGCCCATGTTGATCCGGGCTGCACCTTCACCACTTGACGAGCTTGAGGTGTATCATGTACGAACGATGGTTCCGGATGCTCTGAGAATGGTTGTTGAAACCATCTGAGTCTTGCTCGAAAGCACAAAGTCTAGATAGCCAATGTCACGGCGGGCGTGATGACATAAATGGACGCTGTTTCTCAAGTATACCTTTTGTGCCTGTAAAAAAGCAAAACATCAGTGCGAAGTTGTGGACACTCCCAGCTCTCTTGAATGTTGTATCACCAAATCATGCCGCAGAAACACAACATCAATCTCAAACATGGAAGTCTTGTCCATCAGAAGATCACGGGTTCACGGTATATCCTGCATGTCTCAAAGCATATGCCCAGAATACTCTGTAATCTCATCTCTGGATTCTACAACAAAAGATAACCACCAAAATACACAACTGCTTCCAAAATTGAGAAATGTCCGCGCAGAGCAGAAGGTCTCTCATACCGCAAGAGAGATTTCGTACAGCTGAGAAGTGTATCTCATCCAGTTTATATATTAAAGAAGTTTGACTTGTCAAGCAAGTGTTTTTTGCAAAACTGTCATCGCTGTTAGGTTTTGATTATTGCAGTGTACAGTCTTGTAATGTGGTGGAATGAAAGGTTTGGATGGTTTTGATTTCGAGATGCATATTCTGACTTCTGATTTCGTTGAGCTTGGTTTTGATGGTTGTATAGGTGTTTTTACAGCAGCTGAGACAGATTCTGTTCTTTTTGTGATGGTATAGGCGATTTATTATGGTTATTAATGCGACACTCGATCAAATGAAGGCTGTCGTTGTCCGCTTCTAACCCATCATCGCAGAGACATGTGGATGCGAACAAAAGTCTTCCGCATGACTGCGTGTCTATTGGAAAGACCTCTGAGTATGGTGCAGGAAGCTTGTTTCAGAACACAGGGTTCGATCGAGAGATCTGGGCTTGATTATTGAGGGTCATTTCGAAACTGAGGTAATGCATGTTGGTGCCGACTCGAGAGCGAATGCGGTGCTAATTGCTCGTGTCAAAATGCAGAATTGATGCAGAAAACTTGCCTTGTTCACTGAAGGGCTGACTCGAATGTTGCTCTCAGTGGAACTGCATGCTTTTGACAGTTGTTTCGAGCATTTTGATAAGCTATCTTCTTCCAGCAACCCGAAGATAGGATTGCAGGCATCAGTGCCATCTCCGGATCCAACATCGTGCTATAATCGCATGTCAAAATGCAGGATTCGAACCAGAAGACTTGTCTCGTCCATCGAAAGACTATTCCCAAGCTTGTTCTCACCGAAAATGTATGTTCTTTTGGACACTATCATGTATTTTGACAAGACGCTTTTCTGTTCAACGCAAATCTGGGAAGCCGTGAGGATGGCGTTGCTCAAGTCCAGAAGAAGTACCAGGCTTCTTTTGATGGGTTTCCATTCCCCACATCGATTGCATTGCTAAAAGCTACACGTCAAAATGCAGAATTGAGTATGAAAATTCGTGTTGTCCATTGAGATACCGGCTAGCGGCTTGCTCTCACTGGCAAATACATTCTCTGGAACACTTTCGTGCATTTTTATAAGCTGGTTTTCCCGCACTATAAATCTGGGAACCCGTGAGGCTTTTATACTTGGATTTTAGACAAGCAAGGGATGAAAGAAGCAAGGGGGAGTCCTTCGCATAAGCCCTAACTTAAGATCGACCAAAGTACTTTAATTTCATGTTAAAATACAGAATCCAGGCCGGGAAACTGACTTACCCATGAGAGACTGCTATGGCTTTACTTTTCTCCAAAACATATGATATCAGGTTAGTTATACTTCTAAAAGTATACGATCTTCCGGCTTGTTTCAAGAAGGAGATCCAGACGATTTTCAAGAAGAAGACCCCGAGTCTGTCAAATACCTAGACATCAACCGCGACTTCAACGCCTACTTCACCCATCCATATCTGAAGCAGTTCTCCGCAATCGTCGAGCGCGGTGGAGAAGGAGACATCATCGAGTTCGAAGTCGACGACAACCCTGCTCTCGAATACTTTGCCCGTAACGGCATCACTCATTTCGGCCATTACACCTGTGACTACGAAACGGGTTACGTCGAAAACGACGACAACGAGGCTATCTTTGCCAGAGGCAAGATTGTCGTCTCGATCAGCGCAAATGGAGAGGTGGAGGTCTCTGGTGAAGCAGAATGCGACGATGCCTCGTACGACGAGGGCAGCTGGGATTGGTTTGGAAGAATGGAAGCGCAGATCGAGGATTGGGTCGATAACGATGAGCTGGGATTGATCAGCTGGCAGCTCATGGCTCATATCAATGCACAGCTCGAGGCGGAAATCGAAGACCTTCGCGCCCGCTCGGGACCTGACGAAGAGGACGAGTCTGAGGCCCAGGACGAGGAAGACGAGGACGAAGATGAGGTCGAGGAGAGCGAGGATAACAGGTATCAGCAGGAAACTGACTCGGGCGACTCCGAGGACGAAGATGAGGCATGAGAAACAAAACAAAGGGATGGCATGAAGTCCATCACGGTATTACTTCGGTAAACCGGTTTCATACACTTTCTTTGACTACATTCAATCAATTTTCTCTTACTCTTGCTGCATGTTTTGGGCTCTCAGTGGACACTGTCTGATTTCGTAATACACTGTGCATTTTTATAGATGTCTTTTCGGCAGGTAACGTTTCCCGGGATGCATACAATACTAGCCTCGACTTCACTTTTGCTACATATCTTGGGCTCTGACTGGACAATGTCAAGATCTGTAGTACACTGTGCATTTTGATAGATGTCTTTTCGATAAGTTATGTCGCTCGGGATAGATCATTGCTGGGCCCAAATCTCTGGTCTTTGACTTCACTTTTGCCATATATTCTTGGGCTCTCAGTGGACACCATACAGTTCCGTTAAACACTGTGTATTTTGATAGGTGTTCTATGATGAGCATTATCCGCTGAGATAGAATAATTCAGACCTTACATTCTTTATTTCTTGTTCATATCTTGGGCTCTCAATGGACGCTGTCAGATTCAGTTAAACACTATGCATTTTGATAGATGTTCTCTGACAGGTTCAGTCTACTGAAACACAGCGACTTTGACCTTGATATCCTAATCCATAGTTCATATCTTGGGCTTTCAATGGATGCTGTTGAGTTTTGTAATATACTATGAATTTTGATAGCTGTTTTAGGACAGACATTGTCTGCTGAGACCCACCAATCTTGACCTTGATTTTCTGAATTCTGGTTTGTATCCTGGGCTCTCAATGGACCCTATCAGATTCTGTAATACACTATGCATTTCGATAGCTGTTCTATAATGATCACTGTCCGCTGAGATAGAGGATTTTGTTCTGCCTCGATGTCTTGATTCTCAGCTCTCACCGGACATAGTTATCTCTCCAAACCAGATCTTGCACTCGTAAAGTGGGTATGTACCATGAGCTGCCTTGTGAGATAGAAATACAATCACCGTGGAATCGGGTATATCACAGCTCTTACTGGACCGAGCTATCCGCTTGGAAGATATCTTGCACGGACCTGACTTGGAGCATCGAGAGAATTGGTGCCAGTTGAGATTCCGCAATGCAGAAAAAGTTGCAATTAGTTTGTGGAAACTGGCTGCTGGAGGACGAAGACAAAGCTGAACAGCAACGAGTTGAACTTTGGGACGGGCTTGCTCAAGGGCATGGTTTATTAGATCAAACAAATGGAACAAATATGGAAGCTACAGCATCATCATCTAGCTAGTCTTCATCCTCTTCTGCCTAACAAGTGTCTGAGTAAGCAGGCAGCTCGTCGTCTTGGTACTCCAAAATCCAGTAGATGTCTTCGTCTGCCGTATCGCTGGCGACACCAACTTGGTTCTCGTTGTAGAGGCAATCGCTTGTCAGTGAGGTAGTCACGGCGGCCCATTCGTCCGTATCTTCGGTCAAATCCTCGCAGATGGCGCAGACAGCTGCAATGCAAGTGTCACTGACTGCGGTATGGCATTCCCCAGCGGGCACCACGAGGGTTGATTGCAGGTTCGAGATGAGTTGTCCCACGCTCTGACAGTCTTCGAGCAAAGGCAGTATTCCTCCGGCCTAGAGTAATTGAATATCGATCAGCCATAGCTAGAAAATGGAGCGAAGCTCCTGGGGGACACTTACTGGGTCAGAACAGTGGTTGACAGGCTCGCGCTTCGCAAGTCTACGAGATTGATGACCACGACTGACGTTGAAGGTCGAGCGGGATGTATCATCTACCCCAATGCGAGGCATCGCTTTGATCTCGTACTTGATTCCTTCCGGCATATCGGGAATGTCTTCTGAAGTTCTGATAACTGGGCGGCTGCTGGTATTGTTGGCCGCGGTGATTGGTCGCAATCTGCTTCCCGAAGTGACATTCGCATTGAACATCATCAAGGATGCGAAGACATATAAGATTGATTGATGCATGTTCTGCAGAGGCAAAGTAAAATCAAGTAGGAGAAGTTGCAAGTTGGATTGTTTCCAGACAAGTTGAAGAGTCGAAAAGCATCCAGGTCAAGAGTACTTATATATCTGTCCGTACACTCGAGTGACCATGATACTTGTTGCTCATGATTAAGCCGTCAACCAATCGTAGCATGCAACAACAGGTCATGGTCGTATGAGTCGATGCAGGCGGCTGTTGTGAGTGTTTTCTTGTTGATCGTTCACGCTACTGCAGACATCTCTACTCCCCTACCGCATATGCAGTCATTGACTCGAATGTAAGGACTCCTCTCATCGGTGGGACCCGATATATTGTGGTCTGGAAGGCTAGTCGTTACCTAACCTACCATAGGACAGTCAATCTTGAAGAAAGCGCCGATCGCAGACAGGACCGATACCTGGCTTGAAGACTGCTTCATCAGATGAATTTACAAATTGCTGCAATTCTTGTATATGCAATCCTTGTCTATACAGGCGTATGGAGATCTGCGCTATTCAAAAGCCGTGGACAACCCCTGTACAATGTCTGAGTCACATAGCTCAGGAGAAAGATGTAATCTTGCAGAAACCAATGGTTGTAGCGCTGCAAGGTGATAATTGAATCTTTTCCTACTCGGATCTATAGAATCGAACATATTCTCGGATCAATCAAGTATCCGCACCCCATTTGGCAAACTTGAAACTCCCCAGGCGATCCTTTGAAGTGAGTTCCTGAGTCTGGGCTTCAGAGATCAAGTCCTTCTCTCGTAATGCTCTCATGAACGGAATGCCTGGTGGAATTGAATCTTCCCGTGAGACCCACCCAAACACCTGATCAACCATTGCATGTTGCAATCGACCGATCCATTGCTTCTGCCACTTTACCAAATTAGTTTCTGACTCTTGGTGTTCAGAAGAAACGCCGACTGAGAGCAATGAGGGCCAATCAAGCTTCCATGTTACTCTTATCATGATTTCCGGTAGGCTTGTGTCCTGGATGTCCTCAGATTGGCCGCGGATATCCTGAATAGTACGGGTAGTAAGATCGTGAAAAGTGACATCCGTACGGCCTCCGTATGCAACCTGCTTAGCAAGCGCTTGTATGCGCGCAGAAACGACGGGCTGATCCTGATCAACTACCGTGTGTATGAATTCGATACTATCAGGAGGTCAGTCGAGCGCCTGTTTTGATGGTGTATCTTTGCCAAAGATCTGCGTGCTTACCATTGCGCATTCTGAATATCTGACGTCTCGGAGAGCCGGTCGTACCATTGCTTGCTTTGCATTCTGTCTGCCAAACCGGCTTGCGTAGAGCCCGACAGATTGATAGCAAACCATCCCTCATCGCTGCCACTCTTGATTTCGATTGCAGTAAGAGAACGACGTTCTGAACAATCCACCATGATGTCGAAATCGATGACGTGTTCTTGGTGGACAGTTTCCGACAAACTTGTCCCATGTGATCCCTGTATCTGCATCCATGGAGACGGCGATCGCCCGATTTGTTGATGAAAAGTTCGTAGGAAGGAGAGAGTGCTTGCATGTTTTGGAGGTTCTGATGTTCCAGGTTGCATAGAGTGAGTGCTCGGCGGCCGCTATATATCCCAGCCAAGGCGGATACGGGAGACAAAGCTTTGACTAGTGCACACCAAGCATGTCGAAGACCCCGGGTTCGATGACTAGCGGATCGACATTGGTCCATATATTATAGTAGTGGTGTGTTGCTTGCATATACTGAGTACGCTCTTACTGACTACACACGCAACCTTCTACGGCGCAGAATATACAGCGGCCGATATGGAGACATGATACCATCCACGACAACACACTGCAGCATACGACACCATGATTGGGAGACCAACTATCGAGCGATCAATGATACAGTAACGCTCACCAATTCGCTGCCTTATGCATATATAACGTATCCTTCTGCTCTCCTGCTTTTCATATCGTTCAACTTCCTCTCACACAGTAACTATTACTTAACGAACCTGGATTACAAGATGAAGCTCTACCAACTTATGCTCAGTCTGGCTCTAGCTACTATTGTAGCCGCTGACAACATCAACAACTGCTACAATGCGTGTGTATAACCACACAACCATGCGTGATGATGATACTGACAAGTGCAATTGTAGTGCTGATCCTGATGCTGGCCTCCCTACTGGGTATTGTGTTTGCCCAGATGGTAAGTAAGCAGGCATCATGGCAAGCTTCTTACATACTAAACATGCGAAGAAACCTGTTGGCAAAACAACGACGGCACTTGCACAGAGCTGGGCGCACAAGTTGCGTGCGTAGGCACTGTAAGTTTTTCTTCCACTTGTCATCAACTTTGCCTTCCAGCTGATGTGTTTCCTAGACCTAGAGGCGCGATATTTACGTTCGGCTCTACTTCATACAGTATCTAGCTAACAGATGGTTGCCTATCTGGTTGATTCACGTAAGCTGTTCATAGTCTACTAGTCTTGTCGTTCGTATGAAATATTATCAGCTGTTCGACTTGCTCTCGCTGCTTTGCTCGTCTTAGAATTCAGTCGACAACCCATTGCTCTTCTACTCCAATTCCTGAATTCCTATGCGCTTGTCCTCATGCAAGTCCCCACCTCTCCATAGGTATATCTTACGACCAGCGTTTTTGCAAACCGCTTTACGCGTTTTACTTGTACTCGACTACCCTGTCTCATAATGAGACTAGGGACAACGGACAATAACTGAATCCTTTGAAAATCACCAGGGGAGAACGCTGTAAGTAGAGATTGAACGACGATCCAGCGCAATACTAAGCTGTTGCGAGTCTCTATGCCAACAGCTTCAACCCCATTCTTCGACATTATCCCGAGCGTCTCCAAGACCTTGCCCGTTTCAGGGCCTCCTACGACCGCTAACAATGCATTCACACATGTTGTGCGCTCTCATGGAAGCTACAGAAAGAGCGAGTCACAAAGATCAGTGGGGAGAGCTACAATCAGTCCTTTAGCCTGGCGGAGACTGTCATGAATGGCTACAACCGTTTTTATTCATCATCAACCTGGATCTTAGCTTTGGACATCAGAGCAAGCAGCCAAGATGTTCAGGCCGTCCAACCGTCCAATACTGCAGTCGTGCTGTCGTGCAGTCGTCTGGCTCTCTGGTCGACCTCATGGAATGGTCCGGAATGACGCTCGTTCGTGGCCCCCATTCGTTGGTTTCGCTGTCACAGCCCCCATCATACCATTTCTTTGTCGGTTTTCACCACGAAGAACGCGAGTCCATCATTGCGGAAATTCTGACGCCTCGACGTGGTGAGTGTAGTACAGACCAGACTAGAACCGTACAGGTATTAACAGAAAGAATAGGCTGCACACTAATCGAAGGCTACCATGGAGGACGCATCAGGTCCACTCACCGTCGCTGCCCAGGTGCAGTCTTTGGCCCCTGACCAGTCAACCCGCGTCAGACGCATCAGTTTCACCGACTTCCCTGCAGAAGTCAAGAATCTGATCTACTACTACCTTTGTCGTGACCGCACCAAGAGAGCTATCAACTTGTGCGTCCTGAGCCCTGCCTGGAAGAGTCCTTCACCCCCTACCGCCCTCATGAACACCTGCTCGTCCATCGCATCCAGATTGATGCCTGTCTACTTCAGCAACTGCCTGTTCACCATTGACACCACTCACAAAGCCAATGCTCAACTTCTTACCGGAGCATTCGAGTGGCTCAAGAATGTCGGAGACAAGAGCAGTGCCCACTTCCGTCGCTTGCATGTCATCCATGAATTCATCCTGCCTCCTAGACCTCAGGATAATTTCGCTACTGATCCCTACGAAGTCATGATCAGCATCACCGACGAAGAGCAGATCATCATCGAAGAGATCAGGGGCCCCTCCAAGTGTCTCAGAGAGATGGACCTGCGCCCTTCGTTTAGGAGACTGTATTTGCGCCTCGACAAACAGCTGACTGACGACCTCGTCGAGATGCTCACCCACCGCATTTACAACAATCAGACTGCAGGCATGGGTGTGACCGAGTTTGAGATCATCCTGGAGCGCATCAGCTTCCACGTGTCCAGGTTCAAGAAGGCTCGCGAGGACTTGCAAAGAGAGGAATTGGAGAATACTCCGACTGAAATAGGCGCCGAGAACAAAGAAGAAGGGTTTCTCGTCACAGCTCTCCGCTTCTTAGACCTCTATCACAATGCACAATCTTATCTCGCACAGACGCACTTCCACTGAGAGTGCAGAGCAGGAGGTGCTCTCTGTGGAAGCAAGGGGTTCTGACTGAAGATTGTGCATTTTGATGGAAGCTTCTCATACGGTAGTGCTTTGGGAGAGGTCAACCATTCAGAGGTATATGACCGGAGTTTTCGGGTTGAGAAAGAAAGATCAGCAAACATCCTAGCTTAGTACCTACTTCCAATGCAAACAATGCTGGCAAACCTACATTTGCATGTGCAAGATGCAGTTACAGGTGATTGTAATGATGTGTGTCCCTCGCTTCGAATGCAGCAATCACGTGATACAAGACAGATGACAGGCGAGCGAACACAAAGATAGATTGAAATGTTTTTGAGATTCGGACTTCTACACAAATTTATGCAAAGAACATCCAGAAAATGTAAAGAAAAATCCGGCTCTGATTGGCATTTTTCGGATAAGGATAGACAAAGAAGTGGTGTATAAAATCGCTCGCAAGATGAGATAAAAAGATCAAGTTTTTAGACGCTCATATCAAGATTCTCATGATTTAGAGAAGAGCGACGGCGGCGGCACCGAGGGCAAGAGCAACGGAACCACCGACCTTGGCACCGGCACCCTTGTAGGCGGAGGGGCTGGCAGTGGCAGCAGCGCCAGGGGTCTGGTTAGCGGCCCACGAGGAAGCAAGGGTGGTGCCAGAGGCCTGGCCACCGACGAGACCGCCGGAGCCAGAGGCAGCGGCAGCACCGGAAGGAGCAGCAGCGCCAGAGGCCATGGCGGCACCGGAAGGAACAATGGCGCCAGCGATGGAAGAGGTAGGGGCCCAGGTGACCTGAGTACTCTCCTTGGTGACGGGGATGACCTTGCCGGCGGAGGTGATGGAGGCGGTGACAGCGTTGACAATGGTGGTAGGGACGACAGTCTGGCTGGTGGTCATGGTGGTCTGAACAGCGTGGGTGGTGACGAAAGAGGTGGCAGCGGTCAGGACGGTCTCCNNCTTGCCGGAGGCGGTGATGGTCTGGCCAGCAGGGCAGTAGGTGGTGTATGAAGTGGTAACGTCAGTAACGTAGACAACGGGCTCGACAGAGGCGGATCCGTTGGCAGCGAGCATGGCGCCTGAGACAGAGCCGGTCGAGAAGGCAGATTTGGAGGAGGCGGTCTTGGAACCAGCAGCCGAGGAAGAAGCAGAAGACGAGGAAGAGCCAGAGAGGTTCTTGGCGCCGCAGGAAGAGGCGTTGGGGCACTTGAGGTCGTAGAGAGCCTTGGTGTTGGCACCGTCAATACCGCTGGCGACAGAGAACGAAGGCGAAGAGCCATCGTCGTTCAGGATGTACCACCAGAAGTTGATGCAGCGGGCTTCAAGCTCGCAAGCAATGTCCTGCCAGTACTTGGCAGCGTTGTCAATGCTGGGAACAGCCTCGTCCTCAGCGTTACCCTTGACAGGCCAGCCGGTCTCGGTGACCCAGAGAGGCTTGCCGTTGGCGACAGCCTCAACCTTGTTGTAAGCCTTCCAGAAGAGGTCCGAGGCGTTGTCGATCGAGTTGCCCTCACCATCCTGGTAGAAGGGGTACTCGTCAAGACCAAGGAAATCAACAGCGTCGAGGATGGCAGCGTTGGAGGTGTTGGTGTATGCGTTCCAGGTGTCGACGTGGCCGATGGGGACGTTGGCGAGGGCAGTGCCCTTGACGGCCTCACGGACCTGGCCAATGTAGTCAACGAGGACGTCGGCGGTCTGGCCGTAACCACTCTTNTGCTTGATACCAGTCTCGGAGATGCGGTAAAGATCCTCGGAACCGACAGAGATGCCGACAGTCAGGTCGGCAAGACCCTGGGAGCCGAATTGGCTGATGGCGGTCTTGAGAGCGGTAAGCTCGTTGTTGAAAGCCTCCTGGTTCTCAGAAGCCCACAGACCAAGAAGGAGAGTGGTGTTGGTCTTGATGGCAGCGGGAATGGCAGAGATGACAGTGTTGGCAGTGCCGTCCTGGATCATGGTGTAGAGACGAGCCGACGAGTAGTCAGTAATGGCGGCGGCAGACTCAAACTGGTTGGTGAAGGTCTCGAGGTTGTTGCCCTGAGAGCCGTAGTTGAAACCGCGGGTAGCAGCCATGGCAGAGGCGGCGCTGCCGGCGAGAGCGTAGAAGGAAGAACGCATTTTGAAATATAAGTTATCCTGGTAAATAAGAAGAAATAGCGAATGTGTGTATCGAATATGGACCCGTTGGAAAGAGTGACAATGGGTTGAATATTCGGAGTGGTGAGGAAAAAAAGATGTCGTGGCTGAGAGGGCGCGGCGACCCCAAAGTTTTGTACCTGCGTGTCCTCGCCCTGATCTGCGCCATGATCCGGCGCCGGTGTGTCAGTTGGAGTCTGCGACGACCGGTGGAAGGATCCGCTCCGTAGACTTGTGCATAACCAGGCAAGCGTATGCCAAACATAGTAAGATTAAAGCCAGTACCCACTTGTACCCGTGAATCAGCCGGGCGAGACGAGGCTGCTCGCCTTCTCCTGAGATGGCGAATCAATCATGCGCAACATGAATATTGCCTTGCAGTCCTTCATCTTGGGAGATGAACCTGTGCCCGTTCTGTTGATGCAGCTAATCATAGATGCACGTCGGTTTGTTCTTGTCATGCGTTATACTGGTCCGCGTGTCGTCCAAGACAAGAGCCGGTCGAGCAGATTGTGGCGCTTGTAAGGCGTTGCTGCCGCGTACCTCGAGCTAGCTTCTTGTCGAATGCGATCGTCAGCTGATGGCCAACGGCAGCTCAGCGGATTGGCTGCGCGGAAATTGTTTTGAGGTCTGCTGTGAAAACACTCGACTCAGACGTCCGGGGAGCAACCACAGATTGCGCCAAATCTCGCGCCCGCCGCTGCGCCTCCGAACTGCCTGCATCGTCCTCCGTGCGGCCTGCCAAACGGGTGTCCGGGTGCATGTCGAAATTGCATGACTTCATTTAGGCCATCGCTTGCGGTGCTTGCTTGTTTGTTTTGCTTGAGAGCTTCCAGAAAAGTATCCGATTGATTGTGATTGTCTGTGATGAACGGATGAAGTATCCAATTTTGGTTGCAGATCAATAAGATGAGCTGGACGCGCACATCGTTTGTTAACTCTGTCGTGCCTTCCCAACAATCTGCTCTTGCAACACGAGAACCTTCTGGACTCGACTCTCAAAGACTGTCAATGACCCATTCTCGATATTGTCGGCCTGTGTTGCAACTCCGTCCTTTGTTCATTTGCGTGTAGTTTTGGCATACTCCCCGACATGAACCTACGAGAACGAAAAGCGACAGCCCAGACAAAGGAGCCGATTCTCAATGGCCGCCGGACCATTGCGAGAATGTTGCTGCAGAGGACGTCGAGGTCTGATATTGCTGATATAGGGCTTGATCTACATTCCTCACGACAATGACGTCTCTTTCAGCCTCGCTCGCAGACGCAACAACATCAATGGATTATATAACGGCCAGTCTTCTTCCGACAGCTGAGATGGCTACATACACACATTGCGTAAGTCCCGAACCCTTTCGAATATCTTTCAGCATCTCTTTGTCGGATGAGTCTAGGAATAAAAATAGATGTTAGACTAGTGATTCCTTATGAACACAGTTCCTTTTTCTGACCAAACACCAGCACACAGCCCTTGCATCCATCATCTATCTGGATTGATTTGCTGACTCGAATTTTAGAACAAAATCTACAGTTGCCGAAACGATGGCAGATTCCCTGCATTCGATCTTACTCCATCGCGCCCAGAGATCCTGGTCCTTCAGTTTATCAAAGAATTCTGCAACAAAGACACCTCCATGTCACCTATGTCAAGTGATGACTCAATATTGTTGTCTATCCAGAAGCTGTTGCTGCCGCTGCAGAAGATATACCGGCGCTGCCTACCCTGGTCCCTTCATCAAGTGTCGCCGTGCCGACCGCAGACGTTTTTAACGTCGCACAAGCTTCGCAGTCCATCTGCTCAGCCGCGGAGGATGGAAGCCGTCATCTGGTGATTCCGATGCTCATTCAGAGTGTTGCGTATGCTTTTGACAGGTAGGCAATGTTTGTTAGGTCACCTTTGCTCCAGACATTTTCAGTCGAGAATAAATTGCGAGACAACCAAAAATCGTAAGTCGTTCGATGCAGTAAGAACACGGTGGTTTCTCGACTTCTACTCATCTCGAGCCTTTGTTGATTTAAACAATGACATCGCATATATTCTACTTGATAGCAGCTGACCAGACACACCGCCAATGTCTATATCAACTCAACGGATATTTGAATCCATTCGCTTAACATTACTGACAGAGTTTGGCATCAAACGAAATTCTCGCTTAATGTTACTGGAACAGTAAGCCGAGGCGAGTCTGCGGCCTCGGCCCTGTCCCTTGATCGGAAGCTCTCCCCGCGTCTCGCATCCTACAGATACTTTTATATCTCGTCAGATCCTCAGGACACCGCTAGTCGCATCACTATCTTATACACACCCAACAATGTCTTCGCAATATCAGTCAGTACATCTCGCCGCTCGTCCCAAGAGCGAGATCGTTCCTGGAGAGACTTTCGAGGTCAGATCGAACGCTGCACCTAAGGAAGCCGACCTCAAGGATGGTCAAGTCATCTTCCGTTCTTTGTACCTCAGTCTTGATCCTGCCATGAGAGGATGGCTCAATGGTGAGTTTGAGCGGACCAGCAGCTTCTGCCATTGCGACAACTAATTCTGGACCTCTCAAGACACACGCTCCTATGTTCCTCCCGTTCAAATCGGTGAGATCATGCGGGGAGTCGCCATCGGTACTGTCGAAGCATCAAAATCAGAAAAGTTCCCTGTCGGCACACTCACTACTGGATTCGTCGGCTGGACCGAGCTCGCTGTGGTGGACGACAAGGCTCTCGAACGTGTTGATCTTCCCTCCAACGGTCGCACCACTGATGCTCTTGGTGTTCTCGGTATGACCGGCTTGACTGCATACTTTGGCATCATCGAAGTTGGCCAAGTCAAGAAGGGTGACTTCGTCGTTGTTTCCGGCGCAGCTGGCGCAACAGGAAGTGTCGTTGCACAAATCGCCAAGCTCAAGGGCGCAAAGGTGCTTGGTTTGGCCGGCTCAGACGACAAAGTGTCTTGGTTGAAGAACGACCTTGGTCTTGATGAAGCACTCAACTACAAAGACGCCGACTTCACCACCAAGTTCCGCAACGCGACTAAGGGCTTGATTGATGTCTTCTTCGACAACGTCGGCGGCGAAATCCTCGACCTCGCTCTATCACGCGCCAAACCATTTTCCCGCTTCGTTTGCTGTGGCGCTATTAGCGACTACAACAGCGCATCCNCCCGTGGTCTCAAGAACTACATGATGATCATCTCCATGCGCATTCGTATGCAAGGCTTCATTGTATTTGACTTTGCAGACAAGTACGCAACAGCCAGACAGGAGTTGGCACAGTGGCTCAACGAAGGCAAATTGCAGAGAAAAGAAACTGTTATCGAAGGTGGATTGGCCAAGGCTGAGCAAGGATTGAGAGATCTGTACAAGGGTGTTAATACTGGAAAGTTGCTCGTTGAGGTTAGCAAGCAGAAGGAAGGCAAAGCTAGGCTATAGATAGTTTGACTATTGTGTAGCACAATGCATGAACTCAGGCTGTGAACTGCTTTTGGCTGATCTCTTTCTACGGCATTGGAAAGGAGCTTCGCGTCAATCTATGTCTTGTCAAGATCAGTATCGCTAAGGTCAAACCCACAACCGCATTCATTCGAGAGTAGATCGGAACCAGGAACAAGATTGCGACAAGGTTACCAATCCGTCGATAGTCGTCGGCGTGTTTGCAATTAGAAGCAGATAGGCAAGGATGCAGACGTCGCCGTACCAGACTAACCCTATGCTGTCTAGCACTTGCACATGTTACAGCTTCAAACGGAGCTTCAGCATAACTTTATGTTCGAGAAGTACTACTATCTACCAATCTCTCCGATATCATTCATTTGCCGATATCTGTTCTAATATAGTAGACAATTGCCTATATAGATTTCTTATATCCCTAGGCCGCATGATCCCTTTGATATGATTGAGATCATCGCTTCTATCTAATCTACTGTAAAGCATATCGATCTGACTCGTTGAAAACAAACCGGTCCCATCCGTCGCATCGACTTCAAGAAGCATCTCCAACTTGCCTAGAAGATGGAAAACCGTGCTGGTGAACAAGGTGCCTTGCGTACATGGCCCTGGTATCATCGTGCCGTTATACGAGAGGCCGCGGATGGGAATCACAGGCTGAGTGCGCATTCGTTCGGCACGATCCGTTAGGTGTTCGAGAAACAATTGGAAAATCGAAAGCAGGCGACCGTGGATGTCTATTATAGTTTCCACAAGGCATGCTGATAGTTGGTCATTGGGGTTTTGGCTTGTACTTGGGTTTCCCACAAGCACACCCACTATTTGCACAAGCTCTTGGGCCGATGTCAAGACAAATTCGGCGAGCGAGTAACTCCCCATGAACAGAGGACCTTCCCGGTGTATTAGAGACTCGAGACGTAATCTCGTTCTGTTGCTTTGTACCATTGTGCTGCGAAGTCGCAAGCCGTACACAATACTGGTGAGTATGGCCATGGCACCCGAGCCGTCGGCACCGACATTGCTGTGAACAATGTCTTCCGGATCTGATGAGAATTTGTTCTCGTGTATGTAGTAAGTAGGTTGTCTGTCTATGCCAAATGGAAGGTGATCTTTTCTCTTTTTGACACGGTGGTTGAGGGACGAGCCGGTGTCGACTTGCCGACCTGGAGCAGGCGCCGCTGGCTGGACACACTCTGTGTTGAGAGCCGAAATCGTGGAAGTATCACCACTAGCAGCTTGGAGAAGCATGTTGTTAGACCAAAGATCAGTCACGAACGAAGGCCATTGCAGCGATCCGGGGTCCGAACTCGACAGAATCGATGTAGACGCCATTGATTGATCGCCATAGTGCCGCTGAGGGACTCTATCTTCTGCCTCTTCTATTCGCAGGGATCTTAGGTGTATGGTGGGAGACCCTGGACGATGTGTAGACAAAGTCTCGGGACTATTGGAGCCTGTTGAAAGTGATCTCGTTTCGGTGGTCTGTTTTGCTCGTTTCCTTGTGAGAGAATCGTCCACGGCAGAGAACGAAGCAAGTTCTTTTCGCTTTGGCCTTCCGACTATCCTCTGCTGTCCCGGATCGCAGGGCACGTCGGCAAGAGTACACCGCACGCACTTGGGATCGTCAAGCTGTATGCGTTGACATTTGACCTTTTTCTTTCTGCAGAGTTCGCATGCAAATCGCCGTTGTGATGCGTGGATTTCCATGCCAGCCAAAACAGTCAGTGGCTGTGACGGAGTCGCTGTGGCGTACCGACACCGATAATTACGCAGATGTTGGTGATGCCACGGCGGTGGCCCACACCGGTGTACAGGATGGTTGTGAAAGAACTCGATGCAGTAATTACCGCTGGATCTGACAAAGAGAATATGGCTGGACCGGAGGGTTTCTCAGAGTACAAATACGCAAAGCGACCGGGCTGTGCACGAGAGTGGGGATGACGCCGTTGAGTGAGGGGCGTCCTCGGTCCAGCCTTTGCAGGAAAATGCTAATATTCGAGTAGACAGCGCTCGAGTATGGTATTTTGCGACTCATCAGGGAAGAGATGGCCGTCAACCGTGTCATAGGGCCCGTGCTGCTTGAAACCCTCCGAGAGCAGCTCTCCGTGTTAGCGGGCTAACATTGCTCCTTCGGAGGGTTTTGCCAAAGCCAAATCGGCTGTGGGTAACCGTGCGAGCTAAAAGCACAACTGCTCCGCGATTAACGACACTTTGCGCTGCTAAACATTGTTTTGACGGCCGTTGTCTGCAGCCATCACTCATCTAGCCATGTCGCTGATGATTCATCATCCACCCAAAAGCCTCCCGCTACGGGAAAGGGAGAAGGAGATTTTCACTCGTGTATTGCAGGTTGCTTGTTTGTTTGGCTAAGATATATAGCAACAGATGGGCGACTCTAGGAGTTTTCAAATCAACCTAATCACACGCTTCCAACATGTCAACGACTCAGCAACCCTACTCACCAGGGAATGATGCAGTGACTTCGGGCACTACCATCAATAAGCCTGCGCGCTCCGACAAGGTCATCCTCACAGACAAGCCCGTACCCACAGCAGAATGGCATCTGTCGGACGAGATACGAAGACTGGAGCAGCTGGAGTCAGACACGAGCGAACGTCCCAGATCATTGGGCATTTCTTGGACCGATCTCACCGTCACGGGCATCAACGCTGGTTCAGCATTCAACGAGAATGTGCTATCACAGTTCAATCCATTCCACAAAAGCGTCAACCGTGATCTCAAGACTATCGTTGACAGTTCGCACGGATGCGTGAAGCCTGGTGAGATGCTGCTGGTCCTTGGCCGTCCTGGAGCTGGATGTACCACTTTACTCAATGTCCTCGCCAACAATCGTCATGGTTATGAAGAAGTCACAGGAGATGTCCGGTTCGGAAACATGTCTTCCAAGGATGCAAAAGCATATAGCGGACAGATCGTTATGAATACTGAGGAGGAAGTTTTCTTCCCAACGCTATCAGTCCAAAACACCATCGATTTTGCTACACGCCTGAAATCTCCTCGCCATCTTCCAGCAGGATTTCACACGCAATCCCAGTATGCGCAAGAATACAAGGACTTCCTGCTAGAGTCAGTCGGCATCTCCCACACGGCAAGGACTAAAGTGGGTGATGCTTTCATCCGCGGCGTCTCTGGTGGCGAGAGGAAACGCGTGTCCATTCTCGAATGCCTTGCTACACGCGCGAGTATCTACTGTTGGGACAACTCGACTAGAGGCCTTGATGCGAGCACTGCCCTCGATTACATCAAAGCGATTCGGGCGATGACCGATATTCTTGGACTCTCTAGTATTGTCACATTGTACCAAGCAGGCAATGGAATCTACGAACAATTCGATAAGGTACTCGTCCTTGATGAGGGCAAGCAAATTTACTACGGACCTCGTCAGGACGCAGTTCCATTCATGGAAGCCCTTGGCTTCGTCTGTACCCACGGCTCGAACAAGGCTGACTTTTTGACCGGCGTGACCGTCCCAACCGAGCGCAGAATTGCTTCTGGATACGAGAACATATTTCCACACACAAGCGAAGACATCGCTGGGGCCTACAACCGATCTCAATACAGGACGTATATGTTTGAAGAAGCGCGGAGTTATCCGGAAAGCGAAACAGCAAGAGTAAACACCATCGCTTTCCAAGACTTAGTCGCCAAAGAGAAGCATCAGGGCATTCGGGACTCGCCTGTGTCGGCGAACTTCTTCGAGCAGGTACAGACCACGGTTGTCAGACAATATCAGTTGTTATGGGGAGACAAGGCCACCATGATCATCAAGCAAGTTGCGACCCTTGTACAAGCGCTGATCGGTGGATCGCTCTTCTACGCTGCTCCTGCTAACAATCTGGGTCTTTTCATCAAAGGCGGCGCCATCTTTNTCTCAACTCTGTACCATGCTTTACTTGCTCTCGGCGAGGTGACCGATTCTTTCACAGGCAGGCCAGTACTGGCAAAACATCGCTCCTTCGCTTTGTATCACCCAGCGGCATTCGTCATTGCCCAAGTTGTTACTGATATTCCCATCCTGCTGTTCCAAGTGGGGCAGTTTAGCGTTGTGCTTTACTGGATGACTGGTCTCAAAGATACTGCTGCCGCATTCTTTACATTTCTTATAATCAGCTACATGAACGCCCTAGCTATGACACAATACTTCAGAGCCGTGGGCGCTGCCTTTCCAACATTCGACGCCGCTACAAAAGTTTCCGGTCTTACTTTTGTAGCGCTATTCATCTACATGGGCTATATGATCGCAAAGCCTGAAATGCATCCGTGGTTTGTGTGGATCTATTGGTAAGTAGGAAATGCACACCTCGGGCCGAGTTCTAACACATGTTGCTAACGCATACTAACAGGANTCAATCCAATGGCCTACACTTTCGACGCACTCATGTCAAACGAATTTCATAACACACAGATACCATGTGTTGGCCCAAATCTTATACCCAATGGCCCTGGGTACGGCGGAAATGCGGGTGGACAATCTTGTGTCGGCGTGATCGGCGCCGCTCCAGGTGCGACTAGCTTTTCTGGCGACTCATATCTTGCTGCTCTATCATACTCTTACTCCCACGTTTGGCGCAACTTCGGCATCCTGTGTTCGTGGTGGGTGTTCTTCGTCGGCGTCACAATCTTTNTCACTTCTAGGTGGAATCAGGTCAGCGGAGGAAGTCGCAAGCTACTCATTCCTCGGGAAAGACAGAACAAGGCAATTCACCTCTTGCAGCCTTGCGATGAGGAGGCTGCTCAAATCTCAGAAAAGGATACGGATACTAGCTTCAAGTCGGACGACGACACTGAGCCGGATTTGATGCGCAACAGAAGCATTTTCACCTGGAAGAACCTCAGCTACACTGTGGCAGGTCCAGATGGCGATCTTGTCCTCTTGGACAATGTGCAAGGCTATGTCAAGCCAGGCATGCTTGGTGCGCTCATGGGCTCGTCAGGTGCAGGCAAAACCACTCTGCTAGACGTCTTGGCCCAACGCAAAACCCAAGGCACGATCAGCGGCTCCGTCCTTGTCGATGGAAAACCCATTCCTATCTCTTTTCAACGCTCAGCTGGCTACGTTGAACAACTGGATGTCCATGAGCCTCTAGCAACAGTACGTGAGGCACTTGAATTCTCAGCTCGATTGCGACAGTCCTGCGATGTATCTGACGAAGACAAATTACGCTACGTAGACACGATCATCAACCTTCTTGATTTGACCGCTCTCGAGCATACCCTTGTTGGCTCTCCAGGCTCCGGTTTGTCAATCGAGCAACGCAAGCGCTTGACCATTGCCATTGAACTGGTTGCTAAGCCCAGCATCATCTTTCTCGACGAGCCTACATCCGGATTAGATGGACAGGCTGCCTTTAACACTGTCAGGTTCCTTCGAAAACTTGCAGCAGCAGGCCAGGCTATTTTGGTTACTATCCACCAACCTTCAGCTCAATTGTTCGCTCAATTTGACAAACTGCTTCTACTTGCCAAAGGCGGCAAGACCGTCTACTTTGGTGATATTGGCGATAATGCTGAGACCATCAAGGACTATTTGAGCCGCAACGGAGCACCTTGCCTACTAGAAGCAAACCCAGCCGAGCATATGATCGAGGTCATCTCTGGCTCAGACCATAAGGACTGGAATCAAGTTTGGCTTGAATCAGACGAATGCAAACACCTATCGATCGAGATCGACGATATGATCTCGCATGCGGCATCAAATTCTAATACTGTTCAAGATGACGGCAACGAGTTCGCGACATCGATGTGGACACAGACTAAACTTGTGACGCAGCGCATGAATCTCTCCCTCTACCGCAACACTGAGTACGTGATGAACAAGTTCGCCATGCATGTTCTCCTAGCTCTTCTCAGTGGCTTTACCTTCTGGATGATCGGAGACTCGCTGAACGACCTCCAACAGAATCTGTTTACTGTTTTTATTCTTATCTTTGTGTCGCCGGGTGTTATTTCACAGCTCCAGCCCCTTNTTATCGATCGGAGGGATATCTTCGAGGCAAGAGAAAAGAAGAGCAAGATGGTAAGTCGTTTTTCTTGCCGCTCTATCAGACGCAGCCGCTGATTCTTATGACACTTTAGTNACCACTGGGGTCCTTTCGTCACTGGTTTGATCATCTCAGAGTTCCCCTACCTGATCGTGTGTGCTCTGTTATACTATGTGTGCTGGTACTTTGCTGCTGGCTTGAACACTTCGGCGTACTCTGCTGGCAGCGTCTTCTTCGTTGTCGTAAGGCTCTCCTGTCCTCAAACTGGCGGGAATACCAGCTAACAAGTGGGGATATAGGTAGCCTACGAGTTTCTCTACACAGCCGTCGGACAAGCTATCGCAGCATACGCGCCCAATGCCGTCTTTGCATCGCTGGTCAACCCGCTGGTGATTGTGACACTTGTCTCTTTTGCCGGCGTTGTCGTGCCTTACAGTCAGATTCAGCCTNTTTGGAGATACTGGTAAGTTTTTGATCCAATCTGGCACTTCTGGACCCTTTCGAATTTCGCAGCAACTAACGCCGGATTTGACAGGCTCTACTACATCGACCCTTTCAACTATGTCATGTCTAGCCTGATGGTCTTTACAATCTGGGACAAGCCTGTTATCTGCAAAGCCAACGAACTCGCTCTGTTCGACNCCCCAGCCGGCCAGACCTGTGCTCAGTACCTGTCAGCCTACCAAAACGGCATGGGAGTAGCATCAAATATTCTAAACCCGAATGCCCGATCTGCTTGCCAGGTGTGCCAGTATACTACCGGCGCAGATTACTTGCACACGCTCAACCTAGACGACAAGTATTTTGGCTGGAGAAATGCAGGTTTGATAGTGGTTTTTGTGTTTGGCATATATGGGATTGTATATCTGTTGATGAAACTTAGGACGAAGCAGACTAAGAAGATAGAAAGTTAGATCTAGGAGTATAGAAAACCACAAGGAACCATTGAGCGCTGGAATGCTAAGTATCTACACTCCAACGTCCGAGGGTTGGTATGGGAAGTTATTGTACAGCTAATAGCATTGTGGGAAAACCTACGACAATTGCACCAGGTAGATAGTATGATAAAGAGCAAGAAACGTCTGTATTGCTCTCTGAGCCTCTGCGAATCTTTGCGTCCATATTGACAACTACTGTCGATCGACTCTCGAACGATGGCTGAGCAGCCTTAAATCTTACCAATACTTGGTCCAGGGCGATCGAAAGGAAAGGGCGACTGGGACACGGTCAGCTTGGGTTCATCCATCAAAAACGAATACTTCGATGATTTGATTCGTTACAGCTAGTCTGGTGATGGGATGCTTCTTTCGAACCTGAGGACTTCTGAATTCCTCGTATGCCTTCGAGTCTCACGAAGTCATGCCTACCCTACTTCTGATTGCAACTGTAGATGCAAAGCCTTGCTACAGAAATCCAATGCCGGGATGGTTCTCACAACGACATCCTCTTTCTTTTGGGGGAAGCAGCGACCCTGGCGAAATCTGAATACCCCACCTTCGCCCTCCCCTGTTGCAAAGACCGAGAGCAACCTTGTACTATAATCATCTTCGATGCATAGATCCGCATCTCTGACAATCCGGAATCGAACGATCGCGTATGCTTGTGAGCCCAGCTAAGGATGATTTCCCACGAATAGCGATCCCCTTAGTTATGATTCTTGATCGTCACTTCGGTGTCATTTCATCCATGACGGATCGCGGGCAAGATATGTCTCTTAGGGTGGTGAATGAGTATATATATGTAGAAAGGCCGTAGAAATCAGGATGGGCTCTAGGAGAATTCAACATCTGGGTTAGGACGCGGATGCCTACCGAGCTGAAATCCTGAGGATTCGACATGACGTGCGGCAACATCATTGTAATTGGGTCTTCAGTAGGCGTACTTCTAGCTTCGTTAACGGTGAGTTCATCTATAATGCGGGACGCGAGGTCGCAAATTGTTCTGATGCTATCCAGCCAAAATTATAGAATGTCTGTCCTAAGACCATTGTCTTCATCTACGGCGGCACCAATCTTCGTCATCTCCCTTTCCTGCATCGAGAACCATTGGACAAAATCGAGATCCCAGTTCCTGAACTTCAAGTCTTCCCCTTCCAACACCGGCAAACCCGAAAGCCCTAGCGAGAAGCTCATTAATCGTAACAAAATGAGAATTTGTGCCATGCGGGCTGAGATTAGGACCGGTTTTCTCATCAAGGCATTTGGAAGAGACTCCGACGGGGACCTCATCATGCCGCTGAAAAGTGGTGTGACCAACGAAGAGATTGATACTATCTGTAAGTGCCCAAAACAGGCCCATACCTGCACTGAACGAACAAGTCATCAACCATGATGCGTTCCAATCATGTCGCAAGGTCAGGTATCCCCCAGTCTATCGAAGCATGGGATCGATAGACAGTTGTTACGAAGTCCCACACGTGCACGACTTGGCTGCCGTTCTGGAAAAGCAGGGTGTCTCGCACACTGAACATATCGTGGAAGGCAAAGATCATGCATTCGCCATGGGCGCGCAGTCCAGTGGCGAGGCTTATCAGCAAGTCATGGTTCCGGCAGTCAAGTGGAATACTACACAAGCACGGTCTCAACTAGATAACTCGCAACTCGCATCAAGCAATATTCCTGAGTCCGTGGTCCATGCTAAGCTTCCTTGTGCTTGTAACCACAGATCTTGTCAGCATGGCATACACAGTGCAAGCCTGTCCTGTATTATTTCGACTTGCGGCTCGGGTCCGTTGAACTTTCTAGGCCAGTCAAACTGAGCACACTGCAAATGCAGGTGACAGTCGCGGTTAATCTTGATCGATATCCTTCCAATTCAACTCCAATGCATTACAAATGGATTTTTGGGAAGACTAAGCAATTGTCGAGCTAGAGGCGCGACAGAACTTCTCACGAATCCTGACATCGAGTCAACGCGTCCGAGTGTGCATAGCTCATACAGGAAGTCTTTCTCGGTCTCAGACCGTGTCTCAGACATGCGCTGGCTATGTTGTTGACAGTCGCATCCTCAAAATCCAACCCTGGCTTGACCATACGTTGGGGACGAACCGAGCGTGGTCTTTCGATTTCTGGTGAATGCGGAAAATTCGATTCACTTTGCTTTAGACCCGACCTCCACTTACCCCACCTCGGGCCCGAGACTTGTTACTTGGTCTTGCATGCTACCTGCACGATTGACGAAAGCCAGTGAGATATTAGATCTGGGTCAAGACTGTTTAGAGCAAGCTCAGCCGGGAGCCGAACCGAGCCGCCGCACCCGAGCTACGGCTGAGGGAGGTGGGGGCAGGGTTTCTCAGCCCGGTCCTGGGGTATGGAAGCATATAGAGCATATGATTCATCGCGAAGACTGTTCACAAGCACAAGGACCACCAAATCTCCCACTCCCAACGTCAGAATGGCCACAGTTCACAATGCGTCCGTGTACAACAACCCCACCAATGGGGCCTCGGTTGGCGACAAGGGCAATCGCCCCAATCTGATCATGTTCATGCCCGATCAATTGCGATATGATGCTCTGGGATTCACGGGGAATCCAGCCATCAAGACGCCCAATATCGACGCTTTCGCCAAGCGAGCTGCCACATTTACAAACTGCTACGCTCAAGCTAGTGTCTGCGCCCAGTCGCGATGCTCCATGTTTCTCGGGCAGTACCCACACATCACCGGTCACAGATCTCTCGATACGCTCATTCAAGAGTGGGAAATGGATATGTTCAAGTCGCTCAAAGAAGGTGAGTCGCTCCTGGAGGTCAATGCCGGTCTAGAAACATCCTCTGACTCAATCTGCAGACGGTTACCATGTCGCACATCTCAGTCCGAGAGGTCACATGTATGCAGACGCCAAGGTCACCGAGCAGCGAGTCACCGAGTACGGATTCCTCGTTGAACCTGATGACGGCAACTTGTTCCGTTCGCGGGAGAAGATGGCTGCGGCAAAGGTTGCATGGGCTCGTCTCTTTTATCTCGGCAGCCGCGAAGAAGATGAAGCGTTTGATTTCGATGAAGCAGTGACTAGGGGCGCTGTGGAGTGGTTGGGTACCAAGCCGCCAGAGCCCTTTTGTCTTTTCCTCCCGCTCATCTGGCCGCACTGCCCGTTCGAGGTCGAAGAACCATACTTCTCCATGTATGATCGATCTTCCATGCCCGTACCCATTTCCGTGGACTCCAAGACGGGTCACGAGCCCAATTATATGAAGGCCATTCGAGAGAACTATGGAATCACGGACACGACCAAAGAAACATGGCAAGAGATCAGCGCAACATACTACGGCATGATTACCAGATTGGATGACCAATTCGGCCGCATCATGAGATCCATGAACGACCACGAACTTGGCGACCGCACCGTCACAATGTTTTTACTGATCATGGAGAGTACCTTGGCGATCACGGCCTGATCGAGAAATGGCCTTCTGGACTGAGCGACTGTCTGGTCAAGGAGCCTCTCATTATCGGTAAGCAACATACTTGCGATCCGATTTGGAGTCTAAACGTATGCTAACGATCAAGCAGGTGGTGGTCCGATTCCAGAAGGTCTTGTCATCGACGCCATGACCGAGATGGTCGATCTGTTGCCCACCGTCTTCGAGCTCTGCAAGATTCCCGAAACTTTTCCTCACAACGGCAAGTCATTGATGCCACTGATTCGTCAAGACAAATCCTACAGGCACAAGGAGTACGCTTTTTCCGAGGGTGGCTTCCTACTCGAAGAAGAACGTCTTCTGGAAAGGGCCAGTACCCGTACGACGTCAAGGGCAAGCTGCAGCACGAACAGACCGCCCTTGTTGGCAAGGCAACATGCTGCCGCGACAAGGAGTGGACTTATATACATAGACTTTACGAACAGGGCGAGCTCTATCATCGTACGACTGATCCTGGGGAGCGTCACAATCTTATCGGCATCCCTCAGTATGCACACATCGAGGCCAAGTTCCGCGAGGTCATGTTCCTGTGGCTTGTCGAGAATGCAGACCTCATGTCATGGAAGCAAGACTTTTCCATGGCCCCAAGGCAAAGATCAGTTACCCAACACCGAGAGAGCAACTGCTGGAGCGCACGTCCAAGATGGATCGCTCGCAGACTGGAGAAGCTAGGGATCACTGGGCGAGACAATGATATCGTGCATGGAAAAATGAACAGGACAAGAACGGGAGATAAATATATGTATACCTTGTGAATGATTGTTCGCCTGCACGTCATCATTTTAGCCTGAATTTGGTTGCCATATGATTGCAGCGTGTGATAATGGAGTGCAGGCTGTCACAGCTGTGTTGCCTTTGACGACGAGATGCTATCTGATCATCAAAGATTGGCTGGTTGTATTAGAGCAGATTTGTGTTCCAAGCAGTTCCGCACAAACAGCAATGGGCATGATCCCGAAGAATCAATGGCGTCCCAGCATCGGCTGCTTCGTCGAGGAAACCGGTGGCTTTCGAGGGGCGGATAGAGGCGGGTGCCTCATGGGATTTCCTAGTGATGGCGAGGGTCCCAAATGCCCTGGTGGGCCCTGGAAGATGAGGTGGACATCAAGATACATGAGGAATCAGATAATTCGATTGAGTCTTGACTATCGAAAACTCCAAAGACCACGGCCATTTATAGCATGCTGGGAAGCATGATAGCGTGCTATCCTTAGCCGAGAGTCTGCTCCAGGTCCTCACACAGGAGGGTGGGACTTGATTGTGCATGCACCCGAAGAGAAGCACAGACATTGGTCGATGGTCTCTTTGAATGATCGTCGAGTGGGTCGGTTTCCTGCGCTGGAAAGTTGGAGCTTCGATGAGGTTTGACTACTTGATTAATCAAGCTTGATAGTTCTAGGCTGCTTGGCGATGGCCCCAGGGATGATACGTCCATTGTCGGAGGGTGGAAAAGGTAATGATGGGTCATTGCTCTAGAACCTGAGCGATTTA